AGGAGTTTATGGAGAGCAGCGGGATGCGCCGGTAGCGGGTGCCCAGGGCGGCGAGGGCGGGGCGGGGGAGCGTGGGCGGTTGCAGGGATTGCTTGTAGGGGATTTTGCGGAGGGCGAGGTACCAGATTACGCTGTTGGATGTTAGGAGGTGGGGGAGGTGGTTATGTGGAAAAGAAAGGGGGGTAGAATTGGGAGGGGAGGGGAGGGGAAAGTACCGCTTGGCGAAGGGGGAGAAGGGGTAATGGTAGAGAATGATCTCGTGATCGGACATGGTTGGAAGTTAATTAATGGTATGCTGGGTACTGTACTGTACGCTACAGATTGACGAAAGATGTGTAAAAGTAAATTTATTAAAAGAGAGATTAAAGGAGAAGAAAGGCAAGAAAGAAGTAGTCGAGTATGAAGCTTGTTATATGTGGACTTCAAGCTACCCCAGAATGCGAGCCTCGGCTCGGCTCCATGTGTGATGACTGATCAGGGGCTTTTTGCTCTGGTGGCTCACCATGACTTTTTATATTTGAGATCATCGCTATTTCTCTTAATGGATCTCAAGTGAGGGTTTCAAATATACTTTCTATCAACTTTCTTCAGCGGCTTCTCCTGAAGGGGTAAAAACCAAGTCAAGTCCTCCTAGTAAACGTTTATCAAGTTTCAATATGACATAGGTACCCACGTGCTTCCCCTTTTATAGGAAAAGAATAGCATTACTTATTTCCTATACTTTCAACGTTTGTGTTTCCGATTACTTTTATATGAGCCGCAAAGAAATGTACACGTTCCTCTCTGTTCCATTTAAGGACGGAATTCTTAGCATCTATTAGTTAGAATATACGTTTTGAACTACTATTTCGTTATATGTGATAATTCTACAACAAGTATCTAGTTCTGCTTTCATTTTTATAAATTTGCCTTTGCCTCTGCCTTTGCCGTATAGAGTTATTCTTATGCATATCACAAAAGGGAAACTAAAACGCGTAATAGAGAGCAGGTATGAGAGTAGGCGTCAACGAAGGAATTTCCACATTTGGCTATCTATTTCTTTACTTTGCTCGCTATTTACTTCCCAACGACAACCCTTACGCCCTGCGATGGGGCGGTCGGTGGAAACAGGACAAGAGATCGTATACTAGCATGTCCTGAAAGCTGCGATTGATTGCAAGCCAGAGAGATGCTTTAGCATATAACCAAGGGGTCAAGGTCGAGGCATTTGTCTTACGTGCAAAATTCTAATCCGTTCCAATCCGCACTGCCTACGGATTCAGAGACTGGATGCTATGCTATCCAATACAAATCCTAGCTCAAGTTACTATCTGTTCCATTCCACATTTCCATATGGGGGAAGAAGAAAGCAAATAAGGTGGGTCCAGAACAGCCAGCCAATTCCGGGAAGAAGCTTAACTCTAAAGCTTGACAGGTGGGTTAGACCGCTTTGGACGAAATCCAGTCATCTTGATTTCGTCATTGAAATTATGTACAGTATCGTATCTGCACTGTAGGAATGAAAAGGGTAGAGCGGGGGGAAGAAGGAAAGAAAGGATTTCGTCATCGATTTTTGGTGAGTGGAAGGGGAGTGGTTAGTTGGAAGAGTACAGTGAAAGATTACTGTATCAAATGGCCATAGTCTGTCTAGGAAGTCAAAATATCGAAAGATAAAGGAACTTATCTGATAGTCTTTGTTTAAAGCATACGAAATAGAAAGAGGGAATATAGCATAGCGGTACTTGCACTGCTCTTGAGAACTGTCGCATCCATCATGTGCAATTCTCCCCGCCGTCCGCCCTAGCGTAGAGGATCTTCCACGTCTTTGCTATGCGCTGTTTCTCCAGTCTTCTCACCGCCATAATTGGTACTTGTGGTTTGGGTGCGATACTGCATTTACACACTCTTATTGGCCTGCAAAAGCGAGAAAGGGGATGATTTCTATGGGTAAGAGCTTGAATCGATTACAGTAGTTGAAATAATGTGAGAGATAGACCTTCTGGATTCGACTGTCAGAATATAATTCTATACTCTTATACTGTCAACGTTTAAAGGTGAACTACTGAAAGGTGTATTTCTAATCGGGATCGTCAAGAAGCTACGACGGCCCAAAACGGTCAAAGGGCCCGGTTTTTCGCAGGCTTCCCGTGCTTTGATTGGCTGGACACACGGCTTCCCGTGCTTTGATTGGCTGGACACACGGCCTCCTTTCTTCGCTACCTTCCCCTTCTCTGCATGGTGCGTGAACCCGTCGTATTTAAAGAATCTCTCAAGCCCCCCTCCCTCTCAGCGTGCGTCACCGCTGCGTCATTCTCTGTCTTCTTTTTCGCATTTCTCCCATCTCGCATCAACAACGGCTTTTCGAATAGGCAGAGCCGCATCGACCTCGTGCAGCATTAAGACACGTTTGTCTGTATTTGTACTATACTGTACTATACTAGAGATGAGAAGGGGTGCAGCCGTTGGTTGTATTGAAATTGTGGTACAGTAGAGAAAAGAACGCCTTTCAGACACTGCTGCATTTCGCTCGCACCACCGCCCACCGGTCGCAGAACAGCTGGCATACGTCACTGTTATTGTCTTTGGAGCTCGAAAAACGGATAATACCTGCGCTCGCCAGACTTGGATACTTGTTATTCCATTTGCTTCCATACCGTACCCTACCGTACACTCTTGTTGTTCCCAGAGCCGCTGGGGAGGAAATTGAATTTGTCAGGGGCTGCTTGCTTGACTTGCCACCATTTGGACCAGCACCGGTTCGACCTACCTACGTTGCCCCTTCCCCTTCTCACGCCATTCCCAGCCGCCATTATACCTTGCAAACCCAAGCGGAAGCAAATTTGATCGTCGAGGAGTCGCTTGCAGAAGGAGAGACTCTTCAGTCTTTTTCTCAGTCTTCTCTCAGTCTTCTCTGCCAGAATAATAAGGCGTCGCATGAGTCTTGAGGTATGTATGTAGAGGAGAGAAACTTGGTGGTTGGGAGTTAACGAGGTCTTACAGTAGAAGGCGCACCTGCCCTGTACTGTGACGTCTCCACTCGTCACTTTCCAAGTCAATTCGGCCTCGAACTCTGACGTATACCCTCGAATCTACGAGTATTCCCCAACACGAACACCGACCGCATCACCGCATCACCGCACCACAACCTTAATCTCTTCCCCAGGCAGACCCTTTGATTGTCGGTGAAAAGTGGCTCATCTTCCCCGAATCCAGCGATATCGTCATTATTGTCATCGTCGTCGGTCCTGTCAAGCCACAGACAGCCAAGCCAAGGGTCGTTGCTACAACCCCCCCCCCCCCTCCCCTCACTCACACGCGACTTCTTCTCACAATGGCCAAATCCCCGCCAGACGTGGAAAAGAAAGCCGACGATTCCAAGTCACCACCAGTCTCATCCAATGCAGCAGCCCCTCCCAAGCAATCAAGTACGCTCTCCATTTCTTATTGTTGTTGATAATCATTGCATTGCGTTGCAGCCACTCATTCTACTCTTTCGCGACTGTAAACAATCTCTCCATGAACGTCATTGTCGTCATTCCGCCAAACCCAAATCTCCCTCTTGGTGTCGGCGCATCGCAATGAGAAAGGGAAAGAGAGAATAGCATCAACACCCATTCATGCTGCTTCCCAAACCCCAATGGATGAGCGACGCAAGGTCTCCTCTCATCATCGTCTAGAGACTCCGGGTCGCATCGTATCAGAATATCTTTTCAAGTACAATTAATTGATGCACGAGCAGCTAACTGATCTTTCTGTACAGCATCAGATTTGAAGCAGGAAACACCGGTAAAGAACGAAATATCTAATGCAGGTCCTCTCGGCCCTCCACCTAGACCTGGAGCTGCCTCTACACAACCACCGCCAGAGACCCCTGACTACTTCTCTGTAGCTCACGGTCACATATCCACCGAAGCAAACCCCTTCGAAGCTTCCTTTGCTTTCGGTTCGAATGGTGGAACAATTCAGACACCTGGCGGGACAAAACTTCCTTCTGTTGCTGCATTGACATCACCAGCTGGTATCTTAGGTGGCACTGGAACAACCCCTAATTTCTGGGGAAGTCTGCGTGCAGGACCTTTAAGCCCTGCTATGCTGTCGGGACCACAGAAAGAAGATTACTTTGGTGACGGGCATCATCTTCGCGGCGGCTTCCCTACTCCCAACGAATCAGGTCTTCGATCTGGTCTCACACCTGGCGGCGGTGGATCTATGTTCCCTGAGCCCAGTCCCAATACTCAAGCGCTATTCAGTCAACTTGCAAGTGGTGGTGCAACCCCCACCACTCTTGACTTCCACCGTACTGCTATAACCGCCGCCAACGCTCAGAAGCAAAACCAGCCACAACAGAATATTACCTCACAACCACAAGAGGTATCTAACGGAATGGAAAAGCCCACAGCACCTGGCCAATTTGATCAGCACGACGCTGCCGACGCTGCCAACGGCCTTTACCTCTTGGCTCGTCAATCGAATAACCGCAACAGTGCTCCTCAGCCACCAAATCATTACGCAATGGCTCCTCAAATGAATGTACACGCTCACCCTCAACCAAATGGCCACATGGGTGGCCAGTCTTCGGATCCCTCGCCTCACATGAGGAACAATGGATCAATTAGCACTACTTCAGGACGTGGCGCTAGCGAGATGAGCGATGAAGGCGACCAAAAGGGTCCCACTACACGTGGAAAGAACAAGAAAGGCTCTACTGCAAACAATCAAACTAATGGACGAAGAAAATTGAATGAGACTCCAGCAAAGGGTCCAGCAAATAAGAAAGCTAAAGGCAACAATGGAAACGCCATGATGTCGGAGCCTCAGTCGGAGGAAGAACCCGATATGAGCAAAGATGAGTACAATGCCAATGGCAAGAAGATGACCGATGACGAAAAACGAAAGAATTTCCTCGAACGAAATAGGTAAGTCGTCATTCTTATCGTTGTTACCTATGACGTACTAACTCTGATATAGGGTTGCGGCATTGAAGTGTCGACAACGTAAGAAGCAATGGCTCGCAAATTTGCAATCCAAGGTCGAACTCTTTAGTCAAGAGAATGATCAACTGAGTCAGCAAATCTCAGGTCTTCGAGAAGAGGTCGTCAATTTGAAGACCATTCTTATGGCCCACAAAGATTGTCCGGTGTCTCAACAACAAGGCATTGGCGGTATGGGCATGCAACAGTTCATCGAAGGCTATGGTAGTCAACAGATGAACCCTTACGGCATGGCTGGCATGGGCGGTCCTCCGGTCATGGGTCCAGGTCCGGGCATGCAGCCTGAGCGACGATTCTCATAACCCTTTTGTCTTCGTGTACAATACGGGTTCGGCTTTATTCAGACAGCAAAAGTTCTCAGGGAATCAAAAGGAAATCGGAAATGACAGGAGTACCGGTTGGGTCATCACGAGCATCACGATTAAAATTCATCCCGTGTTCCATTTTTGGTCCCAACACATGAAATAGTTTTACAAGCACCGTCACATTTTCTGCCGTCGACCTCGTTGTCACCGGCTTCGACGTTCAGCTTGCCTGGGTCTTCAACACATGCTACTAGGGACTGGCTACTGGCGTTCCGGCTATTGGCACTGGGCACTTATACACCAATTGTAGATTAAAATTTTCCCCCTACCGTTCTTTCGCTTTCGCATTGGGTTACTTTCTTTGGCTTTTGGAACTGGAATATTGTACATACTTGAAGACAAGAACTTCCGGCGTATGGGAATGGGTCGGGTGGGTTTGGCTTTGCTCATATGACGGCGTTAGGAATAGGGGTTATCTTGCTGTTTGGGTATGATGGTACATCACCCATGGCAAAAGGCAACATAAGATGGTAGTAGTTAAATGAAATCAGTTAACACATGGTGGTGCTCGAACTTCTATGAGTCGGTTATTGCGTATAGTACTAGATGTATCTGTCGTCGAGAGAACTGAGATCAATTTCCTGCCTAACTGTGAAGTATGAGATGTGATAGTCTGCTGAAGTTCACGGCTGTCGGTGTTTACCCGGTGCATTGGAGCGTTGATGAGAAACTAGATTATTTGCTAGTTTAGGTACAAACAAAATGAAGCTGCCCCATGTATTATCATGTTGCAGCGGATTTAATTGCAATAGACACATCAGCATATACATAATTACCTGGTAAATTTAATAAACAAAGTTCTCATCTGAATGCGATTCTTTCCTTCCCTCCCCAGGTTTCTGAGAACGGTTAGCGTCTATCGGCGAGGAAGTTGCAAGGATGCCGGAAGCGCGACTCCCAAGGCTTTCATGTTCAGCCTCCAAAGCGAACCAAAAATCACGAGCAACTTCATACCTTCTTCTTCTCGACCTTGCTCATCGGCGTGCAGGTGTCACCCACTCAGACTGTTCATCATCAACAGATTAAGAAACTGTCGACTATAACATTTAATTGCCGCGGGCGGTACATATCCTGTTCAACAGCGAGCGCCACTACTGCATGATCTGTCACCCAAATACTTGCCCCTTCGACTCGTCTCCTCCACTTGGGACTCTGATACCCAACGCTCGTCCGACAGCCCACACACTTCTTCGATATGGTTCATCGGCACAGGAAGGATTTGGCTGCGAGCCGGAGACGGGTTGAGGACGAGGGCGACGAAGAGGGAGTCCTGGATGCGGGAGACTTGGATGATGATTCGTTGAGTGAGGGGTCTATAATCACCGGCGAGGATGAAGCACCTGAGGGAGACGAGATTGTGAATGCTGAAACGGCCTCTGCTGGCTCGCCCGAGCTGACCCAAGTCAATGGAGCTGGAGGCAGACATGCCAAGGATGGGAGGGCAGCTTCGACCAACGGAATCAAAAAGCCGCCTACGACGAATGGCACCAGCGATATGGACTTGATGCTCAATGGGCTCCAGCTATCAGATCAGAATGGAATGGCGGAGGAGGTCAACTACGAGGATCTAAGGGAGGATGCTGACATTCAAGAGAGGGAGCCGTCACTACCGGTTGTAAAGTCTACAGCACAGATGGACCAACCTCCAGAGTTACCACATGAACGTAGGAGGAGGGAACATGAAGAATACAAGAAAAAACGAGATGCGGACCCAGCGTTTGTGCCAAATAGAGGAGCGTTTTTTATGCATGATCATCGTCATTCTGGTCCTGCAGCAAACGGATTCCGGCCCTTTGGCAGAGGCCGAGGACGAGGTAGACCTGGCTTTGGAGGCCCATATGCACCTTCAAGGTATGTTTCTGTCTCGACATGCAAAGCTGCTTTCAATGTTCTAACAAGTGGTAGTCAAATGCAGCAACCCTGGGAGCCTACGGATGCTCCCTGGGCTCATGATATGCATGAAGTAATTACTGAGCCGGCACCTCGACACTATCCTCAACCAAACTACTCAAACGGACCCTCACATCTACACACACGAGTCCCCATCAGCGCCTCATCAGCAGCACCTCCAAATCGATCCCTTTCAACAACGAAACATGTTGGTAATGTGCAAATCAGGGTCTTCATGGAAAACATGGACAAGCCTATTGTGTTCCCTGCTATCCCTTGGAAGCAATATACACGGCTGCCAGATCACCGACCTCCTATGCGCCGAGACAAGCCGGTTCGAATCTCGATTCCAGACCACACGCCTAGATATATCTTTCCTGCGGTTGACAGGTCGTTCATCTTCATTCCGCGAGCTATGCGCCCAAACCAACAAGGCTTTGGTGGACGAGGTAGGGGAGCGAGATCTGCATTTGGATCTATTGGTGGCTATTCAAGACGTACTAGTGTTTTTGGTGGCAGTGTATACGGTAGCCAGTACACTCCTAGTGTTGCTATGAGCCGACGGTCATCACTTGCTCGTGAGATCAACAGGGAGAGTATTATTTCTCCAAATGGCTCTGTCATGTCCCGGACACAGATGCAAATGGACCCGTCAAGACCAGTTGTGAAGCTCCCACCAGCACTGGGTCAACAACATATGCCAGTGTCGGAAGGCGAACTTCAAAACGGAAATGCAATTGCATCCCTCAACGACATGCCTCAACCACAGACATATCCTCTTCCTCAAAAGCCTACATTCCGCGAGAATCGACCAAATCCTATTCCCATGCACCAACCCCGACCTCAGAAAACGATATCTGTTGCTGATATCGATTCCCCTGCAACATTACAATTTAACCCTCCACAACAGCATCAACAACCATTCCACCAGCAGGTCCCTCTCCAAGTCAACGGAAACAGCTACCCCAACGACACGATGATGCACTCTCGAAACCCTTCATACCCAAGTCAGGCTTCCACTGGTACACCATTGTCACAAATACCCGAACGTGCTATTCATGCTCAACCTTTCCAACCGAATCCTTATCAGCAACAGCAACAGCAATCGCAAAACTATTATCCACAACAACCTTACCAAGTCATGCCTCCTCCGCAAGGATACTACTATCCCCCACAGCAAGGATACAATCCAGGAATGGCCCCCTCGGGTGGTGCACCTCCGTTTGTTCCGGCACAACAACCGCAACAACAGCAAGCATTCTCTCAGCCACCACCGCCACAGGCTGATGTTGCTTCTCAAGCACCACAGAATCTGGTGGCGCAGGAGGTTAATGGAATGGTGTACTATTACGATGCTACTCAGATTCCAGCTGTAGCGACGTTCCCCGCGTATCAACCACCTCCCCAATCCTTCCCGATGCAGCAAGTTGGCGGAGTTGTAGGAATCGGTGGCATGATGACTCCCAGCCCCGACGGATTTTATTACCCGCAGCAACCTCAAGGAGTCGTCTACTACCCTCAGTAGATGTTGTTTGAGTGTTTGCAAAACCGAAACTTTGTTATATTTTTTATTAATGCTCTCAGCGAATCTTGTTGGCCTTGATGGGTTTTCGTTCATTGTTTGTCTCGGAAGCGTTGCCTACTACTTGGTTTACTGTTCTCTTCATCTGCGGTTACACTTGTGATGCAAAAATATATCTTGGTCGTTGTCGATTCGCATCGACTATTGTGATCCTCGGCTCCTTCCTCAGTCGTATGGTTGTTTGGGATATTCAATGGGGAGAGGAACTTAGGTGGACGGATTTCAAAGCAGCTACATGCTTTTCTGCTGTCTTGCATTCATTCCTATCACATGGCATCATATCATTTTAGTATCCTCTGATCCGGGGTTGCATGGTACTGATATGGATCTCGCTTCTTCTTCGTCATTGTCGTTGGTTGTCATATGAAAGATTCCTCTGAATAGCGTCTGTCAGGTTTTCGAAAGAGCGAGCGAGCAAGTGGGCAGTGGCGAAGTGAAAGTGAGGTAGGGTGGAGGAAGTAGACTAGTGGTTATGAATGGAAAGGAGGGTTTAAATATTTAAAAGGAATGACTGGACGGTGGTGGTATTGGTTAATACGATATTTTGCCCCCGAGAAAAGAATAACCTTTATGCTTATGCTGGATGCGATGTGATGTGAAAATGATGCGGAATGATGGTGACTAATACCTCTCCTCTGTAGGTAGAGGCAGCTATGCTTGCGTGTTTTATACGGAGTACGAGATCAGATATGGCATGGGTATGGGGTTGGGGTTGGGGTTGGAACTTGGGCTTGGCTTGGCTTAGCTTTGTGGAAGGAAGGAAGGAAATGTGCTAGATGAGGAATCCGAGAGCCTTGGGCCCTTAGGAGGGGAGGTATTGGAATGAATTGTGGATGGATGTTGATGTAGATGTATCTGAGATGGGTGTATTGGTTGGTTGGTTGGTGTCGGGTTAGGTTGGGTTATAAGTTTTATGCCGAGTAGAGAGACGGGGAGGGGGAGGGACTATGCTAGTGGAAGGAAGACTTGTTGGTTTGCGTGAGAGGTGGAGGTGAGGAGGTTGAGGGTTATGTTTGTATTCATGTTTTAGTTGTGACAACAGAGTAGTATAGTACTCTAGCCAATTGCATACAAATACAAATAATTAATGAATTCCGATAGTTAATCGCATTGAAGCAATTCGCCTCTTTGTCCTATCCTATCCTATCCTATCCTATCCCGTGCTCGGCTCGGACTTTGCACCCCTGCTTATCCGCGACCTCATGACTCTATTCAAGCCATCCATTCCCTAACTTCTACCTAAATAGGGTAGGTCCACCTCTGGTACGTACCTACATTTGCCTACATTTGCCTTCCACCATTACTTTTCAGAACATCTCGGACATAAAGTCTAGCTGATGCTTGATTTGCCTCTTGGATTCCAAGATCTTCTTGCACAATCCAAGCAGTTGATTTGTCGTTTAGGCGTCGTTGCGTACGACTGACTGACTGTCAAACGACGAGCGACTCCAAGCGATACGCTAGTGGAGCTCGATAAGCGGATTCCAGGCAGGTGCCTCCCCTCTTCTCGACGACATACAACCCATCATCCTCTTCCTCCTCTTCCTCCATCAACATCGCCTTCTTCCTCTCACCTACTTAAGGATTAGAAATCTCGATCAGTTCTTGGTCGCACATCCTACTAACACCTATCGAAGACTGCTCTCTACAGTACAGTACGTCTGCTCCTCCTGAAACCATTCTAGCACGTCACCGCCTCCAGGAGCTATCTAGCTGACCAAATACACAGCAGTCATGGCGTCGTCTCCAGCAACGAATCCCGATACCCTCGTTACCTTGAAGGTCAATGTCGAGGGTACCAACCGTCGGTTCAAGCTCCCTCTTCGTGATCTCGGTGCCAGCACCCTGCCCGATAAGGTATGTGACGCCCTGTGCCTGCTTACCAGGCTCCCACCCCATTTTATCTCAGCCTGACCCGATGCTTGATTCACGATGGCACAGTCAATTCATATTTGATTATGTGCAATGCTAACGGATATGGTTCAATGTAGCTTCGATTCCTACTTGCTGTCGCTCCCTCCTCCACGGCTATCTTCGAGCGTTACTCCGACAGTGCCGCCTCCTTTGTCGTACTAGACCCGACAAACGCCTCGGTCTACAAGCAGCTCTATCGTGCAGCCAAGGCCAAGCTCAAGCTTCGTCTCAAGGTCACCATCATCGACCATCCAGCCCCTGCACCCAAGCAAGCTACCGTCGAGGACGAGGAGCCCAGCCCGGTCAGTCCAGTCGAGGAGAAGGCTTCCACTCAACAAGCCGAGGTTACACCAACTCCAGTCCTACCATCGACCGATTATTCTGCAGTCCAGTACGCAGACGAGAGCACCCGCCAACCCTCCGTCGCGGAGATTCAGAACCGCTTCGAAGACCTGCTTCTCAACCACCCTCGTTTCACACCCAAGGCCCCTGCACCTGTTGTCAGCTCTGCCTGCTGCCCAATGTTCCCCGTACACCAGGAGAGACCCAAGATGTCTGCCACATCCAACACCGAGATCCCCATTACCCGCGGAGCTGCTGCTCGTGACAAGTGGTTTGCTGAGCTCGCTGGTGTGTCCAAAGAGCGCCAGAACGCTATCCGCACCCATGCTAGTGCACCGACTGCTTCCAGCGCCAGCATCTTTTCTGTCTACTGCAACCACTGCAACGATGCTATCCCCGACGAGCATTATCACTGCAGCACTTGCGACGATGGCGACTTTGATCTTTGCCAGAACTGTGTTGCTGACGGAGTTCTCTGCGGAGGTGATGGACACTGGATGATCAAGCGTTTTGTGAAGAATGGAAAGGTTATCAACAGCACTACTGAAACCATTGCACCTAAGCCAAAGGTTCCTGCTTTCTCTGAGTCCAAAACCACTCTTGTCCCTGAGGAGACCAAGATTACCCCTACTCGTACTTGCAACTCTTGCATTCAAGGTATGTTGAAACATCCCGTTGTACTAGCAATTTGCTAATAAGATTAGAATTGTCTGTCGAGAACTTTGTCACTTGCACTTCTTGTGATGACTTTGATCTCTGCCTTTCTTGCCATGTCGGCCTGGAGCATGGTCACCACCCCAAGCATGCTTTTGCTCCTGCTGTTGAGGATTCTCACCTGGCTACAATTGCTCAGAAGCTGCTTGCTCCTGGCCGCAATGTTGGTCATGATGCTGTCTGTGATGGATGTGACAAGGTATGTAAACTTGAGGACCTCGAGATTTGGATGCTAACAAACTATAGTACATCTATGGTGTTCGTCACAAGTGCCTTGACTGCCCAGACTGGGACTTCTGCTCTACCTGCGTGCCAAATGCCAACTTTATCCACCCCAACCATCGATTCGTTCCAATTTACGAATCCCTCTCCAACCCCCTTGCTTTGGCCAAATCATACAACAGCAAACCTCGCCACCACGGTATCTACTGCGATGGTCCTCTTTGCAACGGCAGCAATGGCCACCAGACTTTCATTAGAGGTGATCGATACAAGTGTGCCGTCTGCCATGACACCGACTTCTGTGCCAACTGTGAGGCCAGCCCATCAAACGGCCACAACCGAACTCACCCTCTGATCAAGTTCAAGACACCAGTCCGCAATGTCAGCGTTACTACTCTGGGTGATCATGAGGATGGTAAGCCAATGCCGATTATGGGCGATCGTCGTCCTCGCCTATCCAAGGCCACCGAAACCACTCCGGCTCAATCTGCTAATGCTGCTACTCAAGTCCAGACTGTTGCTGATCTCCAGCCCACCGAGCCTGTCAAGCCCAAGGAGTTCCATGAGTTTGAGGCTGAGAAGCCAGTTGAGGTCAAGACCGAGGAGGTTAAGGAACTATCAGCTGGTGTGGCTGAGGAGGACTTGGTTGCTCACTTTGTCCGCGATGTCATCGCTGACGGTACCATCCTCCCACCCAATTCCGTCTTTGAGCAGACTTGGTATCTCCGCAACGGTGGTAACACTTCATGGCCTGCTGGATGCAGCGTCAAGTTCGTCGGTGGTGACAACATGTGTGCAGTTGATCCTGCCCACCCAGCCAGCGTTCACGAGCTTGTTTCAGCTGCTGAAAGCACTACCTGCTATACCGAGGTTGCTCCAGGCCAAGAGGCCGGTTTCACCGTTTTGATGCGAACCCCCAACCGTGATGGCAACTTTATCTCATACTGGCGCCTCACCGGCCCAGACGGTGGCAAGTTCGGCCACAGACTGTGGTGCGACGTCACCGTCAAGGACCCAGTCGTCAAGCAAGAGCCTAAGGAAGAAGTTTCCGAGGCTTCAGGTAGCCAAATGATCTTCCCTAAGCTTGAGAATGAATCCCCGGCTACCAGCATGCACGAGGAAGCTTCTTCCGCTGTCCCAGAAACCGAAGATGAGGACGAGTTCGAGGACTTTGTTGAGGAGACACTTGGAGATGATGAGACAGAGGATGGCTTCTTGACCGATGAGGAGTATGATATTCTTGATGCTAGCGATGAGGAATATCTCGCTGAGCAGGAGAAGGCTATTCGAAAGTAGGAAATTATGATCTATAAGGGAAGAATGGAGTGGAAGGCGCAAGATTGATACATCACACACAAGTGACATAACCTCTGGATAAGGATGGAAGGAGCACGGGGTTATGTTTTCCTATTGTTTTTTGTTCTTTGCTGGATTCGGTTTCAGCTTTGCTATTTGAAACCTCTGCTATGCTGGCCGGCTCTATGGATAATCCTACCCCGAAAGGGAGGAGTCGTCACTTGGTTTGTGGGGTTAATGGAGAAGATTGGGTGCGCTCGTGCTTGCGTTTTCGGCTAAGGATAGTTAGTTTGGGATTGCTATGGATGGAATGGATCTTTCTCTTAGATAAGCAATATGTGTCTTACATATATGTGTAATATGTGAATACTTAGAGTGTGTATGAAATTAATATAGCAACTTGCTATACAATTGCAGCATATTTTTCTCCGCGTGGGCTGCCGCGTCTCGAGTGCTCACGTTCGTCTCCTTGAGGTGTATCCTTAACACTCGTCAACTCTTTCCCTTCCAATTAGATGACACCAACAGAGCCACCTTTACAATGGTGAAACCGAGAAGATCTGTTGGACTCATCTGCTTACATCAGCGTCTGTTGGATAAAACTTGCCATCTTAATCAGCTCGTCTGCCTAGAATATATATAATATATGCCCATCACTCCTATGCTAGCTTTATAGCCATTTATCGTCATCTTTGTCAGTCGCAAGGGCTACTCTTTTAACCGGCCCTACGATTGCTCGTAATCCTCCAAACGTGGAGCGTCAGAAGCTTCAAACATCCGAAAAGATGAAAGCAGCTGTTGCCACTACAGCAAAGACTCCCACTCCCACACCAACTCTTACCACTATGGTAGAGGCGCCAAGCACTAAGATCCGTGTCTCCCCAAAATGCACCTTGTATCGGTTCCCACCCGAGATCAGAAAGGAGTTATTCAAAGCCATTCTCACTCTCTTCTTCCAGGAATTCCCTGAACGACAGGGTATCATCTGCGAAGTCGATAAACGGGGCACACCGTTCCTCAGCCCCGACACACCTAATGGCTTTCATACCTTGCCAGGTCAGAACGAAAAAGTGTATGCTGGACAATATGACAGACTTTTGCCTGGCCTGGAAGTGGCGCTGTTCGCCGATACGAAGCTGCATGACGAATTTATCACTACGAGAATTGAAGAATCTACCTTGATACTGAGACCCAGGGTTATCTCCGATTCAAGGCATAGCCCTGGTAATGGTTTGGTCGTGTGGCCACGAGTTAATGTGGTCTCTTGGCAAGTGAGAAGGTCTGTTCGTTCAGTCACATACGGTCTTGAGTAAGTAAATAGTGGGAATGCACTTTTGTAGACAGGTTAAATACTAACCTCCTCCCACAGTATCGGCCAAACGCACTTGGAATCGGGCTTCCTTTTAGAATGGCCGGTCGACATGTGGCAAAGAATGCAGATGCTCGGGATAGCTCTCGAAAGTTCATTGTACAAGTCACCAGTGGCTTATCATACTCAAGACAGTAAAGACGCTCCCGTAAAGCCTAACTCTGCGTGTGTGCTCCTACCCCTTCTCAACAACATAACCATTCGGTTTCAGGATGCCAGTCGCGAGGGTAGGGCACAGAGCTTCATGATATTCGAGTACGACCGCGAGATGTTCTTCCGCGGCCTCAGTACCGTCATCCGCGATGCGCGAATCAAGTCTTTCCAGTTCGAGGATTTGCGCGATTTCAAGGTCGCCGGTGCCGTGACTAGACTCCATATTAACAATGAGCAGCCGGCGGGACTTATGGGCAAAACTGGTCCACGTTTCGGCAAGTTCAGTACTGAGCTGGACAGGGTGTTTGGTATTGAGCACAAGGACGGCACCGAGATTGACCATGAAGATATTGAAGGAAGAGGCGAAGGATGGGAGATTTACAAGGCGAAGGAGACATGGACTGCAACTGGCGATTACCTGTCTTAGAAGTACTAGAGAAGGAAAATCAAGGATATGCATGCTGCTTTTTTGGTATGCCAAGAGGAGAGGAAAACTCCTTACACTGTCAATCGAGGTATTACTGGTCGAAGCTATTAATGTCTTCGGATCGAGTTCTTTCATGAGACTTTAGAGATGAAATGCAACTTAGGACATCTAGATGTCAACAATGCTAGCAACTGCACACCTTTTCTCTTGCAATGAGAACCTGACATCGACATACGACTTTCGAAAAAAAAAAAAATTAATAGCCCGTCACTTGATAAGGTATTGATACCGTTATGGCTGTTTCACCCCCTTGACATATCAGGGATTTCGCCTTTTCCCAATTTTAGGAAAATCAGCTCGCAGAGCACTTTACTTGAAGAATAATCTCTCTTACAATCTTGTAGTGGTGCTCTTTAAATCAGGTGGGACGAAGAGCTTTGATTACCACCGGTGGACCAGCACGCAAAAGTGTGCGAAAGAAATCTATAGTTCAACGCTAATAGTAGATATAGCAAATCAATCCTAGACCTCCCTAAACCAAATTCCAAGCCACCTACGCTTTCCTCAACAGCCGTTCCATTTCTAAGCAAATCAGGCGCTGGCACTGATGATGCTGTGAGGGTTAGGTATGCGTAGTTCCATCGGGTTTGTCTCCATCAGCCTCCTCGGAATGTGACGATCAACGATCAATGAGCTAGTCAAACTCTTTTGAATGAAAGTACTTGGCTAGGGAAGAAATAGAACAGAATGTGCTGAAATGCTCAAGATTGGGTGCTATTTTGATGACAGTATTGCGCCAATCTAAAACGTGACCTTTTTACCCTTACTCTCCACGATACCACCAGTCAACCGAGGAGCGTAAGCTTCGCGATACTCCACAACCTTGGGCACAAATGCCTTGGCCTTGTCATCTCCAGCATCGTGAGCAGCACCACCATCAGCAGCAGCAGTCCGCTTAGTGCCATCTTTGCCGTATCGCTTCTTGTACCTGACCTGCGCATCTTCCGCAAATTCCATCCTCAAAGGCCGACCCTTGATCCTGTTAACCCAGACCTTTCTCTTCTTCGTCTTCTTCGCCTTCTTAGGCTTGATTTCCTTCTCCTCATCAGAATTTTCGCTGCCGGAATCACTATCCTCCTCAGACTCCGACGCATCAGATTCCTCTTCTTCGACCATGATGAAACCTCGAACGGCGTTCTGTGCAGCCTCCAACTCCTCAAACACAATCCAGCCATATCCTTTACACTTTCCGCTATCCTCAAATGTTGCCAGCTTCACGCTCTCGATAGCCCCACACTTCTCGAAAAACTCCTTGATGCTGTCCTCCGTGACATCAAACGCCAGATTTCCAACAAAAGCTCTCTTACTTGGCGGCTTGCCCTCCATCCTAGTCTGCTCTTTCGTCTTCTCAGGTCTGCCTTCGAATGACTTGTTGTTCTTGATCAGGACCCGTCGTCCACCCAGTAACTGTTCAGACAACTCCATGGCCTCTTCAACAGCTTCCGCAGTCGAGAAATCGACATACGAAAAGCCTATATTATGCTGGACCTTGCCGAATCTCTTCTCTTCGACTTTATTCGCGGATTTCTTGTCATTCGGTCCAGGCATATGAATCCTCGTGATCAACGCCTCTGTGAGATCCGACTTCTCCACAAGGAATGTCCGGAGATCATCTTTTGACACGAAGAACGGCAAATTCCCAATCCAGACTCCATGCTCAGATCTCTTCTCCACTTCTGGCTTTTCCTTCTTGGCCTTTGGTTCTGACGAATCGGCACCTGATTTAGAAGGTGGGAGGGGCTTTCCCTTTTTGAGAGCTCGGAGGGCTTTTTTGGACGGTGGTTCCGGGGCGGTGATATCTACTTCGATTTCGTCGGCGGCGGGGACAGTCTTTCTTTTCTTGGATGGCTTCTCGGAGGTCTCGTCGGCATCTGGACTTGATGGAGGGGCCTCGTCATCTGATATTTCTGGGGACGCCTCAACTTCTGGGATCACCGGCTCCTGTAGCGACTCTGCTTTCCTCTTTTTGCTTGATTTTTCCTTCTTTTCGGTCTTAACCCTTTTCTCCTTCTTCTCCTTCTTTGGCTTGATCAAAGCGGGCTCAATGCTGGCAGGAGCAACCTCGGTGGAGGGGGCCATAGCAACACGTGATCTGAAGTTCCTCTCAATGTGTTCCGGTGATATTTAAAGCTGCGTGAGACTGCACTTGGCAAAAATATTGAGGTAAATCTCCAATCAGGTATCAAAAAGTAGCTTGGGTAGAGTCTCTTTCCGTGGGGTAAAAGCAGAACCAAAAGCTTTAGAGAGTTAATTCTACCGCCCCAATATATCGAAGGAGACGCGACGATCTTGAAATGGTTTTTTTTGGATATGTCTTGACAGAAGTCAGTGGTATGCTGGTGATGGCAGGCAAAAGATAGCTACTGTTGGACGTAGTCGATCTGGATTTTTATCTTGAATATTTCCAAGTCAAAAATAATTATTTTTTACTGATAGCGACGGGGAAGGAAATACTATGTGCCGGGTCTAACCGAATTCGGTATCGGTCCCGCCTGAGAGTGTGCCGCGACGCGGCTCCTGGATGTTGCGATGAGTTGAATATCTGTCAGTCAATGCCGTTTTTGTATTCAAGTACTAAGCCCCCTCGATTTGGTCTTGATATCCGAAGTCATATATCAAAAGTAACATTGCAACCACCACCATGGCGGACACCGAAAGCCCCCTGGCGCGCGACACGATTATGGGTGACGATGGAATTATAGATCAAGAGAAGATACAAGATGCGAAGCCAAAATACAAATCATTCAGGTACGCGCAAATTGGAGAAAGCTGCTGTATCAGCGCAATCCTCAACCTTTCTCAGCTCTCCCAACTACAAGGAACCAAGAGAACACCTCTGACATGCCGTCAAACAGGAAGAAGTTCCGCAAGATGATGCACGTTTTCGATGAGAAGATGCATCACAGCAATTCGTTATACATGCGGGAGCATCAAGCTGAAGTGAAGGCTAAAAAGCTCGCACAAGATAATGAGTAGGAACATTTCCCCCTTCACGAAGAACTGAGCTGACGCTGTGTTCCAGTCGACTCCTAGATCTGCTACTCGATATCAACGACTCAGCACAAATCGCCGCTGACAAACGCTTCGACCTCAGCGCCAGCACACCAGCTCTCTCAGCCGTTCCACCCTTAGTTAGCGACGATGACCTCGCCGCACTCTCAATACTCCAATCCCCCAAGGGCCAACGACTCGCGGAGGAAATCCAGGTCATGGTCAAAGATAAAGAAACTGCGAAACGGCATTCCATACAAAGCGGCCTCAAACCACCAAGACCCCTCTCCCATCTCATGGCCACAGTTCCCCACCTCACAACTGCCAGCCCGAACGTCTCTTCCGACCTCCTATCCTCCCTCGAAACCCCCGAAGGTCATGAAGCGCCGTTCTCCTACCTTACACCCGACCAACTTGATGAATATATAGAAGAAATCGATGCTCAGATCGGGAATGGACCACCTGTGCCACGCAAGAAGGACCAGCCGGATGTTCAGCTCCGAAACCCGAATAGCGCGTATAATTGGTTGCGCAAACACAGACCGGACTGCTTCCTTCAAGATGGCGAAGGTAGCGAGAAAGCACACGGGAAGCCAGGCGCGTTGCGTGGCGCAGGAAAAAGAGCGAGTCTTCCAGTACCAAGTAAGCCCGATGCGCTAGAATTCGTGGAGGAGGATGGGATGGGGTATGATGCTTCGTTAGCGGGGCCTGGCACAGGAGGCAAGGGCAAGCGTAAAAGGGAAGATGGTGATGATGGGGCGTATCATCCGAAGAGTGGAAGGGTTGATGAATCGGGTGCGAAAGTCAAGAAGCCGAGACAGGCGAGAAAGAAGAAGAGTGAAGGGTCTGATGAAGTACCGAATCCTAAGGGATCGAGGAAGAGTAAAAAGGCAAGGGCCTCCAGCTCAGGTATTCCTGAAGAGCCTTCTGAGCTTGCGCCTGCTTAGAAACTCCTAAAATCAGGGTGTACAGTATCACGGGTTGGCGTTGAGGGATTGGCGTTTCTTCACTATTCTTTACCAGCGAGGATGGGCTCACGGATTGAGAACGAATCGGGAAAAGCACGATATGTATAATAGGTGCTGAAATCACAAGCAATATTACAAACTTCCAAGGTGAGGGCAAAATTGGCATTTTAACCTTGTCAATACAACTGTCCAGTCAGCAGTTGAGGCTCAAATCCCCCAGCAGTTATTTTCTTCGTAGTCATCTCCTTACCCACAAGCCGTTTTAGGCGTTGGTTGCCCAAGGTTTCCTACTTGCTAGTGTGCGAGGTTCCGTAGTTTGTCTATTTATTTCATATGTTGATCCAACATAGGTAGTCATGTCGTCGGTTCGAAAGTTGAAGCAAACTTTTCTGATTGTACAAAAGATGCTCATACTCAATTAGTTCAAGTCACATTCAATCACAAGAGGGAAGTTCTGCAAGTTACAGTCTGGCTCGCGTTAAGTAATGCTTTCCTGGACGTCGAATAAATAAAACCAACGCCGAAATAACAATTCTGGCCTCACCCACTATCCCGTGGCCTTGCCGTTCATAAATGTCACCATCAAATAAATCCTCTGCACCTTTCTCCAACTGCTGCGAATTCACATCTTATCATTCCAACCCATTCCCCGTTCCTCAACGACATCACCTTCAGCATCATACCAGATCTCGCATCCACCATAATCCGGGGCCTCTCCTGTCACCATAGTCAGTATCACAGCATGTTCAAAATACGTCGTTTGAAATCTCACCGAACCAACATGAGCTTCTTCACCTCCACCCATCAAGTCCGCCGGTGGTAACTGCATTTCAACTCCATCATCCGAAATCCAGAAGCCAGCTGGACTGGGTCTACCGAACTTGTTTTGCTGTTGTACTTTCTTTCTGAGCTTGGATGTGAAAGTGGAAGAAGAGGGTTTATGCGCAAGTTCAGGGCCCTCGATCTTCCCGTACTCAACGAAAGCAAGTTGACCGTACGACTTTCTCGTTCCAGGTAGCCCAGCATCTCCTCCACCTCGACCTTCATATCCAGGATACGAAACATAGCCACTATTCCATAGCAAAACATTAGCATCGTTCCAGAACTCAAAGGACATTCTCAAAACCAACTTACCTCCCACCCCCCATTTGAGCACGGGCACGAGCATCCCGCAGAACCGGACCAAATCCCCCAGAAACCCTACTACGATCTCTTTTCATCCCACTCGCGATCCCAAAACCTCCCCACGGATCTTGAACAGCAGCGGGCCTGGCATTCGAGCGACGCAGCGAGTCTTCGAAAGCTGCTAGGTTTTTCTTCGTTAAAGGGGAGCGTATGGATTGGTTTGCGTAAATATCTAAGTTTGGATTGATGGCTCTCGGGTTCGAGTTTGGGGTGAGGAGTTTGTGTGGTGATAGGTGCGTGGTATGAGGGGTTTTGGGTGTTTTGGGAGTGTATGGATATAGGTCGTATGGGTTATGTTTGTTTGTGAATTTGCGGGGTGAGGGAGAAGGTGGAGTGATTAATCTTTCTCGTTTCGTGCCTCGTTCACTCGTCAGACCATTTCGTTGAGACTTTTCCTGTGTATGTTTGTCGGTGCCAAAAGCTGGCTTTAGTCCCTGATTGGCTGCCGTAGGATCGCTCAGATCGGTTTGGACTTTAGTTGGTCTTGTCAGTTTCGGATGTTAGGAGGGGTGTGTATAATGGTGTTTACCGAGCTGTTCTCTTTCGATCTGAATGTCGATGTCCATTGCTTGAGCTTCTGCGAGTGCTATAGAAGGACCTGGATTTGAATTTATGTTGTTCGTGAAATGGCACTACTAGTTTGAGCTTTGCCGAAGTGTAAGTTGAGGCAGGCTTCCCAAGTTGAGTGCTTGGAAGGATGGATGAAGTTAGAACAAGTAAATTGGTTTCTTGGGGACTCAAGTAGGGAATACCGGTCTGGTAGTGCTCCCAGACCCCGTTTCATATGAGCTCCGATATTGATGTTGCATCGTTGGTTGTCGGCTAGACATCAATAATAACAGGAGGTGGAGTTGAAAATCATATTGTCCTTCAATAGTGGAGATGTTTCTATTGTGGAGAGGAGTCATTTCTTGATAAAAACATTCACTGTTACTATTTAAGCTATGAGAATTCACCATAATGATTGAGACTTTCAGATCTACCAAATCTGGAAACAGTTACAGGATCAACTTTTCCGTTCTCTGGGCCTAATATGTGCTGCATCCCGCTTACTCTTTGCCAAGTTGTTAATATTTGAAAACACTTTCATCAGAGTACTGAAAAAAGTACATTATGCTTTTCCTCAGTGCTAGCAAACAAAGACGTTATAAAGACAGTGCAAGTGAAATTTGAAATATGCTCTACTTTCCTGCTGAAGTGCTCAAGTAGAGTTATTCACAATCGCTTATCCCTCTCAGTATCACCATGAAGTGCGATACCGATTCAAAGCCACATCAGATCAAGACAAGATATAAAGCCGCCTACTAGAACCTCTCCAATTCCTTAACGTCCATCCTATCCAATCTCTTCCGTGCCCATACTTTGTGTCGTGTCTGGAAGCAGTTAGACGGTACTTGTTATTGGAGGATCATGGCGTACCAATATTTTCTTCCAAGCGCGTATCAGTCAAGACCAGGACGCAAGTAACTGCTCCGACACCATTCGTCCCGGATGACCTTCCGGGTGTTTAGTCCGGTCTATCTCCACTACATGCTCCAAGAGCTCTCTCGCCTCTTCCACCTGCCCATTTTCCATATAAGCACTCCCAAGTTCATGCTGCGAGGCTAACCAATTTGGATCATCCTCTGCTAGCGTTATCTCGCGGATCTTAACCACCTGCTCTAGTAGCGCTATAGCCTCTTCCACTTGCCCATTTCTTATATAAGCACGCCCAAGTATATGCTGCGAGGCTAGCCGATTGGATCATCCTCTGCTAGCGTTATCTCGGTCTTAACCACCTGCTCTAGTAGCGCTATAGCCTCTTCCACTTGCCCATTTTCTATATAAGCACTCCCAAGTGCATGCTGCGAGGTTAGCCGATTTGGATGATCCTCTGCTAGTGTCTCGCAGATTTTAATCATCTGCTCCCCCAGCGCCACGGCCTCCCTGCTCTTCCCTCGAAGACGTAAGTTTTTTGCTTGAAAATCATATAGCAGTAAATATTCCATCGATGGCTTCGCGGGGTTCTGTCTAAGTTCAATAAACATCTCTCTCAAGAGGAGTTCAGCTCTGGAGTCTTGCCGTATAGAATCTAGAATCCAGATGCAATTTATAAGAACTGGGGTAATAATAGCTTTAGACCCGGACCAAAGCGCATTCCGAACCTCCATGTCCAAGTAAGACTGTATGTGTGGCAGAAATATTCTTCCTTGTGTGTGCCATACAGAACCACTAGATCTAGAAAATGCGAGAACACATCCAGCAGTAATCCAAGATTTTTGTTGTTGTTCTGGGCCCTGGCGATCCTTAGCCCAGGCGTATGTCAGTGGGTGCATTGATAGTCCGCCTGCGCCCTCCAGGTCATGCCCAGTGACTAAAGAAAGAGATAAAAGTAGAGAAACAGCCTCTTTGAGACGGTAAGGATCCCATGTTTCGGCATCAGCGATCATAAAATTGGGTAGTTTCGAAACATGACTTCGAGACATGCCATCAATCCTACTAGAATCCTTAATTCGGGTGGCATAAGACCTTGCTTCTTGAAATAGGTCAAGTGGAAGAACGCTAGAAGCTAGCATTGAAAGAATATCGAGCAATTTTAGAGCATCCTCGCTACACTCGCTGTGGGATCGCTTCAAAACATCTGCTGATGCCTCGAAAGTTGCATAGATATCGCAATAGCGCGACTGCGCCTGGTTCGGCCGGTACTCGAGGAGTCGCTTTCGTTGTCGTTGAAACACCTCGGGATATTGATGCAAGTGACAGTGACCTCTCGCAACATACGCCCCGGCTTGGATCAGCGCGAGAGTATGCGACCCTAAAAGCCGGACCACCTCCATAGCTTGACTTTCGTAAGATGGCCACGACTCCTGAGGAAATTCGGAGGCCTTAAGTAAGAGATCCTTGCAATCTTGGTCCTCAAGGCCCTCTAGTGCTTCAAATGCGTTGGGGCTATATCGCCTGCATTCGGCAACACGGGACGTCATAAGAAGAGCGCCATGAGTGCTAGAAGGCAGGTAGACTTGGTAGTCAAAGTCTGTATCGTCTGCATTGTCAAGGATGAGGAGCCAGTTTTGTTTTGTAGTTGCGAGGACCTGAAGAGCTTCCACGAGAGTCTCGGCCGAGCGCCCAAGGGCTTTTGCAATGGCAATAAAGTCACTTTCGGCCGTAGAAGGGTTATCAACATTCACCCAGAATACGCCCCAGAACCTATTATAGTTAGCTAGAGAAGTATACGACGACATATGTTATATAGCAGCAGCGCCTGAAACATACTCTTCCCGCATCAAACTCGCTACCTTCAGACAAATCTCACTCTTTCCTTGTCCTCCTAATCCCGTAATGACAAAACGTCTTTGTTTGCCAGAATCGATGGCTTGGTTATTGCGCAGAGATTCTTGTACCTGGCGTATTAACTTGGTACGTCCGGTAAATAGATTGTTAATAGCACGGGGTACCATCCAGTGTACATTGCCATGCGTAGCACCATTATCTAAAGCAGAGCATTAGCTATATCGGTTTGAAACATAGCTTCATCTACTCGCCTCTTGCACAATGACGGTCAGCTACAATTGAGGCTCCGCCCTGAGCCATTCTTCGAAGCTCGGGTAGAACCAGCGCGAAGTTCTCGTCATCTACTCCACTAAATTTATTGAGACCCGAATGATCTGTGCCAAGGAACATCATTCGCTTCCCGAGCAAAGTAGCTGACTGTGAACTAACTATCTGGAAAATATGTCAGACTAGGGGGGTTGCGGAGAGGGACATATGCGATCAACCTGTTTCTTTATTGGTCCATATTGAGCTCCTTTGCTCTCGTAGAAACAAACTAGATCCCAGTCGCGATGACTCCCCCAGAAGTCTCGCGAGAGTGCATTTAGGCTTGGACTATTCTTTGTTAATAACTTTAATAACGTAGTATCAGTTTTTGACATCCGAGCCAGCCATGTTCCGAGAGACGCTACATCGCTTCCCTGAAAAGGTGCACCAAGGAAGATGATACCGGTTACAGAAAGGCGTAGGTCTGTAAAATCTTTTTGGTGGAAGGCAATGACCAGTGCCTAAATTAATAAGCCAATGAAATATCCATTCATGGAGTTCTGAGAACAGACCTGTTGAATGACAAGACTCCCGAGACTATGGCCGATTAGCACAAGTGGTCTCCGGCGTTCCTATACACATCTATTAGTATTCGTACCGGGTAAACAACTTATCATACCACTCACAATTTCCTGCTGCCGATGTTGGGATAAGATGTTCAAGAACTGCTCAGCACATTGGCGGAGGCTGGTCTTGACGTCTCGATCCCTCCAGTCCGATTTATAGCTATATGTAGCGACCCGTGCTTTCTTGAATTCAGGCACCACTAAGTCCCGGAGCCACATACATTCCGTCGAGATATCTTCTTGGATATTGCCTTGCAGAGATTCGTTTGGTTTTCTGCTTCTCCAGAATCGCGCTTTATCTCTCAATCTCTTTGATTCGTTGCCTGACGATGCTGGCGCCTTCTTGACCCATGTGTAATACGGGTGAGATCCTAGCCCCTGAACTGCGATGATACTACTTGAGATTAGCCGTATTCGAGTAGTAAGGTAGCTAGCTAAGCATACTCAACTTCTGGTGCGGGTCCAGCCTCTTCTGACCAGATGTTCAGGCCGCTGAATTTGACAGTATCTTTAGTGCAGGCCATTGCCACGCGTCTGGTCTTCTGTGTTCGTTGGACTTAAAAGTGAAAGGAATGGCCACGACAAGATGAGGTTTGTAGGTAATATCCAAAGCGTTGCGCTGAGGACGACGTTCAGTTGCGCAATTGCGCTCAGCCTCACAGAGTCACATCGAATGCATGCCCCATCCACCTATTCAGCCTGCTGCACTACCACACAACCAACTGCTGCTTACCTAATATAGGTACATATATGATTGGCAAGATATGCAGATGCCAAATTGGACGAACATGTTTCTTGTCATGTTGTAATTCTCCTCCTGGCTTTAGTGCCATTTTCTCTCCAGTTGATTACAAGTTCCCACGTTTGCTACGCTGAAGATCTGTCGCTGAGGTGCCAATCTATTTGAAATTAAAGAGCAGCCAGGCGGAATAAACAGAACAGACCTGTTGTGGCAGAAACGAGGCTATTCTGAGATGCGATTTTACCTTAATTCGCGGCGACAACAGATATAGAACACACTGCCGCACTCCCTTACTCGTACTAGCTTGTTTTCTCGCTTCTCTGCCGCCTTGGTCGCTTGGTCCAGCTCTCAGTACTACTCAAGATGGCAAGACAGGTCAGTTGTAGCCTACCTAGGTATATTTCCTTGGTTTGTTCACCCTGAGTAATGAACATCGTATAGATGGTTCCCCCTTTCCCTGCAGATACCAAATTCGTCAAATTCAGACGGCCCGCACCAACGGTATACCATGATCGACACGGCAACCTCGTACGCTGTGGCAGCGACCCTGCACCTTTCTTGAAGATGGATATGGATGTTCCGAGACTCAATGAAATCCAACAGTACTTGTGGCTTGCGGGAAGGCCAACAGCCGCTCGACCTTTGCACCGACAAAAGATGATAGAGCGCCAAATCTTTATTACCGAACAGGCCGACTTACATATGGTATGGCACGAGTCACGAATCTTTCTAAAGCCTCTGCCAGATTATATCTTCGACTATGATGTTTGGAAAAGCACGATTTGCAACGATGCTGCCTTGCATGCTAGCTCCTGCGGCTTCTTACTATCATACGTCTGGCTTTTACGTCACCCCAGCGACCTCAAAATCGCTTTGGAACTTGGGCTGATTTCCTCAAAGATCAACTGGGAGGAATGGACTCTTTTTGTTGACACGTTCCTCTCAAATATCGACCACGAAGCTTTGGATACCGTCAGTAAGCGCTATCATTATGGGGAGCTACGATGGAGCAGGCTGAACACCATATATCGACTCCTCCATATCCTCGAGCCAAGACGATTCATGCTAGGTTACATGCAGGGGTATAACCGCTATACCGTTTTCTTTGAACGCAATTTTGGATGGGTGGTAATTATCTTATTGTATACGACTGTTATTCTTTCCGCGATGCAAGTTGGCCTTGGAACAACAAAACTACAACAGGACAAAAGGTTTCAACAGGCATCATATGGGTTTGCAGTCTCCTCACTAGTGTTACTAGTAATTGTTGTGTTTGTGAAGGTATTACTATTCTCATGGTTTTTCATTTTCAATTTGATAGCGACTAAAGCGTTCTTAAATAGACGAAGGCAACAGAAGCGAGCATTAACTCAGTTTAAAACTGCTCAAGTGCCGTAGTTTACTTGTCTCTATAGTTCTTGGGGTATAACATTTCAAAGGCTGCAATTTTACTGTTCTACTTATCCATATAACTTATCATAGTGTTTATCTCTAGTTCGGCGTATCTAAGATGAAACATTATGAATATGGTCATACAACTACTGAAAGATTACAACAACATGTATACTAACATCAGACTCCCTCAGCACACACAAGAATCCGCTTCCTTTCCCCCACATCACGTCCACCCCTGGCCCGCACGGATAGGGGCCTCGCTTCCGCTTACAGCCCCTATCCAACATCACATCAGAGCGGCAGCGCACCCGCTCTCCGCTCCCGCCCGCTCCGATGTTCTCCACTTCAGAACTCCCACAACCATTACCCCTTGTACGGCCATTTGATATCCAATTATTTGTTACAGATGCTGCGAGATGGGGTATGTGGCGTGCCTCTTTAGGGGTTGCTTGATAATGCCTCCATACTAAGTCTGTTCCAAATTTCTATAAGTAGGGCTTTTCCTCGATACTCGTTAGGATTTTTCTTTCATTATCTACAAACAGTTTTGATTAAGATATCACTTTATTTCACTTGACTCTACTTCACTCCCAAGCTCTTGCATATCAAACAGCACTTCATCAAAATCATCTCATCATGCCCATCCAAGCCAAGCACCTCACCCCTTACCCCCGCCTAGACCCAACCCACCTCAAGTCCGAATTCGTCGGGAAAACCATCCTCATCACAGGCGGTGGGTACGGCATAGGCGCCAGCATCGCCACCTCATTCGCAACCGCCGGCGCCTCCCACCTCATCCTTGCCGGACGCACCTCATCCAAACTCAGCACCACAGCCTCCTCACTCACAAGCACATTCCCAAACCTCAAAGTCAGCACCTTCACCGTGGACATCTCCTCCAAAACCGACGTCGCAGCGCTCTTCGCGTCCCTGGAAACAAGCCCAGATGTGCTCGTGAACAACGCCGGGTACATGTCCAAGGTCGACAAGTTCGGGGATGCGGAGCTGGGGGAGTGGTGGAAGGCGTTTGAGATAAACGTATTCGGGACCGCGCTGGTTACGCAGTCGTTCTTGAAGCATCGCCAGGGCTTGAGCGATAGTGCGACTCCTGCTCTTGCACTTGCTCCAGCGGTAGTCATCACGATTAACACGCAGGGCGCGTACTCGCAGCCCTTCCGGGCGTCAGGCCTCTCGTCCTACATGGCTAGCAAAGCAGCCTTGCTGCGATTGTGCGAGACGTTGCAGGATGATGTGCCGGCGAGCGTGGCGCGCTTCGTGTCGCTGCATCCGGGCGGGGTGCACACGGAGATGGCGGCGAGGAGCGGGATTGTGGCGTCCGAGGACTTCCCGTTTACGGATGCAAGGTTGACGGCGGAGTTTGTGGTTTGGGTTGCGAGCGAGGAGGCGGGGTTTCTGGCGGGCAGGTTTGTGTGGGTTAATTGGGATGTGGATGAGTTGATTGCGGCGAAGGAGGAGATTCTTGAGAGGGATTTGTTTAGAACGGCAGTGAGTGATTTGGCGTAGATGGTGAGTAGCGTAGTGTATTGTGAGGAAAGACTTGGGGGAAGGCGTGCGTTGAAAAGGGGGATTTATTTTGAAGTGGGTACTTTACTTAGGTAGTAGTAGCCTTGAGACGCGGCCTTTGAAGTTTAAGATGGATATATATTATTCTTCTAGTGATTTCAGCGACCCATCAGCCTCCAGATGCCGAATATACTCCCCTTCAATATATTAGCTGAATATCAATGCTCGACAAAGTAGAAAAAGCACTTACCAGCAACCCTCCAAGTCCTTTCAATGCCTCTCAACCTCCCCACAACAGCCCTCAAGCCCGCCACCTCTTCAACATTACCCTTCTCCCTAATAAACCACGCAAACACAGCCGAAGCCTGATACAAACAGTGACACAGAAACGGATTCTCCACAAGGCCCCCATCATCATCTAGAAAGTTGAATACTTCCCTCGTAACATTTCTATACCCATCAATCGAAGCCTTTTGCATATCTTCTTCCTCCGACATTCTGATCCCCAGTGCAGAAAATTGATTATTGCATGCATACATATCATAAAGCACAAGACGCGCAGAATAGCAAAGCGCTATTGCGACCACCATGCTGCCATCCTGTGCCTCATGATCGACATATGTAGACAGCGCTAAGAGGGTTTGATGTAACTGACGTGCTTCGGAAAGTCTAAAGTGAGGGTCTGTGGTCGCTTTGTTAGGATCATCGCGGTGCCGCAGCACAAGACCTAGGACGTGTGATGCTTGGCAAGCACTTGCAAAGGACCCCACTTCAATTGTGCAGGTGAAGGAGGATGCGAAGAGTGGTTGATTTGTGCCGATTTCACCACTGTTCCAGATGGATTCCGTGCACGGGAGAAGGGTGCCTTTGAGAGGTTCCGAAACGTTAAGCGGGAGGCCGTGGACGCCTAGGTTTGCGTATCTATACGTGAGGAATGCTTTAGTATTTGTATATTCAGGAACTTGGATAGACATACCGGTCAAGGATAACAATAGCCCACCAAGCCCTCCTCTCCTCTTCACGATAAGTCCAAGTCTCAGGGTCCATGAAAAGCTGTGCTGCGTACTTGCAATGGAAACCCATCATGATCCCCAGCCTGGCAGCATGACTAATGCTCAAATACGAAGCAGGATATATCGCGTGCCCAATCTCATAGACAGCTATCAGAATAGCAGATTGAAGCAGCTGGAGCGATATCAGGCCAGCATGTTCCAGCCGGGAAAGAGACCCCTTCGCCAAACAATACAGCGCTGAAAGTGCAGGGTGTTCGAGCTCAGATGGAAGCTGAGAGACAAGCTTCATGCAGAGGAGCAAAATCGCTAGTCCCGCGTCTGTAGCTGCGTTGAACTTATCTACTTTCTCTGATACCCTCTTTCGGCTGAGAATTGGTAGCCAGGTATGGGTGCGCGACCAATAAGTGCTACACAAAGATTGCAAAGGCGAACTAGAGATCAGCACATCCATAATCCCCACCGGAACCGGCAAATCAGGAAGCAGCTGATCCGCACTTATAGGACGATGCGCTTTTGAATCCAGAAAAAAGGTCGTTGGAAACAAAGTATGCGAGCGAGAAGCATTTGACGGTAATCCCGCAACGGGTATCAAGAACCCTGCCTGTGGTTTGAAATTCACCCCAACATTGCCATTGCCATTGCTACTGCTTGATTGTGTCTGTGTTTGGTTCTTGAGCAATTGTTCCAGTAATTCAACTCTCTGTGAAAGGGATTCAGGTGAGTCCTTTTCCGCACGATTGGAGGAGGGTTTTGGCGGGCTGGAATATGTACATGGTTTGCCTAATCGAGTACACTATTTGGTATAGTAGTTAGGTTTGGAAGACTTTATTTCTTGCATTTGCATTAGACTTGCCAAGGAACATATAGGTAGTTCTTTTGTACATTTCCGTTTCAGTTTCCTGCGTAAATATTAATTATATTTTGCTCTCATTGGATTGGGGGCTTTAATTTGCAGGCATATGTACCTGCATGGCAAGCATGCCTGAGTTGCTTGTCGCGTGGACATGTCTAATCTAGAGATGGTATAAAGGGGCCTCGTCTTGCCTTGCCTTGCTATGATATAAAGCTAAGAGTGAAGCAGCGTTAAACACCCGAGACACCTTAATCCCAAAATCAATGCCCGCAGCGGCATTAGCGGAGACAGTCTCTTGTGGGAAATAATCGGCCGAATTTGGTACACGGGCCACCACCCAAATTTAGCCTTGTTTACCTGTCGTTTTTCCATCCAGCGCGCTTCTACATTAAAATATCATATTATTACATTCCTTACTTCTTATTATGACTAGAACTGGCAGTCGTAAGCCTCGTAGGTCTTATGCGCGCATTTAGACCCCTTCTCCTAGTCTTTATAAGGAGGAGAGAAAGAAATGCAATACCCTACATCGCGCTAGCGTCTTGACAGCTAAAGATATTAGCCAAATCACAAATATTCGCATCCCTTAGGAAGTTATCCGCGAAGCTATAGGCGTAGCTAAATAAGATTAAAGGCGCATCCTTAAATCAAAAGAGCTCTAGAGCTATTGTAATAATTGTTGGAAATACAGCCTTTGCAGTGTGGGGTGACGCGGCCGCTAGGGCTCATATACAAGGATATAATATCTTCGTCTTCCTTTAGATAGTAGCTTTCCTCTTTCAAATACTCCCTACCTTATATTCCTCTGTAGCCTGTATGTTCTTCTAGACGTAATGCTTCTAGAAGGCATATAGTTTTAATAGGTTCTAAGCTCTACTTTATAAAAACAAAGGCTTTTAGTTCTATCTGATTAATCCTGTTATTATAATATTTTTTGCCCTGATTTTTAATGCAATAGAACCTCTAGTTTATAAAATTAAATTATATACATAAGTATACTGAAGCTATTCGATCCGCCAGTTATTATAGGTGAGATAGGACATGGTGACTAGTGGGGGAGGGGTGGGGGGGTAGGAAGCTAGGACAATGGTACCGAGGTTCTCTACCTTTCAGTCTATGCTTGATTCATTCCGGACTACCCATAGGATGAGAATCAATTGAATAGTCTGCAGTTCTAAAATGAGCGCGAGACTGCAGATGTAAGGGCTGAACTAGGAATAACAGCCCGTTCAAAAGTCCGTCCTAGTTCAACTACTAAAGTCTTTGCATATCCGAGATTGCTGAAGAAAAGCCCCCAGAAATATCACCTCACGTACTTAAATTGCTCATCCCAAATGACTGGCCCGTATGTGGTCCATCATTCTTGTCTCTTCGAGTCCGTTTTGAAGAAGAAGCACCTGCTGGGGCGACCTTACGCTTGCTTGTAATCCGATCATCTTCTTGGGTAACAATTTCGGCGAATGTAGATTTAAGAATAGGATGAAGTTCTTTTGCTGCATAGTCGGTCATGATGGCTTTGATAAGCAGGCATGCTTGATCTTTAGTATATCGGTCCAAAGGCCTAAACTCGTCAAATTGAAAGCAGAGAGCTCCTCCTCCAGTAGGTAGCTTAGCAGCACGATGTACACGAACACCAAGATCTTGGGCGTTAAAAACTACCGAAAATACCCGAACCTTTTCCAGAAATGTATCTTCTTTGTTAGAACGTACCATCCAGTTGTAAATGTTGTATAAAGCTTGGCTGGCACTATGCAGATTGGCAGTATAGGCATCCTGAAGATCTGCTCCAGCCTTTTTAACCTCAAAGAAAATGAATGGGAAACATCGATTACCGCCGTCTGGGGATAAGCACTTTGTGAGATCTGGCGGAATTGGATCCGATTCATCTTCTGCGACAGTGAAAGAACTTAGTGTAAAGCTGATGGCAAGGTCTGGCTTAGGTTGTGAGATGTCGTCATCTTCACGGGATGGCAGACGTGTGTCTTTTGGCTGGGACCATTGCCCTTCGGTGTTCCAATCGAAAATGTGGTCCAGCCAATATTGATTGATAATGTGTATCATAATAGTCCTTTGGAGGACGGCTTCGTTCCTCGCCAAGCATCGCCTTAAATCTGCATCGAAATAGCGACGGTTCACAATCGGGTAACTGATCTTTGATTTTCCCTTATCAAAAGCAAAAGAAAAGTCGTCGATGTACATATAACAGCTATCATCCGGATGGTCGGCTATCTGTTGGAGGAAATGAGCGGCGACGGATCGTAAGCCTTCAATGTCTTTCAACTGCCGTTCTGGAAGCTCTGTGGTGAGAATCGAATTCAGGTGCTGGATTCTGCTATCTGGTTTAGGATCCCTTAAAATTCGACGTACTCGAAGTTTCTCTAATGAAACTTTGATGCTTCCGGACCTTCTCCCTTTTTGCGTCGTAGATCCGTCTTCTCTTGATGTTGAGCTTGAATCCATATTGACCTCTGAGCTATCTTCAATATCCAGGATAGGGTCTGTACACGACGCTGGCTCTTGACGCAAGACTTCGGGAGAGACGGGTTCGACCCGACTTAGCCAATTAGCCAACACAGGGTCCTATTCGCTTTAGAGGCTGATCAAACTGTATGTCTAGACTATATCTAGATCTAAGTGGAGCTCTTACTTGCTGTTGTTCTGTTTCACTTGTTTGTCTAGTTGTTATCTTGTTTTGGTCTTCTCGACCCTTTCTTGACGACTTCCTTCTCTTGACCGGTGCTTTTGCTGTTTTATTGGCAACTCGTTTTGCTGGCGGTGCCTTTTTTATCGACGGCCTCCGATTTCGTGGTATAGCCCTTGTTGATACTTGAGGGTGATCTTGCTGTAGTTGAGGCAGTCGATTGCTGAGCTCTCCGGGCTGAAGCCCCCGCTGGTGTGACGGACGTTGATGAGTCGTGTTGACCGGTTGTCCGACTGTTTCTTTCCTCCTGCTTTCATCCTCTTGCTTTACCCAAGCTCTTGTTCGTGGGCGTTGATAAGCGTTAGAGGTGTTGTCGAGCTATAAAATGAACACTTTAGCAAAAGTCCGCAAGTATATCGCGATCTATCACACCTGGTTATTGTTTATCGCTGTAACACCTTCTACAGTAGTCTTTCTCCCTCTTGCACGCCTTTCTTTCGGCATAGGAAATGAGATACCTAGCGTCAAGTCGATTGATGATTGAATTGAACAGTAGAACAACAGTAGGATGATTTGCTAATAGCGGATATATAGCAATCGAAGCCCATGGGATGCCGAGGCGAGGCAGATGTAAGGGTGTAGCGCTTCTGATCTCCACTGGGTGTCCAATATTTGGGTTGCATCCTTATAATATGGCGTGCTTGTCTTATCATTAAATGCGTGCCAGCTGTAATATTTCCGAGGCAATCGCCACGCGGCTTAAAGGATAGGTTCTGTTTGGGTTTGAATCGGTTTTCTCTCATTAATCCTTATGTGCATGCTTTCTGTACGGGACTTGTAAAGGATATAGCAGAATATACGATTTGATGGTCGATCGGGACTAGAGTCTCCATGCGCGCTTTGACCAGCCGGTCCGAGCCCGTAAAACGACCCCCACAAACTAACCTTTGCATGATTGGATCCACCCAGCATAAATGGCTGTCTAATAGTCGTATGTTCTACACATCTCGCCCATTACAGTACGCACCCAAAATGGGAAATTATGATTGGTCAATACTACTGACTGAAGTTTTGTTTCCGGTAACCTGCCAGACACTCCAACTTTACACCCATCAATATTGGCGTCTCGATGGCCTCAAGCCGTATTCCTATGAGCTGTGCATCTTCTAAGGCAGCCGCAACTTACATACCAAATAAAACTGATGCCTACTACTTGAACGGGTTGGCGACTTGGGTATTTTGTCTAGCCAACGTAACAGTGGACAGGGACCTAGAAGACATCTCGGATAGGTGGCTACACCCTCTGGCTCTATCTCCATTAATGGCCAATAACACAAATAACACTACATATCCCTTCTACTCACCTCAGCTTTCCTCTACTAGTCTTAAGAATGCTCGATAAGGTCGGCTTTGCCATCTCATTTCCTTCCCATGTGTATTTCTTAAAGCGGCAGTTAGTAGTCCCATTTTTGATGTTCAATTTGGAAGAGAGAGGTTTGAAATGCAAAATGAAGGCAAAGGGAGAACTGGTGCGCAGCTTTATTGTTATACGGACAAAAGAATACCAAATCATTGGTTATGACATTTGCTTCCGGCCTGCACCTGCGTTAGCCTCATGGAATAATTCTTCCCCTCAATACAAGCTCCGTATATTGGGGAAGTGTGAGGAAAAGGGGAAGTTCAAGGACAATTGCGGGGTAAATAAATTGATCCCAGGTGAGGAAAGTACATATTTTTGGAATGTGCAATTCACAAAATGGGTCACCTGATCGAGACCCTTGACATGGTCCCTCCTTATGGAGTACTCCTCTGCTTAGAACCGCTTCGGAGTCATTTCTGCTTGGAGAAGGGCATCCTGCTTATCGCGTGGACATGTCTAATCTAAGATAGCACAAAGGGACCTCGTCTTGCCTTGCCATGCTATGATATGAAGCTAAGAGTGAAGCAGCGTTAAACAATCCCAAAATCAATCCGCTTCCGATCCACTTGGATGGATCTGATAATCAAGCATTGCAACAACGAGAAGCATGAAATGTGACTAATAAGTTTCTTGCTTATTGATGTAATATTCTCTAGAGCGGATTGTGGATTAGGAGTTTATTTGCAGAAAGACTTAGGACTTGGGACTACTGCGATCACTTGAAGTCAACTGCTGCGCTGAACACAGTTTATGTAGATTTAGTTCTCATTGAAAGAGCTGATGCAATGCAACGCCAGGACGGTCTATTGCCAATGCTACCTGTCTGATGCATCTATATGCAGAATTCAACGCGACCAATATGCGAGCAAACATAACGTCAATATGGCAAAACCTATCAAGTCATTTTATCCTTGGACCAGCCTAAATATCCACCTAAAGCTTCTGCTTCAACAAAGTCTTCATCCTCCTCTCCACAGCATTCAAGTACTCAGTTGTAGTAACATAATCCTCGCGTCCGGTCTTCCCACACGCGAGCGCCAAGTCCTTGGTCATAATGCCATCCTCATCAACAGTATCTATACACGCCTTCTCTAGACTCTCGGCGAATGCTACGACATCAGGCGTCTCGTCAAGGGTGCCTCGTTGTACGAGCCCACGGGTCCAGGCGAAGATGGAGGCGATGGGGTTGGTGGATGTCTCGTTGCCTTTTTGGTGCTCGCGGTAGTGGCGCGTGACGGTGCCGTGGGCGGCTTCGGATTCGAAAGTCTTGCCATCAGGTGTGATGAGGACGGATGTCATGAGGCCGAGGGAGCCGAAACCTTGAGCTACGATGTCGGATTGCACGTCTCCGTCGTAGTCTGTATCCTGATTAGCATTGTTCCCTTACTGCAGGATAGAAATAGGGTTGGGAAAAGAGGGGCATACTCTTCAAAGCCATAATGTAACCCCCAGAGCTCTTCATCATCTGCGCAACCATATCATCAATAAGACGATGCTCATACCAGATCTTCTTGCTCTCAAACTCGCTCTTATAATCCTTCTCATACACCTCCTGGAAAATATCCTTGAACCGCCCATCATACTTCTTCAGAATCGTGTTCTTGGTGCTCATATACAGCGGCAGGCTCTTGCTTATGGCGAGCTTGAAACTAGCATGTGCGAACCCAGTGATACTCTCATCTGTATTGTATTGAGTCTGCGCAACGCCGCCACCGTTCTTGAACTGGTAAACCTCAATTTCCTCAGGCTTGCCTCCCTCGGGCGTGAAGACCATGGAGAGCTTGCCATTTCCCGTAATCACTTTGTCTTTCGCGCGGTATTGATCTCCGAATGCGTGGCGTCCGATGATGATGGGCTTCTTCCAGCCGGGTACGAGACGTGGGATTCGGGGAATAACGATGGGTTCTCTGAAGACTGTGCCTCCAAGAGCATTTCTGATTGTGCCGTTTGGAGATAACCACACTATTCGCAAATATTAGCAATTTGTTTTACCCCGCATATTCCAAGGGAGGGAGAGACGAACTCTGCTTGAGCTTGAACTCCTCTACTCGCGCCTCATCAGGCGTAATAGTCGCGCACTTGACACCAACGCTGTATTTTTTAATGGCCTCGGCAGAATCAATTGTGACCTGATCGTTGGTCTCGTCTCTGTATTCGAGTCCCAAATCGTAGTACTTTAGGTCGATATCCAGGTACGGGTGGATGAATTTGTCCTTGATATCCTTCCAGATGATCCTCGTCATCTCGTCGCCATCGAGTTCGACCACCGGGTTCTTGACCTTGATTTTCTGGAAGCTGGCCATGGTGCGTCTGACTTGTGTAAAGCTGGCAGTGTTTCTCGCTGCGAAGGATAGAGAGGGGGAGGGGTGGAGGAGTGTTCGAGCCAGGGAGGACGAGAAGCGTTGGGCGTTCATGATCTCGGAGTGAATAGGACTGCCGCGCGCAGAACCCGATACCGTTGATAGGCAAGTTGCTGGTTTTCCGGTATAGGACTGATTCTACTCGTACGACCGAGGGTGTTGATATGTGGAGATCCGCGAGCAGCCGTCCGTTAGCTGGGGAAAAACCGGGGGCACAGAAGCAGAAGGAGGGTGGCAGAGCTCGTGGGTGGCTCGAAGATTGCAGGACGACGCTCAATTCAGCCGACAAGTCAATGGTTGCATGTAAAAGGAAGGTGGACGCCATTTTCGAAGTTTTCTTTTTAAGCTCCCATACTTAAATTCCCTGTCCCCGCCAAATTCGCAGAATTCCAGGATCGCCCGAAATTAGAGCGATTTCTGTAAAGCCCCGCAGTGGGCCTATCCGACAACGGAGATCTTTATTGTTATCTATATCCTCAATTACCTAGGTAATACAGTAGGTATATATGAATTAATTATTTTTATATATTCATCCAAAGTTCCAAACATATCTTCCATCCCGAAGGGGCTTTTATTCGTCATCATCTCACTTGTTTCTCACAATGTAAGTTTGTTAGTCTGTACACTGTGTTAAGAACATAAAAAGTAGACCTACGGAAGCGGGATTCTCTTCCAGAGCTTTTACGGATCTTGGCCACTTTTCCAGTGTGATAATGGATGTAGCATCTATTTCGTCAGATAACAATAATAAAAATATCTGTTGAAACAGCCAAGAAAGACCATATTCTTCTTTCCATCCCATCCCATTCCATCCCACCCCTGCTGAAAATGCCCGAAAATCAAAGCCACCCAACAATCTATCATACCTTGAGCCAAAGTAATAAAACAAGGATATGAATAAGAAGACAGCCGTGACAGCCATAAGTGTCGAATAAGAAAATAGATGATGCTTATTTTGATGAGACCAGAAGACCGTTATAAGGAACATCGATGAGGACTATGATGTTGCACGAGCCGTGAAGATGGTGTGAATAAACTTCTCCATATAATAAGCCAGTGCGCCTGGTAATGAAACGCCGCCGAACCAAACGCCCCATAACAGTGTACAAAAAACATGAGCCTGAAACTTTCGAGGAAAGGTTATTGAAATCATTCCTGAAGTGCCGTAAAATGAGACCCAAACTCCGAGTGAAGATTATAGAAGAGCGGAACTTGAAAAATGAGCAGAAGAAACGAAGAGAGAGGAACAAAGAGACCAAAACCATGTCCTTCAAGGTAGCGACTTCCCATAAAAATAGGGAAACAAAACTATGCCCAACCCCTACTGGGATATGGTGGGTGGGCAAGAAACGAATGAAACTTTTCGCAGCAGCCCATCTGTGAACACCGTTCAATCTTAACGCCAATCCCATAATAAATCCTCTCCCAACGCCGGACGCCGACCATGCTCTCTTGCCACCCATAAATGATACCCATGCCGTTTCGTCGTGATTTTTGTCTGCCGTTGCGTCGTACCTTGATTTTGTAGCCGCTAGCCGCTACTGCCAGCTCGAGGATTGGGAATCCCACTCAGACCCCGCCTTATCATTCCTCGAGGAGAAGCTCACACTCGCCGCCACATAAGAGCTGGAACTGCCATAAGACGGCACCGAAGTGCTTGTGCAATAGAGACACTCCTTCCATCCATTTCCAAGATCAACATACCCGTTCCCATCGCAGACCCTACATTCTGAATACGGTTGCGTTGGAGCCTCGACCTCCACCTTATCCTCATACTTGGCCTCCTCGTTGCCCTCCAACCCCTTCGTGCGCGCAACTCTACGCTCCTCATCGCATTCCACTTTGCAAGTTGAGCACTTCCACCCATTCTTGCTAACGTTGATGCGTATGAGGCATTTTGAGCAGCGCCACCAACGTTCGTTGACACGGCGTTCACGACGCCAGGCTTCCTTGTCGACGCCCTTCTTGCTGACGCTGGGCCGACTCATATCCTCTTTGTGGAAGTCGCGAAGGTGGTCGCGGTAGTGGTCTTTGCGACCAAAGGGATCCTTTGCGCGCGTGCAGTTCTGGTAGTCGCAGGGTATGGATTCTTTCTCTCGAGCATGGATGCGGGTGTAGTGTCTGATGAGGTCGGCCCAACGAGCGAAAACGGGCCGAGTACCACCTTTCTTTTCCCAGCAGGCCTTTCCAGGGAACTGACATGGGTGGCGGTTTTTCTGGGGATTACTAGAGATAGAAGTGCTTGTTAGTAGATGGTCAATGATGACGTTGAAATAGTAGCGGGGCATATAACGTACGGTTCTCTGTCTAGATACACGATTCTAGGAGTGTATGAGGTTTCGGGAAAGTCCTCGCGTAAAACGAGGTAAGGCTCTTTTGATTTAGACTCTTTTGTTGGTAGTTCTAGGTCATAGTAATTTCTAATCTCCCAGTTTCCTTCCCATCCAAGACTGGTGGGCGTAGGTCGCACATTTGTTGGACTCACAATTTGACTCTGTTGGGAATAACTTTCTGTTGGATAGCCAGACACGTTGTTGGGCGAGGTTGTTTCAAGTGAAAAGTCAGAATTGTAACTTTGATCGTAGTAGTCAGATGTAATAGCTGTGTTATCGAACCCTCCAGGGGATCCCATAATAAGAGATGGAGAGATAGAGTACACAGTCTCATTAGAGTTGTAGCTGTTGGACGAATCAGACGATTGGTGGGAGTGACTATTTATCATTGGGACATTTTCATATCCTTCGAAATGTGCCGCACTTTGTGCTGAATCGCGTCGCATGATTGACTTTTGAGATCTCTCGGCTTCGAGCACGATGATGATAATTAGACAACTGCTGTTGTCCTTTGAAGGTTCTGTGATACCCTTTGAAGAAGATTAGTCCAAATGGACCGAGCGAACTATGTACTCGGAAACACTTGGCTAAGTGTTTGGGGTTACTGGAATAACAAAACCAAAACTGCTTACCCGTCAACAAGTAATACAAAAGAGATTAATCGGTCTGAATGAATGTATAAATTGTGATCTTGTAGATAGAAGGTAATTGACGAGAATGGTGATTATTGTTTGGGGCATATCTTGTTAAATGGGAGGCCTCTGTTGATGAGGCTCTCTAACGATGCAGCCAGTCACCTGTGCATGTTTATAATTCCACGTGCAAGGTAGACGCAAAGAGCACGTTGAATTTGTAGTTTAATAAGGCGTACAATGAGTGGGACCACAAGAGAAGAACACGTTGCTTCCATGCATCTGAATTCGAGAAAGGTGCGAGCCTTGAGTTGAAGGATTCGTTAGGAGAAGGGTTTCCCCTTAGCCCCATATGCAGATCTGTAATGGAAATAAAATACCACAGCTTTCCTCATACGCTCACCGACGGAAAGGTATATATGGACCCTAGAAGCGAAGCTCTGTGAGTCGTCGAGTCGATATGTATTCTTGGAGGAAATCGGCGAAGCTCAAGGGATCAGGGTAGGTTCGAAAATGCTGCCTTAGAGCCTTCTTCCTGTGTAACCAGCGGGAAGGGGGAAAAGCCTCAAAGACTGGTCAAAGGCACGGCATCCACAGCCTTACTGGGGCTTGCGGAAGCTTCTACTGATCGTTAACGTGGCGAGGCATATTTGAAGGCCTTTTCTCCGTGCAGTGAAAGCTCGATCGATGGAATGAGCTTCAACCAAACAGCGGCACGAAGGCAACGACTTAGCCTTGGGCGCGAACCATCCGGGCAACTGAACCCCTCATCTCAAATTCTCGGTCACAGCAATTGGTAAAACAGGGCGACGGTGTGCTGTTTCTGTTGGGTCGTAATAGATAGAAGATCTCGGTTTGGATTTGCGAAAGAGGGGGAATATTTTATTGATGCCCAACTCTTGCTGCCACGTCTTGTTGATGCAAGAATAGAAGGGCCAGGGCCAGCGCATGGTGTTGAGGGGTAAGTAATAGGACGAAGAAGGTGATAACGAGTGTCCATTCTCAAAGGTGCAAAGTATTAGGCAGCCGTTGATGTAGTTCGCCCTGATTTTGCCTTGTCGAGCCTCGTCGCCGCTTTGAAGGGCAAAACTTGCTGTTTTTAAAGACGGGGCTGTCAAGTGAACAAGTGAACACTAGAGTAAGGAAATCTTCGAGGAGGAATCCTGCCGCACGGAGCTCCATACGAAAGCCATCGAGAGTGTCACCTCAGATGGATTTATATGGCGCATGTGGAGGGTGGTGAAGGCTGAGTGGGATTTTCGGGTCAAAGGAGCTTGGCGTGGTGAGATCAAAGTTCCATCGTGGGATTGTTTATGGATGGGTAAATAGCACTATTGTAGAACAATCAGCTTTAATACTCGTTGAAACTTCAAGTAGCGGAACAGGAAGATCTTTAAAAGGGTAGTCGCTCTGATAGCAGAAACTGTTAATTGAGGAAAGAACGAATATAGTAGTTGCTTGCGTTTTTTAAGTGGAGCAGCTTCTCTCTCAGGCTTCAACGATTGCATTGAGAAGTGCCTATGTGACAGTAACGTGCCTGTTATAGGTACGCTTGCTCAGCTTGACCAAGACAAACGGTGAAACTTGTAGACAAGGACTGCATCCTATGCAAAGAACCAGGAAAGGCCATAGTCTTATACTTTGCCTTGTACCCCTTAATGTTGGCGAACCGTACATGGAAACAGAATGTTAGGCACTGTTGGGCAGAGATACAGACAACCGCCACCCAGATGAGGGCTGCATCTTCCAAGCGATTCATATAATTCGACATCTGGTCCTTTGGAATTTCAGCCCTGAATATGTGTTGTCGTCTCCAGCTGTCGCATTCCTCACCACTACCAATCTACTGGATATCGGTCTCGGAATCTAACGTGCTACAGTGTGCGTGGATATAGCCGGAGTCTAGATATATCAGTTATCAATTGACTTTTTCGTCTTCTGCCTCTTCGTTGGATTTGTTATCACTAATTTTGCGCTACTCATGATCCTGCCGCTGAAGAGGGGCGACCGACGATAGAACGAGACGAATTTGAGACTATAGCCTCAATTTGGCATATCCAGAAGACCTTTGCTTGGTATCACAGGAGAGTCGCAGGGTATCTGATATGTCAAAAAAGTAAGGTCATCGGGCCCAGATGAGCCGACTTGTTTGCTAATTAAGACGTGCTAATGTCATTTATCTCAGCGCTAGACCCCGTCCGAGAGACATGCCATGCCATGCGCCATCCTGTTCGAACACGAACATTGTTCCATAGACGCCTTATCAATAACTTATACATCGTCCTCCAAGAATTTGTATGCGAACTTGAAATCCGCCTTTCTTCGGTTCATCCTAAAAGAAGGATATTAGTGGGTTTTCTATGGATATTGCGGAAGAAATTCATAGTGTGATGAATCGCTAGAAAAATGAGGAACTTACCATGTGCTCTCGTAATCAAAGAAACGATATGTTCCTTGCTCGAACTCCTCCGTGATTGTTTTCGGCTCCTCATGCCTCTGGAACCAGGTTTGATATTGCTTATGGAATCTCCAACTTTGATCCTTGAGTGCCTTGGCTGCCAGGTACTGTTGATAAGTCCCTTGTTTATAGTAAAAGACGTAGAAAAGCGTATCTGGATCTATGCGGGAATACAGTCGAGGATCATCGAAGACCGGATCCAATTCTTGAGGGTAGTACGAAGGCGTAGTGATCCGATCGTCCTGCTTGTAGTTCTTAGGTGCGCCAACGTCACCCATATCTGGGATGTTGGCTAGTGACGATGCAAACATCCTTTGAGTTGCAGGCGAGTTCGGCGATGTGACGCGCTTCTCTGTGGACTCGAGAGATTGCATGAGATCCTGGAGCCCAGAGGGTAGGTGATATATGGATTCATCGTGTTCCTGAGCAACACTATCATTGTTGCCATTTGTAATACCGTTTGATTGTGACGGGCCAGCTTCCAACTGTTAGTATATGAATATAGAATGAAGGGATAGAACACACCTCTCGGGCCTTCCCCTACATCTGCTGCAGATGAAATTCTACTAGACGCAACTCGCGAGGGACCCGCCCTGGTAGAATCGGCAATCTCGGTGCTCTTGGACTTGGGCACACTCGATTGACCCAATGTTGGAGATTTTGTCTGGCTAGTGACAGGAGTTTCGGAGACACTGGCAGAACTTGGTACGGCCGGCTTGATGCAGATGTCTGAGGAGTAGCGACAGGTTGAGCATGGACAGCAATTGGCGAAGCAGTAGAGCTTGCTTTTCGCCCAGTATATGCAGGTAATGGGGGGTGACTTATTGACGTATTTGGAGGGGGGACACTTTCCGGAGGCGGGGGTAAAGGAGCAATTCCGTGAGTATTTTTATCACTCGCCGCCGCCGCCGCTGCAGCAGAGAAGGACTTAAGAGTTTCCCCAGGTGCTCTTGTCGGTACTGGGGCAGGCTTCATCTGGCTCACTGCAGCGTTGGTAATACTATTTAATGGCGTATGTAAGGTTGCCATAGTTGGTTGAGGGCTCTTCAATTGGGTGGACGGTCGTCGTGCAGAGGTGGCACCTTCAGCGGTGGCCACGGTTTTTGATTTTCCATTTGACAGACTATTCGATCGAACATCTGGATCGGGTGTTTCTTCTTGTACTGATTGTGTATCTTGGGAAGATACTCGGTCATCATTATTCATACCGTAGGCGTCCTCCTCTTCTTGAAGATTGAGCTCGTCATAGAGCTCTTCGTCCTCCATAAAATCCACTTGCATGCCATCAGAGACGTAGAACTTAATGTCGTCCTTGATGGAATTGATCTGTTCTGTTTCCACCCCGCCATTTTCCAACGAACGTTTGATCAGCTCGAGTTTCCCTTGATGCCATTTATGTCGTTCGGTAATGCGCTCGATCTCGGCCATTCGATCTGCTTTTGACGATTGGTTTTTGCCTTTCTTCATGGTGGCCTGTATCCCTTCGCCCTCAGCCTCGAGTGTCTCTATTTGGGTTTCTAGCTCGTCGACTTGGGTTCTTAAGAATTCGCAGCATTCTATCTTTGCACGCTCTTTGGGATCGAGTTTTGTTGTTGCCGATAGACCTTCTTTCGAGTATGCTTTCGTCTTCATAGCTTTCTCCACAGCCTTGAACTTCTCCATTTGCTGTACCTCGTTAGCCATGGATCACAACGAAGCCGCAACCACGCCTACAGTCTCAATCAATTTCCGCTTGTCCATCAACGGCCCCTTATCCTTGACATCATTGCTAGCCGCCCATGTCTTGATTTGATCGCGAAGCCTTTGCAGCTTCTTGATCTCTCGTTTTAGGTTGTCTTCCAATTTCTCCTTCTGGGCGGGGTTTGTGGACTCGTGCAGCTTTGCGTAGATCGATGTAAACTCCTCCACGCCTTCGTCGACCTTTTTGAAGCACTTGTCGACTTCCTGCTGGAGCTTCCGAGCGGCCATTGTGGAGGTCGCGGTAAGAACTGGTGGTTTGGTGCTGGTTTCTGCTGCTGTTTGTCGTGTTCAGGGATCTAGCTGTGTTTGTGCAGGATAGCTTCCCATTCGTAGCTATGTCTTTGGCACACGTTTGTACAAGGCGGAAGGCTGAGGTCTCGGGGGTAGATGTGTTAGCTGAGCTCACGAGGCTTAAATCTGAAGTTGGAGGTTGCGTTGATCGCGACAGTACAGTGGAGTACAGCACGGTAGTATGCAGCACATCGCTTGAGGAGGCTTGGCGTACAGCTAAATTGTGGGGAAAAGATCGAACCTCCCCTCCACTTTACAGCAGAAGATGCATCAGCTTGACTTATGGGTTTTCCTATATAATTTTATGTTGGCTCTCAAGAAGGAGAGCAACTACTGTCTTTCACCCTTTTTCTATTGATGACTTTTAAAGTACAGATTTATTAATCTTATAATCAACGTATTACTGTATTATGGGCTCGTAAAAAGATACATTTTCCGTCATCGTCACCACCTTCAACACATCTTTTCGCTGTGCAAAAGCCAATTCTTTCAAAGATCAGAATGAAAGGTTTGTCAATTTTAGATTTCTTGTTTACCTCAATCTCATAACGCTATTGTTATGCCCTGCCGGGGGGGTGGGTTTGTATGCCGAATGTGGTTCATGAGTGCATCGAAATTCTACTTCAACTTGAACAGGTTGTTTGGCCTTTAAATTTTAGTAGATATTGTGTATTGTTTACTAATTACTTTCAGCTATTCTCCAACGAGTGTTATCTGCATCTGTATGTGATCTCAGAGGAATGTTTCGGACAGCAGCGGAGTGGTTTACACTCCACTTATGAGACATTGAGACATTGACATTGTCAACTCCCAAGCTCTACAATTTTAGGCAAGGCTGACTCCGAGATTCTGATAATAGGTCACGGTCGACAAGCAGCTGATTTCTTCAATTGGCAAGGGCATTCTCGTCTTCGCAGCCGTGGCGCCCGGCGACACAGAAAAGGATGTAGAAACGCTAGCTTCAAAAGTACTGAAGATGCGGTTATGGGACGATGAGGCAGGTGGCCGGGTAAGTAGTAGTATATACTTGCTCATTGAACGGTATCTAAACTTTTGGCAGTGGAAACAAAATGTTCAAGATATCAACGGGGAGGTTCTTTGCGGTGTGTAATGCACCGAATGCTTGTTTCGGGAGACTCATACTTTGCTAGTCTCACAATTCACCTTGCTTGCGTCGACCAAGAAAGGATCAAAGCCAGACTTCCATGGAGCATTGGGTGGAGATCAAGCCAAGGAGTTGTACCAGTTATTCGTTTCGAAGATCCAGCAGGGTTATGCGGCGGAGAGAGTTAAGGATGGTGTTTTTCAAGCTATGATGGTACTCACTGCGCCCTATAATTCCAATCTTATTGCATAGCTAACGCGTCTGCTCAAAAAGGAGGTAGCTCTGGTCAACGATGGCCCAGTACGTGCCTCCCCAATATGAAATATACTGGAGTGACTAACAAAGATAGATTACATTAGAAATGTCGGCAGGGCCAAGCGCATAGAAATAAGATACCTTCAAGCACGAAACTTTGAGATATGACCTGTACACATAGATCTAACTACCAGCAAAGAACTTCAAGAAGCGGAAACTGTCATTTGCCTTCGTATTAAAAGAAGCTCGAGGGTCTGCACGTGATGCAAACCGACGACCGCTGAGATTGTTTGGAACTTTAGCTCGCCCAACATATTGCAATCAAGGCTAATTCTGAAGAATCTAGAGAGACTATAGGTCAGTTTAAAATATTACGATATCAAAGTCTTCTTTCGGGATATCATGATTGATATCGGCCCGGAAAGAGTATGATCGGTTTGCATCGACCTACTTTCAGAACAATGACCCGAAGTACTGAATTCATAAATTGAACAGGTGGAATGAGAAAGGAAAGACACAATTTGGCTCTTTAAACCCAATTTCTTTTATTACCTTCACCAAATAGTACTTGTATTCTGTGTCTGTCACCTGTCTTTCTATACTAGTAGCGGTGAACATCGGCAAAATCACAACACCTCCGATTGCCCCGCGCCAGCTTGGAAGTTTCTAGAGCAAGGCTGAATTTCTCAATCCCTTCCTTTCTTTCCCCTTTCACCACGACTACAAGTGCAACTCTTCACTCCTCTCCAACATCATAATCTCCCAATTCCACCATGGCAGAGGAAAAGAAGCGCACCCGTGTCTACTTCGACATCACAATCGGCAAGAAGAAGGAAGGTCGCATCACCTTCGAGCTATACGACGATGTAGTCCCCAAGACCGCAGACAACTTCCGTGCCCTCTGCACCGGCGAGAAGGGTGTAGGCAAGGCTGGCAAACCACTCAGCTATAAGGGTAGTGGTTTCCACCGTATCATCAAGCAATTCATGATCCAGGGTGGTGATTTCACTGCTGGCAATGGAACAGGCGGGGAGAGCATTTATGGCACCAAGTTTGAAGATGAGAATTTTGATCTCAAGCACACAAAGCCTTTCTTGCTTTCTATGGCCAATGCTGGACCTGGTGAGTCAAAACTTACTATCTCGCTTTTGCAAGAGGCGCAAAGCTGACAACTCTATCGCACAGGCACCAACGGCTCCCAATTCTTCATCACCACAGTCCCAACGCCCCACCTAGATGGCAAGCACGTCGTCTTCGGCGAAGTCCTCTCCGGCAAATCCATCGTCCGCAAGGTCGAAAACCTGCCCACCCAAGAAAATGACAAGCCCCAACAAGACATCACAATTGTGGACTGCGGCGAGCTCACCGGCGACGAAGCCTCCATCGCTGACCAGAAAACCCCCGACGAAACCGGCGACGAGTACGAAGACTTTCCCGAAGACGCTGGCAAAGAATTCACAGCCTCTGACATCGTCAAGATCGCCACAGACCTGAAGAACTACGGAAACAAAGCCTTCACAGAGCTGAAGAAGTTGAGCTTGGGCCTGGAGAAGTACCAGAAGGGAATCAGGTACCTGAATGAAGATCCCAATCTGGATAACGAGACGCCTGAGACAAAGAAAGCTCTCGAAGCACTGCGCTACTCGCTAAACTCCAATTCTGCGCTGGTTGCGAACAAGCTGAAGGATTTCCACGAGGCGTTGCGCTCGGCTGATAATGCATTGGAGGTTACTGGGCTCACGGCTGCGGAGAAGGCTAAGGCGTTGTTCAGACGCGCTACGGCTAATATTGGGTTGAAGGATGATGATTCTGCGCAAGCTGATCTGGAGGTTGCAGCTGCTTTGGTTCCTCAAGACAAGGCTGTCCAGCAGGAATTGGCAAAGGTGAAGAAGGTCGCCGCAGACCGGGCGAAGAAGGAGAAGGCGGCGTATAGCAAGTTCTTTTCATGAGGACGGTGGTTATAGGGAAACTTTCTCACAGATGTGGTCATGATGGTATGAAATTTACTCAGAGATGAAGAGACGTAGAATTTTCGAGAGGAAAGTTAACAACGGGCATAAACAGAGGCGTTTTGTTTGCTTTCTTTCTTGGTATTCAGGATTGATAGGAGTTGTTGATTGCAGCGCCATTTTAACGCTAGATGCGTCAATTTGCAAAGTGGTATTTAATAGCTCGCAACCCCCCAAAAACAAAATACAAAAGGAATGAACAAATAAACCGTACATGCACACTTCCGTCTCGGTCCTAGTCCCATATTCATCATATAGCCTCATGAACCACCTCCAATGCTTTGCTCACCCGCCCAATAAACAACCCCTACACCACATCGCACACTAAATCATGTCAAGGTCGCAATCAAAAGCAACCCACCTTCCCGCCTTTTTTCCCAACCTCTATCTAATGCAAAACGTAAACTCAAAAATTCACACCGCCTGCACTCCCAATATTCGCAGCAGTAACCTTACTACCACTTTCCCCCTTTTCCCTCTCATCCTCCAAACTGCCCACCGCACTCGTATTCGCACTCTCGCCCTTCCCCTTGCGCCTTAAGCCACTCAGGAAACTCCTATTCTGCTTCCCATTGCGACTCTGTCCCCTACTGGGCGGACTAGCTTCGATCAACTCAGACACATCATATCCACCTCCACCTCCACCTCCGCCTGCGCCTCCACCTGCACCACCTTTGCCGCTCGGTCTGAACGCTGATTCCCAGAAACTCTGCCTCTCTCTTTTCTCGCGGTCGCGCGGTTCGCTACCGGCGGAGCTTGGGGCTTTGGTGTGTGTGACGGTGGAGGGAGCGAAAGGTGGCTCGAGGCCCGGGGTGGCGTTGGAGTGGAAGTTTATGCTGTTGCTGTGGGAATGTGAGGGGGGCAGGAATGGGTCATCCGCCATTATGTTGGTAACGCTGTTATTGCGTGACTGGGACGGTGGAGGCATGTCCAGGTCATCCGGGAAAGAACTATTTTCCAACCCCTCCACAATATCTTCCCATTGCAGACTCAGCCGATCTGCTGTTCGATCCCCCTGGGCTTTAGAGAGACATTCATCGGTGCGGCGCTGGAGGTCTAGACAGAGATTATTGAATTCTGCGAGATCGCCTTCCAGGTTGTACGGCACGATGTAGCGCTGTGTGTGATTGAGCCACAGCTTGACCAGTGCGGCGAAGTTACGCGCATGGTCGATAAGGTAGGGAAGGGAGGGGAAGCCTTCGCGGGATGTTTGCGGGAGGCGGGCGAGGATTGTGATGGGGGTCGAGTAGGAGGCTGGCAGGGCGAAGGTGTTTCGTTCTGAGGGGATGGAGCAGATGGAGTCGATGAAGTCTTTGCAGCTCTGGCGGCGAGATGAGAGGAAGCGGTTCATGGGCTCCATCCATTGTTCCTTGGAGCCGAACGTAGTGAGGTTGGCGAGGGCTTGAAGACTCTTTGCGATCAGGGTGAGGGTACGTTGGGCTTTGGGTTGTGGGTGGTCTGGTAATAGACCGAAGAGCTTTGGATTGAGTAGAGCTGGACAGAGAAATCGTAGGAACAAGAAGCCGGAGACACTGGTGTAAGAGACAGTGCGTAGAAAATCACCATATCGGTCATCAGCTACTGCTCGAATATATTTCAAGATTTGACGAAGTTCTCCAGGACAACGGGACGCTGAAGTAGCGATACCATCCCAGACTTCGGTGGTCAAGGAGATCAAGAGTGTCCAGTTCTTGCTAGCATCATCGCCGTGGGTTAATCGGGATGGGTCGACTTCGCAATCAGGATTGAGGACGTTGATCTGCATAATCTTTTCGGACAAGACGTCTTCCAAATACTCCTTGCCAAGTCGTCGCATGTGAAAGTCCATCGCCTGTGTAAAGAGAGAATTTCCACGGAACAGAAGATTCGCTTCTCCTTGTAGCGACTTTCCTAGGTCTCGCACCGTCTGTTCTCGATCACCCACAGAGTTAAATGATTCATTCGAGCCGACCCTCCTGCTCCATCGAAGCCGGCGAACCGGAGTCTCCTTTCCAACGCCATCAATCTCATCCTCAACCAATGCCATAAGCCAATCTCCAGCATGCCCAGATACTTGAAATATGTTCATCAATACTTCAGACAACGAACGTAGATCTGTCGAAATGACCTGGGCTATTTGTTCGGTCAAGCCGCTGCTGAAGCTATGGAGAAGTAAGGATATCGGTTCATAATCCTTGGAAAGAAGCACGACAAGTTCATCATGACGAAGCTTCAGGAAGATTTCTCCAATCTGCTCTTGCTGGTCATCTAGAATTGGCCACCAATGTTCGCTGGCCTTGCCCCGCTCAAGCTTGTCGATGGGAACATCAACAGTACCAGCAATTGTCTCTTCACCGGGACCTTGGCTATGAACGCTTGACGAAGAGAGAAATCCATGGTGCGCAACTATATGGTCGAGCCGTTTGACGACAATAGACAGCTTGGGTGTATGGAAAGGGAGATCAAGAAACACGTAATCTTCACGCCTGCAGAAGTGCCGGTGGTTAGCTTAACTTGTTTCAGAACCTTAGGAGTTACGACATGTTCTTGGAATAGAATTTTCAGCGGCCCGGGAAAAAAAAGTCCCCAAACTGGGGATCAAGACTGCTTCCTAAAGCTCTGGGGCAAACAACACTTAATAAAGTCCCGAGTAAACTTACCAGAATGGATTCTTAGTCTCCGTCCTAGTCCTGGTTCGTGCCCGGACATCACCATCAAGGAACACTTCAGCAAAATACTCTCCAATAGAAGAGTCCTGCTCGGGCTTCACAGAGTGCCTCACGGTTGGTCCCAGGTCTGTATCAATGTTCATTCTTCGCATCTTAGCTTCCACAATGCGTAAATTTACGGACTTCTCGATGCGGAACAAGTCGTTGGTTGCGTGACCTTGTGGCATCGTTGGTACATCGTAATCGCTGCCCTCATCCGAAAGCTGTGGGCCGTATATTTCGGGGATGGAGAAAGCAATTAATAGGCAGAACCATACTTCATATAAAAGGCGCGACTCCAGTGCAATATACACGGGTCGAAATATAGATAGCTGGGTCGAAGTTGATGTATATTGCGGGAAAATGGCAAGGCAGTGTTCCTGCCCTAAAACAGATTTGTCAAGGCGCTGGATGGCACATCGTGATAATTGAGACAATTGTATGACAGACAGGAGTGTCACATCATTCTCTGTAAAAAGCTTGAATTCTCCGTTATCTTGCAGGATACAGGATACTCGGCGCCATGCGTGTACCGGAGATCTTAGATCCCGGGTAGATGGCCGTCTTATTATAGCTCTGGGGGATGATGGTGCCCCTTTATCCCAGAGAAGGACTTTGGCAACCTTGATGATATTCGCATCTTTAGAGCTTGCAGTAGAATTAACATTACTGTTTAGAGAATTCCGCCGCGACCTGCGCTCTCCGTGGGCCACAGGACTAGCGGGCAGCGTTCCAGTTCGGATCTGCTGCCAGCATAAAAGAGCTGCTAGCCAGAGATCAAATTCTGCTTTAACCATAGGTAGCAAGTGAAGCTCAACGCCTAAGGAGCGGTTTGATATCTCAAGACATTGCAATTGCCTCTCCTTGGAGATAATAGGTTGCACTCGACATCCCCTGAGATCAGGAACGACGGTCAGATGAAAAGGACCTCTATCGTCACCCTCATACATCAAAGAGCCTTTCACATCATCGATGTAACAAGTTCCCGGGTACCAAGGTCCCCTTTCCACAGTCTGGTACTCAACTTCTCCCCTCATACGGCCACACAAAGTCTTCATTAACATTAAGATTTTATTAGCGTCGCTTGTAGCGACGGGGAAGGGAAGTGAATCGACGGATGGAACATCACTCATCGTTGACAACGGCGAGGAAGGTCGAGAGGACCGTTTGACAAGACGTCGGCCCTTCACAGAATTCGACTTCTGTAGTTGTGGTGGAGGGGTAGGTCGCTTGGCCACCGATGGATATCCCAGCGAATTAGATCCATCTAGAGCAGGTCGAGGTTCCACCGTGTGGAACAATGGTGCATTTGTCGAATGCACGGAGCCGATTCTATGTCTACTTCTAGAGACGTTTGTAGAAGCAGACCTCGTCCTAGTATGATCCACCATCGTGCGCGTCCTCGACCTCGACTGAAAACTTAAAGGCGGTCCATGTCGTCCAGACTCAAGTGAGTCCGTGCTATATGAGTCTTGGAATACCAGCCCTGCACGGCGCTCTCTAGGTTTCTCTCCTCCTGGTATTGAGCGCGGAGAAGCTGGGCTGTTCGGGTGGTGGAACTCGTCACTACCCTCTGGCATATCAGGGGTCACCGTGCGTAATGTATTGGGCATGCTAGGCCGTCGCATTTGCATTGTATGCGACTCGTAGGGTCTTTCCAATCTTCTAGCCAGTGTTTCCGTGGCATTTCGTTGCCAGTCCTGCAGAGCTCCGTCCTTTCCAATTGTGCTACTATTGTAAGATCTGCTATCCATCCCTGCGGGCAGGATACTCATACGGCGATTCCTGTTCATCTATTTCTCATGTCTACCCATTTATATCTGTCGAAGTGGGCAGGTTCGTATGCAAGCCAGTATCCAAGACTCGGTCGCAAAAATAGAGGGGGTCGTTGCGCAGATTTTCTCGGACAATGGCATCTGCAGTGAACTGGCTCTTGATGTGGCCCAATTTCTCCCAATCGTGGCTGCCTACGAATGTTATCTGCTAGGGAGATTCCGAACGTCCTTGAGCTTGTATGCGGCAGACCACAGTACGGTATATCGTCGCTCTCTCAACGGAGCGGTAATGTTTGCTTTCCTATAAGCAAATCCGCGACCAATACGCCTTAAGTGTTCCCAATGCCAGTCTCGAATCTCGATGCTTCTTCATTATAACTGGCCATGCGCCGGTCTGCAACGGATGATAAGGATGAGGTCCATTCGAATTCGAAAGATGCAAACATTAGGGATCAAATCTGGTTCGTCCAAAGCTTTGGAGGTTTGGATCGACAGCGCGGGTTCAGCTCGTGATATTATGATGTAGTGAAGTGGAAGGTCCCGTCCGTTACTAAAGATTTTGGGACGGCTTAAACTGCACGGACTTTCCTGGACTGGCGCTGGCGCTGGCGCTTGAGGCGCTCTAAATCAATTGTGCATCGAATACACTTCTGACAGGCTGATCCAACTTCCAGTAGTGGGAGTGGGCTCCAATTATAATAGCTGCAATTGTTTAATACGAAGTACTCCGTAATTCCGTATATGAGCGAACCTAATCAGTAAAATAATCCGGAGAATTCCCCAGAGAGTTAGAGTTTTCACGTGTCTACGGCCCACTGTGGCCCGCAGTGGTGAACAGATACAAGTAACTCCGAAGTCTAAATGTCCTTCTCGGGATTAGTCTGGTCGTCATCAAAAGTAATCTACTGTTAAACACCAGCTACGATCATGAAATAGCCGGACATTGGTTGGTATGCTTGCACTTATCGCGCTTGTTAAGAAGGATGGATGGGGTGAGCAGAAAGAGAAGCGATATTAGGAATTTAGCGGCCCTTCAATAATGTTTTTCGTAGAGGACAAGGGAGGTTGCATGGAAGTCGAACGTCCACCAGAAGCAGCATTATTTGTATCCTTCTGTCTGAAAATTTCAACTGCTCATCAATCACCGAGACATTCGCTATGAAGCTGAAGGAGACGAAAAAGCAAAACATCCCAGCCAACGCTCATAGCCACCCAAGGTTCAAATTGAGTCCCACAAAACCAGGCAGTCCATAAACTCCAATCCCAATTGAAACGAATCCAAAAGCACCCTGGATATAGAGCATTTCAACAAGTAAAATCAATCCCAGTTCCCCTGCATACGCTAAGCCGCTTTACTGGAAAGAAGTATCGGATAACCCATCAGGACTCGCTGGGCTGATGGGACTTCGAACACCACTGAGATCACCACTCCCTGTTCTTCGCAAAGCCTGCCTCATCGTTTCTATCGTCAGCTCGCCACCATTCGCAGGCACAGGCGCATGTGTAGAAACTGGGCTAGCAAAGCCTTTCAACCTCGGCGACATTTCAACCCCTTTCATGGACGCTGAATTGCTCGTTGGAGGCGAGGTGCCAAACCCTTGCGATGAGACGGGGGATCTAATAGGCGATGGGGATCTGTTGACTGCCCCAGACGACAGAGAGCTCAGCCCTGCAACATAGATTGAATCTCTGCTACCCGCGTGTTCCGCATGCTCAGACTGGACAATGTCCGAAAATGAGATGAAACTCAAGCGGCGGACGTCGGTGCTATCAAGAGCACCATAGTTAGACGCCGCATCGTCTTTATCTGGATGTGCAATCAAGTCATCTGCCCAGGTTCCACCGGTCGCTTCGCTGCTGCCTACTCCAGTCACAGTGACCGCTGCTGGCTGGTGAGACGAGTGCATAACGATTTCGACAGTGTCTGGGTCAAGTTTGTGGTTTGTAATGGCCTCCGAGGAGGCATCTAATACTGGAGGTATATGGTTTTCGGTTTGTATGTGCGATGGGATCGCGGGGGAATTGGGGGCGGGCAGAGCGCTCTCTTGTACATCGCGTTCGAATATTTGCGATCCAGCAGGTGAGCCTACTCGCGAGGAAGAAGAATACAGGTTTCTCTGCGGTGAACCAGGCGCTGGATAATGTTGGCTTGATCGGGAAGGGGATGTGCTCTGAAATGGAACTCTCCGGGCCACGGGAGCTGCAATTGGAGTCTTTGAATTTTCAGTGTTCGTATTTGGAGCACTTTCGGCCTTCTTCTTTCCTTTCTCTTCCTTCTTCTTGCCAAAGCCAAATAATCTTCGCTTCCCAGATTTTACCGTGGTTTCACCCGTATCAGGTTCAATGTCACTACTGTCTGTAGATGTGGACTTCGGGGTGCGCTTCGTCTCTTGGAACCCTTCGCCGAGTAGAGGCACTCTGGAGGTATTCGCTATTTGAGCTGCCGGAACTGGAGTATTGGGCTGCAAAGTGCTTGCTTCTGAAGCACTCATTTTGAAATTTTGACGATTCCGGACTACCGATGACTGTTGGGGCAGGAGAATAGATGATGAATGTACTTTAGAGAGCGCACGACGGGATATGCTATGTACAACGAGTCAGACGTGCTGTGGAATCCTCAATGTGTTCTTTGGTTGAGGCTATATGAGGATGTCTGTTATAGGATGCAGGCCTTACTAGGCTTGGTCCCAGCTGGCAGGCTGTAGGTATGCAACTTAATCTAGAGCACTACTTTAGGGAGTACTTACGCGTTCAGCTGATGTACTTCCGTATTTCCAAACAGGAGGAAGGTAATTAAAAGAACGAGGGCCCCCTACAGATCCATGGCAATTGAAGGCATCGCGTGCAACGAAGTGGTGGCGCAGAGGGATAATCCGTGAATAATATAACTGTAGGATTCAAAGGCATTGATCGAGGTTCGGCGACGGTCATGAGACCGGGAATTCGACGACGATGGAAGCCGCGGCCGCGACCGAGTCAGACACCCCTGAACACCCACACCCTTGGTTGTCATGCCTTACTAGTGAGGCCGAAATATGCAAAAAGTTATCTTACGGTACCTTAGGCTCGAGCTTGAGAGCTTAACATCGACGCGAGAAATCATAATTATACAACCTCACTCATAACCAACAATGGATGCCAGGCTAGTCAGGAGACCAGTAATTGACCTCTTATCAGGCCGAGGTCAATGCCTGATCTCTTTGAATGCCTCCTCCCAACGGCACCAGTCCTCCTTCCGCCGCACGAAGCAGCACCTGAACATCAAACCGGACTCCTCTTTCCTCATCTCGAATGATTCGCCCAAACAAGACCATATAATCTTCAATCCTCCCTCAGCATCTCCTTCTGTTCTCCACACACCTCTCAAATTCCTTCCAAAAGAAGACAAGCGACGGCAACTCCTCGCAGTCACTGCAGGAAAGCTCAATCCCACGCCATCACGACTACCACCTCCAGTAAGCCGCAAACCTAAGATACCACATCATCATTTGAGTGATGCCGATATTGCCGAGATTCAAAGACTGAAGAGGGACGAGCCGGAAAAGTGGAATAATCTGAGACTGTCGAGAAAGTTCAATTGCTCGTCGATGTTCATTAGTATTTGTCTCAGCCAATGCGGGTATGATGACACAGTGACCAGGGAGGCGGAGAAGGCGAGGCTGGCTGGTATGATGGACAGCTGGGGGCCGAGACGGAGGAAGGCTCACGAGGACAAGTTGAGGAGGATGGAGATTGCCTTGAGGGATGAGTAGGGGACCTGGGCCTGTCTGCTGCGGATAGGCTGTGGCTGAGCTCTGCGGTCATGTGGAATACCTGCAAGTTGGAAGCTGGAATTGGATGTTGTAGATGAGGAGATGTATTGGAGAAAGCCGGAGGTTGATTGTACAAAACAAATCCACAATGATTGCCTTTGATTTGTGGACAGGGGTATATTGCATATAGGCGGAGGCGTTGGAGATATGTGTAGGACTATGTATTTAAAAAGACACCCCGCATTCAAGCTGATTTCACAAACCGTGGTAGATTGGTTAACTTGAGTAAAACCAGCAAGTTTGCCCAAGTCGAAGCTGCAAGCAGTCTTGCTCAATTTCTCTGTTGCTTTGTGTTTGCTCTCTATCTTATTTTGATCAAGTGACTCACTAGTTGAGAAAGCAGAAGTTTCTGTGTGCAAACAGTTCAGATTTCAGTCGAGAGACCATCTATAAATGAATTATCCAAGGTCCTGAAATGGCCACGAGGACCAGTCCCTGATTGACCATCTCTCTCTTATGATATACAATTGCCGAACCATCTCCCGTCTTTTGGGGGGATCAACCGCGTCATATCACGGCAACCACCTCTCATACTCAACTCTGTCAATCAAGAGTCTAGATACGAGACCGAAAGCACTTACGCTTTGCTTAAGAAGACGAAGTATATGGCTAGTCCTTTGGCTTCCAGCGGGGAAGTTGATACAATCTACGTCCCAGATAATAGATTTTGCAGGTTATGTATGCAGTCATGGTGTAACCTCATCGCTTCCTTGCGAGCAGATGGTCAAAAGGGCTAGAAGCTGCTAATTGATTTGGACATGATTTATCCGGATGGAACCCTGCTAAAGGAGCAGGCTGATATTTTCTTGACCATGGACGAACTTGTCTTGGTATTAGGGAAGGGACGTACACAGCGTGAGAAAATAAATTACGGCTGGCAATATCCGCATTGGTAGTACCTCATGGGGACCGGGCACATATTCTGAGAAGCAAGAGATGACCAGCGAACTTGAAAATCTAGTCAAAGAGATGAAGATTGTTGCCGAAGAGGACCACGAAGGAAGAGTGCCAGTCATGAAGGTCATGGTACTCCCTCGAGAGTAAATAGGTAGAAGCTAAGATGATGCCTAGTGAGGTTCTACCGTAGTATCATGGTTGCTTGGTTCTTTTGAAGTGGGCAATTCTATTGGCGAATCAACACAGACTGGCCATGTGGAATGAGTTTAGGGGGAAGGATAATTGAACAACGATGAAGTATCACACTGCAGCCTTAAATAGTACAATGAAAATAAACATTCCTCGAAAATTCAGATTTCACTTTGAATTTTAGTGACATCATATTTTAATTCCATTTCCAAACCTACCTTATAGCATGTCTAAGTCCCTTGGTCGCTCTTCCCCTGAACAACCTCGCTTAGCTAGGCTTTCTCCGCAAAATCCTCGACACCATCTTCCGACTCTTCTCCTTCTTCACACAAGATCACATTACCAATAATCCATATCAAACATATCTACCCATCCCCACACTGAGTGCAAGCCTCACATCAATTCACCTTCCACTAGTCATCGTCTGTCGAAAACTGTACTTGTACACTGAGCATGGTAACTACCCTTTATCGAATCGCGAGGAACCTTCAGCGGCTGACCTTTTGAATTGTTCTAGAACATAGAGCTTAAGTGATTATCGGAAGTACAACCTTCAAGAATGCCTTCATTTTCGGCAGCAAGCCGCGATGTCCTTACGGCAGAAATTATTCCCAAAAGGAAAAGCGTACATGGCATGGTAAGCAGTCCTGGAGAGGTTTTCCTCATTTGCAAAGTAGCTAATTATGATACTCGCTCCAGAATCTCAGATCAAACCCTACGCCGGAAGCACCACCCCCACTCATCGACCAAGATCAGACGTTCAAGTTTTTTCCGATATTACCCCCAGAGATTCGGTGCATGATCTGGAGATTAGCTGAGCGTCCACGAATGTATGTATCCTGGTTTGCAATTTACCTCTGACTAAGAAAAGTCGAAAGCTATGCGTCCTCGCGCGGGACAGATCAAGCACTGCCAGTTTTCACAATTTCAAGATGAGCGAAGCATCATGAACAAGCTTTGTGCTGACTACTTGCCTTTCACTAGGATTTTGATTACTTCTGAAACTAAGTACAACACCTTACCTCACGCAGGCTGGTACCAAAAAAACATATCTGGTCCTTCGACGATCCTTGATAGGGTGAATTGGGAATCCCGTACGGAATGAAGAAAGATTACAGAACTTTCTGTGCTTCCAGTCGAATTTCTACAGGGCCAGTTGGTTGTAGCTTGTATCAGGAGGGTACTATAATGGTCAATCCCCGCCGAGACACCTTGTGCGCCGGAGGTATGCCTGGGTCTTGGCCAGACAGACAGAACTGTCTCTCGTTACTGAGTGGTCAGTCTTTCAGCAGGTTAGCTATATCAGAGCATTTACTACACTCTTCAAATCAGCAGCGGGATATTATCGAGTTCCTCAATCTCGATGAACTCATTATTGTGGTTGGAAGAGCAAAGACAACCACCCGGACAAGGACCATCGTGCCTCGTGGGGACTGGGATTCATACCCAGTTCGCGATAAGATGAAGGAACTTTTTGACGGATTACAGTAGAACTGGAGATCTTTCACCTCGGGCTGGTGGGGACGAAGCTGCTCTATCGACGGTATAGAAGAAGAGCGCTGCAGGTTGGCAGACTCATATACGCATTGAAGAAAGCAGTAAAGGCGACGAAAGGCAAGAAGATGCCGGTAGTCAAGCTCATGGTCTTTTGCGAAAAGGACTTGAAACGTGGACCTCAGAGGGTACTCCGCTAGAATACGATGATGTAGTTCAGACTGTAAGGAAGTGGGCGTGGTTGTTGTGGGCAAATACTATACTCGTTGCTGGGATCAAAGCTGGAAGTTAGAGCACGGAGCGAGGAGCGAGGACTTGTAAGCAAGTATTCGTTGATAGAATCTTTCAATAGTAGCGTTATTAAACACTCATATTAGCCACTTTTCCTCGCAGGCCTATGCATTACCGCTACTCAATCACTCAATCAGCAAGATCTCCATCTCCGCGTCAAAGCAAACCAAATCTCAAAAAACGTAAAAGTAATATCAAATAAAACTCACAATGCCTCGCAACGCTCATCCCCTCACCCCCCTCATACTCTTCCAACTTCAAATCCTTGGCAGCAACCTCCTCAAATCCAAACCTCTTATACAGCTCCTCCCCCTCCGGCGAAGCACCTAGCACGCACTGCAGGCCCAAGGCATCGACTTCCTTTAGTCCTTCTGTGAGGAGCAAGCTACCGATACCGCGGCGCTGGTGGGCTGGTGAGATGACGAGGACGTAGAGTTCTGGGTTTGTCAGATTTGGTTTCTACGCTTCGCGTGTATGGGGGCGCTTTTGTTGTTCTGTTTGGGATGGGTTGATGAGACTTGGGATTGGAATTGGACATGGAAGTGAAGAAAGGAAGATTTACTAGCATAATCCCTCCCTGCACAACTCTTCAGCATCTCCTCATCAGCCCACACCAGCGTATCCTCGCAAAACCTCACATTAGCTCCGATTCCCCAGCTATTCTTCTCCTCGGCATTCCCCTCCACTTCAACATCCACATCCTCACCACCCTTCTGATTCCCATCCCCAGATCCTTCCCCCCTCTACTCTACTGACCCCCCAGGCTGCAAACCCCACCACTTCCTCCTTACTAACAGCCTTAACATACCTCCATCTCCTTTTGCCCACATCCTCCTCCCCATCCATCCCCTTTTCAAAACCCCTAGCTCGCGCCAAAATACTCTCTTCAGAACCACGGCGTGGACCATATGCCAGGGCGCTGAATGCGTCGTCCTGGAAAACGTGGTTTTCGAGACGGGACAGGATGAGCGGGTCGTGGGGTTGGGTTGCGAGGTGCAGGGAGATAGAAGAGGACGGTGGCATTGTTGTATTGATTTTGTGTTGTGAGAATAGGAGTGGGGGTGATTGGTTTTGATGGGTTGATGAGGATTAAGTTATTGGGGCAAGTATATGTATATATTTTGTTATGATGTGATAAGAGATAGCGAAAGAAACACTTGCTTTATTTATTTATTTACGTTATCTACTTGTCGCTTAATCAAGAGTTGGTGTGTATAAAATTGAATTAAATTGGCTTGGAGTTCAGCTGAAGCAGGAAGAATTTAGTGATATTTTTGTGATGCATGGCTTGATACTGTATGTACTGCGGCCGAGTGAGTCATTGCCGAATGTTGTGTTTTACAGTCCAGTATAGTACAAGCTGCTTTCAAACTTCAGAGGCGCTTCGTTACCAGTTAAGTATGCATTCCGGTGAGATTGTTTAGGAAGGTAGGTAGGTAACATGTGGAGGCATTGTCCTCCGTGATATTGTACAAGCCGTAAAAGGGATTTGAGCTGAGGGTATCTCTTTAGACGTTCTTAAAAAGGCATACCTAGAAAAGACAAATGTCCTACTCAGGAACGTGGAAAGATCAAAGACAAGAAATCATGACATTTCCATCCCAACCAGTATCGCGGCATGCAAAACAAGCATCTTCTGAGAAATTGTTTCACTGCTTGAGTTTCCTGCAATATGTACTAATCAAATCATGCCTCACCAACCTTTGCTTATCGATATGCGTTATTGCCTCCCAATGCATCCCAAATCTCTCATAACGATCATAACTCATCAAACAACATCCTTAACGCCCGGAATGACCCTCCAACACCACCCACACCAACTCCTCGCCCTGCCTTCAACCTCCCTTACCAAAAACTTCCCCTGTGCTTTCTCATCCCCTAACTCCGGCACACAAGCTCCCACCTTCACCATCCTAACCAACTTTTTCTTCACCACGCCTCCAATTCCCTCAATCTCATGTCTAGCATACCCAGGTCCCATCGAACTGCCTGGACTTGACGATGGACTCGCAGCTCGACTATTGCTATCGATTTCCCTGGCGTCCGCAGCATCGCAGTCGATTTCTTGCTCTACTTCACGAGCAGCAACACAGTCACCTCCACGACCGCATGGAACACCTCGGTCTCCTTCCCCAATGCCAACGCCGAGACCTCCGAGTGAAGGTAGGTAGCGCGTACGCCATTTCCAGATGCTTTCGTATTCTGAGTCGACGCTTCGCAAGCTTCGGCCGCAGGGTTGGCAGAGCCAGACGACGTCCGTAGCACATCCGCAGACGGTGCGGTGGAGGTTGTCGCCACTTAGTGGTGCGGTTGCCGAAGAAGTGTGCTCATGTTCGGATGATTGCTCGACGAGGTAACCCAGTGGAACTCGAGAGCATGCTGTGCAGATGCGGCGGTGACGATAGCGGAGGAGAACAGGGGCTGGGGTTTGATCGTGCAGTTCTATTGCACAACTGTTAGTATTCATTGATATTTTCATGTATCAAAATATATGATGTATGCGTAGCGTACTCGACAAATAACTTCCCCACACCTTCTGCAACCCCCCACTAGATCCCGAGCACATTGTCCAACCTTGCCTGTCCCAGCACGGTTTCTTCCTTCTTCGACGAAGTACCAATCTGAAGACCTGGCACGGTATCGAAGAGTGCGCTCGGGATCTGATTGTATGCGCTCATTTGAGCATCGAAGGGTTGTGTTGAGGAGCTGCGTGCGGAATTGGAGGAGGTTGGCGCGAACTTGGCGGCAGGTGAGGGAGAGGGCATCGAGGGTGTTGAGGTCGAGGTGGGATGCTATTGAAATGACGACTCTGTAGGAAGCATATATAAGTCCAGTGTACATAATAGGATTCGAACGCCAGATCTATTCTGTGATTAATAGACTTACGGATAGCATCCCAATGCTTCCGTAGAAGCATTCCTATTCGGATTGTCCCTCTTCTCCTCATTCGCATTTTCCACCACCTCCTCCTTATCTTTCTCCTTCTCGCTCACAACATTCCCAAGGCCAAAACGCTTAACATCCCAATGACCACCTACCTCTGGCGGCTCGGTCTCATCGTCCAGATCGACAAAGACGACCATGATCGAAACACAATGGCCAATAATCAAAGTCAGAAAGTAAAAGTAACCGAAGGGTATTCGCGAAGTGTCCCATTAGATTCTAAGCTGCAGTGCAGCGCGAGAAGTGGAAGTGAAGAGAGCGAATGTGTGCAATGATATACTTGTACAGATACAGAAGTTATACAAGTACTCGAATGATGGGAAGGAGGCGTGGGCGTAGGGCGTGGGGCGTGATTGAGTGCCGTACCCCACTAAAGCGGGGTGAAACGTGCATGACGAGTGCTGATTGGATGGATGAATTGATGTGCTGGTTTTGAGGTGCGACATGATAACTTACAGTATTTATGGATTTATATGCCTCATATTGGATGTACTGTATTTGATGCTTCTATCGTATTTTATGTCTGTTTTAGAGATTGGTGCTGTTAGACACGACTTAAGCATAGAGTATAAGTCTGATTCATTACGTTTCAATAACTTTCAATCTGTATAGCCAAATAGTACACCTTGATATAAAAGCGGGTCCTATATAAAGTATTCAGCTAACGTATTCTGTTGTATTGTAATTTTTTGCTTACTTCACCAGCTCCATATTTGCCCATTTACTCCGCCTCCAATAATATACCCTTATATTTTGCTATACGAGCCAAAGAATTGCTCCGCCTCCGATCTCATGATAAATTGGTCCGAATATCTTGTACCCGATATTGTACCCAATAATGTGGGACGACAAAGAAACTGCCGTTTCTGTGTAGCATCACAAAGCTATAGAAGGTGAATGTAGGTATATATAGTTGCTCCTTGCATCTATTGTTTCCGTCCTTCCCCCTTTCCTTCTTCCATCCACCCTTCCTTCCTGTTTGTTACATGAAGCTATTCCCTTGTGCTCTTACACTCTATCTCTATCTCTGTTTCCATCTAACCCCTCCAAAATGTCTCTCCCAACGCCAATGCCCTTCAAAATCAACATCTCTGAATCTCTTCTCTCATTCATAAGCCATCGTGTATCAACTGCTCGGATCCCCTCCGGCTTCGACCATCTTCCAGGCGAAGAATGGGCCTACGGGCCACCTCCATCAGTCATGGCCCATCTGAAAGAATACTGGACGAATACGTACGATTGGCGTGCAGTAGAAGCGCGAATCAATGGCCATTTGACCATGTTCACGTTACCCATCAAGGAAGGGAGTGATGAGATTGAGATGCATTTTGTGCATCATAGGTCGGAAAGAGAGGGTGCCATTCCCTTGCTTTTTCAACATGGATGGCCGGGTAGTTTTCTCGAGGTTGGTTTTACTAAATCCACCAATGGTTCCATATGAGAGAGCTTTGCTACAACTAAACAGGTCGACAAAATTATCGATCTGCTTACCACACCCTCGGACCCAACGGCTCAAGCATACCATGTGGTAGCCCCATCCATCCCAGGCTTCACCTTCTCTTCTGCTCCCAAATCACCCGGTTTCAATCTCAAGAATATGGCATCTATAAACAACAACCTCATGCACTCCCTTGGCTACTTTAAGTATATGGTCCAAGGAGGTGATTGGGGTTCCATGATTGCTCGTGTCATGGTCAATGATTATCCGGAGAGCTGTATAGCTATTCATGTCAACATGCTTCTTGCTTCGCCTCCGGTCGTAAGGATAGCTGGCTCTTTGATTTTACCCTACCCCCTTCTGTTATGTTTCGTCTCATGTGCTCTACATCCTCCTATAAATTCCTCAAAGTGGAAACATAAGCTACTTCTACTCCTGAAATTGTCTTGAATAAGAAATAACTGACTCCCCGTGATCTAGTGGTATAAGCAGCCTTTGAGTTGGTTGCAATTTCTAACTTGGGCTACTTGGACTGCTGGGAATGAGAATGGAATGTTGGGAAGGGCAATGTGGTGGATGAAAAAAGAGGGCGGTATGTTTTTTCTTTTCCATCTCCATTTCCTTTACTGCATGTACTGTAATCTTGTAACGAGAGGCTTACCAATACGAAGGCTACATGGAGATTCAAGGCACAAAACCTCAAACTATCTCCTACGCCCTTGCCGACTCACCATTCGGAATGTTGGCATGGATCAGAGATAAATTGGAACATTTGATAGACGACGATTTCACCTTTGATGATGAGACTGCCATCACATGGGCAATGGTGCAACCCACCCCCGCCCTCTTTTCCTTTCTCCCCAAAACACACATCTAACCTCGACTCAGCTCTATATAATCCCCCAAAACTCTGCCCACGCACATATCTACACCAACTTCAAAGGTGAAAAGCAATCAGAGCTTCACACCTACCTGCTCAGCAAAAAGATCCCCTCAAACGTTGACTTTGGCGTCTCGATTTTCCCGAAAGAAGTATCCAACGTCCCCCGCTTCTGGGCCGAAGCTTGTCTAGGTAAAAAAATTGTTTTCTGGAAAGAGCATGCGAAGGGTGGGCATTTCCCTGCTGTAGAACGCCCAGAGGTGTTGGTGGAGGATGTAAGGGCGTTTACCAAGGCTGTGGAGAAGGGAAGGATGGCAGAGTTGAGGAGTGTGGGGAAGCTAAACAGGTCGTGAGAGACTTGCGGGGTATCGATGCATGCAAAAAGACTGTGAGTAGTGAGTGGCTGCTGCGATTCGGTCTTAGCAGCTGCTTCTGATATAGCAACCAAAAATCTTACCATCCCATTTCGCTCTGTTCCCTCAACAAAGCCACGTTCAAACTTATATTTGCGTATAAATGCCTTCCAGCTCCCAACGCCCTTCCTACCGTTTTCTCTTCACGGCTGAGGCTGCAGATCGAATCAACGCTAAAGCAAACGAAAGACAATTATTATACTTTTAACTGCATGTGCGCGTACAATAATCCCGGTAGCAAAGTACTACACGCGATAAGTCGAACCAACTAACGACTTCCGTTTCAGCCTGATATAAATGCATCCTTCTCCGTGGTCCGTGGATGCCAGGAAGTGTTACACTGCATAGCCCCTATACACAACATTTGAATTGAAACCTGTTTCCGTAACACTTTCACTCCAACACCATCTCCTTTAGAATATCTTTCACGTGTGAATTACAAGATGTAGTTTTGTTCAGTCGTCTTTTCAACCGCGCAATGACGAAGAGGGATTCACCCTTCATTGTACCTGCTACATGCCATGCTGAATATAGTGAGTAAGACCCGTTTCTAATAAGCTTGCCTCTCAACCAAGCGCGGTCTTTGCTGGGTCATTGAGCTATGATGTAATGGGCTGGCTTATTCAAGGTCGATGAGTACTTGGGGGTTGGGGTAAATGGTCTTGTCTATTGTTCGTTCCCTAGATGAGAAAGAAGGGAAAAGAGAAGGGGGCGTAGTCGGATGGCGGGGTTGCGGAGGTGAGGAGGTGAGGAAAAGAAGGATTGGAGTTGTGTGTGATACTGAGAAAAGGGATACGAGGATGGAATGTTAAGGTAGTCAGGATTATAAAGGGAATAAATGGCAGCTATATAGATGGGCATGGGGAGGGCACGTCAATAGTGAAAAAGCTAAGGACACAAGCGCCATGCAAAGGAGGGAGAGCTCTCTAAATTCACGTCGAACCAGGTTTCAAAAATCCGAAAACTTGTTATCCAAAAAACCGAACAATATGCCTTTCATTCCCCCCCTCTTCTCCCACCAATCTAATGAAACTGATCCTCCGTAACCCCCTTCCCCATCGCACTCGTACTGCTAACACCCCCCTGCACCATCTTCAACAGCTCATCCACATAGTTCGCCCCACTCCACTTCTGATGCTTGACCACATCGACGCCTCCCTCCATCTCCGGCTCCTGCACCAACTCGCCGTACGCGCGCATTCCCTGTTTGCTGTACGCTTTGGCGAACTGGTCCGAGATGAGCGCCGTGGTGTGGAGACCGGCCAGGGTGATGAATTGCCAGCAGTAGCCGAGGGAAGAGAGGCGCGCAATGTACGTTTCTTGCTCCGCGCGCGGCATGGCGGATTTCCAGTTGAAGGAGGGGGATAGGTTGTAGGCTAGTCTGGAGGGGAGGGGGTGGTTAGTGAGGGGTTTGGGATTGTGGGGGGTGTAGAAGTGTGAAGCGTGAAGTGAAGAGTGAAAAGTGAAAAAGAGGGAACAGGGGTTGGGAGAGGGGTAAGAAGGAAAAGGGGTTGACAAGCGAGGGCAAGGGAAAGGAAAACATACTTCTGATCCGGCCACACGGCATGCACACCCTTAGCAAACTGCTCCGCCTGCTTGAAATCCGGCAGCTTACTCTCCATCCAGATCGCATCCGCATAAGGCCCATACGCCACGGCGCGGTTAATCGCACACTGGCACCCGCCCTGCAGCCTATAGTACCCCTCTCTCGTGCGCGGACTATCCCAATCCCAATGGATATCGCTACCCAAGATCCCCCTCGCGATAGCTCTAGCTTCCGTATTGCTCTTGCCCTTGACGGCTTCCAAAAACTTGGCCGAGATTTCTTTCTTGTTGGCGTGCACGGAGCTGGCGGCGATGGCGTCGAGCACGGCGTCGTTGAAGAGTCTTAGCCCGGCTTGGGCGGTCCAGGCGTCTTCGATGGCTTGCAGTTCTGGCCCGGTCTTGGAGGCACGCTCGCCGGCTATCATGAGGTCGTTTAGCGGGGCTAGTCTGGGGTTCGTGGAGCCGAGGATGTAGGCGTGGTCGCGCGGGTCGATGGTTGTGGTGATGAGGGTTGCGGCTTCGGCGTCGGTGCGGGCGATTGCTAGGAGGTCGGTTCCTGTGGGTTGTTAGTATGCTTCTGGGGTGGTATATGTATGGGGGGAGAGATAGAAAGAGAGAAAGGCAGAAAGGAAAGGGAAGGGAAGGAAAGGGAAAAGTACCCATGATATCAGCCTGTGCACGAATAGCAACCAAACGATTGATATGCTCCGAGATAGGCACCAAGACCTTCCCAGCCATATGTCCACACTTCTTCGTCCCCGGTGCCTGGTCCTCGATATGGATACCCGCAGCCCCCTTTTCGATAAACAGCTTCGTGAGCTTCATAACCGCAGTCAAGCCGCCGTGGCCCGTATCCGCGTCTGCGATGATGGGGCGCAGGTAATCGATGTTGGCTAGCTTGGCGCGCTCGGCTTTGGACTTGGTCATGACGCGCTCTTCTCGCTGCTTGCGGTCGTGGAAGAGTTGCGCCATGAAGAGGTGGTTGACTTTATTTGGGACGGTGGTCTGGAGGGGAAGGAAGGTTAGTTGGTTGGCTTATTGGTGTTGGTATTGAGGGACCAAGGAAGGGAGGAGCTTACGTATGGATAATCTGCCAAATCTGGACCAGGTTCATCTGAAGCAGAGGCAGTAGAGGATGATTGCCAGCCGGAAACATAGACGGTATCGAGGTATTTCGCCATCTGAGTCAACATGGTAGGCTCGAGACATCCATAAGTGTAACTCGCATCTCCATTCTACATAGAAATTAGCATGCCATCATCACAACCTTTCCAGTTTTTGCAAATAACATACCTTGAATCTCTCCTCCAGGATATTCCACAACTTCTTCGATTGAACATTGCTCGGATACTCGATCTTGAGATTCCCCCTCTTGGCCACAATCTGCTCAGCCGTAAACGGCCTCTTCGTATATCTCCATCTCGAATCATTCCACCACTGCTTCACAGCCGCCACTTCTTCCACGAAAATCTTCTCTTCGGTCTCTGGGTTGACACCCGGGTTATTCATAGGGTATTTCGCCATGATGTATGTGGTACGAAAGGTCGAGTTTGCTATGACACTGGTCTTTGTGCTCTTCTTTGCTTGTTTCTTCCTTCACTTGTGTACTATTCTGCCACAAGAACAACCGGAGTAAAATAACAATGAATTCAGATGAAAGTGAAAAGGCAGATTCAAAATGGGAATACTGTATGTAGTAGTAAAAAAGAATATGACTCGAAACCCCACCTCAAAGGCAAAGCAGCTCTTACTTGTACACAAACCCAAAGCAAACCGGAGCAGGTCGGACTAGCGGGCATTCCTCTCATTGGACGCAACGGCAACAGCTGGCTCATTCATCCTCGGAACATGACATCCATAGGTACAGTTAACCGTACGGTACGGCCTGCGTGCCCAAGGTGCTCAAGGTGTAGGTCTCGATGCACTAGCGCGCTCATGAGAAACCGGGGCAAAGGGACAGCACTCTTGTATTGCCGTGATTGGTCACCCTACACACACGACCCCACAATCTCCAGATTTCCATTTTCATCTCATCATAGGATACTAATATACGGAATATATTACAATATACTAATACCCCTCCAACATTCCATCTCATACCTACCCACCGTCGACTCTACTATATCCTCTCTACCAATCACATCACCAACGTTCTAAAACTTCAAATCCGCTCTTGACTGACATGTGGAATACGACATGCAATACAAACATGTGAAGACATCTATCTTGAAGCTACTGAAACAGAAACAGAGAGCATGGCTTTCTTTGCATGTGAAGTCCAAAGCCCTCCCACCGAGCTGGACCTTGCATGATCATCCATCATGATGCCATGCAGTTGCTTGCCTTTGCCTGCCGCCGGTGCGGAAGGCAAGCTTGAGAGTTGCCGAGGCACGTTTACGATTTGCCCACACTACTCCGTAAGCGAGGCGAGTCAGCATGCGATATTCTCCGAGTCGAATCCCGAGTCCGGCTTCTTTTCGTTCTACCTTTTGCAGGGAGTATATTGCGTGCACAAGTATAAGTACAGTACGGTCGGTATATCACATCACCAACAGAAGCTTTCACGAATAGCTGGCTTATTGCATGCATGTGCTGCATCAAGTATTTGCTTTGCTTGCTATAAGCATTTTTGTATTAATTTTCTACGGTGTACCAGGGACAGACAGCACAAGCCAGTTTTGCTTGCTGATCGAGTGCGCGTCGTCGTTCTAAACGCCTCTATGAGCTACACAATTGGGAATGTACACCAAAACCCTCATTTCATTATACTCCGTCAGTTCATGAGATCATTATGTTCGTACGCACAGCCCAGCCCAGCCCAGCTCAAAGCTCTGCACTCGGGCCTCCGATCTCGGTAGCTCTAGCATACTGATCCCATGGGGTGAGTGTTCCGATGGCACGCTGCATGTGGGCATTCGTGAAGCCAAGTCCATAGACATAACTGGCATTGACCCATCCGAAGCTGGAGAATGTTAGTTGGATACCAAATGCACGAAACTCTGAATTAGACTTACCCTTCCTTGGCAACGCCCTTGAAGTCCAACCCCTGATTTCCATACTCTGCATCCACGCGGTGAGGGTCAACAAGTCTGGTAACATCATACTTCTCAACCACGACACCATTATAATCGACGAATGCCTTGGTCATCATGAACAGCCACTTGTAGGACAGCCTTTGGACTTCTTCATGGTAGCCATATCGCTCCAACGCACCCCATGCCAGCATCTGCTGAGGCGCCCAACCATAAGGATAGTCCCATTGTCGATTCGGTCGAGTGAGACTAACAGCGCCCCTGGATTCCTCAGTACCAGATACAAGGCCACCCGCTGCCTCGAACTTGGGGAGCGCCGTGGCGACGAGACGTGCAGCTTGCTGAGGAGTGGCAGCACCGCACCACATGCCCCAGAATGTCGTGCACGATTCATAGGTACATTGCTCCTTCTTGACAGTATCGTAGTCGAAGTACATACCCTTCTGTTCGTTCCATAGGTACTTGTCCATCGCGAGCTTGCGGCGCCTCGCTCGTCTGTCCCACATGGAGGATGTCTCGGTATGGCCGGGCTCCATATCACCAACGCAAAATTCGGCGGGAATCTTCAAGTTGTCGCCAAAGTAGTTTTTGATGCATTTTGCAATGTCCTTCTCGTACTTGTACAGCAAGGAGTTTAAGTCGATCGTTGCGAGGTTGGCACAGACCTTTTCCAATCGATAAGAGGTATCGTGCCCAGACTCGCGGACCGCTCGATCGTGAAGGAAGTATTCGTCAAGTTCAGGTTCGGAGACTTTGCGATAGTTGTAGGCATGGACAAACTCCTCGAATGTCATGTTGTTCTTTTTCGCGTAGGGTTCGAGAATGTGGGTGAAATGTGTAGCCTCAGTCTCTGGTGGTACTCCAAATCCCTCGGGACGATATCGTGATAGACCTGTAGCTGGATCAAAGCGGGGCTGAGCCGTCCAGACACTATGATACTCCTTGATTGCCGCAAGAATTGCAATCCGAAGAAACTCCTTCGCCCCTGGCTCGCTGTCGATCTTCTCGTAGACTCGGATAGCCATGTCTGTAAGAAATGGAGGTTGAGACCGCGTGAGATAGTAAGACCGCGTAGCATTGAGAATCTTCCCGTAATGCTTGATGCAGAAACAGAAGTGTTGCACCATGGACTTTGCGAGTTCGACTCTGCCGTTGGCAATCAGTCCAAGGGACTCCATATAGCTGTCCCAGCCGTAAAGCTCGTTGAAACGGCCGCCTGGAACGACGAATGGAAGACCTTTCAATGTCATCTCACCTGTAGCCGGATCCTTGACTTTCTGCATCTCTATAGCCAGAAGGCCAGGTTTGGCATTCATATCTCGAACAGAATCCGTTGTGATCTTCTCCGGCAACCAACAGACATCCAAGCGGACATCTGGTCTATCATTGGCGACCTTTGTGTAGTATTCGAATTGTTCAGGAGCTCCGCGGGGTACGTAGATGCGCGGTCGCGGGTCTGATGTCCAGTCTTTAGGGTCTCTGCCTGCCACCTCAATGACAGACCCGTCAATCACTCTTGTGAGCCCATCCCAGAACGTATCTTTAATCAGTCTAGCCAGACGCATAACAGGATTCTCGCTCAATCGAGCCGCATCCAGCACAACCGACGCATGTCCATATTCCTTGGCTAAGTGTAGTTCCTGTAAGAGATTCGACAACATGTAGGTACCTCGGATATCTGCTCGTTTGAACCCGTTCGAAGCAAGGGTTCCCAGGGAGAGAACCTGAGAGAATATGTTAGGAGTGAATACAAGAGAAAGAATTCAAAACAGCTCACCTTCGGTCCCTGATCCTCAATAGTGATCTGCCAATTGCCATCTGTATCCTCTTGTTCTGCTAGGTGCTTCAAGGTCGAATCGACATTAACGATGAACTTGGCGGGCCGCAACGAGACTTCGTCTATATAACAAGTAAGCCATCAGATCGTTATAGCATTGTTCTCCGAGTACTCACCATGACTGCCGCGGCGGTGAGGTTTTCTCTGCTGAAATAGAGTAGATGGAAGCTCGCTCTGGTTCTGCGGACACTTCTGTCAGCTTGAAGCATTGGGAAGGGTCGTTGGGGCTCTCACTGAAGAGTAGGTTCTCGCTCGGAAAGAATGGTTGAGTTTCTGACCGTCGACACCGTAGTAGATGGCAGCGGAGCTGAGGGGGTCGATGTCGTTGATTGCTTTTTCTCTCAGTGGCAAGCTCATTCTATGATAGTACACGGTGATACGGTTGCAGATGGAATCCCGATTGCAGTGTGGTGTTCTTGTATAGTCAATTTGATGTGGATGTCTTGCGAATTTTGAATACTTGGGGTACCAAGGATGGCGGATTGTGGGGGTACTGTAACAGGCGTACAGTAACGGTATCAAGTAACGATAGAAATGGTATGCGGAAGGATTCGATTGCAATTTAGGTGGAATTGATGCTTAGAAAAAAGCAATAACAAAGAAAGAATCATAGGAGTGCGGGAGGTTTCCTCTTCTACTTTCCTTTCGTCAAATAAAAGAATGAGAGGGTAAGGACCCTTAAGAGACGTCAATCTCTTCGGAGTTAGGCAAGTGGGAGCAGATAGTCTAATCGATAAGGAATTTTCAAAGTAGTGGGGAAAATTGAGAGAAATGAGGTAAGAATGTCGGTGTCTCACTTTTAAACAATTCAGAGTTTTATACTCGGGATTTGAACAAAGAAATGCAATTCACCAAGTAATCCAATATTTCACACTATTATTTCTCACCTGTCTTGTGCTGTGCTACTTTACCTTACGTTCTTCCCTTTTAGTCCTGACCGCTACTATAAAATATCTAATAATGTATCAGCCAGCGCGTTCGCTGCTGCTGGTGAACACCGCATTCAGGGCTGATTCATGACAACCTGCCTTTCCGACTTTGACCTGCATAAGCCTCCGTCCTTGGTGGCTGGTACATCTGGGTGGGTGAGTGGATGGCTGGCACGACGGGGTGGGGGTAAGGGTGAGGGTGAGGGTGTGTGTGAGAGAGAGGGGTCAGGGACATGAGGGGTCTCTTCAACTGCACCCTATCAGATCCAGGATCACACGAGTCGGTCTTCTACTCCTACCCGTATTCAACAAGAGTCAGCATCTCTGTCAGCCACCAAATTGATCACAGGACTATATTATATCCCAAGAAGAGATAGTGGGCTGATCGAGCCTACTATGTACGACGAGAAAGCCTGACGGGCGTTACTTCCACCTACCGGTAGGTATTTCCAGCCATCCTGAAAAGTATCCCGACAATGTTACACGTTACACACCACCCCGCAGTTCAAGGGTCCAACCTCAATTTCAGATACTGCTATAGTCCTGGCAACCGATCCGGAGGCAAATCCAGGAACAAAGTGTAGGTTCGGATGGATGGACCGAAACGCGGGTTCTGGCACTGACTCTGATTATCTGTCCTACGTAGTACACTACATATATATTTAGATCTCTCGCCACCTACGACTCATGCTACAAGACAAATATGTGATGGTGCAAAGTGCAAGGTCACAGATATACGTTTGTATAATATGCTATATCAAGCACGTGATATTACTTCCACCAGCAAAGTATCTGTATCGGGACCAGCGAGAGTTTGATGCCGGATGACACAAACAGTTCGCAGGTAACATACTATGTATGTTTCTCTAGGTTTCAGCTTTATCCCTTGAGAGGGATGCGTGATAATTCTAGTCACCTGATCTCAAGCAGAATATATACATATATGAAAACTTCTGGGATTCATACCTGCATGACACTCGGTTTTGAGACTTCAGTCCAAAGGCTTGGGTAGGAAAAAGGGTTTGGAAGGCTTATCTTCAGCTCTTGAGTATGGCACAAACAAACAGCTTTGCTCATATCTTCGTACCAGCCAGTCAATTCTTGAGATATTCGAGGAGAAAGTCACCTCAGACTAAAGTTCAGTTTGCTCTTTGAAACTCACATGTAGCAGTCAAAGTATGTTGTGACTGCCATGGAATTCCTGGACTTGAATTTCTTGCTACCTATTTTCATCCTACGTCATTTGTTTAGTACCTGCGTCCACATCGGACTTTCTCTCCCTGTTATTTCAATATACAAGTACACATAGTTATTACTCTTGGCAATCGCTTCTTTTAGAATTAACGGCGTCTCTACTACCACCAACATTCAGAAAGGTCTCACAGTATGTCTTCCACCAGTGCAGACCCTATCAAGTACGAACAGCAAGTATACACCTCCGGTCTACACTCCAACCGCCCACCATTTACCTTCCAGACCTCTGAGTGGGAAAAGCTAGCCAAGCCCGTCCTCTCCGGCTCAGCATGGGGTTACATCCACGGCAACGCAGGCGCCGGATCAACATACACCAAAAACCTCGCCTCATTCTCCAAATACTCAATCGTCCCCCGCCGTCTCGTCCCAAGTCTTAAAGACGCGCAAGGAAACGAGCTTTTCAGCAATGCCTCAAGTACAGTACTCGGAGAGAAACTCAATTTCCCGATTGCGTGTGCCCCTGTCGGCGTGCAGAAAATCTTCAACTCCGCTGGTGAGTCGGCGGCGAGTAGAGCGGCGGCTAGTATAGGGGTGCCGTATATTCTGAGCACGGCCAGCTCGACGAGTATTGAAGATGTAGCGAAGGCCAGTGGAGAGGGGGGACAGAGGTGGTACCAGCTTTACTGGCCTGCACGTGAGCACGACGATATCACAATCTCCATGCTCAACCGTGCGAAGAAGGCAGGCTACACGGCGTTATTCGTCACGCTGGATACCTTTGTCCTTGGCTGGAGACCGTCGGATATGGAGTCAGTTTCGCCTCTCTTTCACTTCCTCAACACAACTAACAATTCCCACAGCAATGGCTACAACCCCTTTCTGCACGCTGACCGCATCGGCGTGGAAATCGGATTCACAGATCCCATTTTCCGCGCCAAGTTCAAGGAAGAACATGGGTATGACATTGACGAAGATGCCAAGACTCACCCTATCGACACCGAAGGCGGCTCGCTCAGCAAAGCGGCCCAAGAATGGACCAAAGTTGTATTTCCAGGGCACTCGAAGAGCTGGAACGACATCAAGTTCCTGCAAGAACACTGGGACGGTCCCATCGTGTTGAAAGGTATTCAAAGTGTAGCGGACGCGCAGAAAGCCGTGGAAGCTGGCGTGCAAGGGATTGTGGTGAGTAACCATGGGGGCAGACAGCAGGATGGCGGGGTGCCGAGTCTGGCGGTGCTGCCGAAGATCGTGGATGCTGTTGGAGAGAAGATAGACGTGCTGTTTGATAGTGGCGTTCGGTGTGGTGCGGATGTCATTAAAGCCGTTGCGCTAGGCGCGAAGTGCGTTCTGGTTGGCAGGCCGTATATCTATGGCCTTGCTTTGGGTGGGGAGGAGGGAGTGAGACATGTTCTGAGGGCGTTGTGTGGCGAGATTGTCATGGGTATGCATCTCGCTGGCCTACGCACACTCGAGGATGTCGATAGGGATATTTTGGTTAGAGATTATGATTTGTTTTAGATGGGTAGGTACATACTACATAGAGCATAGTTTATATGTAATAAGATCTGGCATTAGCACTCCGTTCATAAACTGTAAGTTAGAATATCACCCACCGGCAAGATATATGTAATCGATCGCTAGCATTAATCCATCCATCCTGAGAAGAAACCTGATACTAATCCTAATCCTAATCCCAAGCATGAACTTCCACACCCGGATACCGAATCCGATGCCCCGCCCTACTTCTTGCCAGACACACCACACCTCCCACAAGCCCCTCTGTTCGCAAACTCCCTCGATCCAGAAAATGAAAATCCATAGCTTTACGATGTACGACGAGTTCGCGGCGCGTGTTGGGAAGAGAAGACGGGATGGGGATGGGATAGGGATAGGGTATGTGGACTTGGGTTGTTTGAATGTAGTTGTTTGGGGATTGAAGAAAGGGATGGAAGGAAGGAAGGATCATTTGATGAATATCCGTGCTCCATTAATTATGCCGGTCTTGAAATTTTAGTGAGGAGTATGCTCGGTACTCCTGTACAAACTCCTTAAATTGTGAGGTATTGTATTTCGCGGAATGGTGGAGGAGGGGTGGATGTGTGAGCAATGAGTGTAAATGTAAATGTAGGTAGCATAGTCGATGTTAGGGTTCAAAAGAATGACATTATGTATGATTCGACTTTACTGTGTTGTTTATTTTTATGATTTTAGGGTAAGAAAGAGCATGCCGCTTGTTTGATGGGGAATTTGAAGGGGGTGTGTCATTCTTTTTTCCCGACGATGTGACGGGGAAAAGGGGACGTGTTTTGTTCGATGCTGACTCTGACTTGAGGAATCTTGGGGCCGGGCTTTTGTTTCTGGAAACCTAGGAAGTGTGTACATGCCCACGGATCGATCGTAGCGTTGTGGGAAAGAGAGAAATGCATGCACTATGCATGTATAAATGAGTGATTCAAGGCTGGGTGAAACGTACTGAAATATCCTAATTAGCTAGCTATCCTTTGCTGAGAAAAGCAAAGCACGAACTTTAGATAGATCTCCTCTTGCCATCGAGAGGATATCTGCCATCTGTTTGAAACACACAAATTAAATCCAAATTAGAACGATACCAGCACAGAAAATAATGGAATAACAATTGCCGTCCATATGAGATCTTTTAAGGACGGAAAATGTCCTTTGAGTACGGCCCCCGCCCCCACCTCTACCCCTCCTAGATTTGACGACCCCGACAGTTAAAGAACGAAATTAACAGACGCAAAATAGAGCTGTGAATAAAAACAAGATATGGTGAAATGAAAACGAGCAGAAAATTAGATTTTGGCGTGATTCAAGGTAGGGCATGTACCCATGCTGCCTGCAGTCCATCGCCAGATGTAAATAGACTGAAGCAACATGCAAGTAGGTCCCAAACATATCAAAATAGCTCCTTGCATGAAATACAACTTGTTAAAAGATGCATCCCCAGAGCTCATCCCTTGATAAGCTAGATGGCTGTTGATAACCACCGCTAAGGGCGCCTGCACAAGCACCGGCTTAGGTGGGAGAGGCGCCGCAAGGGGAATGATGTGCCGTATTGAATGGGACTAGGTGACGAGAATGCTCATGCCATTACTCTCCAGCTGCTTCACCCAGGCCCAAGAATTCGGCAGGCCCATGTCATGGTTCGCCCACATCTTCTTCACCACAGCTTGCGCAACGTCAATGTTGCCGAGCGAACTCCATTCCTTAAGCCGCCGGAAGTGCGCCTCAATAGTGGTCCTGTCCTCATCCTTGATTGCTGCGGAGCCGGTGATGAAGAGCGGGAAAAGTAGGCAGGCCATCGCTCCATCTCCGCACTTGATCTGATTCATGCCAGTAGCCATCAGCCGGACCGCATTTTGTACAGCAGCGTCTGCTTTCCCGTCAGGGTACACGATCGAATAAAGCCAGATCCATAAAGCCCACTGATAAAATTGTGCAATCATCCCGAATTTACTCGACAGCGTGGCTCTTGACTTCCAGTCATCTAGATCGTGCCATATGGCCACAGCTTGTGCAACTACATTGCCGTCTGGCTGGCGTGGACTAGCATCAGCCAGAGCACGAATGGCTGATATGCGAGTGACGAATTTGCAAAGACCATCAGTTACGCCTATCAGTGAGGCATTATGAGAAGAGCATTTTGAGGAACCCCGGAAATGAGGTTTTGAAGAGGGCGATGGTAATGTCACCGTCGCGATAGAATCGTGATAGACAAAATATTCGAGGAGGAAGGGATTGACCTCTGTGATAATGATACCCGATTCGCAGTCATCTATATCTGATTCTGGACTTCGTGGTCCCATCGTTAGAGCCTGACGTGCACTGTCGAGATGCGTTCTCCAAGTCATATTGCTAGCGCCTTCGCAGAGTTCGTACAGGCATAGAAGTAGAGACGTAGCGACTACAATATCTTGGTCTGGAACCGAGAGAGGAATTGTTTCTGTTATTCTCAGCTTTTTGTCGAAATCTCGAACACGATGAGATTGCAGATCACAAATGTCTTTATGTAGCCGATTTCTCTCGCGGCAAAGTTCCTCAATTCCGGTCTGTTGAGACTTCAAACGGTGGGAAGCAGCCAGGCAGAGGACCATTTCCATAACATTTCTGTCACGCATTGCCAGAGGGATGACTTCAACGTTCATAGGGTTATCGTCCCTGTTGGAGATTGTTAACAACCGTGACATGGTCTGAGTGAAGTGGTAGAAGAGACATCTGTGAAGCTCTGTTTCTAGGCCTCTGATCAAATACGGTAGGTCCGGAGGTAAGACATTCTCCTGTGCGACATTCTGGATCAAGTCCGCCTCTTGTAGCGTACATGCTTCCTTTGCTGGGATTAAGGAGTGTGTGTTGTATCGGGGCCCGTCCTCGTAGCTGCCAAGTGGACGAATATCAAAGTTCGAAGGAGCTGATGGGATTTCAAATGAGCCAATTCCAAAGTCCAAGGCATTGGGACAATATTCTAGTCCATAATACGTCGACGGAGTATCATGGGAGAACGCCAAAGTCTGAGGTTGGAAGATGTTTGAAATGTTTCCGGTAGAGCTCATAGGGCTGCTAATCGCCGGTCTCAGCTCTGAATATATTCCCCTGGCCTTTCTGGCCTTCCTGGCCTGCTCCCTGGTTTCAAAAAGCAGTTTCTGATCATATCCTTCACAGACGACATTTGCCTTTTCACAGTTCCCGCATTCTGGTCTCTGTTCTGTTGGGGTAATTAGCACTCTGAGGCTCTTATCCGCATCTTTCAAATCCTCGTCATATTCGGCCTCGGTGTGAGCATTAGGGTAAAAGTAATCGAATTTGCTTTTGGGACACATACCATCGCATTTTTTCTTTCTTCGACGACAAGTTTTGCACCCGGTATGGGACCTCTTAGCAGGTTTCTTTGCGATTTGAGAGTCGTTGACCAAGGCCATTGCGGCAGAAGATGCATTAGAGGAAGTAGGCATCACGCTATTAATTAGGAGAGAAGGACGAGAGGTAAGGAACTATACGATGTGTGTTTTCAAGCAAAAGAGAGATGCGAAGTGTAAAAGGAAAATAACGTGCGAGAGAAAATGTTAACCCCGCGGGATGTCCCTCTCCAGGAAGAGATTCAGATTCGTAGAGACGCAGACAGGGGGGTGGGAATCTCAAGGTGATAAGTAGCTTTTGCGATCTGGTGCATAAACGCTGACATGGACATGGCTTCACTCGGCCCAATTGGCCGTCCCTCGGACTTCCTCTTGCAGCAGGCGTTGGGGGCTGGCAAAGAACCTTGGTGCCGGAACCAGAATACGGTATTGGCAGCCTCTTAGTTGGGAATATGTAAGCGACATTTCGCACAGTTCCAACTGATAGGTGTTGTCTAATTGCAACTGATTGTTGGAATACATAAGAGAACAAGCTTTAAGATTACTGTACAAGCCAATTCTCCTTGTCGCTACGTGACGCTTTCGCTTAGACAAGCTTCAGCCAGACCAACCAACCCAACGAGCCAACCTCATCTTGACTCCCTTTTCAAAATTGCTTCCTCCTTAGACTACGGTTCTACCTCAACTTTGTTTCTCGTTCGTTCCTCTAAGTACTGCTACTCCTTCAACGTCGTCTTTAGGGACGCAGTCATTTAACACTTTGTCAATGCGAACGCGCCCTTTCACGCATATCGGCCCTCGTATCGTGCCGTCTCGGGTGGCCAGGCATTTACGGCTTCTCGCAGTGCAAACACACTTTCTTTTTCTTCTTGCAAAGCATTCCTTGGCGTCAGATAAGTTCCCGAACCATGAGAATGATCGCTTCACTCCGCGGAAGTCTCGGAATAGTTGCCTCTCCTGTCTAATATGGATGTCCTCAATCTTCGGTGGATAGGGAAGCAAATCTGCAAAGGGCTTGTTGGAATATTGTCTTATCAGTCTGCATAAAATCATTGTTTCACTCGCTCCACAGGGTTCTATATTATCAAGCCATGGAAGAATCTAGTGCAGATAGTCAGAAGTATTTCTCCAACTTTGTCGCGGCATACTTTTGCATAGCTTTTCTCAGTTCTGTATGCATTTGAACGGGCCCATGTACCGGCCATCTATCCTCTCTTGAATGTAACACCCAGCTGGCGACATGGAGAAACTTGCCCCGCTAAAGAATCCCATCAGTTCGGTTCTGACGACAATTGCGGGGTACTCGCAGACAGTAGTCCCGCTTCTCGCGTCCCACTCCTTGAAGAAGCACATTAATGTCTTTCATCACTACAGAGTACTTGCGCAGCCACTCCGAGTGCATGCTGCTCGCCTTGAAAGTCCGGTCAGTTATTCCGTTGTGTATGAAATCCGGGTTGTTCTTTGCGAGCTTTAAGTGTGGGGGGTAAACGCATTATGAGGAAGTTGACGATACATTCAAAGGCTTCTTCGCAGGCCTTTTTCTGTACAAGGGAAGCATTGCATTCCCCCTTCGCGGCCAGTTCGAAGGAGGTGTCTTCTCAGTTCTTGCTCTTGCAGGTTCATTCTGTCAAGAATTTGGCAATCATGTTGAGGCATTTTGCGTACTCCCATGGCCATATTGTATTTTCCTGCTTTCAATGGTCTATGGGTGCGGTGTAATTACTGTAATATCGAAGTTGGGAAGTGACTGGATCTTTGATAAGTCCCAAGACGGCACTTTAGCCTCGAGGGGTTTTGTTCGCCTCCAAACGACCAGGCTCATAAATTATACAGGCGGAAACACCCCTGGGAACAGCAATACCTTAGTTTTAAAAGGAGTTTCCATAGCCATAGTATTATGAGGCGGCTGAGTCGTTCTGTAATAGAGCATGATATTTATATACACTGCTACGGCAGATCAAATGATACATTGCCATTTATGGTGAAGTTAGACATTCGGATCTAAAGCATCATCAACTAAGTCTGTAGTACATTCCCTCCAAATCTAAATTGTGCCGTTTCTATGATTGCTTCTTCCTACCAAGGATTAACACGAACTCCCAGGGATCCCTGGTTATGCACCCTGCAGTATGGCAATGAATCACATTCTAAGACAGGAGCATAGTACCCGATATAAACGCTGTCCCTTTATTGGAAAGAATCGTACCGTATCATGAGTCAGCGTTGTTCACACCCGTGTAACACCAACCTCCCATTTGGACCTGCAGCTAGAAGGCCATGCTAAGATCTGACAATCTGTCACATCTTCGGTCTAGGTTCCGGGCACCGTGCACTTTTAGTCCCGAGAGCCTGGCCGACTCGAAGGTTCGTCAATGTTTCTTGGAGATTCAAAGGCCGGAACCGGAGCAAAACAAGCCCTGCTACAGTAGCAAATACCTACAAATGTGGCGTGATCCTGCAACGGCTACGGCGTATTTCGTATTAGGCTTCGGGGCCTGGCTACTATGTATCAGAAAAATCTGCCTGATACTACCATGCATCTCGCTGCACAATACATCGTGTTATTCGCGGTTTGCCATACAACGGAATCGAGTTCTTTGTACCTACATCGGATCTCATTCTGATGAGGCAGGTAGCATCTCAAGGACATATTGAGAGTCGAGCAACTCTATTTCATGGTTTATGCTTTTAGGTAATAATGCAACCTACTAGGAAGGCGCGGTGTCTCCGTTTAGACATAGCAATATTCCCTCAGAAGCGTTTGCGAAGAGTAATACTTCTACTTGCATCATACATTCCTCTAACTACAACGTGCCGTTGAACAAGACGCATATTCTAAGGTCTTTGGTCCTGTTATACTACTGGTCGCTGTGGCTTTACTTTGATCCTTTTAATCCACTAGCTGAACGAGCAGTCTTGTACGGTCAGTACAAACGATCTCAAGGTCACTGTCAAACCCCGTTGGGGTTTTTCTCTCTCTCAGATGTTTCACTTTGATACCTCAACTTTAGGTAGAAGGGCTTAAGTGAAAATGTTTAAAATGCCAGCACAAGCATAAGCAACATATATACAATTCTCTCCTTTGAAAGGTACACTGCTATCAACCTTACAGACTCTGCAATTTGTCTCCTTCTCTTCATCCTTTGCCAGGCTTTGGTGTCGAGATCGGTATAGGAGGACCTGGGTCGGCCCAGAGACTGATGTCGAGACACCCATTTCCCTCGGACAGCAAGGTCAATGGCTTTGCCCCATACTTTGCGTCAACTGTATCGGTATCACCTACACCAAGTTAGCCAAACGACTTTACCAGAAACAGAACACTCACAACCATCCATCGCCTGTGTGGTCCCTGCAGGACATACACAGCCTTCGTTGATCCCCCTATGGTCTGAAAACAAGAGAGCCGGCGCGCTTAGTCAGCGGCGTACTAACTGGTGGAAGGACTGTGGTGGTCGTGGTGGTTGTAAGAGTAGTAGTGGTTGTGGTAGTGCTGTCGAAAGAAGTCGTATGCTCGTCGCATGCATAGCAACCTAGCACATAAGTAAGGAGAAACAATAACGTTGATAAGAACTCCATGATTTTGGTAAAGAGAGACTTGAGGTAGTGGTTTTGAAGGAATGGGTGGATGAATAGATGACTCGGAAGAATAAAGGAGTGGATTCTTACTCGAGTAACAGAAGAGTGGAAACAGAATAGCAGCTTTATAGTAGATGCAACCAACAGTTGTTTCGAACATACACCTGTCCTCAGGATGATGAGCGTGGCTGGGGGTTGGTTTCTATGATAATGTTTACCAACTGACTTGAAGTGAAACTGAAGGATGAGGCTCAAGCCTGGGGGTTGGCGGCAGAGTGTTGGTACCACCAACAGGCCTAGGGCTAGGACAGCTTCAATCAAAAGGGAATCATAGCAAGCAACCCCGAATCGAAGGTAACAGTGGATCACTTCTCATCGCCTACTTCTTCTACATCAAACAGTCTCCCTAACCTTTAACAAGGGAGCGGCCACAACATCATCCCAGAGTCCCTTGCCTCGGAGCATTAATTCTGCCTGTGTACAGTTCGGAAAGTAGGGATATGAAACAGGAAAATAGAGTATAGTCATATATGTTTTGATAATTTCTAGACTTAAGACGTTTAAAACTTTAGGTAATATAGAAATAAATCAAACTCTAGCTAATATAAAAATGAAAATGATTCTATGGATATCTTAAAATAGTAACACCTCCTTTGTTATACCACCAGGTGAACAGAACATTCTAAGAGCCTGATTTCTAGTCAAGTGCTTTGATAGCCCTCATCGTCTATTCCGCAACAATGGTGCACTCTCACTATCCGCTCCACTTTCGCTATCACTCTTCTTCTTCCTCGGCATCGTCACAAACTTCCCCCCATCAACCTCCCTAACAACCCAGCTACCATCATTCCTCGCACTATCAAAGAACTCTTGGTTCTCCTCAAAACTCCTTCCTCCACTCTCAGGACTATACCTCCAAGTCCACCAGCCAGCAAACGCATTTGTAGCAGCGAAAATCAAGAACAGCCAATACTTTAGATTGTTAAATCCCACAGGCGTCAGCAGAGTGATAGTGAAATTCGCAAATCCCCACACAATCACAGAGATAGCACTTCCCTGTGCCCTTGCCGTGCTAGGATATATCTCTGTGGGTATCAGCCAGACGGTAGCCAGCCAGCCGATGCCAAAGATTGCCGTGGCGACGAAAAGCACAATGCTGCCTGGGATTTCGACAGCGAGGACCGGGACGCCTGGGACGCTTTGCGCGAGGCCGCCGAAAATGGTGAGGAGAGCGAAGGAGGAAGAGAGGCCGATTGAGCCCCAGATCATGAGTTTGCGGCGGCCGAAGACGTCGATTGAGAGCCAGGCGAAAGTCATCATTAGGAAGTAGGAGATGTAGTTTCCTAGTGTTAAATATTCTGCTTTTTCGGTCTGAAAGCCGAGGAGTTCGAAGATTTGGGGACCGTAAACTGAGACTGCTCCGTAGCCGGTGAGGGCTTGGTTTATTTGACCCATGACTGTGACCATGCTTGGATGGTACTGAGATCCTCCCGGGATCAACATATCTTTGTAGCCCACCTTCTCATTACTTTCTTCATCTTGTGCTTTTTGGATACTTTCTAGTAATCTTTCTGCCTTTTCCTTGCCATGGACGTGTATCAATGCTTTCCTTGCATCATCTTTCCTCTCTTTGCTGATGTACCAGCGGGGAGTCTCCGGGAGTTGGCTGATGACAGACATGAGGACAAGGGGGAAGATCTGCATAACGATGATAGGAATACGCCATGCCCACTGATTCTGTTTCCCAAGACCGATGGTGACCCCAAGGTTAATCGAGTATGCCATGAGAAGCCCAAAGATGTTCATTTGAAACTCCTGCGCCAGAGCTTTGCCGCGGGATTTATCCGATGCAAGTTCACTGCTGTAAATGGGAATCACGGCATCAATGCCGCCAACTCCAAGTCCCATAACGACCCGACCTGTCAGCATACAAGCCAATGCTCCGCCCTTCCAAGGACTTGTGCCGTTCATTGACAGGCCAGATATAAACATGAGAATATTCCCAAAAGCCGTCGTTGCGAGGCAGGTGAATATTGAAGGCTTTCGTCCTTCCCTGTCTGCCAGCCATGATGCAATAATGGCTCCAACGGCACAACCCAAATAATATACGGAGACTATTATACCGACAATTGGAGACTCTTTGGATATTTGCATTGTTTGAAGGTAGGAAGAATTCGTGTTGATCAGGGACATCATTCCTGAATTTGGGTTAAAAGACTTGATACATTTGTATTTTGGATTGGAAATACCTTGATCGTATCCATAGAGAGCAATTGCCGTACTGGAAAAGAGCACAATCTCATGTTTCTTGGAGATGAGTGGGAAGAGCGAAGAGCTTCCTGCTGTAGGTGGTGGATTAGGCATCTTGAAGGTGAAATAACTCAACAACTTGACAAAGTTGTAGAGAACGTGAAGTGTACCTAGGTTTCAAGAAGGGTATATAGCGAAAGAGATGCGTGAAGGGGTGAAAGACTTGGAGACTTCACCTGGACCTTGGCCCCCCCCTGCCTTGGTTACTGTAGGATTGTGGGGGATCATCGAGCCAGACATCGTCATTCGGCATATACCCAGGCTACTACTCGTAGCGTAAGATCTTACAAGTACTACCACCCCGCCCCCCGCCTACTCACCACCGAGACCGAGTCATTTAAACACCCCTCCAGTATATCATGAATCGCATTCAACTATTGATATGATTTATGGAAGTCGTTGCGGATGTTGATTGAGGGTTGTCGAGGAAGATTGTCTGAAGGGAATACTTTCCGTACAATACATATACATACATGCGTATCGCCCGCAATCTCCGAGAAGCTCCAACCTCGGCACTTCGATTTTCAGAAATGAAACTTCCAACATGCCTCCCCCTCAACCGGTGGTGAGCACGATCATCCTGGCTTCTTATCGTTCTCTTCTAATCTTGAGAACCGCAGACCCCATCGCCGCACCGATTCGTAATCAAGAAAGATGCCCCTGCTCGAAAGACCCCTCTAGCACAAGAATACAAGCCTCGACCTAGTCAATTCAACACCACCCCGCGGTTCACAGTCTCTTCGACCCCGCGACCTACTGCGACGCAGAGTTATGCCTCTGCTACACCCTCTTCGTCGCGATATTTGACGCCGGGAAAGAGTGCACAAAAGGAGCACGAGGCGATTGACATTTTATCCTCTGATGGTCCAACGAGGGACATCCAGGATTCAGTTGAGGCGGAAGAGCAGGATCATGAATTAGATTATCTATCTGATGAAGACGATTACGCGTTGGAAGAGCCTGGTCCAAAGCGGCGGCGACTCTCATCATCTCCTTTTCAGCTAAGGGAAGAAGACCACAGCGACCATGAGCCACAACTATCGAACTCCTCTCTGCAAATACTATCATCACCACCGGCTCCCCGACACGCGATCACTACCGCAGCATCGAGGTTCCTAATACCAGCACCGCCGTCCACTCCCGCAGCATCTAATCTTACCCAATCAACGTTCCGAAAACCACCTCCTTTCAGACCCCCCGATCCATCCGAGCAGGCGGCTTCACAAAAGGATCCCCTGCCTGACCATTTCTCACCCCAGAAAGGGGGGCGGAAATATATCCCCGGCGGACTGGCAGCAGAGCTACAAGGCTGGTTAGTCAACATGGAGTCTACGCTTCCTTCGAATATAAATAGAGAGGATCCTTGGCTTGTGAAGATTGTAGTTGATGAGGTCAGTGGGGGCGCGAGGACTGGGATGACGATGATTAGGGGGAGGCAATTGAAGGCTGAGGATGGGATGATTGAGCATGAGACAGAGATGAAGGTAATTCTTGCTGGTGAGGGGACAATGGTGGGGTTACAGAGGGGGAGTATAGTTGAGATGGGAAAGACGATTGGAGTTAAAGGACCGGTTTGGGAGGTGCTGCTCGAGGGCGAGAAATGGGGAGTTGGAGTTGACTGGAAAGTCCTACCTGATTGAAGTGCTGGTGCTATAGTAGTGCATACATTCGTTTCGCGCGGTACTGTAGTAATTGGTATCTTGATGGTAGGAATCGTGGGTGGTTCTTCCCAAGCAGTTCATGCGTGGTGTAGAAAACTTGTTTGTATAACCTAGCAGGGCCGCTCTTTCCGCTAGATCTATTCACGCTCTGCGCTATCCTTTATTTACTTTTGTTTTGCTTACCTCTCCTCCTTGTTAGGGATTACGTTCTTTTTCTACCCCTCTTCTCTTGTCTGACGAACATATCCTCTGTCCTCTCAAGCTTTTCAATAAAATATCGTCAAGATGAACGCTTCAGAGGAATATTTCCAGCCTGTCTCGAAGAATACTAAACCCAAAGTCAGAAACCCTTCAACTGTTTCGAAAAAAGGAAATGTCGAGAATCCTACTGCTCCAGTCGAAATGACTTTCACCCCTTCCAAATCAGGTGGTTCAAGCCCCGGAAGCAGCTCTTTTGCATCTCGACCCTCCGCGAAATTTTCCTACGGCGACTTTCGAAATACACCAAGACACAGCATTCTTGATATGAAAGCGGATGTTATGGTCAAAGGAACAAATACAACATGAAATGCTATGGTCCACAGGGAGTCCGGGAGAAGGAGTCGTATTGAAAAAGGGACGAAATGACTTCACGTGCGCGCCCAAAAATTTGAGAAGTGTTTCATCCTTCTTGGATCAAGTTGTAGCTATGAATGTCCAGGTAAGCACAAATTCTGCTTCGATTCTGATATGTATTAACAGAGTTTGGACAGTGTGCTATGACAGTCAACACACGGATCATCAGAATCTTCCTTTCAAAAAACACCGAGAATTACGTACCACTTGGTGATAGACTTCGTCTTCAGGTACTACCTTCAGCGGAACATCTTCACCGATGTCAGAAACATCATTTTGGGGCCTTTATCGCCGACCAAAAGATACTTGTTGTCTGGGATGACGAACCTCAGAATATCTTCAACCGAGCGGAGAAGATTGAAAACTCGCTCATACATATGATTTGGGAAGGTTCGAATCACGTATATGACGAAAAGAAAACAAGTATTCAGGTCTCAACAACGGAGCTATCAAACGTAAAGATAATCCCAAGTCAGCTAGAGGAAGCTCTGACAGCAGTAGACCGTCCTACTGTGCTCATTACTCCCATAACGGTTGGCCTTACTTTAGCTTTACTGATGACTGCTCTGGGTTTAGGGTGGAGGAAGTTGGCACAACAAATTGCGATTGATGGAAATTACACCCATTTGGCACTACTCGTTGTCACTCCGTGCCAAATATTCGCCTCGCTCTTTTTTTTCCAGGGGTCATTATTGGTAGCCTGGCTCAAATATTTGGCCCTATCTCTCAATTGACCTGTAATTCCAGATTCTACTCTGGCAAGGGCCCTCTTCGGCTCGATCGCAACTTGACACTCCTTCCTCACGTCACAATCCAGATGCCTGTCTACAAGGAGCGTTTGACCGCAGTCATCAAGCCAACTATAATGTCTCTCAAAGCGGCAATTTCAACTTACGAGCTGCAGGGAGGGACAGCTAACATCTTTGTCAACGACGACGGATTACAGCTTCTTTCTCAAGATGAGGCCCAGCAACGCCGGGATTTCTATGAGGAACATAATATTGGATGGGTAGCGAGACCTAAACACAACCCCAAGCCAGAAGGCGACGATAATGCTTTCGTAAGGAGAGGAAAGTTCAAGAAGGCATCAAACATGAATTATGCTTTGATGATTAGCAACAAGGTTGAGGATAAGCTCCTGCTCTTGGAGCGCTTTCAAGGTTGGACTCAAGATCATGAATACGCTGCGTACGAAAGGTGTCTAGCAGAGGCTCTACACGAAGAAGACGGCCGCGCTTGGGCTGATGGCAACATCCGCGTTGGAGACTACATCTTGTTGATAAATTCCGACACTCGAGTCCCAGCCGATTGCTTACTGGACGCCGGAAGTGAGATGGAGAAATCTCCCGAAATCGGAATCTTGCAATACTCTTCAGGTGTCATGCAAGTTACTAACAATTTCTTTGAGAATGGGTAAGTAACCAAAACAGCCCCGAAAGAATAATGATACTGAAAAAATTCATAGGGTCACTTTTTTCACGAATCTCATTTACACGGCTATTCGATACGGTGTTGCGAACGGTGATGTGTCCCCTTTTGTTAGTCACAATGCTATCATTCGCTGGTCTGCTCTCCAAGCGTCTCGTATGAAGATGAGGACGGATATGATAAGTTCTGGTCAGAGTCCCACGTCTCTGAAGACTTCGACATGTCACTTCGCTTGCAGATTTCTGGTTATATTATTCGCTTAGCAGCATATACTGGGGATGGCTTCAAAGAGGGTGTCTCGCTCACGGTATATGATGAAATAGCCCGATGGGAGAAATATGCTTTTGGGTAAGGTATCTTTCCTTATCTCATGACTTTGGGTCCCCCCAAACTTGATTTGTGGTGTCCCTCTGGGCATTGAACATTGTGCTAACACCAACTTTAGGTGTAATGAGCTTCTGTTTCACCCCTTTAGATTATGGGTAACTCGTGGGCCATTTACGCCTCTATTCCGGAAATTATTGACTTCGAACATCCCTCTGACGTCTAAAATCACTATCATGTCGTACATCGGAACCTACTACGCTATTGGTGCGGCTTGGATCCTCACTTTGTTCAACTACTTCCTAATTGGCTGGTTCAACGGAAACCTAGATCATTACCTCCTTGATTCTTTCAGGGTCTACTTCTCCCTGATCCTCGTCTTTAGTGGGCTGGGAAACGTCGCATTGGCAGTTCTTCGATATAGGCTTTCAGAGAAAATTTTGCTAGGAGCTTGTTAGTAACCTGTTTCCTCACCATTTTAAGTTACTGACAGAAAGTTCAGTGTGGGAAAACTTCAAATGGGTGCCCCTCCTTAGCGTTTTCCTAGGTGGTATTTCTCTCCATTTATCGCAAGCGCTCCTGTCCCACTTCTTTGAAATCGAGATGAGCTGGGAAGCGACGGCCAAAGAGGCGGAAAACACATCATTCTTCGAAGAAGTGCCGCGGCTACTTAAGCGCTTTAAGTTCACGTTTATATTTTCCATCGCCTGTTCCGCGCTCATGATCGCTGGGAAGTTCGCCTTCCCGTGGAATTGGGAGATTGGGACTTTTCAGGCTATTTACCCCTTGGCTGCGATTGTGGTTTCGCATTTTGTTGTGCCGATTGCACTTAATCCAGAATTTGATGATGTTTACGTGGTAGGCGTGATAGTTTTGATTTGCTTTTGCTTTTTAGGCTGGTGTTGGAGTCTGTCTGGGATTGGGAGATTAACTATTTGGGTCGGTGTCTTGTCTATGGTTTATGGCTAGATAGACGGCATGTTGCTAACATCATGTAAATCATATGGCGGATCTATATTTAGCTGGAAATTAGTAATAGATTTTTAGATCCTTTTACCACGCATAAGCGTCCTCTCAACTCTGAGTGGGTATGAGCTTTGAGCAATTGTTGTATATGCGTACTTGTGGTACTAGGAAACGGAAGATAAACGATATTGGTCGAATCAAACCTGATAGTATTGCTGCAAAACCTTGCAAAGATTCAGATATTATAATTCTCAATGACTGGATGTGTCCGGACTACACTATGATTCCTACGTTCGATGCTCTGTGTCCAAAAGTAACTGCTCCTCTTCCTCCTCCACTGTGGTGGCTCGTCGCCTTCTGCTATTGCTCTTCTTCATAAATGGTAACCCACTCCTAGCCTCCCATAGATCGGGAGATCGATACGCCAAATGACATAACATGCCAGCCAGGAACCCTACGCCATCGTTCTTGAACGCGAGCAAACCGCCAATAGTCATGAACATCACAGTCCACCTCTCCCTTCTCTCATCATCTGAGAGTTGCCGTTGTCGCTTTGGCGTCTCTCCAGCAGGTGAAGCCTCGGTGGATTCAGAAGCCTCCCACAAATCCCTTGCGCCGTAATTCAAGCTCTCACCTACTTTCGCGAGTTCCAAGCCTGCCGCAAGGACCATGATGCCGAGAAGGGACTTGGGATACTCTTTGAGAAGTCCCACAAGCGTTTCACCAAAGACAAGACCCAGAATAATCTTGCATAGGCCAAGGAGAATGATGCTGGCTCCGCTGCGAGCGCCGAAGCGGTATTGTGCAGCAAGTCCCCCAGAGCCGTGACATACGGGCATGGCGCCAAACCAACCTCCAATTAAGTTCATAAGCGCAACACTGATACCTATCTGTGTGACACCTGGAGTGGGAAGGTGTGGAAGCAGATCGGCGGCCAGATAGGAGACTGCTATGATGGAGTTGAGTGTTGTCAAAGGAATCTGACCCAGTCCTGCGTCCAAAGCACCGGTCCGGAAGTCTACCCAGGAGGGGATGAAGGTGCGTGGATGCCATACGGCAAATGAAGGAGCGTTCCGCGACCCTGCGAGTATAGCTGAAATAACGAGGCCCAGAACGAATATGAGGAGTGCATAAGGGACTTTAGGGAGTTTTTGTGTTGCCAGAAGGGCGAGGAATGCGAAGATGGCCCATATGAGATTGTCGCCTGCATTTGGCGTTATCCATCCCAGTGGCTGCAACAGGGAAGTTCCTGCAGAGATGACCAGAGAGAGTCCAGCTCCGACTTGTATCCCTTTTACAACTGGAGTGGGAATCACGTGCGTGAACCAACGGAGGAGACCCGTGATGCTGAAGATGAAAACAATGCCTGCGGTGGTGAAGCCTGCAGAGACTGTTTCTTCAATAGTGAACTTTCTTGCTATTGCTACTGCTGCGATTGCCTATGAAGAGTCAAATCACGTGGTATAAGTGGTCGGAGGAGAAGCGTGTACCTTCATAGGCTGGACAGGGAGAGGAATCCCAAAGGCTACTCCCGTGAGTATGTTCCACAGCCCGGAAAATACGAGAGTTGTGGATAGGGAAATGGAGTTGTTAACTGCGAGAGCTATCATCAGTGGGAGGAGAGTTCCCAGGTCACCCAAGGAGCCCGAGATCTCAGCCAGGGGAGAGCTTCGAAAGGTGTTGACATTGTTGATGTGCAATCGACGGATATTGGTGAACATGATAGCTGATTTTTCTAGTCCCTAAGACTCTGACAGTAGGATCGGTGATGAATGTCGAGGAAATAGTATCCGATCTATCAATAGTTTTCTAAGCAAAGTGTAGTTGTGATTGGGAGGGCCATTCGATCTGATTTCAGAGATGTTGCGATCTGGTTAGCAACTGTAACAGTTTTGAAATAATGAGAGAAGGATAAGGGAACAGGTGAGAATGTTTTACATGTACATGTGGCGGGGTCATGGGATGAGATGGATGCGCAACTTTAGATTTGATAAGATCTTCAGGAGGTGTCCGTAGTACTGTAGGTGGGGTGGGGTGCGCACGGGCACTTCTTACTGTCGCGTAGTTTTACGCGTAGAGCTTCACGCGTTTTAATCAATACCAACCTCTTTACTCCTTATCTTCCTCCTCAACACCAGAGATTCAACAACATGCATTGTTCACCCACATAATTACGAAAGTCTGTTATATTAGGAATAGGTCTTTCAAATATATCATTGTTTGACAATTACAATGGCTTCCTCACGAGAATCCTCCCCAGCGAGGAGCTCTAACCCAAGCTCACCAACTCAATTGACGCCGAATTCGAAGGTCAAGGCCATGCTGGCAGCTTTGGACGACGATTCGGAAGATGAAAGCGTTAGCAGCTCTGCGAGAGCAAATCTAATATCCAAGTTCACGAAGCGTGGTACTTCGAAATCACCAGGTCCTCAACGCGTCGAATCACCAACGAAGTCGGCCAGCAACAAAGACTCTGCAGAGCCCGAGAAGGATAGTGAGGATGAGGAAGACGAAGAAGAAATTGTGCGACCTAAAGGACGAATGGCTGCTCGTATGCAGGTTGCTGGAGAGAGTTCAGAAGAGGAGGTACAACCCGAGAACGCGCGAGAACGAGTCAAGACGTTGCTCCTGGCAAAGAGCAAATCGCCAAAGCCTTCTACCAACAATGAAGGCAGCGATGGAAGTGCCGAGAGCGATGTCCCTGTGGTATCTCGGAAACGCAAGATTCGAACAACGCGTCAAGAAACGCCAAAGTCCAGCAAACCGAAAGCTGCTGCTTCTCCGGGTCTTTTTGTCTCGCCTTCACGACCGAAGTCTGCCGGCCCAGGAAGCAACGCATCCGATTCTGATGAGCTACCAGCCCTCGGCGATGATAAATTCAAGGCGCTCGTGGAAAGGAAACGCAAGGAGCTTCAAGAAAAGCAGAAAGAGGCTGCAGCTGAGAAGGCCAAGAAGTTGGCTGAACGAAAGAGGCACGCCCAAATTCTTGAGGAGGATGAACTTGAGCTCAGTGATGAGGATGGAAGACGGCGTCTCACGCAACCAATTCGGAAGGCGGGTAAGAAGGCCCAGGAGGAAATTCGAAGAGAGACACAACGGATGAGTCGAAATCAACAATTAGCTCACAATGCAACAACGAAAAAGAAGTTCTCCAAGAAGGATTTCTTTGCACGAATGAACTACAGGCAGGATGGCAAGGCCGATGCTGAGACCGCTCGACCCACGAGCTCTAGCTCTGCTGCACCCCACTCGGATGTTGAGATGAAAGATACGCCACCGACTTCTCCATCGTCTCCTAATTTGGAAAAGCCTATAAGGATTGCTTCTCTCCCTCCTGCTATTATCGAAGCCGAGGAAAATGACGATGATTTACCTACTCTGGAAGATGCCTTGACCCGGTTACCCTCATCACCCCCAGTGAAATTAGACAAAGGCAAAGGAAGAGCTGTCGAGGAGCCAACACAGGAATCCAAAACCCAGCAAAAGAAGTTTATGTTTACCCAGCCGAAGATTCGGCAACCGAAAATGGCCGGCAAGCAATCAATTATGGCGGGCGACTCGGACAGCGATCTTGAGATTGTCAGTGTGAAGACACCTAATGCGAGAAACAAGAAGCTTGATTCTATATTCAACCGCATTCCCGAGAAACAAGCAAAGGAATCGCATTCCCTTCACGCCTTACGCATGTTAGCACATCTAACGTCGCCTGGGAAGAAGAATTTTGGCAAGAATAGGAAGCCAGGAATGACAACTTCTGAACTCCAAGTCTCACTTCAACAACGTGCTAGACAACAGGCAACGCGTGAGCGCGAAGAACGTTTGCAAGCCCTTAGAGACAAAGGTGTTATTGTTCAGACAGCTGAAGAACGAGAGAAGGAAAATGCCGAGGTCGAGGATCTTGTTGAGAGAGCTCGACAGGAAGGGGAGGAGATCCAGAAGAGAGAGAAGGCAGCTGCGAAGAAAGAGCGAAAGGAAAAGGGTGAGGTTGATCCTCTTGGCGATGATAGTAGTGATGACGAGGACTGGGAAGAGGAGAAGGGCAAGACAGGCAAAGTTGGTTCTGATTCTGGCTCTGATGGGGAGGAAATCGAATTTTCTGGAAGTGAGGAGGGAGACGCTAGTGGTGAAGAGGAGGATGAAATGGATTTGGATGGGGACGAGGCATCAGAAAGCAAAATTTCAAACCCGTTATTTGACAATGAAGCTTCTGACACGGAGGACGACGAAGCAGATCCGGATCCATTTATTGACGAGGAAATGGCTGAAGATGGTGACATCGATGAAGACGAGGAGCAGCAATTACCTGTCAAGCAGAAGCGCCGGCGCAACAGAAACACCAATGTCATTTCTGATGACGAATCTGAAGATGGAGATACCAAGAATATTACACTCGCGGCTCCTCAAACCGATTCGCCCATGCAACAGAAAAAGTCTCCAGCTGCACCAAATTCAGTACTACGCTCCGCTACAAAGACATTCATTCCGGGACTGACCGTCACTGGACCAGTTGGCTTGGGTTTGACGCAAATTTTCGCCGGCACCATGGATGAGAGCCAGGAACCACCCTTTACAGAACCCAATGGAGATTCACAACAGATGGAGACCCAGGATGACTCCATGGCCTTTTTGAAGAGATTTAACGCCCCAGAATTGCCACCTTTTGTACCCACAATGTCAGAGGACACACAGACACAGGACCAAGGTGTGATCATGGACAGTCAACCCATTCTACCTGAATCTCAAGCAATGGATCTCGAGTCACAGCAGATTCAATTGCAGTTCTCACAGTCACAACTGCATGACTTTGGCACTCTAGCAGAGAGCACTCAAATGTCTCCTTTTCCCGCCACCCAAGATGTCGGATTTCAACACATGACACCCATCCGAGGTCGATTCGTTGATGCACCCCCTTCTACTGTGGAAACTGTTATCCTGGACCCCACAGCCGTACCAGAAACCATGGATGAAACACCTATCGCCAAGAAGAAAGGCAAGCTTCGCCGAAGAGCTCCAGCTGTTGCGTTTTCAGATGAAGAGGACCTCGTTGAACCGCAGGAGAAGGTCGTTGAGGACGAGGATTTTGAGATTACAGCTGATGCGTTTGATGTTATGCGTAAAGCCTCCAAGAAGAAGCCTATCGTTGTTGATGAGTTCGACAAGAAGAACAGTAAAGCCAAAGAGATGGTGAATGAGCAAGCTGAGGAATCTGAGGATGAATACGCCGGACTGGGTGGTGCAAGTGATGACGAGAGTGGTGGAGAAGAGGATGCCTTGATCAAGGCAATGGTTGATGATGAAGGAGGGGAGAAAGTGGATGAGAGAAAGCTGGCTGCATTCTTTGCGTAAGTTCTTCTAACAACGATTTAACTGCTTGACTAATATGATATAGTGACCGTGAAAGAGCAAGCGACGAGAAGCAAGTTGAGAAACTTTACAAGGACATCACGAACGGCATGCTCCGTCGCAAACGAGGTGCAGACTACGACCTCTCGGATTCCGATGATGGGGGCGAAGCAAAGAGACGCCGGAAGCGGGCAGATTTCGCCAAGATGCGGAAAGCTCTTCTGGCTGATGAGCGTATTGGAAAGATTGCCGAGAATCCAAAGCGACAAGCTTTCCTCCGCGCACTTGAGGACCGCGGTAGTGAGGATGAGATGGACTTCCTTGAAGACTTCGCCGAACAAGGGGAAGGAACCGACTCTCAGTCCCAATCTCAAGCAGGAGATTCTCAATCTCAACAAGTGGTTCCCGACAGTCAACCAACTTCAATGGGACCTCCCAAGCGGAAATATTCTGAGGACTCCACAGAAGCGGAGAACAGACCTCCACCAAACCTCCGCCGTACAAAGAATGGAAAGAAGCCTTCAAACCTCACGGAAATCCGAGAATCACTCTCGAGTCTGATTGAGGAACCAAACGCCATTATCGCACCTGCCGATTCGGGCTCCGAGTCGGAAGACGAGCTAGAAATTGAAGGAGAGCCTAAAATCCAAGCCCAAAAAGAAAATAGAGATCCATTTGCGCTTCGAAGAGGCAAAGTGGCAGTCATCGACCGCATATCACTGAAACGCGCCTCCTCCAGCAGCATCTCAACCAACACACGCCTCGCATTCGCAACCTCTTCTTCTGTAGCTCAGTTCAAAGTCCCGCCCTTGCTTAGACGCGCTACCACCAATAGTAGCATTGCTTCTTCCACAACGTCGAGTGTTAGCGGTGGGATGAGCGCTACAGAGCGCATGGCTGGTGGTGCTGGGAGTGAAGGGGTAAAGAGGGGTGGTGGGCGGACTAGCGGGGTGAATTATTTTGCACGGGAGACGGAGAGGAGGGCTAATGTTGTTAAGACTGAGAAGAGGAGGCAACAGAAGAGGGTTAAGGGCGCGGAGGGGAGGAGGAAGGTCGTGGGTGGGTTATTTGGGGGTGGAAAATTTGAGTGAGGTAGTAGGAAGGAGTCGTGAATAAGTCTGGTATTAGGCGTTGGGGCAGGGAGTTTGGGATATTGGATTCGAGTGCCTAGAGGGTTGGGTATGACGAATTGGGCTGTCTAGGATACGAAATGAATGATTGATTTCCTGGAGATCATTGCTCTCTTTAAGTGATTGTTGTATGCCGTGACTTGTCGTTCTCACAATTTATCTTCCATGGTAGTCAAGTACCAAATCCGCACGGCTGTCTGTCAACATAGAGATGTGTGAGAATAAACTTCATGGATAGCTAAAAGACAAGTGCGCATAACTTATTATGGTAATAATATATTGTAGCGGACATTCTTTGCTTCACCCGCTGCCAGAGTGTTCCAAGATGTTGCATTCACCCAGTAATTTAGGACCATACTGGTAAATACAATCTGAAAATAGAATCTGCCCCTATATTATTCCAGATCGCACTGAATTATGCGTGTAGATCAGAAATTGGTGGGTGCGCCAAGCCACAATTTTATAACGATTGTTGAATAGTGTACGACGTATTGTGAGAGTGGAGGGCTCGGTAGTCAAGTCTCAAGTAAAGTATGGTTGGAGGGAATCTACATTTTACAGACAGTTTAAATATACAAGTTCTCGTCCACATGCTCTGCGCCAACTTCTACCATGAATAATACTGTCTCTGAGCAGTTATAGGTCTGTTGGGCAGCTGCGTCCACACCTTGCGTCTCCTGAGCTTCTCCTGCTTCTCCTCGTGCAGGCGAATCCGAGTCTTCTCTTCCTTCAAAACCAATGTCAAGCCTACTCTTGGTTAGAAAGATAAATTGCGTGGCCCGATGCAAGGTAGGAACTTACTCGTTGTAGGATTTTTCAGAATGTAAACCCTGCCTCTCGCCCTCGAATCCAAACTTTTTCCATACAACCCCTTGCCAACCCATGCCTGGTCAACATATAACCTCGTTGGATCATCAACTCTTACACTCTTCTTAACCTTCGTCGCAATCTTCACCGGCGTGAAATCCTCCCCCTTGGCCTTTCCCAACCCCATCCCCCTCCTCACAATCGCCTCGTTCTTCGCATGCTCCAAATGCTCCTTCACGTCTTTCGCTGCCTTCTTCACTGAGAATCGCATCTGAATAATAGCATCCTCGACGGTCTTCCCTACTATCTGTCTCGCAAGCGGATTCAACTTCTTTACCGAGGTTTTGAAATCATGACTCTTGCTCAACAGCACCCGTTCTTGCTTCTTCAACAATTGAGTCCGCGTCAACCGTCCCCGTTTATGTATATCCCTGATAACCATCTTCCTCTCCCAGCGTTTCCTCGAGTTGGGATCCGGATCTGTAGCTGCGGCCATAGTATCTGGATCCCTACTCAAAGGTTGTTGATCCGCAGCTCTCCCAGCTGCTGGCTTCGGTCCTGCTACTTCTTCGTCTTCCAGGATGGAGGACGAAGAGAGTCCTCCTCGCAGGAGCGAGTTTTGCGGCTTGGGCTTTCGCTTCAGGTAGTCTTCGGTTAATGGGTTGCTGGGCTTCGCGCTGGCGTCTTGGACGTCCCTTTTGCCGGTTCCCCAGCCCTTGACGTTGAAGTTGTTAAAGAGGGTTCGGTGGTGAGTGCGTGGGATGAGGAAGGAGGACGAGGTCAGAGAGGCGGCTGGTGTGAATAATTAGCTTGATCATTCTCGACAAAGTGACAATTGCTTTGAAGCTTGCAGCTTGCTACATACCGGACCTGAGCGCCCGCCGCGATGGTAGATGTAGACTCATTGTGGTTGGTTTTGTTGTTCAGAAGAGATAATATCGAGGTCGATGGACGCGAGAATAGAGTAATTTTGGACCCAGTCACGTGTCAGGCTGTAAGGCTGTGAACTCGGGACCAAAAGCTGTTCAAGGCTCCGCTCCCATGGAATTGTTCCTGACAATTTCCAACTATTATACCACGAACAAATCTACACATCTTTTGAGGCCTACTAGCTTTGAGATGGTCATCCGGAACATATTGTCTCAGGAATCCCCAGAAGCCCTTTCTACCACGTAAAGCCTCCGAACAATGATGGCAGATCCGGTCGGCGAAGACGCCTGGCTGGCCTTGGTGGATGAGGCCTCTCGAACTGCGGGAGATCTAGTACAGCGGGTCGAAGTTGTAGAGCTTTACAAACGCGCGATTTCTGCTGAGCCGTGGTCGAATAAACTGTGGTTGGCCTACTGCGAATGGGTATGGTCGCTTCATACGGATTGCCAGAACGGCGATGCAGGCTGGCCGGAAGAAGAGCAACTTTTTGGACAAGAGGCCTTTTCACTCGAGACGGCGTTGGATATATGGCAAGAAGGAGCCCAAGCTACACAATACCGCCTGAATGACAGCCATGAACTCTGGAACAGATGGATCTCGGTTGAGCAGGAACAACTTGCGATTTCCAAGACCCCAGAGAGGATTGAGCGTATTCGAAAGCTTTTCTTGGACCGTCTGCAGGTACCGCATACTACGTGGGAGGAAACCTCTTCGGCATTTTCAATGTTCATTACAAAGTACGATGAGCCAGCTTGGGAGTCCATTATGGTGCAGGTTGTGAAGCTGGCACAGAAGGCCAAGGACTTGTATAGTAAACGGGAAGATCACGAAACGAAGCTTCGACAAGTGGGCGACAGTGAGAACTTGGTTGCGGCTATGAGAACTTACTTGGATTGGGAGATCAACCAGACATATAAGAAGCCAAAAAAGGGCCAACCAGGGTCTCCACTGATCCTCTGCGTGGCCTTATTTGAGCGAGCGCTATGTTCTACGCCTCTAGGCCTGGATGCTGCTACTTGGGAAGATTATCTCACGTTTCTATCAGGCGCTGATTCCGACCAGGCCGCTTCGTTACCCTCTGCTTTGTCGGTAGTTCAGCGCGCCGTGGCACATTGTTCTTGGTCAGGAAACCTTTGGGCACGGTACATTCTTACCGCTGAATTGGCCAATCTTTCATTTGAAGATATGGAACGGATTAAGCACGCCGCTACGAATACCCGAGAAATCGATCGTGATGGTATGGAAGGAGTGATCGAATTCTATGTTGCGTGGGCTGGGTATCTAAAGCGACGGACAATGGGTACAAACGTTGCTGAAGAGGACATTGATGTCGCCGAAATGGGCCTACCTACTGCGTTAGAAAGTATCCAAGAGTGGGGCCAAAGACGATATGGCGCTGCTGAATGGAAGGGTGACCCACTGTTTCGCATCGAGAGAATATTTATACAGTATCTAACCCAGCGTGGATCCCACGAAGAAGCTCGCGGGTACTGGAGACGCCTAGTTCCGACCCACGGTGACAACTATGAGTTCTGGCAATCTTATTACATGTGGGAAATGACAACCCAAGATCCGACTTCGGCAGCCCCCGAACAAGCTACCAGGGTTCTTGTCCAGGCTATACACCGCCATAACTTGGACTGGCCTGAAAAAATAATGGAAATGTACATTCGCCATTGCAACCTCCACGAAGATGTCGATACTCTGGTGAAGGCAAGGGCTATTGTATATCGGTTCTCCAAGGGTGTAGCAAAGCGGCGGGCAAGAGAAGCACAAGAGGCAGCAACTCTGTATGCCCAACCACAGGTGGAACAATCCGCAGTCGAGGAATCACCATCTGGTGCATCGAAGCGAAAGCGCGAAGAAACACCAGGGGATGGAGAGGGCAATGCCAAAAAGAAGGCCAAAAGTGCCGAAGAGAGTGAGGCACTGCGAGAACAAAGCCTGAAGCGGGATCGGGAGAATACCACCGTCATCGTCACAGGTCTTCCAGCAGAGCTCACGCAGACGAAACTACGGCAATACTTCAAGGACTACGGTCACATCAATCAGATTACACTGAGAACTGAAGTTGACAAGCTTTCGTCCACAGCGATGATTGAGTTCCGGTCTCCAGAAGATGTACAGTCTGCTTTGTTGCGGGATGGCAAATACTTTGTTGATAAACAGATTCATGTGGAGGCTGGTGCTGGTTTGACGCTCTATGTCACGAACTTCCCACCTACCGCTGACGACAACTATTTGCGAAAGCTGTTCAAGGACTGTGGGGAGATTTTTAGCATTCGATGGCCTAGTTTGAAATACAATACAACCCGCCGATTTTGCTACATTTCTTTCCGGACACGACAAGCGGCTGCTGCAGCTACCCAGATGGATGGCCACTCGTTGGGTGGTGTCTATAAATTGCTTGCCAAGTACTCAGATCCATCGAACAAAAAGGACCGGGAGGGTGCCATGGCTGAGGGTAGAGAAGTCCATATCACGGGGCTTGACTTCAGTCTTAGCGAAGATGATCTGAAAGAAGTATTTGGCAAGTATGGCAAGGTCGAAAGAGCCAGGATCTTGAAGAAGACGAACGGTGAGAGTAAAGGAGCAGGTTTCGTCTCCTTTGAGAACAAAGAAGAAGCCGCTGCCGCTCTGGAGCTGGACAAGACGAAGGTGAAGTCTAGGATTATGACAGTTGAGATGTCAACAGGCAGCAACTTCAAAACAACTGCAACTACCAAGGGATCATCCGCATCTCCTGCTCCTGACGGAGATGGTCACTCTATTGCTTCTGCTTCTCCTGGACCGGAGGGCCACCCCAACACACACGGCCCATCTAAGGCCGACATTAGCAATCGAACTGTCACCCTTATGAACATCCCGGACACTGTGAACGATGCACGTATCCGTGCCATTGCTGAGCAACATGGCGAAATCGTCAAGCTCGTTCTCCGACCCGAACATCAAGGTGCCATCATCGAATACATAGATGTGGCAGCGGCCGGCCGAGCATCCCTCGCACTAGAAAACCATGAGATAGCTCCTGGGCGCAAGTTACGTACAGGCAGCGTGGGGGATCTATTTGCGCAGACGGATGAGATCAGGACTGATAGAATCTTGATCGGAAAGGAGAAGAAGAAGGCGCCGCCTACCTTTATGCAACCGAGTGCACCGGTCAAGAGACCAGGTCCCGGTGGAAGGGGCGGTTTGGGTGTAAAAAAGGGTCTGGGATTTGCGCCAAAAGCAGCTGGTGCGGCAAAGGAAGGAGAGACTAATGGCAATGTCAATGCGGGAGGGAAGGTGAAGAGCAATGCAGATTTCAAAACCATGTTTATCAGTAGCGGAACAAAGTAGCTAGATAGCATGAGAAAAAAAGCAGCAGTTACCATCATCATTTAATGTCCCACACTGCGTAGCACATTATAAAAAGTGCCACTTCCTCCTATCTACGATTCTAGATCAAAAGTCAAGCCCCACCGATAGATACCTAATGAAAGAAAGAAAAGAAAAAAAAAAAAAAAAAAGAACTGAGCTTAGCTCAGGGTAATGAACTCATGAGACGATCTCTCTGACGGGGCTGATTCATGTATTAGTTGCTGGTTGATCCAAGCGAATGTGGAGATAACTTACAGTCGAACCCCGATCTCCCGCGCTTTGTCTGTGATGACAAGCGGAAATCATGACCGTTAGACCATCAAAGAAGGATGTTTTTGATATACAATTTGCTGTTCCAATATATATGGTATGGGATTTCAAGGGCAGCTCTAAACATTCTGGTTCGGTAATAAGACAAGGGCTAATAATAATAAGGTATGTGTTGGTAGCACAGGTGTACCGATTGGTTTACGTGAGTACTAGCTAGTATAAAGTGATCTCGTTAGTTTGGCTGTCCTTTATTGATTTATATTTAAAAGTGGAAGTGTGGGACGCGAAGCTATACTAAATCACATGACTACTCAGTAGACAGGTTGGGACACAGCCCTTACCCCAACACAGGTTAGATTGCTTCCTCCAATCTAACATAGCGTGACCTTCCACTGTGATCTACGATCCTCCTCATCTGCTATTGCCGTTGCAATAATCTCGCCTTCCAAGTGCATATGTCGCTGTCGACACAAGTCGTGACTAAAATAAGTGTGTCGATGCGGCTGAAAATGAATGTGTAGAGTAACGATGCGGCTAAAGATCGGATCAACCAATCAGCATGCATTAAAATGAATAAAAAACTGACAAGGAACTAATAACAAATGCATCCTTAGATTGTCTCGAATGGTGGATCTGAATCGCCCTAAGATGTTCTATGGGATGCTGCGTTAATAGCATCACGATTCCTATATCCACTGCTCCGTCGCTCGATTTAGGAGCGTCTTTCTCGCTTGCTGGGGACAAGAGGTACAGTAGAGGTAGTGGCCTCTTCGCTGACTAAGCTACGGTAAATCACCTGACTAGAAAAGGTCGGGATACAGCCCTTATCCCAACATGGTAGGAAGCAATTCCATCTTCTACTCTATAGGCTTTTATCAACGGATGGGATATCTAGGATAGGATAGGATTTGCAACTAAGTGGCTGATGTTCTCCATATAATAATTTGTATTTTTACTAAAATAACACAGTAGGAGGATTCTGTTGCACTTCGCAGATTTCGAAATCAAGGAACTGGACTGAGTAGTCCTGGTTTTGGTCCTGGTCTTGGGCTTGGATAGGGGATGATCTGAATCTTACTCCGTAGAAACCTGTTATCACATGCGCGGGAGTGAACCCTGATTTCCAAGGTTTTGCAGAGAATAAATCAAAATCAGTTTTGTCTCTCGGTACTTACTTGTACCAGGTACCTACTTAATTGAGGTTATGGCTTGTTGGTACACATGAATTCAAATCAGATCGAATCCGATACTTCGAGGTGAAGCTGTAGCTGTGAGCCTGTGAGGTGAAAGCTGGAATGGGAAAGTCTACGCTACTCAGTACTAGCCATGTCAGGCTTAGCCACCCCACCCCCGCGAAAAATAACCTTTCAAAGGTTATCGACTTTTTTTTTATGCTCGAATTTGATCGCAGCAACGACCATCTTCACAGTAGACATCCACGTCTGCCAATACGCCTCTGAAGATGGCAGCTCCCATAACAAAGCTCCAGCAGGTGAAGCTGCCCACTGGCCCTGCACCTCTGACGCCCGAACAACAATACTGGAAAGGCTTTAAATCTTCTCAAAATATCCCCTCGCAATCGCCTATAACGCACATCTCCTTCCCACCACCCCCAAGCAATCCCCTGCTCCCTTCCACCAATGACTACTTCGCCGTCACCACCGGTACACGAGTGCAGATCTTCTCGATACGGACGCGCAAACTAATCAAGACAATCACACGCTTCTCGGACATTGCGCACAGCGCTGAGATTCGACGAGATGGACGCGTTATGGTGGCCGGTGACGAGACGGGCAAGATACAGGTGTTCGATGTGAACTCGCGCGCAATCTTGAAGACGTGGGAAGAACACAAGCAGCCGGTATGGACGACGAAGTTCTCGCCCACGGAGCTCACTACCGTGATGAGCGCAAGCGACGACCGGACAGTGCGGTTGTGGGATTTGCCGACCCAGGAAAGCACAACGACGTTTGTTGGGCATGAGGATTATGTACGCAGTGGCAGTTTTATGCCCGGCACCATGTCGAATTTGATCGTGAGCGGGAGTTACGATGGCACGGTTAGACTGTGGGATCCTAGGGTGCCGAGTAAGGCTGCGATGGTGTTCAAGCATGCCGCGCCTGTGGAGACGGTGCTACCCATGCCGTCGGGGACGACCGTGCTTGCTGCGGCTGATAACCAGATTTCGGTGCTGGATCTCGTGGCTGGAAAACCGCTACATTTGATCAAGAATCACCAGAAGACTGTTACTTCGCTGTGTCTTGCGTCAAATGGGACGAGGCTTGTCAGTGGGGGCTTGGATGGGCATGTGAAGGTATTTGAGACGGCGGGGTGGAATGTTGTTGCTGGATCGAAATACCCAGCGCCTGTGTTGGCTGTTAACGTTGTTTCAGCGGGTGCGAATCGCGAGGACAAGCATTTGGTTGTTGGCATGCAGTCTGGTGTCTTGTCTATTCGAACAAGGCTTTCCGGACAGCAGAAGGTCAAGGAGCGAGAGAGAGAAAAGGAGATGCAGGCGCTTATTGCAGGCACACTGGACGACTACGACAAGAAGAACAAGAATAAGAAGCGGACCAGAGGTATTGAGAAGAAGCTCAGGGGGTTAGACTTCGTTGGGGAAGGCGTGGATGTTATCATCGAGGGTAACGACAGGAAGGAGAGGAAGCCGGAATCGTTCTGGGAAAGAGATCTTCGGCAAGGCAAATATGCACAAGCACTGGATACTGTTCTGAATCGGGGATTACCCGCTGTTACAGTCCTCACTTTGCTCACAGCACTACGACATAGAAGTGCTATGAGAGTAGCATTTCAAGGCCGGGACGAGAACACCGTTCAGCCTATTCTCAAATGGGTTGTCAAGCACATTACGGATCCTCGATACGTTGGAATCTGCGTCGATTCAGCTCTACTACTGCTGGACATTTACTCTGAGCACGTTGGCGGATCTCCAGAGCTGGAACATAACTTCAAGATCTTGCATCGGCGAGTGCGGACTGAGGTAGAGAGATCACAGCAGGCGTGTCAGACGAGTGGGATGTTGGAGATGTTGATGACTGGGATGCCATAATGGATAGAGGGAGTTGTTGACTGTTATACCAGATGCATAGCGTTGGCGTTTTAAAAATAAGGTTAGACTATTGGTGTTCAAGGAATGAAGAATCTGCTCTTGTCTTCATCAAAGCCATACTCCGCAGGTGCTGGATTATCGTATATAGGTAGCGTTTGAAGCTTCCTTCCAATCTCACATGCACCAGATCCTCGGCTCCTCCCCAAACCAACAAACACCCACTCGGTAAGCTTACATCTACCCCACGAAACTCATCGCATCCCGGCTTCCCAGTACCAGTTCCTCTTGTGGGTGGCTGGCTGTTCCAACAAGGAATCTTTTTTGTTCTTGTTCTGAGCTTGATAAGGTCATCGCGCATCGCTTCCAAGCGCCAGGGGTTGAAACCCGAAGCGAACAAGCGAGTCTGCAACTCTCTCTCCTAACTGCACTTCATTGGCCCTCGCTTGAGATCAGCGAAACAACACTTCCGAGCATCCGAGCAAATATATCCGTCGTGCTATTTATCCGCCGCGAGTTTACGATTGACTGGCTTCTAAATATCTTATTTTTTCTTCCTTTCAAGTTTCTTTCTTTCTCCTGCAGTTAATTAATTTGCGTTGCATTATTATCCATTCGTACACGGTTCTTTCTTTCTATTCCTTCTTTCTTGATACCCGTATATATCTGGCATATGATGGGTCCTTATAGCACACTTTCTTCTACCTCGTCTTTCAATACCCATACTGAAGAGAGGACTCTGGGATATAGAGTCATGTCGCAAGTACGCAAACCGGAACCTGCGCATCGTGTTCATGGGTCTGAGATGCCGTTCCATGTCCATGACAATACGTCTGCTTCGAGGGCTTCAGATGCTCCTCGCCCAGAGTTGAACGGATTGCCGAATCGTCAGAATAGCGTGCAGACACGGTATATGACTATGCTGCTAGCTCTTGATACCATACCGAGGCTTCATAATATCCTTGCTTCGTTTTTTACTGTGCGTCTCAGATCCCATTGCATTGCATTCCATTCTTCTTTCCCTTCATGTGATTTAACCTAGTAACGTTGTTATTTCTTTGTTACCTAACTGGCATACATCAGTGGATCCTCCTAGCAGGCTTCGTCATATTCCCCGGGACATTTACCTCCCTGCAAACCCTCTCCCCCACCTCCCCGGCCCTGACCTCCAGCACCGCCTCCCACATCCTATCATCCACCAAACACATCCCCCTCCTCGTCATCGCATCCACATCCTCCATCCTCGGCGCGCTGGGCATGCTGTACCTATGGTTCGCACATAAAGACAACCCCGTCTGGCTCCTAAACCGCATCTTCCTGCCCGGCTGCCTGAACTCGTTCGCAGGGTTCATCAGCACGCTGGTCAATGTGTATTCGCAGCAAGGGGGCGATTGGAGTGTGACGGCGAGGGTTACGGCGGCTGTGACGGGCGCGTGTATGGTCATTATGGGGGTGCTGTTTGGGGTGTATGAGTTTTGGGTGCTGGGGAGGATTAAGAGGAGGCATGGGAGGGAGATGCAGTTGCGGGGCTTGGAGGGAAGTGGGGCGCATCGTGGGAGGGAGGGGTTGGTGGAGAAGGTTGGGAGGAAGGCGAGGGAGCCGGCATTGGAACCGGGGAGTGTGGTTTGATGGGATGCTTGAATGTTGTTTTGGTTATTGGCGTTAAGTGATGGATAAGTTCTGTATATTTGTACCTGGAGTACAGTATGGAAGTACGGGAATCACCTCGAAAATACTTGTGTAAAGTTTATATAATATCTGGAGACCCGACTTTGGTAGCGCAAATCCCGCACAAGAAAACAATCAAAAAGCCGTCTTGAAATAAGATGCAGTAGAGCAAAATACAATTATAAAACTGAACTAGCAAGGAAGGACCAGCATTTCAGCCCAGCACAACGACCCCGGAGTTTGAAATAATACTATTAGAGGTATGCGGAATGGAGGAGCTCCAGTACAGAGCATAGTAGACGTAGTTCTAGGTGCAATCCATTTTATTGCTATTGAACTAAAGTAAGAAGGTAATAACTAAACTACAGAGTAGAATACTCGAGTATATGTGATGTCCAGATTATGCTTAGTAATCACAGAGACAGAGGAGGTCTAGCTGGACCTGATTCGGCTTAGCGCATATCATGTCCTGCAACCTATAGCAATCACCAAGAACCTGCATCACAGTATCATCATGAACCAGTAAACAAACAACAAAGTCAAATTTCTTGCCTGTCGAGATATTTAATTCTGATATCAAGCCTACCGGGCCGGTCCGACTAAAGGGGATCCGGACTCGGTGGCCTATCTCAGTCAGAAGCGCGGAAAGCGCTTCCTTGCGGAACGCAAGAACGAGCCCTCGCCATTTGATGCACCATAGGTAGCAATTACCATTGGAAACCGCCTCTCGCATCTTATATAACTTCGTAATTGATCTCTGTACAGCTTTATGAACAAATTAAGCAGCCAACGATCATATCTATCCTCATTATAAACACAATGAGCTTTGGTAATCTTATAATTATCATAACATATGCACCAACCCCCAGTTGACAACACTAGGTTTCAGAACACGTTCACGTCGGCCGTTTTGTTACAATTTCATAGTGCATCCTTTCTTCCAATTGTCTTGTTCCGGGAGGGGCTAAAGCCCGGACTTTGAACGGTTCCTGGATGGTAGCGAAAGCTGTCAGTGATCATGAGTGAAGCTTGTGCTGGATTACATAGGATACTTTAGATCGAGAAATTTAACCCATCATTTAAAGTCTTGACTATTTAAGAATATTCTTGAGCCTCAATTTGAACTAAGTGAATGACATAATAATAAAAGAAGGCTTTGATTTTAAAGGCAGCAGAAAGGTCTAAGTTGCCATGTCTTTTAAACATAGGAGAATGCCACAGCGTCAAAATCTTACAGAACTACAACAGCCAAATTCAAATCACTGTTTATCTAAAAAGCCTAGATTGACGCCAAATGGAGGATAAACGTATCTCTTTGGCATCTCGTTTGTAATATCCCTTCAAATCTAAACATCCGAATTATCCAACTGATCAACTGTTAATCGAAATAAGTGGATGCATTCAAAAGAGGTGAGAATTATTTTCCACTAAGCTATTCTACGCAACCATTGCACACCTTTCCTTCTCCGCCGACTATAGCACCTTCATCAACCCCACTCCCATTGTTATTACTAGTGGAGACAACTAGAGTGCTCTTGTTTACTGCTTGTGTACTTTGAGGGACGTCGAGAGCTGGATTAAAAAGAGCGAAGTTGTACGGTTTCAGATGAACTTCTGCAATCTCAACTGGCATGATAGGGAAGTCCTCCACGCGTGGGTTGTGAGTGAACCCGTATGTGTGCCAGATGACTATATCGTCGTTTCGAACCGGCGCATGACAGGTGGTTCCTTTCCAGGAAGCAATTCCGGTGCCACCAAGGGACTGGTTGGTATAATCACCCGCGGGAAATAACCGCCTGTCTTCATAGGGAGTTACCCAAATAGGATGGTCAGCAAATTCTGAGCGGCGAGAGTGGAAGGTTCCAGGGTGAGCTAGGAGTAACTGCGTCTTTTTTAGCATAAAGAAGTATAATTTATTGGAAGGACTCACCTGGCTAGCAATTGGGACTAGTTTATATCCGATCGACGTCAACGAGACTGGATTCTCGATATTCTCGTTGACAATCTTAAATGCCCTATTCTTGGAGACATCGTTGTCGAAGAAGCCAGCGCGTCGTACAATTTCTTCTTTTGTAACATAACCGGTGCCATAGGGGTTCAGTTCTTCATCCCATGGCATCGCTTCAGAATCCGTGATGGTGAGACTGTTCTTGTGACCGCCAATGGCAGGATCAATGCGCAAATTGAAAATGTGTTGATGATAAGGAGCCATAACTCCATCGGCGACCAGAGTTCCCCACGGGACTTTGACACCTTTGGCAATGGGCTGAGTTGACAGGATCCCAGTGGCTCGAGTTTGAAACGTGATAGAGCCGGATTGATCGAAGATCCATGCAAAAATATACTCGTAGTTGGCGACGGTAATAATCTGTTGCAGAACCAATTCTCGCTTTCGTACCACAACGGCCTTTCCCGTGCGATGGTTGGTATGTTTCCATTGAATACCATTGTCCTGTTCATGAATACAGATGGCATTTGGCCGCAACGCTGGAGTTCCATCAGCACTGATAACGCAACCGTCTATGTACTTTATCGAGCCCAAGCAGTCACATCCAACTTCAAAAGTTTATCGTTAGCAAACCAAAATTAAGGGAGTTCGGGGGCCATTACGCTGAAGATTATTTGCGGTGACACCAGCGCCAACGTTTCCAAGGTCGAAAGCGCCCTTGCGATGAATGGGGTCCCGCGGGTCACCATAGGGGACGAACATTTCGGAGAGCGATAAGCGGTAGAAATTACTCTTGCCATCAAACGAAAGATCATGTAAAGTCATTCCTAAATTGTTAGTAGACTACTAATAATGCGGAACACTGGATGGATGTATGACATACCCTCTCGCCAGTTGAAACCAACACGGAAACGATGTTTCTCCCACTCGACTAGATGCCCTTCGACTTTGAACGAGGGGCCATCGGGCTGAACAACATTGTACGGCTTGGTTGTAGTACGTGTAGCAGCTTTTGTAAGATTGTGGTCATACTCCGGCTCAACAGGATCGGTTTGTTGCATCGGCACGGCAGAACCAACTTCGGTTGTTGAATGGTCTGCACCTAGTGGCAGCCGCACAATACGCTTGACTTTCATGGCAACAAGGTCGACAATAACCATGAAATCTAGCGGAAAGGAATAATGATTAGAATCCGGGCTGTTGTTCTTTGGGTTTCGCATGTACATGAAGACCTGGGTATGCCTCTCCTGTGTCTCCTTCCCGTCTACGCCATAGTCCCAGGGATCTAAGACCACAGTGTTGTTGCCGATTTGGAGGCGAGCAATTTCCTTCTTCACGCCCTCATCAGCGAGGACAACCTCCGCTGCTTGATTTAGCTCTGTGCGGTCACAAGGACCATGGAAATCGCGGGGAAGCTCCTTGTGGTGAAGGATGGCCTGAGTGTTGACATCGACAATGGCTTCGAAGAGACGGGGTGTGTGTTTGATGTACCACATCAGGAAGATAGCTCTGGGAACAGTCGGCATCTCGAGGCCAGCATGTTCCGCTGCCAGGTACTCTATCATGAGCTTCTTTGGTGGCTCCTCTAAGCCCGCGGCTTTGAAGTGGAGAGTGATGTCCTGGTAGGCATTCTTGATGATATTTACAGCAAGCTGTAGCTCACCAGCTGTTGCTGGGTCTAAGGGGTGCGTGTATTTGATAGCCATTGTGAACGCGGTGGTAATTGACTGGACAGGTGAGATGGTTGGAGTGAGTTTTGGATCTATACAGAGGTTTATATATACAGTCGTAGAGCCGAGTCGAGTCTAGGGGAAATGGCAATGATGCCTCCCCCCTCCCCCTCCCCTCCCCCCCTCCCGACGGGGAACTACCTGTTGTACCAGATACCTAAGCAGAGACATTCCTGAGAAGCTTACGAATGGGGTGAGTTTTTTTCGGGATACAGAGCGGCTGTGAAAAGTCAACTGGGCCTGCCTTGCTAGTAGGTTTAAACGATGATATATGGACCGAGTTGAGAAGGACACGGGCCTGAAGCGGAACAAAACAAGACCAGGTCGTACTCACATGCCTAGCTATAGCTACCTACAGTGGCGGTAGTGCAGGGCCGAGTCAAAGATAACAATATGTACGGAGGTAATCAGTGGGGTAGCGAGGCGAGTCAGACACAATCAAAGCCCTGGTGGCCTCACCAATGCACCCCACCCCCCTGAAATAAGCGTATTGTAACTCTCTCCACTCTGGTCACGCTTCGGCCAACTGGTTTTCTCCACTGCCAAACCAAACGTCCACCCAGTCCCAATCTCAGTTGTTCATCATCACCACCATCACCACCATCACTTATGCTGCCCTAAATATCACTCTACTCTCAAATGGCCATCCCCCGCCGATGGACGTCGTGGGAAGATTCCACCCTGAAAGAATTAGTGGCCCGATATGGAGCGAGGCGAGGACCGCAGGGACGATGGGATGAAATCTCAAAAGCCATTCCTGGCCGGACCAAGAAGGATTGTCGAAAGAGGTGGTTTCATTCCCTCGATCCGTTCGTCCGCAAAGGACGCTGGACCAAAGAGGAGGATGCCATCTTGCTGTATCACTACAACAAATTGGGCCCGGCATGGAAAGACATCGCATTCGCGATTCCGGGAAGGAAAGACGACCAGTGCTCGAAACGTTACTGCGAGATCTTGGATCCCCTCGCACAAGATCGCTTACGAGACTGGTCGGCCTCCGAGGATTCACAGCTCACCGCGCTCGTTGGCACTTTGGGCTCATCATGGACTACAATTGCAACCCAGATGAATGGGAGGCCAGCACTAACGTGCCGTAATCGTTGGCGTGCAATAAGCAAGAAAGCCCGAACGATAGAAGCTGCTTCAACGAAGAGAAACCACAAGGCTCCTCGCCGATACCCTTTCACATCTCTGCATCAGATGTTGACATCTTGCACCGAAACTAGCGACGAGAGCCCTGGAGCCGCTCGATTAGAATTAGATGAAGATGACTGCATGTTAGCAACTCCATCATCCTGCTCATCCTCGCCCCACAGTGCTCCTAGAAATGCACAGCTGCGCATCTCCCACACGCACCATGGCCGTAAATCACAGCAAATGATTTCGGCACCGGCACCATTGAGTACTTACACGCAGCAAAATCCCATTCAGCTGTCTCTTCCCCCTGTGATTTCTCAAGTCCATACTTGGCCTACGGGAAGTCATACACAACTCCAAGACGACGCTTCTACAGAATCAGATATCAACTATAATTATTCGCCAACTGACGCTGACTTCCAGATTGATGATTGCTTACCCAGTCCATCAAGAAACTTCATCAGCCACCTAAGCCCTCTCAAACCCTTCATATCGACACCATTTCCCGCACCACTCGACTCGACGCAGTCGGCACAATCACATCATCTTACTCCGGATCATTCTTGGCTTCCCCCCGACCATATAGCCGGAACACTAAATATGGATGACTTTGAGGAACCGGTCATGTACACCCCACCCAGGGCTCATGCCTCTTTGCAGTCCAACGATGCACACAGCAATTCCCCTAATATGGACATGTTCTCCTACGTTGATGAGCACAGTGCTTCCTTAGCACCTGCTATCTCCTCACCTTCGTACCAAATCATCGTCAAACATCATGTAATACATCATCACCACCATCACCACTATCAACACCATGTATATCATAGTCCTTCTCAATAATCATTAAATCTTTGCTTCTTGTTCTGCATGTAGTCAATATCAAAATGGTATAACAAAACGCCGAAATAAGTGCAAGACCTCCTTGTGCATAAATGAACACGGACTTTTAACCTTCCCAATACTTCGCAGAATCATATGATCATAGCTTTCTGTTACTTGCTAGCTAGATTCTCTCAATTCAGATCTACTACTGTCATTTTTATTGTGGAATCTTTACACCTGGGGTGAGATCACGCGTGGTCTTTTAATGATATCCCATTACGCATCTAATGAATTTCAGATGGTGCGGTCACTCTTCCACGAAACTTGTACTTAGGTACCCCCATTCCCTCAGCATCATCAATCCAAAAAAGAGCCCCGCCTTCTTCACCTACCCAAGGACAAGAACCATCGTCAGATTGGGCACTCGTCAGGATCAACTGGTCAAGATCCTTACCCACCCAAGCCCCATGCGTAACCCTGGACGCGTTTACTCTCCACTCCCTACACAGTTTGCCAGTGGAGTCGTACTTCGCCACTCCTGCGCCGTCCCACAAGAAGGTGTAAACACATCCTGATGTGTCGACAAGAAGGCCGTCAGGCTCTCCTTGCCTTCCGCTGCGATCAACAAAAGTTCGCTTGTTAGAAACATGTCCAGTGACTGCATCAAAATCGTAGGCCCAGATTCTCTATGGGAGTATCACGGTCAGCAACATCTTATTTTAGGATTTTTCCAATACTGACTTTAAGGACTGAGTCTGTGAAATACATTGTTTTGTCATCGGCTGTCCACCCTATTCCATTGGCGCAAATGATCCCGCCTGGCTCATGGATAGATAAATCTCCGTCTGCGTTATAACTATATAGACATCCAACGTAAGAGGATGGATCAAATATGGTAGTTAACTCCTCCAATTCCCTAAGAGGTTAGTACTTGACTTGGAACATAGATTCGGGACTCACGATCTGATATCAATAGAACCAAACCATAATCTGCCACTCGAATCTATTCCTCCATCATTCAGCCGAACAAGATGTTTTTCGTCATCAGGAATAATCTCTCTCAGGACTTTCCACTCCCCATTCTCGCTGACCGTTGCGATGCCTTGGAAGTAGCACACGAGATAGCCTCCTGGCTCAGAGAAACACAAGAATGAAATCGGCTCTGGGCACAGAATAGTCCGGAGGTTATGTGGTTTATGAAGCTCAAGGATGTGGATTTTCTTGCCCAAAACATCAATGTAGTGTAATGTGTTATCATGCGCTCTGTACAGAGGACTCTCGCCAAGATTCGTATGTGGGGGGTAGTAAGCAGTGATCAAAGAAGACATATTTTCTATAGTTAGGTATCTTGAGCTGAACTCCATATCTAGGAAGTGCGTATTATTTGAAGGACTGTTCATCTTCCCCAAACTCGGCCCAACATTGTAGGCGTAGCGGATGCGAGTTACGGTTGCCACCCATTCCAGATTCGGCTTGAGGTCTCAGCCTAGACCTGAATGGTGTTGCCACCAGTAAGGTTCGTAGTGTCATACGGGGTACAGTCCTATACAACAAATTTTAATACCTACTAAAATCAACTTTGACGGTTAATAGACACTTGGGCCTGATGAGGCTCTTGTTATATTGCTGCTTTTAAAGAGAATTTCTCTTTTCTATGATTATTTTATTTGCAGACGACACGGAGACTACTTTAAAGGCTTTAATTGCGACAGTAAAGGATGCCGATCATGCGATTGATAAGTCTATTCAATATAACCAATTAGTATTAGTGCCCAACCGGGTAGTAGTAGTTATTAAGGCTAAAGGCGTAGTGAAAAATGTATTAAAAGCTTTAAAAGCAGCATGAAGATAAGAGCCCGATCAAGCTTGAGGTCTATTAAGTGCCAGGATTGATTTTAGTAGGGGGGATTCAAACTTGTTGCATAGGACTGTAACGGCACTAGCCAGCGGCCTACTGAGTCAGCAACCAGGCCGAGTCAGATAAGAAAAAAGGGGTTCGGCTAAGTTTGGTTGATTAATGACCTACCTAGATAAAGCAAGGCCACTGCGATGTCACCCGCAAAGTCGCTGACGTTCAGGTATACATATAACGTGATGAAGATGTCCACCGATTTGAGATTGGACATCTTGCTTTCAGCTTTTTTCTTAAGTCTTGAGCACATCTTTGCACATCCTTGCATACCATAAAAATGCAGTCACTAGAAATACAACCATCAGAAATCCAGTCACCTATTATGGACTCCAACAGTGCAGTATTACGGGCCACCATCGACAACCCCTTCGGACACGAGGAGGTGCTGAAGAAGAAGTTTGGATTTATGTCCATGCTTGGTCTTGCTTTCGTCATCCTAACGTATGTCCCACCATATCCATATCATACGACTCCGAAACTCCTACTAATAATGCCTAGTACCTGGACATCGATGGCCTCCTCAATGAACATTGCTCTTCCATCTGGCGGGCCAGTAGCTGTGATATATGGCCTCATCGCGTCAGGAGTTGGCTCACTGGCAGTAGCTGTCAGTCTCGCAGAAATATGCTCTGTCTATCCTACGAATGGGGCACAGTATGAGTGGACTGCAGTTTTGGCGCCCACCAATCATGCCAGATATCTCAGTTATGTTTGTGGTTGGATTGTAATGGCAGCCTGGTGGGCTCTTGCAGCTACTGGGCCAAGTCTCTTTGGCACACTTACCGTCGCTTTCATCCAGACCTTCAACCCCGACTACGTATTCCAGAGATGGCATGAATTCCTCATATATGTGGCCGTCGAGGCCTGCGCTCTGTTCATCAATGCGTGTGCAACGGCCGCTCTCCCCATTCTCAGCAAGCTCGCTTGTACGTTTAACTACTATTTTCGTTCAGAAGCACAACGCTGATGTGCCTGTAGTCTATCTGTCTATGGCAGGCTTTGTTTCGATTTCTATTGCTCTGTTAGCATGCACCTCTGGCAGACATCAACCGGCAAAGTAAGAATCCGATTGAAGTAAAAGTCCAATGGAAGTCATTTAGTACTGACCATCTTCAGATTCGTTTTCACTGGCTTTATCAACGAAACCGGTTGGTCTGATGGAACTGCATGGATGCTTGGCCTACTTCAGAGCTGTTTCTCGCTTACTGCCTTTGATGCGTAAGGGAATCCCATTCCTTAAAGTCACGTAGCACTGATATAATTGGTATTTAGAGTCGCGCACTTGGTCGAAGAAATGCCTCATCCTAGAAGAGATGCTCCGAGGATAATGATTCTTGCCGTTATAATGGGTACCGGAACGTATGTTTAGCAAATTCATATCCCCTCGACATGAGGAAATATGGCTGACAAACCAAATAGCGCGTTAATATTTGTGATATGTGTTTTATTCTCGATTCAGGATATTGATGCGGTTATTAACGCAACCTCTGGGTATGTTCGTTCATTATAGCGAATTAATATTGTGCTGAGAAGAGATTAGACCTATCATCACTATTTTCTACCAAGCTACTGGCTCTAATTGGGGAGCTGTCGGAATGACCGTCGTCATTTTGGCCATTGTTTGGTTCTCTGCAGCTGAGGTTGTTACAGCATCGGCGAGATTGACAGCTGCCTTTGCCAGGCAGGGTGGCCTGCCTTTTGGTAAGACGTGAGTATCTTTTTCGGAACCGTATGAACTATGTGTTACTAACTTACATAGCTTTGCGCGGGTCAACCACCGGTTAGACTTGCCCTTAAATGCTATGTTTCTTACAAATGCTATGGTTATTATCTTCGGATTAGTATACTTAGGCACTGCAAGGTAAATATCGACTGTTATACATATACATATACCTAGTCTAGAAGCTAACATCTCACATAGTGCGTTTAATGCTATAGTAAGTGCCACCGTCGTAGGTCTGAACTTCAGCTATGCAATTCCTATTGGCTTGCTTGTGTTCCGGGGCAGAAAGATCCTTCCTAAGGGACAGATGGACTTGGGGAGATGGGGATATGTAGTAAATCTCTTTTCTTTTCTATTCCTGATTGTTACGTAAGTCTCCCCTGATTTCTTACAGAAACAAGACAGAAGAGAACTAATCTGAAATAATAGCAATGTACTATTCCTATTCCCGTCTTACTCGAATCCTACGGGTGACACTATGAACTATGCTGTCGTTGCTGTTTTTGTTCTTTTTCTATTTGCAACTGGTTAGCTTTCTACTATATTGGTGGGCGTCTGCGTGACTAATTTCCAAATTAGGATACTGGCTTTTGTTTGCACGGAAACATTATACAACCCCGGTTGTGAACATACTTCCGGTTTTAACAGCAGCTACAGACCTTGAGGCAATGTCTACATCCAATTCAAAGGAGCAGAAGGATAAGAATTGATAGTTGAGGAAGAAGTAAGACTAGAGAGGTAAACTGGTCAAAAATACATAGGATACTTTGATGAAGATCTTGATGGTGCCTTTTAAAGTGTTTGTATCCCACCTACTGTATATGGTTTAGCGTATACCGCCTCAAGACGACAACTCGTGTTCACGTCTGCAATGTTCACGTCTGCAATACAGCTTAAAGACTTTAGCTCTGCAAAAAGTAGAGCGGCTGATGGCACAGGCCAGTGACATGCTGCTGCATCACGTGCCGTGAGTACGTGCCTTCAACTTCCTGAATTCACCTGGCCTACGTCATTGAGGTTATTCACACTTCTGTGTGAGTATAGGTGGGGTAATTTCCCACTTCCAAGTGTGAATGCCTTCTGACCCTCCCAACCCTGTGTGAATACAGGTGGGGTAATGACTCACACCTAATCCCTTCCCTACCTATATTAATTAGTTAGTGTAAGACAGGATGGCCTTTTACTCACTTCTTCTCTCCTTAGTTTAGTATCCTCGTCATTGAAGAGCTTATTACTAGCATTCTTCCACCTCCTTTGACTTTTCTTTGGTTCCTTATTGCGAGCTGTGACAGCTGATACAAAATGCCACCAAAAAGCAAAACAAACGGGCTGCTATCAGAGCCTAACAAAAGACCCTCGTTGGTGCACAACGGAAGTACACTTGTCGAGTTTGATGTAGATGGAGATCTCATCCTCGTTCTCCCAGCAACCGCTGCGGTGAGGCTTTCTAGCTCCAGGACAACCAATAGAGCAACCCCGAGAGACGAGTCTTCCAAAAAGACATGTATGCTTGTGTCTTCGAAGGCCATGACACTTGTATCTCCAGTGTTCAAAGCGATGTTAAGGCATGAGACCTTCAAGGAGGGGCACGACCTTGCAAACGGAATGTCCGAACTACCATTACCTGATGATGACGCTTCTGCATTCCAAATCATTCTTGACATCATCCACCATAATGTCAACCGGGTTCCCAGGAAGCTTGATCTTTACGCAGCCACGAATATAGCTATACTTGTCGACAAGTACCAGATTCATGATGTTGTGATTCTGTATGTAGTGATTTGGACCAAAGAACTGAGGACTTCCCCCTTACCCGACAAGCTCACTGCAGAACTAGCGCGGTGGCTTTGCATACCTTAGATTTTTGGTCTGACGAATGAATTTCATTATCTCACGAAGATTGCGCAGATGCAAAGCCTTGGTAATCTCCAAAGTGAACATTTTCCTCGATGGAACCTCCCAGATCTCCCAATTCCAACTCGTGTCTTCGGTATCTCGCCTAGATCTTTCAGAATTTGCCAGCGTAGCTAATATTATTATAGAAAAAATTGAGGAAAAGCGGCAGAACTCAATCGAAAAAGCTATACAACTTATTCGCTTGACTATTTACAGATATGAAAAGCCTCCAAACCAATGTACAACGACCAATTTCAAGGCCGATGTGACCGGGAAGTTTAATATAAAGCAAAAGCAATATGCTTGCGATAGCACTGTACTAGGATCTCTTCAGAAGTCTGCTGCAGCAAAAAGGCTATGGCCTGGTCCCAAGAGACCATATACCGGCCTTACTTGGAGTGAGGTTGAAGCTAAGGCTCAATGTCTCAATATAGTTTCATTATGCGACCACGCCGAATTCCCGCTGAAAACTTCCGATTTGTATCTTTACACTAAAGTTCAGGACAGACCAGCTCCTAATCATGGCGTCCAGAAATATATTGATGCCAAGATAAAGGCAATTGGTGGTAGCCTGTGTGGCTTCCTTCTAGAGGAATTCAAATGAGTACTCCACTATTCCACAGTGGTTAATTTATCTACATTTGAGTTCTTGCAACATAGTCCATGGCATTTACGAATTGGGCTTTGTGTCCTTTTGGTTTACCTTTTAAGTTTAGCTCTTGTTTCTTAAATGAATGTTGGATGGAAATGACCTCAAAAATCCTAGATAGTTATCAGCCTTATACTACGTTGGTCATGAGTGCAAACATGCCGCAAGATATATGCCTCGTCTAGCTGGTACTTGAAATTGGAAATACTGAAAGCAATTTTGTCATATTTTTATTTATTCTACTACTTTCTGTCTTACAAGAATGACAGGACTGTTCTTTTGAGGTTGAATATATAATAGTTTAATATTTCTCCCTCGAAAAGCGGCAACACAACCCCTTGTTCATTATTGATTGCCTCCTTGACTTACAGAAACCAGCCTAATCTACCAAATTTCGTTGCCCAGCTTTTAACCTCGCATTGCTCAGACATCCTCAGAAGCGGTACGATTTTAGTTGCGCGATAAAGCCAATCTCACGCAGCAATCATTCTCTGCACTATGCTACACCTGTGCATTTTGCGTAAACCGCATCTTGGTATCTATTTTATGCATTATCTGACGCCGTACTACCACGGCGCCACCCTTCGTGTCTCCGCAAGTATGCCCATGAAGTAGCTGGTGGTAGAGGAAATTCGTTATTAAATGTTGGGACAGAGCGAACTAAGACATCTAAAGAGGTCTCTGTATCCTATTAGTGATTGGGAGAGTCCCGCAGGTGCTAATGTAACGTTTCTTCGATGCTAGAGGGTTGATCGCAGGGAACATAACAGGAACTTATTATAAAAAAGTCTAATAGTCGCATAGTGGACGGTCCTGACTATTAATTTAATTTGTGTGGCTGTATAAACGGATTGTGGCATAGGCAGGAATGTTGTGTAACTGAAAATCCCCACTATCGTCCAATGACCCAGTGACACATAAACTCCCAAGGATCCCTTACATAAGGTATCCAGATATTTTGTTCGATCCTCCGAATGAAATGTCTGCAGTTCACAGTTTTATCAAGAGACTTTGACTGAACTTCACAGCGAACAAAGTATCAATACCCTTACGATCACGGAAGATATGACCAACTTTCGCGACCTTCCCAGCGAACTTCGCAACCGGATTTATCAGCTATGTTTATTAGAGCAAGAACCTATTGATCCTTATTCTCATTGGAGTCCACGAGAGGGGCTTACACCTGGGCTCCTCCGTGTAAACAAGACAGTCCACCGCGAAGCCAGCCCGTTGTTCTACGCTCACAATCGCTTCGATTTTACCCTGGCCACCCCTGAGCAGGTAGCCTCATTCCTCGGGACGATTGGCTCTAACAACGCAAACTATATCCAACATATTCATGTCGACTTTCCGATTTTCCGCGATCTAGAATCAGGCAATATCACCCTCGAGGAGGGTAGCATGGGCGTCTTTGCGAACATCCAGAATATCTGCACCAATTTAAGCACGCTCACGACACATGTATACAGCACAAATGACACAGTAATGAAGCTCGACGCTCTAGACGACCCCAAAATCGCTACCGAGGCGTTAACGCTCGTCAATACTCGCTTTAGAGCCATTTTGTCCCTACGAGATATTAATGTCGAGGTGTATAAATACGGCCCAAGCGAAGATATAAAAAGCAAAATGGAAAATCTCGGATGGACAGTTAGTGCAACATTTGTCGAGGAGTGGGACCCCGCAGGCAGATCTTTCAGCGACGACGCAGATGACTGGGATCGTGATTATGGCTATGATGATGATGACAATGACTCTTATGACATTGACAATGATAGTGACTTTTGGAGAAGGGCGGGGGACTGAATATTCTTGCTGGATGCACGCGAAGGCTACTCGTTTATAGCCGGCAGCACGGTAATTCATCCCTTCCATTGCGCGGGGAATACGACGAAGACTAACTCTATTTTAAAGTGACTGGGTCGCGAGGCCTCCGCGAGCTTGTCTCAAGAAAATCATTTTAACTGATGGACAGAGAAATGCTTTTCCATTCTTGTTGCAGCAATCTAGTCCTCCGCAATCTGCGCTTGAGTATATCCATATCATTGTGGCCCTGCATGACTTCACGTCCAAGGAGCGGCCAGCTCTATTCCATTGAGTTAAATGGTCGATTGACTAGGAGATAGACGGAATTAAATGCTGTTCAAGTGGTTTGAATCTTGAAAGAGTTGACCGAACCTTTTCGCGGACATATTTCATTCAAGGATTGTCGTGCTATATTAAGAGACCGAGAGATGCGTGTCGTGATCAGGTAGAGCAGCAGAGGCCAAAGGGTGGTGTCTTTGTAATCCTAGTGCCTACCACTATCACACGTGACCGGTAGCTAGCGCTGTCTGCTACGGTGGACCTTAGCTCTTTAGTTGTCTCAATACAGAACGTCGTATCCAGATCGCTACAATATCTGCGGACGGCCAGCTAGATTCTCGAGCTGAATTACGAATTGTACGATTGATGATTGTATTGTGCGAGAAGAGTAGGGCCCATAAAATGGAGACAGAGGTCGTTTCATTCGACCCTGATTCGGACCTGCAATTGATCCTGACGACTGTTGAAGAGCAAAGCATCGATTCCCTAGAAACGGCGTCAGCACCAACACCCACAAGCGATGCGGCCAACCAAACAGCAGGGCGTACTGATGACACTACTGGTCAGGTCGCTCGAGCCTCAGATGGCACGAAAACAGAGCCAAATGGCTCAGGTACCGACGCACCAACTCCCAGTCCGTCGAAGAAAGAGATTCGATTCCTCGTATCTTCCAAGCATATGATCCTGGCTTCGCCAGTATTTAAAGCCATGTTGCAGCCTAATACCACCTAAATGCTAAGCATCAATCAACCAGCATCAAGTCTATACTACGTAGTAGAGAAGTGATCACGTTCTATGTATCAACACCTGTGATACCAACAAATTCATCAATTTATCGAGACAGCTAGGACTAGGCTAAATTCCAGTCTGCTACAGCAAAATCTGGCATATGTGCCAAGGAGGGAGGGGCTCATGCATTGCAAGTATGAATATACGTCACCTGATAGTCAAGCAAATGCAAGTTCTCTTCGAGAATAAAGTAAAGGTCGAATCGTACACAACTTTAGGGTATATTATATCTTCAAGTCGATGTTCATTTTCAATCCTCCAAGTGCTGAACTTGACGGCCATATGTCAGTTACTAAATAACTCAAGCTCAATATGTGCTGTCAGAATCCCAATTAGTAGTACTGAGAAAACACGAAGCGTACAAGTAACCCTTAAAGTGAGAAGGTGCAAGAGAAAAGACAAGGCGGTGACGAAAGGGTGGCCGACAAGCTTTTTATACACGCAAATAAAAGCACAGGAGAATTACTAGGTAGATAAACTTCTTAGATGGCCAGAACGATGAATGGCAAGAAAGTCGCTCGAACATCGACTGCGAGCGAGCCCAGAAAAAAAATAGATTCATTGCCCACTGTAGTAAAATACGGAAGTATCCCAATTTCCTATTCCAGGCATATCATATCCCAAGGTATCTCCAACTCCATTTCATCATATCCCGTAAGCAAGCCATACCAATCCCAACGCCTATCAAATGCACTTCATTATCATGATTATCTACCTCCCCTTGTATTCGGGTTTCCTGGCCATGTTGACCACAGGCGGTGGCCCATCCTCCAAAGGGTACGGAACACTCGGTCTATTTCTCCCCATTGGTAATCCGGAGTCTCCCGGTATAGGGGTCTTCGGTGGCAGAGGCGGAGGCTCTACTCTGCCTTGATTCTGGAGTTGTTTGACGACTGGTGGTTTTGGTGCTTCGTCTGCGCTCATGATGGCGATCTTGTCGGCACCTGCCGAAGTCATGTACTCGCTAGGTGTAGGACTATGCACCATGAACTTGTCAGTCATATCTGCTGAGAGTCTGGGCGATGATGTTTTGGGTGATTGATATCGTGCGTGGCTTTCCGAGGAGGAGCGAGGTGAGGGTGTTTTCTGCTGTCCTGGAACCGCCAAGGTGTCGTGATGGCCGGACTCGTATGAGGGCCGTGGGGGCGGACTTCTCTGAGGCTGAGTGAAGGGCATCTCAGCTGGAAGTTCAATTGCTCCTGGATAGGCCTCTGGAACATCAGGTAAACTTTTGTAGTTCCCACCCTCATGCCGACTCGAGCCCTCCCCGGTACCTTCAGCCCTGGCTTTCGCTCTGTGTATCTTGGCCATCTTTACTGCTGCAGTCGATGTCATGTTCTGGATATCCCCTTTCCCGAGATACCTCCTCGTATTCGTACTGACATCTGCAAGTCGGTTCCACTCATTCATTCCGAATTCTCCAACCCCAATTTCAACGTTGAAGCGGTAGTAATTTTCGATATTGACCCCTCGTTTGGTGAGCATTTCATTCTTGACGTACTGATGTGTCTCTTCACATCCCTCAATCTTAGATATCAACCGTCTCCTGGCCTCTGCAAAGTCGCCCAAAAACCCTTCGTACCAAAGATGTGAATTTTGGTCGTTGCCAGATGGCCGTTTACCAGTCCCTATGCTTACAATCACACCGACATCACGGCCAGGCCACTCGTTGACGCAGGCCTCGTCCAATGCTACTGGTGTAGGATTGAATTTGCCAGCTCCTTCATCGATGAATACTGATTGTCCAACTTGAACAGGCTTGAATGCCAATCCAATTGCTGATGTCGCACGTCCAGCCTCCCAGATCTTGCAATCAAATTCTGGAGAAGGTTCTTTTCGAGAATCGTAGGATCGTAGTACAGCAGGCTGACCACCTTTCGCTGTTCCTTTGTAGACCGCAGTAACAGCACTACTATTGTTAGCTGCGAGGCTTTCCAATATCAGAGGTATGCTTACGTCTTGGTTCTGGTCTCTCTATTATCGTATAACAAAGCGTTCGGGTTTCCCCATCTCGCTGTCATGTAAGGCCGACTCTGGTAGCTGGAAGGACTCCTCGCGCTGAAGCTCGTCACACTGGCATTGCTGGTATGCCGCTGAGGCGTTCTGCTCATCGGATTTACCGGCGTGTTACGGGCGCCCTCTGGCTCGTCGCCATCATTGCCCTCATTCTCAAAAATGCTATGCTCCCGTACGCACTCCTTGATGGCCTCCTCTAGCTTCGATGCCTTGAACAACGTTGATCGGTATGGTATGCCAGCAATCGTTTTATCGGTTTCGAAAACTTTCCTCGTCATCCGCACGTACACCTCTTTGCAGGTTTCCAAATCTAGTCGCAGCCTTCCCAACATGATCGCTATCAAACCGCCCGTTCCCGTTCCAACGATGAGGTCAAAGTGGTCGCATGGCTTTGGTATCTGGTCTCGTTTGGGCGCTTTTCCTTCAATCTCGACATATGTTCTGTGCATGAGCTCTTGGATGATTATGAACATGGAATAGCCTCGCACGCCACCTCCGTCTGTCTGACATTAGCCGCGGGGTTCGAGCAGCCAGGAAAGCTCTACGTACCTAGAGAAAGGATCCTTAGAGGAGGACCTTTCGTAGTATCTTTGCGCCTCAAGGCGCCATTGTTGCTGCTCTCCATAGTCGCGAAAGTTGTCTGTACGTTGTCTTCCGGCAGAGAAGGAAGGGTGATGCGGTGTCTGGACCTTCTTTTGTCTGCTCCTCCAACACCCAGGAATTTTAGGCCCGCCGTCTTGTTCTTAGTTTATGAAGATGATGACTGTATTCGCGGTTCAAGTCGGAGCGTAGATGTCAGCGGCGAACAGGTTGGAAGATTATATGTGTTTGGGTGAATAATGGCGCGGAAGTTCAATCTTGTTGTTTCCTCGTCGGGCGCAAACATGATGGGGGGAAACGAAGTCATCGACAGGGGGCTTTTACTGCGCCTCTAGTGGGCTGTCCTCCACTTTCAACCCCACTACGCGGCATTCGTTTCACTAATTCCACTATTTTTGACTAAAACAGATATCTACCATAATGGAATCCCCTCAAGCTCTTTCTTTTTGCAAGTTTTTAGGAGGATGAGCTTCGATTCAGCTTTGCTGACGAGGTTACATATCCTCCTGTCGTAGTAATATTAACCGGCTGATCTCTATCTCGAGTCGCCTGAGAACCGATCCGGAGTACGCGGTCGAAGATGGATGTTGCCTTGCAGCCCATTGGCCGTAATCCCTGTGGAAAATGACGTTGATTGGTCTTCAGGGGTTCTTCTCTTGTGGCTGTGTCTTTCTCTCAAGGATACTATCGCCAAGTTACGGATACGAACAGTGACGAAAACTCAAGCTGATCTTCTGAGTTCGCTCCAAGGGATCAAGGTAATCTATTTCATAACTAATCAAATCTACCTTTTATACACGGGCGCAGATCGGGTTCTTCTCTGTGTATACCTGGAATGAAGGCTGAGTACAAGCATGGCAAAGACTGTTACTAGTGGCGTTGGGCAGTGACAGCCCCCCGAAGAGCCTCTATCAATCACCAATCTACGTAGCGGGGATATCAAAGTCAAGGCATACCTAGGTAGGTAGGTAGATACATGAAAGCTGCCTTGCATACATTCCGCTACTAAATTTATCTAGTCTTATTAAGAACATCTACTCGAGTAGAACTGGACTAAGAAAATATTCGTTGTAGTTTTATATGTTTAGCCCCGTGCTATATCTTCTCCAGCCATTAGGAGTCCCAGGCTTGAATACTATTAAGTGAACCATTAAAGTTTCTGGAAATCCAAATGTAAACAAAGATAGCAAAAAAACAGGAAGAGGAGAGGTATGTCAGTCACGTGTATTGGTCATATATTAGTCAGGGCGTCCATTACTATAATAAGGAAGCCATTCTCAGATCTACAGATCATGCACTTTACCTTCTATCAATTCAGATTCATTTGAGGATGGCAGCATACGCGCACTATACAAGTCCCGTTTTAATTGTAGGTGCTGGTATCTCTGGACTCACCCTCGCCCAAGGGCTTCGTCGCCGATCTATCCCATTCCGACTCTTCGAACGCCATGCTCAGTCCCACAGCTCCCAAGGCCACCGCTTGCGCATTTCCTCTGACAGCGTAGCAGCGCTTACTAGCGTCCTTCTACCCCAATGCAAAGACCTATTCGCATCTACTGCCGCTCAGGGAGGACGATTCCAACCGCGATATGTGGACGCCAAGGGGTTTGAATTTGAGAAACCAACGCCGGACTCACATCCGCAGAGTATGCCCGTGGACCGGACGAGGCTACGGCGCTTGATGATGGTAGGAATTGAAGATACGATTGAGTACGAAAAGGACTTTGCTTCGTATGAAGTTTCGGAAAATGACGTTCACGTAACCTTTGCGGATGGCTCTTCGGCACAGGGTCGGTTACTTGTAGGCGCGGATGGTATCAAGAGCCGTGTTAGGAGAGTACTTCAACCAAATCTTAGGCTTCTTGACCTAGAGCGCTGGATCGTGTGGGGCAGGACGCTGCTAACGGAACGTCTTCGTGGACAATTGACTGAGGACCAATTGTCATGGTTCATGGCGCTTGATAAAGAGGCTAATGTCCAAGTTGTCGTTGAGCCTATGACATGGACAAAGAGTGCAAAGGAGAAGTTAGGAAACATGCTTCCAAACCCTCAGGACTATCTATACTTCGCTTTATGTCTAGCACCAGGTCGACATTTACCAAAGACAGCTCAAGAAAGGAAAGAACTTATAGGGACAGTAACAAAAGCATGGCATCCAGCTCTCAGATTGGTGTTTGATGAAGCCTCTTACGAGCTTTCAGCCTGCATCCCTGTCCTTTCTAGCAAACCAGATATCGAAATCCATTCATCAAGCCAGAACGCTAAAGTCACTCTTATAGGTGATTCGGCTCATGCGATGAGTCCCATGGGGGGCGCTGGTGGAAATACTGCAATTTTGAATGCAGTGGATTTAGTAGAAACTATTAGCCAGTATGGATTAACCACCTCAGAGATTATCCGGGAATTCGAAGCTCGAATGGAGAAGAGAGCGAAGGACAACATCGAGCATTCCTTTAAAGGGGGCCAGAAGTTTTGGAAGGGGAAAGAATGGTTTGAATACCAGGAGATCAATGTTTAAAGAGTCTGATTAATATATCCCGAACTTCCCAAGTTATAACCCTTAAAGATATATATATATCTTTTTTTAGTGGCAAAGGAGAAAGGTCTAACAAGTCTGAGCGTTGTGGTTAAGTTCCCGCACCCTAGCACCCGCCGCTTTATCCGGTTCGCTACTGACGCCGACGCCTCTACGTAGGAGAAAAACGTATCGGAATAAGCTTGCGGTATTTTTTAGCATGTGCGCGATATTAAGTGTATTTTTCAGTACGTTTAATCTCTATTCCGCCACCTTTTTCTTCTACGTAGAGGACCCTCTAATATTATACGCTTACCTTCGCTTGCCGTTCAGTAGCCAATAACTAGAATAGAAGCCATCAGGGACAGATAGTATTATGCATAAATATTCCTAGCGAATATCATAGAAATTGCAATGAATAACGGATAGAACTAAGTGTCGTATAGTCGCTTGTCGTATATCAGCAAATAACTTGAAAGAATACCGTACTATTTCACCACTATGGTACTTTTTTACATGGCCATGGTCTCGCTTAAGGCTATAGCACTAGGCGATTGGGTGCTACGGTGTAAGACTCATTTGACTTACTCCACTCTATGTGGACTAATCAGATGCCTCCCTCAGCAGCTATTTGACCGAGATGGTGTAAAAAATAGCACGGTGGTGAGATACTACGGTACTTCCGGAGACAGGAGAAAAGCATATGTATATATAGTTCCAATATACTGCTCAGTATATGCCTATCTCTACTTCCTGCCACATTACTCATTATCGGATTTGTAGCAACACCTAAGTAGACATGGAATCAGCAGCAGCACCACTTCCCGAGCTCGTGCTTCACGATACTCGGGACGAGATAGACCCTAGAAGGATTGCCAAAACCTGGCTTGAAAGCTTGCAAACCAAAATCTCTCAAGGCCAGCTAGACGATATCTCCGACCTCTTCATTGACGATTCCTGGTGGAGGGATATCGTTGGGCTCTCCTGGAACATCACGACTAAGCGTGGGACGAGTAAAATTAGTCAATACCTCCAATCGCAGGCTCCCAAGAGCGGCTTTGGCAAGTTCGATGTCATTCATGAAGGTGTCTTACAACCTAGATTATCGAATTTCGGTGGGGGAGTCTGGATCGAATCTGGATTAATTTTTGAAACGATAGCTGGTACTGGTCGAGGTATTCTTCGATTATCCAACACTGGACCAAAGCAGTGGAAGGCTTGGATTGTTCATACGACCTTAGAAGAGCTCAAGGGGTTTCCAGAAGAGCCGCCTCAAGAGAAATCAACTGGCCATGAAACGAAGGATATTCAAGTCTTGATCATTGGAGCAGGCATGCATTCCGGATAGATTCTATCGGAGGAAGTTCGCATGTGCTAACTCTTGCTCAGGGCAATCGGGACTAGCTCTTGCAGCCCGGTTGAAGGGACTGGATGTCAAAACACTGACAGTGGATAAGGAGCTTCAATTAGGTGATTCCTGGAAAAATCGATACAAGGTCGGTATTTCTTTTTGCAATCAAGTATCGTTTCTGGTGCTGAAATTTTTTGAAAGTCCCTGAAATTGCATACGTCTCGGTATACGGATCACTACCCATACCTCGATTTTCCAACCGACTTTCCAGAGTATTTGGCACGAGATAAGATCATTAGCTGGATGGATCACTACCAAAAGGTCATGGGTCTCAACCTAGAATTGGGCGTTACTGTTGGTAAAATTGATTATGACAACTTACTTCGACACTATACCGTGGAAATCGAATCACAAGATGGAACCAAACGCGTCGTAACACCCCGCCACGTAGTTCTCGCGACTGGATTGTTGAGCGACACCCCTGTTCGCCCCGAGTTCGAGAATGAAGGTTCGTTCGATGGTCAAATCTACCACTCTTCTAGTCACCAGTCGGCCAGTCAAATTCCAAACCTCGAAGGGAAGAAAATCGTGATAGTCGGGTCGAGCACAAGTGCTCACGATATAGCGCAAGACTTTGTCACCTGCGGTGCCAAGGTAGTGACGATGATCCAGAGGAGTCCTCATTTCGTCCTGAGCACAAAATCACAGGACAGCTTCATCTTGGCGGGCTGGAAGATGCTGTCCACCAGAGATGCAGATTTAATTGGCACTAGTTTCCCACAAGCAATAGCTCTGACATTAATGCTTGGGGTGACTCAAAAGATGGCACAACATGATGCAGCACTGCTGTCTGAAATGGAGAAGGCTGGGATGGTTATAAAGAGAGGAGAAGATGGTATTGGACTTTTGCACCACCAGCTTCTTAAAGGGGGCCATTTTTACATCGATCAGGGCGCATGTAAGATGATTGCAGATGGCAAGATTAAGGTTCAACAATCTCAAGGGGGGGTTAAAGGCTTTGATCAGAAGTCTGTGGTTTTGGGAAATGGAACCCGAATTGAAGCCGATGTTGTGGTTTTAGCTACTGGCTTCCATCCTGCCGCTGACTTGACTGAAAGGATCATGGGTAAAGAATTCAGTGCGAAGGTTGGCGAAGTCGGATCCTTGGACGAGGAAGATGAGAGAGTTGCGGTAAGTGTCACCTCTTGCGATGTCTTAAGTTCTTTGCTGACTAACTGTGATCAGTGGTGGCGACCTTCACCTGCTGCCCCCGGCTTCTGGTATATGACAGGCAGTTTTCTTTGGTCTCGAACTTTCTCGAGGCCCTTAGCTTTACAAATCAAGGCGATCGAAGAAGGGTTGAACCCAGACCACTATTCAAGCCCTGAATGATTATAAATTAGTATTCTTCAGATAGTTAATGATGGAACCTTAATTTGTAAGGGTTATAAGTCAAACTTGTATATCTACAGTGGAAAGAGATGGCGAATATACATCATTAGATGAGTGGCCGGCTCGCTGCAGCTCTTTGTCGAGTTTCCCGCTCCTACCAAAGTCGATTTGAACGCAACTTACAAAATTAATCGCCCACTAGTCCCCTCCATCCATTCGCAAAAATCTTTCTCCAAACTTTACAGCCGTCAAAGAATCCCAGGCGCCTTCTCGCCTCGGCACAATTTGCTTCAAAACCTCAAGAGCCTCTTTCTGTATGCTCATATCGAGACAGGCAGCAACAACAATAGACAGACCAGGAACAATTCCACAGTCCCACACAAACGATTTCCGAAAACTTGGGTCAGAAGCCACGAGTTTACTCAGATTTACAATCTCGCGAGATTCAGCAATGAAGAGATCAGGGGGGCTCAAATCCTGTGCACAAACTCGTTTTGAGGCAAGTTCTGTTGAGCGTGCCCGGACTCGAAGTATAGCTGCGGCTGCGAAAGTTTCCTTTGAATTCTGTGTGAGAGCCTTTTCGTATAATGGTGTAAATGCTACATCCCATCGACGCAGATGAAAACACATGATTTTATACATGCATCGAGCCTTTTCATCGATGCTAGACAAGGGAAGCGTATTTAGCCGGGATAGCAAATCGCGAGAAAGAGTTGGTATATTAGGGAACTGAATATGTTCGAGGTAATTTCTTGCTTCCGATATGGTAGCGAATCTTTCAGGGACGTCACAGTTGTCTTCTAGGTACTTTATACCCAATCTGCTGCCAATATGTTCGGCTTCGCAAATGTGATCTCTAGACAACACCCCGCTGTCGAGACGGAAAAACGCACCCACAAGATCGTCGTCTAAGGAGGAAATAGGAGACACATTATCCGAATGTTTATAAGGACGATTAGCATTTTTGAGCTGTTTCTGCATCAAACGAAACGCGCCTTCCAAGTGCCCAAGTGCCGAATCAATCTCCCCGTAGATATTTTCAAAGCAGTATATGAGGAGCGAAGCAATCAAGGCGATCCTCGTCGTGTCTCGATATGGATTAGCGGAAATCCTTGCTTGGAGTTCTCTCAGAGCTCGCCCATAATTCTGAAACGCATATTGCTCGTGTGGCTCTGTCTTTCCCTCGGAGAGAGCCATAGTCGAGTTCCTAGCCTTGTATAAAGCTCCCAGCGACGCAACAAGCCCACTCAAGGATGGCTCTTTCCAGGAAGCCTGGATAATCACATGATTCCACAAATCTCGATCGAATGAACCTGAAATATTAGGCGCTGCTTCCTCTTGAAAATATAGAAAGTATGAATATTCTCGATCGTCATGAACGATGGCGGTGTAAGGACTTTTTCCTTGTGAAGGCAAAAGAAACGCTTGATGATGACTTGTTTGGGGAAGGAGTTCCTTCAGACTGGATCGAGTGGGGGCAGCTTTTCGCACGGCGTATTCATAGCCTTCACAATCTGCTCCATATCCTAGACATCTCGTACAATGGGGCCTCCCCTCATCACATTTGACTCTGCGTGTCCTAAATACTTGTTAGCTCGATCATTCTCCTTTTTAAAGAAGGTAAAAAAAGGAACAAAGGTCAATTACCGGCAAGTTTTACAGCCCGTTCTGGTTTTCGGCTTCGAAGCTCGACGCCTAGGCTGCTTCGGTGGAGACATCCCTTTACGCAATATGCAGCAATAACATAGATGTACCTGTAGCACTTTATATGGAACACTTACTGCTCGCGATATGGAGATGACCTGAAAGAAAGGGTGTTCGTCTCAGCTGTAAAAGCCCCTATGCGCAGTCCTAGAGCTGTCACTAACGATCACTAGTTTATTTAGCTTAGCTTAGTTAGTATTAGTTGGATGGCCCCATAAAACACACCGCTGTATCTCTAGTCATGTGATTTAACGTAGCTCCCACTTCCACTTTTAGACATCAATCACTTAGAAGAACACCAACCGATTATGGCCACCTTTCACTAGCTGGTACGAAGTGATTTACCGCGGTATCCTGTGATACCAACAATATATATATTATAATATATGATTAAATATATTATAATACTAGTTGCAACCGTAGAGAACTTGTTGGTATCACAGGTTAATACGTGATCACGTTGCTACTACGCGTAGTTAGTATGATACTGGTATTCTGGTGGATGATGCTTAGTATTCGTGGTGTTGTGGGCAAAAGACAATACGCGTCTTTTGCTGACTAAGCGGATGACTAGTCTAGATCACATGATTACCAAGGTCGGGATACAGCCCATTATCCCAACAGAACTCGCCTTCATTAAATACTGGGTTTATATATCATTTATTTCACAGTTTATGAATATAAGAGGAAACATCCTAATGCTAATATGGTTTAATGAATTGCGATTTGTTTTTTAAGCATTCTCCAGAAAGGGTTTCCAGTCCTCGTTCTCGAAGTAGCTCCTCAAGCTTGTCGTCTTCACCTTTGGGTCAAGCTTTTATGACATTAGCCTCAATTCAAAGAGATCAAATGGAGTACTTACATCCTTAGGCAAAACCAAATGCTTGCCCCATCCGAACTCAGCACTCGTGCTAGTACTCTCGGCAGCCTCTCTTCCAAGCCCACCTGGTATAGCTTTGTCTGCCTCATCCTCTGTGCCTTGCTCAACCTCACTTGGTACACCAGTGACCTCACTCCAAATATTCATAAATGTGGCATAACTAGCCATTTCACTCACGCCCAAAAGGTCTTGCTTGGGGGGCGATCTAACCAACAGATCTGCAAAGATTCCGGCATCATCAGGGACGACAAAAGGATGCACAGCTTCATTGGTCCCAGTCCGACGCCAGATAATTTTACTTCCGTTAGTATCCTATCTATAGTTAGCGAAATTTCATTTTTAACCTAGTCTCTCACCTTGTTTGCACCCATAAGACTGCCCATTTTAACCAGATTCGTTGTATAAAATCCCATGTTCAACAAACTACTTTTCTCCCACAGAGCTTTTTGTTCCTTCAGATACTCTGATACAATGGCTTTGGCATCAAAGTGATACGCATATGTATACTTCCCTCTGCTCTGCTCTTTGAAACTTGGCAGAGTACTAAATATAAATCTCTCGAGAATACCTTCTTCTTCCAGCACTTTCGTGGCAGCATCGACGATGGTTTTGCCTCGACGGACTTCGATAGTAAGCGCATGTTCGCCCGTTGCTCGGTCCGAGACTTTAGAAAGTTCAGGATATGCTTCGAAGAAAGGTGCCCTATTGTTATATTGATATTAATACGATACTTTCAAATCACCCATATGACACATACCAAAAGTCCGTTACAGCGAAGATCACATGCGCGCCTTTGAACGCTGAGACAAGGGTCGTGAAGTCGTCTACATCAGCTTCGATCACGGAAATCCCCTTCGAGATCAAAGCTTTGGAGGAAGCGCTGCTGGCCGAGCGAGATATGCCTTGGACAATCCAGCCTTGCGCGTTGAAGAAGGATGCTACAGCACCGCCTTGGTTTCCTGTAGCTCCTAGAACAGCAATTGTTTTCGCCATTCTGCAATCAAGTTCAATATATTTTATCTTACAAAAAGGGTTGGATAATAACCTACCTTTATACGTGTTTGCGGATTTTAGTGGGGCTGACAAAGCATGATTATAAATTCATAGTAAAGTTGTTTTGCGAAAGACTTATGTCATAGTGATGTCTTTTATTAGGCTTCTTTAAGTCGACTTGCACTAGCCAAATCGGGAAAGGATCTGAAGTTATACATAGCACATCCTAACTTGCCCGGTACTATCTTCAACTTTCCACTCCTATCCTTCCATAGAATTAAGGCCTGACCTCCACTCCAGTGGTCAATTTTGGGGAAGGGTAGGAAGGTTTTTTCGCTGCTCGAACTATCGCGATCTGGCTTGCCTGAGTCACGTCATATAATCTTTTGACCATATCATTTACTAGTAAACTAATGCTCTTTCTCATTCTGCCTATAAATGAAGTTTTATTCGATTCAAAAGTCTATCAAGCTTACCGAGGTACCTCTCTGCTAGCTCTCAGCCCAACGAAAGTCAAGTGCTTCAGCAAGGCTGCTTTCTTTTCTATGGTGTGAAGGAAGCGTAAGAATGGGTCGAAGTAGACCTTTTGATGGGCCGATGAAGCTGGATTTGACGCATTCCATCTGCTATCTCGGCGTTCCAGTTATCCCAAGTCACTGGCTTTCCTGGCCAGGGGCGAACCTGAATATTGTTTCCGAACAAGGTTAATGGACTCCCTTTGTAGGACATATTGCTCATGGAGAACTTGAAAGTATTCTTTCTATATAAGAGAGCGGTCCCGTTGTTATAAAATTCCTTGCCACTTCGTAGAAGTGTAGCATCAATTTTGGACCCCTGGATCTTGCGCATTTCGAAGAATCTGCCGTTTTGGTCATGTCGTCGCTATATAAAGTAGTGAAGTCATTCATGCGTCTCTTGTATAGAGCTTGAATTTAATAAGAGATCCATAAAAAGCTTGAGCCCGGTCGAAGTGTCCACTTACAATCCATGCAATCGAAGAATAGTAACGGCTACATTCACCCAACAGTTCATAATGCGGTTCGCAAAAGTTGGTTTTCCAGTTCGTTCTAACAGTAAGCGGCGTTATATCAGGCGCAACCGTAAGAGCGTAGCCAAAGATAGTGTCTTGGATTTCCTGTGGGAATTTGCTGAAATGGTGACGATCATCTGTGGGCAAGTTCCATCCATCTTCGCTTGGATGCGCAGTAAGTGCCTTATATCCCACTGATCGTGGTTTATCGATCAGCTGTAAGGTTTCCGGCTTGGTTCTGATAATGTAGTGTCTATCGTCAGCACGCACTTGTTCAGAAAGTTTACTCGAGAGAACCTCCTATACGTGTCCTCGATATCTGAATCATGTTTAGCTTCTTCTAGTATAAATAATGGAGGATATGTAAACACCTTCACCCCAAGTGCAGCGATGGCCATCTTCATCACGAAAGAACAATCCAACAATTTTGTTTTTCCTCGCGTAGTTTTTCAAGTGCCTGCGATGGTGTCTGGTCAGGGTATTCTTCCAAAGCGTGCTGTCTGTGCCGTTCCAGATCCTCGAGGGGTCGGAGAGTCTGCCTAAGACTCATTGTGATGTGCTTGATTGCCGATATGCAGTTGTTAAGGAAGAACGAAATGCTAGTCCTAAGTGGTTGTTAGAGATAGTCCAGTGTTGACTGGAAAGTTAGGTGGGACAAAGGTTTGTAGGACGCAAAATAGTATATGATAGCCGGTAAACGGTCGATATAGGCTAACATTCATTCGTCCCCAGAACAACCACCAGCAATTCACAACATAGTGGTGCTTATAAGTTATGCTTCATATATCATATAGATTGACGTAATATACCGGGCAGTGGATAAAATTCCCTAAGCAACACAACTGGTAAGAAAAACAGCCTCGTTCCTTAAGTAGTCTCCCTATCTATTCTCCAGAAAAAGACCAATGAGAGCTAGTTTAAAACAACTTTGTTACTCTTTATATCATCGACTTTTAAATACTGGTGTGGAATTAAGTCGTATTATATTAAGACCGTCGTATATCAGACATTGGATATAGATTTTCGTTGCCGTTACGTCCCCCTATTCAGAGACTGGTACCAAGTGCTTTTTAAAGGATGTATGTATGTAAATTAATAATCGATTAAAGATTTAGTATTTATTCAAGAAACTTAAAGTGTTAACGCTTTAGAACATCCCAGCAGATATAGAATCCAAAACCTCATACGGTGGTATGCACACTCATCAGCGGCACAACTACTGTATATGCTATACTTCCCCCGACTCAGTATTATGATGATTTGTTTTCTTCGCTTTTTTTGCCTTCGTGCCTTTCTTTTCCTTCTTTGCTTTTAGCGCCTTTTTTCGCAGATGGTCAGGGCAAGACTTCTTAAAATGGCCGTGTTGACCACAAAAAGGACACAGATTGTAGCACTTATTCCAGGTATGTCCTTCCCCACAGAATCCACATCGAAGGTCAACAGGTCCGGTATCTTCCACGGATAGTTCCTCGACAACGTTGCTTTGAAGGATCTTTCGGGCGCTCTGCTTGGTTCTATCATCGAACCAATGCATGGCTGATACTACCCATTCGTAGAGATCATGGTCTTTGATGCTACGAAATACCTCTAGCGTCCTCAGAGACTCTATCTGACGAAGTTCTTTCTCAAGAAGAGGCCTTAATGTTCTTTCTGTAGGTGTTGGTCTAGAAATCTCCAGCGCATCGTCTTCATTCTCGTCTTCGCTCCTGTTGGATGAGTTCTCTGCGTCTTCATCGTGAAAGAAGTCATCCTCGTCTGCGTATATGGTAAGGTGTTTTAGACCTGGGCAGACGGCGATGATGATGGGTATGTAGAGACGCAAAGAGTGAACAATATCGTCCCGACAGTGATGACCACAGATATTTGTTTCGCACTCGTGAAGGCGAACGATTCCAGAAAACTCAAGTTTCTCGAGTAAAGCGGCATTTGTTGGGCCAATGGTATAGGTGAATCGGAGGAACTCGTCGAAATAGACCCAACCAGGGAGGTCGTAAACTTTGATCTGACCTCGGATCTGGTTTATCACCCTCTGCACTTTATGTAACCATCCATCAACGAGGAGGGGTTTGTGGGCACTGGGTCGGTGCTTCCTCATTTTGTTCCCTCTCATGAACATTGATGGGGGACTGGCATTGTATCGCGGATCAGTCATCCTGAATCTAAAGGTATTGCTGTACAGAATGCCCAGGCCTTCCTTGTATATTGTGCTCGATGATCGCAAGAAAGAGGCATCAATTGCCCGCTGTTGGATGAGACGCAGCTCTTTGAATGCACCATTGGTGTCGCTGCGTTCAATGGCTGCCCAAAACTTTGATGATGTGGTCTTGTCATCTTTTGAATTGCCCCAGTCGATAGAAAGGTTTACCACAGACCACTGTCTTTTCCAATTGCATGAAATGACATGGGGTAAAACGACTGCCGGGGCGAAAACCTTAAGAGCCATAGCAAAGATCGAGTTCCTGATCTCTGGAACCCCAATGATATTAGTAATTGCAGATAAGAATACAGAATAAGACTTACCTGGTGGAAAGCTCATCAAGTGATGAGGATGGCACTGAGGATGGTTCCATTCTCTTTCGCTGCGATGAGCAACAAGCTGGCGAATCTTATAGTGCTTCGGCCGATCGATCTCAGCTAAGAGAGGCTGATATTCTCTGGCAAGATATGTCCGATTATCATTATCACACACATCGACATAATCCTTACTAAATCCTGTGTATTTTGAAGTGTCGATGACTGTCGAGCGTTAGATACAAACGTGTTTCAAGAAATATTGGGTTATTTACCAGGTCCCCAACGGCAACGCTCTCCAGCTTGGTTTAAGAAGAAAATACCCTCAATACCTTCTTCTTTGGCGTGTCTTTCTAGGGCTTTGTCGGGGTCTTCGTTAGGGTATTTTTCTACTGCATCCTTCTTGTGTGATTCGAAGTTCCATCCACTTAACGTCTGTTTAAGGACCATACTGCTATAGCAAGGTCTTATATCGGCGATTGTAGTAGAAGTAATGATGTTATGTAACCGATAGGACCAGTCCTAGAAGTATTTGATAAAAATTGGTTCTATATGTGCAAGTTCAAATAGACTGTGCCAAATGTGTGGTGTTTTGTTATAAAGTTTGATATCTAAGAACATCACAGCTAACCTTTCGTTTATAGATATAAATATAGCAAGGATTAGAATTCACATAAACAGATGGTGGAAGAAGACCAGCAGCAGGGCTGCTAGCGCTGTGAATTGGAGTTCCTGGAAGTCATTGCGGCCCTTACTACCTGTGTGAATTAGGATAGCTGGGGATATATAGAATTCCGGAATGACTTCAATGGTAATGTTTGACTGTTTGTTCTATTCATTTATTGCCAGTCCCAATTTAGCAAATGGTTGCTTTCAAGGAATCAAAGCTAGAGTGATTGACCTTTCACATTCCAGGTCAAGCTAAGATGTATAATAGTTTTATCAAACTTCAAAACGAAGAATAGAATATAGCAGCTAAAGGGTTCATTATTAATATAATCTAGCAGCCGCATTAATGCCAACCTTGCTATAGCTTTTAAAAGGCACAAGTTGAGAAACTGATGCCTTTATTTCTGTCCTCTTATAATTTGATAACTAAGTATCACCTGCGGTTTGGATATAAATATTAGACCTACTTCAAATATTGACCGTCTAACTGTAAAATGTTACAGCTGACAATACAGTGACTGTGCAGACCGACTTTTTATATGCAAGTGTCAGAATTGTACTTTCTCCTAAAATTACAAGAAGGATATAAATATATACCTGCAATAAATGTTCTTAATAGAAAAGAAAGAGAATGATATTCTTCTAGTATACAGGTATTCTATGTACTAGAGAAGGCAGACAAGCTGAAAGATTTAGTTAACTTGATGAATGCAAGTGTATAGAGTAAATATTCCAAATCTCCTTATAGCATGAGATAATACACACTTGCTAAATAATCACCTCGCGTACTTTTAAGCGACTCTAAAATATAGTAAGTTTACCCCGCTTTGAATTTGCCACTTGTACTATGATGCACTTGAATACAATACTTATATCAAGGTCCGGTTTACATTCCACCTCTTATATACCTATCTAAACAAAACATTCAAGTCTGAGCAAATATAGCTCGAATAAGAACAATAGAAAACTTGCAGAACATTTGGCTGGGATAGAAGTTTGGATTAGAGGCTTATAATAAAATGAAATTGGATAAGGTCGGCTTTAAAATAGCGGATGGTCACTTCTATTGAATCTAGACTCTTCAAATACACACTTGTTTTGAAGTTAGAAGTTGGTGAGCAACCTTTACGAAATCACGAGATATCAGACTAGTTCCTATAGGGTGTACGTGGAGGCATATAGTAGAGGCCTTTTTTTTACCTCCCTTTGACATTATATCATTATCTGTGGTATCACAAGATACCCGGGTAAATCACTTCGTACTAGCTAGTAAAAGGTGGTTAAAATCGGTTGATGTTCGTTCGCGTCTATTCAAAGTGGGAGTGTAGGAAGCGAAGAGGTGATGACCTCTTCACTGACTAAACTACGCCAAATCACATGACTGGAAAGATCGGGATACAGCCCTTATCCTAATATCATCCTATATTTTAGATAATTATCCAAAGCCTACATGAATTTAGCCCACAGAACCGAGCACAACTCCCCCTCTTTTCCTACTGTAGCGGGCCGACAAACGCCAAAATGCCGACGGGGACCACCCCATGGACGTAGCACTCAGGCTAGCGAACGCCCTTCCTTCCCTAATGCAAAATCTCTCGCCAAAATATTGGTGGACCAATAATATGCCACGTGATGGGAGAGACAAAGCGAAAGAAGGCCCGAATGTATCAAGCTCGCTCTAAACAAGCTTTGTGTCTCAAAGGCCACGAAAGCACGAGCGATGCACAGACAACCCACAGTCTCACCGCACGCTTCGTTATGCGGGGAAGGGGTGTAAGTGCAAGCATCCCCTCCCGCGCCCCTCTCTCATTGGACAATGTTCAGTCTGGGGAAAGCGCTATGTCATGCATTAAAAGATGGACATTCCAAATGGCATGAATAGTTACGTCTATGGCTTGCTCGCCATCTCTAGGCCTCGTCTAGGCCCTCTTTCTCAAGGAACCATCAGCAGTCACCTGGTAACATGACATGCCTTCCTCCAATCAGTGAGACTCGACTTCGCCGATCTTGGATACAAGAGCTGCCATAGTTTACTCCCGAGTATGGGGTTATCCCGGAGTGGCTCTCCCTGGAGTGGCTCTCCGCCCCCGCCACACTTGTCATGCTATTTTAGCGTCGGATCCCCCAGATTCCCCAAGTTATTTAAACATGCTTCCTCATCCTCGCCATTTTTCTCCATCTAACTATCTTCTCAAGCTCTAGTCGGCATTTCTATCCTAGAATACGACTTTCAAAATGGGTATTGCTTTGAAAAAGCCCGCGGGCGTACCAGGGAAATCCTGGCCGGCTGTCAGTTCCAACTCCTCAAGACGAAAGGGCAAGAACAAACAAAGGCTAATTAGAACACAGATTGTTATCGGATTGTTTGTTGCTTTTGGGGGTGTCCTCTTTGGGTAGGAGATGATGATTGCCCCATTGTTTCAATTCCAGCTGACAAAAGTAAAAGATATGATACGGGAACAATCAGTGGCATTATTGCCATGAAGTAAGTAAACTATTTTCTTGATGTTACCAGAGGTTTTTCTGAATCTCTCACACCATCCACGGGTTAGTTCCCATTACTCAAAAAATAACTAACCCAGCGTAGTTACTGGTTGAAGGAGTTTTCCACTGGAAACAAAAATGCACTTGGCGATCCCATTATCACAGCATCGCAACAATCAGAGATTGTCTCAATTCTGTCCGCTGGAACCTTCTTCGGTGCACTAGCTGCAGCCTTGATTGCCGATCGGATAGGCCGTCGCTGGTCATTGATCGTATCTTCTGGCGTTTTCACATTCGGAGTCATCTTACAAACTGCCGCAACCGCAATACCAATGTTTGTTGCTGGCCGATTTTTCGCTGGGTTTGGAGTAGGGTTGATCTCAGCATTGAGTATGATTATCCTCCTTCTCCTTTTCTCGCAACAGTTGTTCTAAGTAGATCATTCTTTAGTTCCTCTTTACCAATCCGAAACGGCACCAAAATGGATCCGAGGATTGATCGTGGGAAGTTATCAATTCGCCATTACTATCGGTCTTTTGCTCGCCAATGTCGTAAACAACTCTACCCACAATCGAAATGATTCAGGCTCCTATCGTATCCCAATCGCCGTTCAATTCGCATGGGCTCTTGTACTTATCGCCGGAATGCTCGTACTTCCAGAAACACCTCGATACCTGATCAAGCGTGGGAAGCCAGAGGCTGCGGCTCGGTCTCTCGCACGGCTCCGTCGCTTGCCAGTTGACGACGTGGCCATCGTGGACGAATTGAGTGAGATCCAGGCCAACCATGACTACGAACTCACACTTGGCAAAGCCACATACATTGACTGCTTCAGAGGTAATGTCATGAAGAGACTCTTAACAGGATGTTTGCTGCAAGGACTTCAACAACTTACTGGAATCAACTTCATCTTCTACTATGGAACACAGTATTTCAAGAATTCGGGTATCAAAAACAGTTTCGTCATTAGTATGATCACCAGTGCCGTGAATGTTGGGTCGACTCTCCCCGGTCTTTACGCCATTGACAAATTTGGACGACGACCTCTGCTCTTCTGGGGAGGTGAGTAACTCGTTGGAAAAATCAAAAGTACCAACTGACATGTATCTAGCGGTTGGAATGTGTGTAAGTCAACTGCTGGTCGCAATTCTCGGAACAACGACAACTGGCCAATATCCCACTACCGGTTTGACTTACAGCAAAAACGACAGCGCTCAGAAAGCGAGTATTGCATTCGTCTGCATCTACATCTTCTTTTTCGCCTCAACCTGGGGCCCAATCGCTGTAAGTACACCGAGTTTTTTCCTATTACACCTTCCCTTGCCCGTTATGTATCATCTCATATACTCCAAAACCTCTTTACACATTCTCAGAATGGGAATTTCTCATCCTTTGCTTGGGGGATTTCTCTTTCGAAAATCCTCTCGTATATGAAATAACTGACATACCCGTCATCTAGTGGGTCGTGACCGGCGAAATCTTCCCCCTCAAAGTCCGCGCCAAGTGCCTCTCGATGACGACCGCCACAAACTGGCTCCTGAACTGGGCCATCGCCTACAGCACTCCCTACCTCGTCAACTGGGGACCCGGAAACGCCAATCTGCAGTCCAAGATCTTCTTCATCTGGTTCGGCTGCTGCTTCCTGTGTATCGCGTTCGTGTACTTTATGATCTATGAGACCAAGGGTCTTACGCTGGAGCAGATTGATGAGTTGTATGATGAGGTTAAGGTTGCGAGTCAGAGCACGTCGTGGAAGCCGACGACTACCTTTCGGCAGATCAGGGCTAGTGTTGCTGCGCAGGGTGGCATGGGCGAGTATGATGAGAAGACGCATACCGGTGTGGAGCACAGGCAGGACGCTGAGCTGTAGATGTCTGATTACCATGGTGGTTTGTTAAACAGAGGGTTGAATAGTTACAAAGGTGGTTATACAGGGTGGTAAATTGCCAAGGGGGGGAGTTTAGTAAGGATGGCGTTTATTTGTATATAGTATTCAATTGATATTTTCCACTCATTCTCATGACTATATCAATAGCAAAGCTCTCTAAGTCTCCGTTTCCGTGCCCCATCTATCTTCATAAATTATATCTATATCATATCCCAATAATACCAATCTCAACGCCAAACCCCAAATCCCAGAGCACAAGCTTAAACATCAACCATAACAACACACAAATGCACCCAGCCATCCGCATAAGCCGCGTCCCTCATCAGTTCTTCTACCGGCGCCCGCATCGGCACCGGCGCCCCATGCAATACCGGCTCCGCAAGTATGACATCCCTCCGACTCGGAAACAGACTCGGCAGCACAGCATTCAGCGCCGAGCCCAGCGTCTGCGTCTCCCTATTCCCCATCGCCGGCGGTACCAGCGTTTGCACGATCTTGAACGCGCCGAGAGTAGAAGATTCGGTGGGTGTGGAGGGGATGTAGATCCGCAAGGGTATGTGTTTTAACGGCGTGGCGGGGTTGAGCAGCTGGGATTGGATTTTGGTAAAGGTGGAGAGGTCGTTGTCGCAGATGCTGTTCCAGAGGGCGGTCGAGGAGGCTTTGGACATGGACATTATGCCTTTCGCTGTGCCGTTGCGAATAAAGTCTGCCTGGGTTGGAGTTGGTATATATATTCTTTGAACCGCGGGGAAGGACAGGGAAGACATACTTCTTTGACACTATTCATAAACGTGTCGTGGATATCGAATAGTGGCCCGTTGCCAAGTGTGAGATGCCATGGTAACGAGGGCTGGTACAGATCACACAGCAAGCCCACGGGAAGGTTCTTGAGCAGTATGCCCTCGTAGGAGAAGCTGGACGCGGGGCCGAAGAATGAGGTGAGGCGGGGTAGAAGTAGCGGGAGGTAGGAGAGTCGCGGGATCTGAATCAGGTAGGGTGTCGAAGAGGAAGGATGCGTTATGTGAAGAGGAATCGTGGACGCCCATATTTGGGACTGCATTGTATTCATGAAGGAAAGAAAGAAGAGTTGTCCTGTCGTGCCTTGTGGAGAAGGCTGCGTGGTCACGTGCTGACGAGGCTGTACACTAAGCCACGTGATCTAAGATATGACATATGCAGCCCTGTTATATCACGTGAGATAGCTCAACTTCTGCCTGATGTTGGAATATAACGATGTGTGTATAACTCTATTGTCTGATGTGAAAGAGGTTACGTGTCAACTACTCTGGGATCTAGGTTTTATCTATGTCTGCTGACTAAGCAATACCAAAGTCCAACACCTGACGACCAAATTCCTTTAACTATCCTTTTCGGTTTAGGTCTTTCTGCCCGGTATACTCAATCTACAGCACAGCTTCTAAGATGAGAAGCTTTTGATTGACTCTAAATCAAACTAATGAGATGCTATCTACCAATACAAGCCAAGTTCCATCGGGTTTCCTGGGCACTATGGATTAAAGCAAGGTCTGTCTGGACTGTCCCTTCCACTCATCTATTTCTTTTGATGCAGCCCTTCTAATGTGTGTTCAGTTGGTTTCGGGACTGCAATACCACCTAATAACTACGAAGACAATCCAGGTGCTCATGATGCGATTATATCAGCCAGATAATATTACATCCTTCGCTCTGTTTAACCATGACGGACGGCACCATGGCCTTCGACGAAAAGGGTGAATACGGAAACGCCCTTATATGTCGAATTATCCAGTTCAACGACGTGTCTGCATTAAAGCGATACTTGCTCAGAGAACCCATACGCGGCCTGGGGGCAGATCTAGCCATTTACATGGACCCTTTCTACACCGCGACCTATTATGCATCTACCGATTGTCTTCGCATACTTCTGGAGCATCATGCTATCCATGGAACTCCAGCTCAACTCGAGGCTCCCAACTCGACAGACTATCTGCTACTAAATGTGTCCAGCAGCAGAGGTCATCTTGATATGGCACGTTTTCTGTTAGATTGTCAACCTGCATATGTTGATCTTCACGCCCGAAAATCGGACATGACGGCCTTGCTCTGTGCAGCTGCTTCGTTTACCCCGTACCTTCCGGACACGGTGCCAGCATCAAGTGAACCAAAAGAATACCTACGCCATCACGTGGCTCGTAGTGAGGAGTTAATACAGCTTCTACTTGACCGAGGTGCTTGCGCTCGTGATGCCACAACTTGGGCGAACATTCATAAAACGGTTCTCAGTCTAGCCATCTCTAGGGCGAGTCCTGGATTGGTGAAACGTCTCATCGAAGAAGGTGCAGACGTGCATGCAAAGACAACGAGAGATCTAGAGTCTTGGTCTGAATACGATGAAACACTTCTCCAAGATTTCACTCCTCTTCATGTGGGTAGCTTGTATCTGAATTCCGAAGGCATCCAAATCCTGCTGGACTGTCGAGGCAGCGGCATCAACATTTCAGATATGTTATTATGCCGAGATAGTTCCGAATCTCTTCCCCTTCATTGGGCCGCCGGGAGCTTCAATCAGCCTGAGAACGAAATATGGGCCAGAGACGATATTGTTGCCCAAGCTACTGACATCATTAAGTTGCTCTTAAAAGGCAGCAATCCTAGCTCTATCAACATTCCAGATAAGCGAGGAAACACGGCCTTGCATCTTGCATCATCTGGAGAAGCACAAAGCGGCAGCGAACATTCCTTTGTCGCTCGGGCTATTGTGAAGCTCTTGCTCGAACACGGCGCAGACGTGGGTCTACGAAATCATAAAGGACAAACGCCGCTACATCTAGTAACTAAGGATACGGCACTGATGGAACTCCTTTTGGCGAATGGCGCGGGTCTCAATGACGCTGATACAGATGGCAATACTTCTCTTCACTTTACAGCAAGCAATCTGCGTTACATCGAAGCAGTGCGATTTCTCATCAGCCGAGGCGCCGATCTCCATGCCAGAAATTCTAAAGGGAATGCGCCGCTACACGAAGCAGCGGGCGGGTATTATATGAATGATAGAAGGCGTTTGACTAGTGGATCCTATCGCGATGAGCTTATGCGTTGGACAAACGCCGATTTGATGAGATTGCAGGACGAGGTGATGGGTGTTTTTTTGGATGCTGGATGTGATCTTGATCACCAGTGTAACGTAGCTGATAAAACACCTCGAATGATACTGGAAGAAACGAGGCAAAAATGGGAAGAAAGGGAAGAATCTTGGAGGAAGGATCAAATAAGGGCCGGAAGGGGAAGAGGAAGGGGCAGGGGAAGGTAGTATTCTCCGAGCTGCGAGTTTGAGTCGACCCGTAGCTGCTCGAACATAGATGCTAACTCCAACTCGTTCGAGTTGGACTCTCTGACACAAATAACGGAGACCGACCATCACTCTTGATGCCATAGGGTTCGTCTGCTGACTGCTCACATTCCACGAAGCATATCGAGGGCGGGGCGCTTCTGGGGTGATTTTGATTGGTGCTAGACCACTTGCAACTTGCAAGCATTAGGTTGGTGCCTAAAGCCTGCCTGCATGTCGGAAAAGCCCAGTCTGAGGCTCTCTGCAAGGCAGTTAGGGCTATGCTGTGTTGTATTGTGCCTCAAATCTTTCAGCCGTATCTTTACAGAGTTCCAGCGTAACAGCGTTCCCACTTCTCTCTGCCATTTAATCGGAATATTATTTTGTTGCCTACAACACAACATCAAACCACCAGAATGGCGGAAGCTCTCGGCGTTGTTGCCAGTGGTATCGCGGTAACCCAACTTGCTACTCAGGTCGCAAGCAGCGTCATCAAGCTGAAGAATTGTTGGGAGCAGATCAAGAACGTTCCGACGGAAATTAGTTACCTCCTTCGCGAAATCGATTCTCTGAAACTCATCTTGTGCCATATCCAGGACGACCAAGCAAGCCTGTGGGAGCCAAACTCGGTAGGGAATGGCGTTCATTTGAGGCAAAGCTTGGAGTTGTGCAAACAAGGCTCTGCGGAGCTGGAAACCCTAGTTAATGAGCTAGGTGCGAAAATTGAAGGGAAGCACGGATTGAAGAAGAAGCTGGGGTCTGCGAAAGTGGTGCTGAAGAACGAAGAAATCAAGGTATTGAAGAGGAGATTGAAGAGTACAATTCGACTATTGTCTTTGTCGTATCAATGTCATACTAGGTGAGCCCACTAGAGAGTACTGAAGATCCGGAACCTGACGGCTTCTAGCGCGATGATACAGATGCAGTCGGAGGTCATAGTCACCAGAGTCGCGAACCATATCGCTTCTACTACTCTGAAGCCACGCGGATCGGATGATACCGTCATTGAGACCCCGACTCTGCAAGATGTATCGCAAACACATATGATCGATTTCAACCCATACGAGTATTGGACTGGCTCGCCGTCGTGGATTTGCTACATTGCGGGGAATTTCGAGTATCGTAAAAGCTATCGCAAGCACAGAGGCAAGGAAGGAGACGAGCACTACGCAAGATATATGCTTCCTCGGTGGCTTTCCGACAAAGTCTGGGAGTATCGTGCCCACAACACGAATTTTGGGTGGCGAATTAATTTACAGACGTGCCGCTATCTAAGTGTCGACTCCCCCTTTTTCAAGGCCATCCATAATAGAGATTTAGTTAGCGTCCGAAACATGTTATCTACCCGCGAAGCTTTCGTCACAGACAGGATAGAACACCGCTCATATCCCTTCAGAGACGATCTTTGGGATGGTTGGAAACGTTTTGTGGGTGGGCAGACTGCACTGCATGTAAGTCACCAATCCTCAGACCCGTCCTGTTTATGTTAACAACGCTAATATATATTAGCTTGCCACTAAATGGGGAGACCTGGAAATGTCGCAACTGCTCCTCTCAGAAGGGGCGGATCCTCTTGCCCTCGACGACGAAAACAAGTAGGTCCAAAGCTCAAGTCATACTGTTGACACTACCCCACTCCAATCGGTGTTGGGTTCTCTGGAAAGTTGTAATTCGAAGGCTGGCTTTATATCGGATTCATTGGAGTGACCAGGATGAACCCCATATGAAATCGACGGATTTATCTACCCATCTATTAAGAAACTTGAGGCTTCAATATGATAATGTGCTAATGATTACCTAGAACACCATTGCATATTTTGACGGGTCGTGCATCCTTCTTAACTTTCAAACAAAAGGTAGAGGTAATGGAACTATTCCGGCTGCTTCTCAGGAGAGGCGCGAGCGAGCTTCTCATCGAAGATACTAGCGTGCTTGAGAATACTAATGCCCCGATATCACTTGTTCGATGTATACAACAGGAGATGTACCCGCCTTTTTCAGAACTCTCATTACGAAGACGTATGGATCTGTCAGGATACGCCGATGGAGCTTGGCATAATATACCTGCTTTACTGAGATCTTCATTCATTAATAGCTCTAATATCTCATCCGAGGTATTAAATTGGGTCAATTCGGAGCAGCAGTCTTTCCTCCATTTATTCGCTGAATCACTTGCCGAAATTGTCTGTTTTCCTTCAGAGGACCTTGAGATAACTTTTGATGAAAATCTTCATCCAGAAGTCATAGAACAACTGCGTGCCTCTCGAGATCATAGCTTTGTATGGCGTGGGATCATCAAAGACTTTGTCTCCGCCGGTGCCCCGCTACACGGCATTAACGCGATGGACGAGACACCCTTCTGGTTGCTCTTGAATACTTCAGGAGAGCAGATAGTTGCAAACAGCTCTTCTGTTGTGGCAATTTGGCTGGCCGATTTGCTCACATGCGGGGTGGATCTGCAGGCGTATGGAGCGGAGGAACACGCTATTTTGATGCGGAACGAATTTCATGATTTCCAAACATACAATCCTCTTCTTAGATGCTACCTCCCTCATAGGTTGATAAGTTTTACTTACGGGCCTCATCCGGATGACTGGGTCTTCTGGTACTCGGAAGTTACAGACCAATTCGCGGGAATCTTTTGGGAGATGATCGAAGCAGAATCGGATGCTACCCAAGATTCGCTCGAAGTTCCTATGCCTGGATCATGGAATGATGATGATGATGTTTAAGAAATATGCTTTTGGAAGAATGCTGGATTTACTCGTCCCACTGAGGCCTCGATTTCAGCATTGCCTTCCTAACGTCACCAAGCAACTGCACTTCTCAGGCTTTGCGACCTAATTACCCCGGAGTATCGGTTCAGATTAACTGATGGCACTTACCGGGGAACAAGGAAGGATTGTATTTCAACGAAAGGATGATACTGGAATAAATTGTCCATGATTTATGCACAGTAAACCCACGAGGCTTTTTCTCCTCAGGCTCATATTCGCCTTCTTAAAATATCGACATACTTGATGGCAAGTTTGCGAAGGGCTTTGCAATGCTTTTCTTTGGACTACCGTGTATGCCCCGGATACATTCTACATTTTTAATGTTGCCTAGCTCCAGCGTTTATGCAGGCCAATTCTAGATACGCCCCCGATCTGCTCTCCTCTCCTCACTAGTTAGTTAAGCATCAACTTTCCACAAATTGTTGAAACACTTCGTTTTCGTGCAGATCTCTAAACATGGAAGCAAAGTAATAATTACTGAAAATAATATGCTAAATCTGCTAGTCATATCCCCCACATACAAAACACCTACGACTCCTTCTCCATCTTTATTTGTTCATCATTCGATCCAGACCCAGAGCCAGAAGCAGGCCTCTTATGAGCGATCTTGCTTTCCAGCCGCGCCGCAATTTCTGGATTGTCATCCACAAGCTCATCAATCGTTCTCACAGGCCCTTTGAAAAACGTCTTGCCTCCAAATCCAGGGATGTAATAATACACCACACAAAACACCAATACAAATCCCAGCACAACAACAGCATAGTTCATCTCATCTGGTGATGGATCTGGATAAGATGGGAATAGTAGCAGGATGAAAACGAACGACATCCAGGCGACTGAATATACGGCCGAGATGTAGGACAGTTTGTCGCCCATGTACCAAACACCGGGAGTGAAATGGCGGAACAGGAGGCGAGATATCAGGGGCATGCAGTAGGCGAAGTAGAGACCCATGATAGAGAGGTTGAAGATAGAGTTGATGGCGATGGTGTTCACAAACATGAGCAGACCTTCGAAAAGAGTGCATACGGCTACGAAGCCGACGGCGCGAGCCGGCGTCTTGTTGGCCGACAGCACCCTGAGGTATCCAGAGAAAGGGAGCCCGTGATCTATGGGAGTAAGTATCAGATGCAACAAATGATAAGAGAGGGGTGACAAACCTCTAGCAAATGCAAAAGTCTCTCTCGAAGCAGCCACCATCAAAATGGAGCAGTTACAGATAGAGGAAAACCACAAAAACACCAACAGCGCAATACTACCATTCTTACCCAAGCTGTTGAATGCAATCTGAGCAAACGGCTGTCCGAGCGGAGATGTGACAATATCAATCACGTCAGTGCCCATACAAAACGCAATAGTGATAAGCACAGCCCAACCCGTAATCCCGCCAGTAACCAGCGAAGAAACCATAGCAAACGGCACCGCCTTTGCAGCGTTACTAGCTTCTTCTGCGAGGGTAGCAGAAGATTCAAAGCCACTAACAACCCACACAGGTGTCAAGAAGCTCATCATAAACGCCCATCCGTTGTTCGTCCAAAATCCGGTGTTGACGAAATCAGCGAACACAAAGCTGGCGCTGTTCTTGAGCTCTTTCGGTGTACCCGCTGCTAAGGCGATGATAACGGCGAGAAGCATGGCGAATTGGACAATTATGTAGCAGAAATTGAGCTTATTAAGCAGCTTGGAGGATACGCAAGTCATGGCGAAGGTTAGGAGTGTGGTTGCGGCGAACATGCCGTAGTTCTCATATTTCGTCGCCACATATGCTCCGTCACTCCCAATGGAGCATGTTGCGCCTAGGATGAGCGTCGCGGCGTAGATGGTTGATGAATAGATGGTCACATAGCCAAGCACGTTCATGTACCCTCTGCCTTATTGTTAGTCCTGCTTTTGCGTAATGATGATCAGGGGTACGAACGCAAGCCAGCACATGAACGCTCTTTGTCCTGGAGGAGTCAGGCGGGCAACCCACTATTCTTTCATCAGCTCAATTCGATATACCAGCTTGCATGCCCGAGAATCTCACATAATATAATCCCCCAGAAGTCGGCATACTGCTTCCCAACTCTCCCAAACTCAATGCCACCGGAATTAACAATATACATCCCGCCAAATATGTCCACACCATACCCACACTACCACCACTTCCCAGCGAGAATATCATGGATTCAGCGATCGCTGGCGCGATTCCCATAGCTCCGAAACTCTGCCCAAAGACTGTAAGATATGAGAACTCCCGCTTCAATTCCGCTCGATACCCAAGAGATGCGAGCAAGTCATCGTCCGTATTGACGGCGATGGTGGTCCCTTCTTCCAGACCCAGCACTTCCTTGGCTTTATTAATCTTCTGATCGTGTGTGACCGGTTTGACATCTGGCGCCCCATCTTCTGGGTAGCTTTGAGGCATATCTGCGACTCGATTTTGAGATTTTACAGTTAAGTCCGTGTCTATCTCCGGACTCCAATCGAGTTTGGATTCTGCAAGTTCGAATAGATAACGACCTGTCGATATCGAGGAGATAATTTGGAGAGACGCTTAGAACATTGCATACTTGGGAAGATGTCCCTTCTTATTGCACAGGTAAGATCCCAAAGGCTTTGGGGGTTACCCGGGTCTCCACAAGTCAAGCCACCGACCCACCAGCGCATCTTGATAAGGATATACAAGGTTATAAGACAAGGGTCAGAAACGCAGTCACTTTCATTGCATTTCAGTGATTCCATGTGGTTTCTTAAGCTTGGTAATTCTTATATGCTGACGGCCACCAGCGGTAATGGCCATCAAAGTTACTCATCTCGTTGAACTTCGAAGTTGTTTCGCTCTGTGGAGCCGGACCTGATCAGAGATATACGACTAGATCTGACACTGAATCGATCCTCTTCACTATGAAGTGAAGCTGTTCAATTGGGGACCTTCAGACGGCCAATTCCCTGCAAACCCTTGAGAAAATCATAGTTGTTACCAATAGAATCCTTGCAGTTTCAGCTGCCGTACAGTACAGTATCTCGGCGAGGACCTCTGATTATTTGATGTCAGACCTTGAGGAAATATTTTGCAAGGCGATAAGCGACTCCAACATTACGGGGGCCCGAATGGCGCCGTATTAGTGGTTCACGGCGGACCTACCCCCAGAACCCGATAAGGTGACTTGGCTTGGGTCCGCGGTTGGTAGCGCTATCTGGTGGACGCTATGCTATCTAAAGAACTTCTAGCGAAATATCACTCCATAAATTATGCATAAAGTAATCGAAATCGATGACCTTACTCACTGATATCTTTCTCCCATTCCAAAATAGCTGGTCCAGCCAATAGTAGAGTTATTTTTCAGCTACAGGATTCGGACTTGAGATCTCTCCCGCATCCCGACTGCCGGGACAAGAAGCTCTGACACAAACCTACTTGTCCTCTGCAGTGAAGATACCGGGAGACTGGTGGAAACGATACTCGTACGCAGCGGAAGGCCAATGCCGTTGGTAAAAGACCACTCGACTAAAAGTGGTCCTGGATTCGGCATATAAAATGAGGTCCTTTAGGAAAATACAAGTAGTTGGGCCGTTGAGAGTACTTGAGCGTCAGTCCCCAGCTGTTCCAAATCCGATACTGACTTTAAGCCGGATTTCCTACTAAATGGTGCTGCAATAGCGCTTCCCGGGTTTAAAGTCGGCGCCAGAGGTACGTTCTTTCGGTGGGCGCACGAGCTGTCCCGCTACTGTCACTGTTTGTGAGAGCGATTGAGACTCGCATCTTTGAAGGTTGCGAGGGCGTGGATTTTCTCGAGAACTGTGTATTCACGAGTGAGGAATGTTTTGAAAAGTAAGAGGGAACTTGGAGTTATAAAACTTTCGGTGTCTGTGTGTTATACTTTCCGTTGTTTTTTCAATGCTGTACTCAACGGGCCTCCAACCTGCAGCACTTCAATTTCCTCTAACTGTTCTGGAAGCATAGCGGCGGCTTCTTCAGGGTTCAAAGTTGAAGTCCTGAAGACCTAACAACGGTAGGAAGAAAAAAATGGAGTCGAAGCATATGGCGTTTAGGTAAAAGTAAAAGTAAAAGAGCGCAGTGAGAAGTTTGGAAACACTAAAGAAACCTTCCTTTCGAAAGTTAAATGTCCTAGTGTTGCATACAGCGTTTTTACAGCCTGGAGCTTTAGTCGGTCTGACCATGGCCACCAACTTGGCAAGAGACCCAAGTTCAACCTTTGCATGATTTGCATGTGTGGAGCTACGAGTAGCGGTCGATTCCAGCATCCTGCTGGCTGAGAGAATGGGCAAATGCACGTTCTCGCATGTCATTAACGAAATTTGACCTTTAGGTACGCGTTGCTCAAGCGATAATAGGGAAGTAAATAATAAGAGTTTCACGACAGACAGAGGAACCTAGAGCTATCCAGCATGTAGATACTTGCGGAATGGAAAACAAATGCGAAGACCAGATAGCCGAGCACGCCTACCATCTCAGTTGAAGTGGGACTTCAATTTAACCAGGACCGTGGATGAAGAGACGGGACGGGACGGCGGAGGACCCAGTGTTTTAACTATCGCATCTTGCCAGCCTTGGACCCGCTTAGACTGGAGTGGACTGACTGTAAGACCTAGGTTAGCATAGCTAGAAGAATTAAGTGGAACGTTATAAAGATCGATTGAAAGCTGAATCAGAGACGAGGATGCTACAGGTATATTGAATGTTTATATTCTTTAGAAAGTTCCTCAATCCCCTCTAATTTAGCCCTCTGAAAATCTTTTCAATATTCGTAAGATGCAGCCTAAGAGAAAGTTAAAGCGCAGCGAGCCATAGCCCTGCTTTATCATATAAGTGTCAGAAGCCTTGCTAGCGCTCTGTGACCAAAATAATTCTGGAAAGAATGGAAAGGAAAATTGATCATATATGATAAAGTACGAAAGTGAGTTTCTTAGACGGAAAAGCTAGTTGCAGACAATAGGTGGAGCATCCTATAGTAGAATGTTACCCTATTTAACATATTCATAGTGTAGTGAATATACTGAAGCTTGTAGATGTAAGAGTTATTACATCTAATGTCCTAGAGAAGCAAATCCCGGTCACCATCAACGTGATTTTACTACGGAGAGTATCCTGCTGAGTGGATTTCACGAACCTATATACTAGTATAGTACCAACGGATCTAGAAACGGATTGAAAGTGTAGCTAATTTTCGAGAGAATCCTATTATCATAAAAAGCCTATCTTTTAGATTCTTTATAGTAGTCAGAAGTAACCAGCACTTTGAAGACTCAAGTCATAATGCGCTGTTAGCGTCAATGGGTTGAGTTGACAATGGGATGTCCTAGAGGAACTTGTGGCCATGATGTTCAGGAATGATATTATTTTGATATATGTGCAAAGTTAGAGACTGCTGTCTTGTTAGCTTTCACTTACGCTGTATAGAGAGGAAGATTATATGAAGAAAGCAGAGAGTCATAAATGTCACACATCAATAAACTAAGGGGGAAGAAATCGCCCTCTGAATGGGTCTAATAACCTATTGACTTGGAGGCCATTCATAGTAGGAAAATCCCACTTATTCCGGTAGATAAAAGCATTCTTGCAATTGCCGAACACTACATAAGGGCTCCATTGAATTTCAGTTCTCCAGCCTATATATATCTCTACAAGCTCCGAAAACATATATAGCATCTGGTCACACAAACCATCTGCCGTAGGGATCAAGTACTTGGACTCCCGGTGAAGAGGAATTCTTGCCAGCCTTCGACCCAGGACGATACAGTTCTCCAGTGTCGAGTCTACCACCCTTCTTGCCTTGCCCCGACCTCAGTATCGCAGACCCAGGCAGTGATGAAATTGAAAACTTTTACGCCTCAGCGGACCCCCGAAGTGAGCGACACATTTGCCGGCAGTAAACGAAAATGATAAATGACAGCAGACTTTCATTTGACAACAATGTTCGGAATTTCAGCCGACGATTCTTTAACTTAAGCAATTTCACATCGATTGTCATAATAATCCAACCATTGTTGAACGAATTTTGCCTTAGTGTTATAAAGTTAAAGAAAAGAAAGTGATTTAAAAGTTCTTTGGAACACAAACCATATAGCATGCTGAAAGAAGCAGAGGGAAATAGTAATCGAGCATTTATATACAGCCCTTTTATAACAAAGCAGAAGTAATTTGACCAGCTCATAAATAGAGGGCGAGACAGGAGCAGCAAACTCAAACCTCATTCGTCCCTTACGCCCCCTTCCAACTACTATAAAAGGGCCAAGGCAGCCCCGTCTAAAAATTGGCATCATAAGCAGCATTGGATCCGAAACAGAAGAACAAAATGGGCAATGATGGAGTCTTGGATATGGATATCGGAGCAACAATGCACGCATATAGAGCGATAGCGCGCAGACTTGTAATATGTAAACATTTACTACTCACCCAATCACCTCTCTCGGAATGTGTAATGAATGTCATCGCAAAAGCCGACAATATAATGTTGTTGACAGCAGGAGAGTATCTGAACATAAAGCTCGCAATTAACTCTTGTTGAAGTACGGGATTCTCGCTCTAGTTACCACTAGAGCCCCACCGGTTTATCAGGTAGAGAACTTAAAGACTATAGAATATCTCGTGTCCTCCTTGTCTTTTCCCCGCAAATGCAGCATACCTTCCCTTGAATGAAAAGAAACATGCTTATATAGCGAGAATCACCGTCGTAGCATTATACGCGCAAGAAAAGACCTATATTAGCGACGTCTAGGACATGACCGAGATAAAAACCTCTAAAAGCCGTGGTAGTAACACCCTTCCCACCCTTCCCCTGAACTATTCACTTGCCTAACACAGCTTTCACGGTTCTGAGGGCTGATTTGAGGGGGCGTCTTAATCACAACAGAGGGATTCATGGGCTTTCCATAATTACTGGTTTGTCATCACCAGCAGAGGCACGCACTAGCTTCGTTGGAAAACCTCACTTTTGCAATTCGCCCTCGATGTCCACGAACTCCGGGGTTTATTGGGAGGAAGAGTGCTTTGAAAACTGACAGGTAGGGTGTATGAAATAGTGTTTGCTTGTTCGAGTGGTGAAATGGGTGTGTAAATACTTGTGAGTACTGAACGACTCTCGTGGTAATACACTGACGCTACTCCCCTGACATGAGGCAATGTTGTGATTCCAAAAATAGCAAACGCTGCACTTGCAGATTACCAAAGAGCATATGAGCAAGTCTGAACATCAATACAGAATATATACATGCGTCTATTTCCCTCTCATCTACAGATCTTTTCTGAAAACCTCAGTACTCCAAGGCTTAGAAGTTAAGTTCGTCAGCCCGTTGATATTCTCACACGTCTTCCTCCCACTCATCGGACCCGGTGAAGGCACCGGCACGCCATTCTTGGTATTTATCTGTCCTCCACCCACTCCCACATCAGCTCCACTCTTCACGTTTTTGTCCTCGCCAGTCAGAGCACCCTTGCCACCGGTAGTATCGACATCGTTCGCGCTATCTTGCAAGGCCTTTAGCAATTTCACGGTGCTTTCGGGAGTCAGGTCTTCGTAGAAGTCGTCGTTGATTTGAACCATGGGGGCGTTGACGCATGCGCCGAGACATTCGACTTCAGAGAACGTGAAAAGGCCGTCTTTGGTGGTTTCGCCGGGGTGGATACCGAGGTGGCCTTCAATTGCCTTCATGATAGCGTCGCTTCCGCAGCCGCCGAGCTGGCAAGGGGTCTGTTGTATCCAATTAGCAATTTCTTATGCAACGAGTGAAGGATCTCCTACCGTTGTGCATGCTTGCAAATGCCACTTGCCGACCGGCGTTCGATTGTACATGGTATAGAACGTAGCAACCTCATAGACACGCATAGGCGGCATCTCTAATAACCTCGCAACCTCATTCATAACGCTCAAGCTCGTGAACCCATGTTGTCGCTGCCCGAGATCCAGGATGGGCATAACAGCCGCCTTTTTGTATTGGGGCGGGTATCGTTTGAGGATCTCGTCGATGAGCTTGTTGTTCTGCTCGGTGAACTTGAAGGGAATGTTGGCATTGTTCTCGGGAGAGTCTCGATGCTGTATTTGGAGCTGTTAGAGCTGTGTTGCTTGGACATGGAGCTTATGGAGTAGTCGGGAAACCTTACGACTTGGAGCGCATCACTTGCTACCCTTGGGGAAGCTGTGAAAGAACGGCATTGAGCTCTTGAAGCCGTACGGGCTGTCCGGAACGCGCCTCTGAAGACATAAGGAGTGAGTTTGGATGCCATTGTCGCAATGAGGGGGCACAATGGCTGGTAGTCTGGTGGTGAAGTCGGGAAATATTACGGTCGTTGATGATGGTGGATTTCAAATGTTCTGGTATGATTGGCGAGAACCTCGTTTGCGGTTACTTCCATCACGACATGGGTATCTTTCAGCATTCGATAAATTAACCTCAATCCTCCTTCCCCCTACAACAATGACAAGTTCACCTTACACCCTCATGATGCTTTCACGACTTTCCCAAGTCCACAACGATTTGGGGACATTTTTCTTCCCTTTTTCTTTCCAAATCAATTTGATTACTCAGGCTCATGGCTGCTAGCACCTTACAAAGATTTAGTATGATGAAAGCATAAGTAAGCCGCCTCTTGATTTCCAGAATCTCATCTGATACCTTTCAGAGCAATGGGATTTTAACCCTCTCTATCCGGACTATCTTTACGATACTAAAATTGTTCAATATGAAGGAAAGGCTAGTGCCGCCATCAACGACCCAGTTTCCTGCACTTAGGCTGGAACCAAAAACACTTCATCTACACCCGTTGATAGACTCGCAATCATATCCCGTTCTCGTTCATCTCCGTGTTACCGTTCGTGGACCTAGCTCGTCTAATGTTTCATTACATTAGCGAATTACCTTTTTGTTTTTCGTAATATTTACATACCTGGGATTGTGTTTGGACTGCTGGCTCACTGACGTATGCCCCTCCCCCCTTTTTAACGGGTTACCTAGGTAAATATCGACTTATGTATGGCGATTATAAGTTCATTGGCCCAATGCAACGGTGTGGTAGTGTTTCTAAAGGGCACTTAATTACTGGTAGAAGCTAGCGTATGTTGCAAGTTCAAAGCCGATACTTGTTGCATCCTGTTTCTTCCTTGACTAGTAGCATATTTTGGTTTTTGGCTTCTGTACTTTTGATAGGTTCAGTCTGTTTATCTCAGAGGTGTGCGTGCGATGCGATGCGTGGGGAGTCAGGGACTGGGACTAATACTTGGATAGAGGTGTATTGTATCATGAAAAGGAGATTGATGTTGTGAGTCGCGGAAGAGAAAGTAGATGGCATGGGTGACACTGCGGTGTACAAGAAGAGAAGGGGTATGGGAGATCTTCAGAAGGATCGGTAGCTTGAGCTGCGAGATCTTGGGATAGAAATATTCGGAGGTCATGTGTTTGAAATGGCCTGCTGGGGAAGGTAGTTGGGGAGTTTGGAGCTGGGCTTCTGCTTTCGCTTTAGAATGGAGAAATGGAATTTTGGTTTTTATTGATCTGTTTTGTATGTATCATACCCACAAAGTAACGGGCGAGGACTTAACTTGGGGGTGATACCACTACTTAGCAATAGCAATGGCAATGATTTAATGTCTTTTAATCACCTCGTCGTTTCTCTCAAACACCGTTTCAATCAAGAAAGGTGTTGTACGTAAGTGATACGCCCGTTGAGATTTTGTTGCAAATCGCACAGGTTGGTGGCTGAGATCCTTCAGCATTAAGTGGGATCTCTTATTATTATGGCGAGGGCAAGACAAGATTGGACGAACGCCATGTGACATTCATGGACGCCACGACTCTTGGCTAGAGGAGGCTGACTTACAAGTGTTGTCTCGCTTTAATGCTTTGGGAAATGCTGTTGCACTTCGCATCCACATTCGGTCAATCTCCCAGCGAGTGGCTGCGTGCGCTCGAAAAAAGTTCAGTTCTATATTGACTAAGGATATCTTTCTACATAGTCTTACAAATGTCCATCACAACTCATCTTTCACCGGCATCTTGACCGGTCCTTCAGGTCTCCCTAAATCTTTTTGCAAATCAACTCCGTTCTTCTTCTGCCATTTCTCCCACAGCGCCCAAAAATCTTTCTCCATGCCGCGATCCATCTGGTCCGGCAAGATGACCGTGTACTCTACGAACAGATCGCCGAACTCCGTTGTGTGGTAGACGCTGTCGCCGTCTTCATGCCATTTGGGCATTCCTTCCCCTTGCACACGCTCAACCAATCCGGGTTGGATGACAGAGCCACGAGGGCGAGACAGCGCAACGATGTGACCATCCATATGCGTGAGGTTGCGAGACCAGCCACCCATCCAAGCCTCCCGCAGAGAAATAACCTCTTTCCAGAACAAATCATCCCCCTTGCGTCTAAAAAACGTTCCGTCAACCTTCCCCTCATTATCTTCGTCCAAACTCGGCTCTTTCTCCGCAAGCGTGACAAGCAAATCCCCAGCAACGTAATCCGGGCTCTCATCGGCATCGTTCTCGTACTTGACCTTCATTCCCTTCGGCGCACCCCTCTCGATATTAAGCTGGAACGTGCTGACTTTCCTCACGACCCTCGAGCCCTCACAGACAGGGCATTTATGCTTGATCGTCTTGCCCTGTCCACCACACACATCGCATGTAACTTGCACCTGCTGGAAAATGCCCGGCGCAAGCATGTGTTTCTGGATCTTGATCCCATGGCCCCCACAAGACTGACACTGATCCACCTGTCCATCTGCACTCCCACTACCCTCGCACTCCTCGCAAATCTGCTGCTTCTCGAGCTGGAATTCCGTCTGGTGCCCGTTATAATAATCTCTCAAAGGAACATTCACGCGCACTTCCATATCTGGACCGCGCCGCTGCCCTGGCTGATGCCCGAAGTGGCCGCCGCCACCGAAGAAGCGCGAGAAGAGGTCAAAGGGGTCATGGTGATGCTGTCCACCACCTTGGCCGCGTTGCTTCAGACCTTCGTGGCCGTATTGATCGTAGATTTTGCGGGTCTCGGGGTCTGACAGGGCTTCGTAGGCTTCGGCTATCTCGACGAATTTTTGTTTGGCAGTTTCGTTACCTCTAAGGTGGGGTATTAGGACTGAATCGGTGCATTGGGGAAGGAGTGGTCATTACGGGTTCTTATCGGGGTGGTGTTTCTTGCTAAGGGTGCGGTATGCACGCTTGATATCGCGTTCTGAGGCTTGCTTGTCTATTCCAAGAAGCTGTAAGAATTAGCATTGTAATTGATGGGCTATGGTCATAGAGAAGTTATCTTACCTTGTAAAAGTCCTCAGTACAAGCAGCTAGTTGTAGTATGCATAGTAGCACGAAGGAAACTGAGGGTAACCACATAATTGCGCCGCGTTGCGCCTGCAAAGGAAAATTCCAATGCGCAAGATTAATGAACCTTAAAATAAGACACTCATCAGAAGCAGAAAAGGACTGAAAGTGCAAGAAGTCGAGAAGTTGTGGAGAGTTTAGGATTGGCAGGCGGGTTGGTTTTGGCCAGATCTATTTTGGAGCAAGATACCAGCGTGTCTTGATAGACCAGGCTGTGAAATGGGTAAACTGATGAAGATGTGGTGTGCATGTAGCATATTTGGCCGCTAAGCTGAATTCGGCTAGAATTAAAAAATGGGACGAGGCTGCTCGTTCCAGATACTAGCTGGGCTGGTACCTTCGTACTCCGTACCTAGGGAAGTACCTAGGTAGCCTTGGCCCTCTGCAACATCAACATCAACATCACAGCACGTCGGTGAATGTCTCACGCAACGATAGAAATATCAAGACGCGTACGATGTCGGAAAATATTAAACACAAGAAATATGCGCTTCTTCCAATGGAAGATGAGGAAATGGGGCCTACCAAGGTCGTGAAAAAGAAGAAGGAGAAACGACGACAGAAGCATAGCTCAATCCGCAGAAAGGACGACAACACGGACCGGTGGGATGATGAGTCCGTCCATTCCGAAGAAGAAGATTTCCAAGAGTCGGCTTCAAAGAGAGTCAAGACAACCCACACAGAAGACGAGCTTTCAGAAGCAGAGCAGGAGAGGAGGCGGGATCAAGAAGAGAAAGATGCTTTCACGAAGAGGCTGCGAATGAAAGATGCCGACAAAACCAAGAACATCACCGAAGCCTCAACCAAGGAACAACGGAGCCTCTTACCCAATAATAATCCTGCTGCAGTGTCTGATCTCAGAGAGAGGTCGAGGCAAGACTATCTACAGAAGCGCGAGGCAGAGCGACTTGCGTTATTAAGGCAGCAAGTCCAGCAGGAGACAGAAGAGCTGAGATCTGGGGTTCGATTAAGTGCGAGGGAAACAGCGGAGTTTGAAAAAAATAGGCAGGTGCTCGCCCTGGCTGAAGAGCGCAACAAAATCGACGATCAGCAGTTGAACAATGGATATGCCCTTCCGGAAGACTATTTCGCTCGCTCGAAGACCGATGTTCTCAACAAACGACATGTCGAAAGAGATCAGTATGGCCACGAAAAGTTTGTTTCAGAGCACGATGAGTGGGATCGTCATCAAGAAGGTCTGGCAAAGGCTCAGGTGAAGAGTAGGGAACGAGTCGATGACAACGAATACGATTATCTTCTTGACGAAAAGGAAGGCATCCAGTTTCTCCTGGACTCCAATTTGGCTGGGGGGGAAGGATTCTGGACAAAGAGGCACGGTTCCAGGAACAACAGCTCCGATCTGCCGAGACGAAGGCATTATCCATTTCTGAAGCCAAGAAGAACCTACCCGTCTACAAGTACCGAACTGAGTTCCTTGAGGCTCTAAAAACCCACCAAGTTTTGATTGTAAATGGAGAGACTGGTTCCGGCAAGACAACCCAGCTTCCACAATATTTGCACGAAGCTGGCTATACAAAAGGAGGAATGAAAATTGGCGTGACGCAGCCGCGTCGTGTTGCTGCGATGTCAGTGGCACAGCGTGTTGCAGAAGAGGTTGGAGTTAAGATCGGCAATGAAGTGGGATATGCTATCCGTTTCGAGGACTGCACAAACGACAAGACAGTCATCAAGTACATGACAGACGGACATCTTCTCAAGGAAATTGTCGATGCGCCCGACCTGAACGAATATTCTTGCATTATGATTGATGAGGCACACGAGCGTACAATTGATAGTGACGTGCTCTTGGCTTTGCTCAAAGATCTCGCGCTTGCACGGGAAGACTTGCGGATCATCATCAGTTCAGCTACTCTATCCGCAGACAAGTTTTCAGATTATTTCGCGGGCGCCCCAGTATTTTTCTTCCCAGGTCGTCCATATCCAGTCGAGGAGTATTTCACTCCTTCTCCCGAGTCCAACTACCTCGCAGCTGCCGTGACTACTCTTTTTCAAATACACACATCTCAATCGTGCGAGTCTGGTGATATTCTGATCTTCTTGACAGGGCAAGAAGAAATCGAGGCGGCGGCGAATCAGATAACCGAGATTTCTCGAAAGCTTGGAACTCGTGTTCCAGAACTTATAATCTGTGAGATTTATGCAAATTTGCCCACTGAGCTTCAAACGAAAATATTCGAGCCCACACCTCCTGGATCCCGTAAGGTCATTTTGGCGACGAATATCGCAGAAACCTCACTCACCATTGATGGCATCATGTATGTGATCGATCCGGGTTTCGTGAAAGAGAACATCTACAATCCTGCAACTGGAATGTCCAATTTGGTCACCGTTCCCGTATCACGCGCGTCTGCAAATCAACGAAAAGGTCGTGCAGGTCGAACGGGGCCTGGCAAGTGTTTCCGCCTTTACACCAAATGGGCGTACATGAACGAAATGGACGAGAACTCAACCCCCCAAATCCAGCAGTCTAATTTGGATAGCATCGTCTTGATGCTAAAGGCTATGGGTATCAATGATCTATTGAATTTCGATTTTATGGATGCACCACCTACGGAAACGTTAATTGCTGCACTCAACAAGCTTTATTCGTTGGCCGCACTGAATGACAAAGGTGAGCTCACTGTGCTAGGAAGGAAACTCAGTGAGCTTCCGATTGACCCTTGTCTTGGCAAATCACTCTTGGCTGCTGATAAATTCGGTTGCGTGGATGAGGTCTTGTCAATCGTGGCAATGCTTAGCGAGGGTTCCGCTCTGTTTGCGCCTCGCCCAAAGGACACAACCAAGAGGATACAATATGATAGTGCGCACCGGCGATTTGAAGTCCAAAACGGTGGGGATCACCTGATGATGTTGACGATTTGGAATTCCTGGTATGAAAGTGGATTCTCAAATATTTTCGCTAAGGAAAACTTCCTCCAGCAGCGAACATTGGTGCGGGTTAGAGATGTTCGTGATCAGCTTGCGAAGCTTTGTGAGCGTGTGGAAGTCACAATCTCCAGCTGCGGGGCTGCGGACCTAGTGCCCATCCAGAAGGCAATTACATCAGGATTCTTCACCAATGCTGCACGATTACAGAGAGGTGGGGATTCATATCGGGTTATGAAAGGTCATACAAGCGTCTACATACATCCCTCATCTGTTCTGATGGATCCATCTGGTGGACCTGGCCCGAAATTTGTATTATACTACGAACTGATGCAGACTTCTAAGGAGTATATGAGGGGTTGCATGCCGATTCAGATTGAGTGGTTGTCAGAATTAGCTCCTCATTACTATAAGAAGAATGAACTGGACGCCCCTAAATAGTATTCTACATAACGAATTTAATTGATGCTCCAATATTATTCTTTCATCCTTTGAACATGCTATAGTGTTGTGGTGCTTCATATCTAAGGATGCCGTGAAGTCGGGTATTGTAAATCCAGCTGTTACTAGGTAGGGCCACGGCGGGCTAATATAACCGCCGTCCTGACTAACAGATATTAAAATAACATATAAAACCCCACGTCCCTCACTTTCTCCTTCCCCACCATATCCATTACTTGACAATCCCACCAACGACCAAAATGTTCGAAAAAACCCGCGATATCTTCACCCACCTCATACACCCGATTTTATTCATGTACCTAGCAGCATCCTACATCCCATCCACCACAACGTCCCTGCTCTCCCCTCTCCAACTCAACATCCTGCTCTCACCATCCGCATTCGTCTGTCCCTCCAATCTTCCCCTTGACCAAGAAGAAAAACAAGTTCAAAATTCGGAAAGACGTAAAAGCAAATATAATACTAATTATAAACTACTATAGAAAGAAATCTGGTTCGCTCGTTTCTGGGCCATCTATGGCCCGGAACTGCAAAAGAACACCTCTCCCACCGTCGCGCCCCTCCTGCAGCGCGTCCACGGCATCGTGCTAGACATCGGTCCCGGGTCCGGCGAATGGCTTCCGCTGTTACCCAAGAACCGCATCACGAAGATCTATGGCGTGGAGCCGAATAAAGATCACCATGCGGCGCTGCGTAGGAAGATCAGGGAGTGTGGATTAGAGGGCGTGTATGAGATTGTGCCGGTGGGAATTGAGGATTTAGAGGAGGGGGGATGGATTAAAGAGGAGAGGGTGGATAGTGTTATTACTCTGTTTTGTCTGTGTGGTATTCCGAGGCCGAGGGAGATGATTGGGAGGCTGTATGGCATGCTTGGGGAGGGCGGGGTTTGGGTATTGTATGAGCATGTTAGGGTTAGGGAGGGGAGGTGGGTGGGGTGGTATCAATGTGAGTATTTTCTTTTCTTTTCTGATTCTTCTTCACGTAGTAATCAATTACTTGATTGGTTGGTCATGAGGAGGAAGAGGCTGATTTTTGAACCACTATAACAGCGGCGATGAATCTCTTCTGGCCGCACTTTTTGGGGGGCTGCGAACTTAGGAGGGATACGGGACGGTGGGTCAAGGAGGCTGGACCTTGGAGTCAGGTTGAATTGGTACAGCCTGTGAATGAACCGGAGTATCAGGTTGTGCCTCATATTCAGGGTGTCCTGGTGAAGTGAAGTGAAGTGGAATGGGATGAATATGATTTGCGGGGGAGGGGGGTGTATTTGTCATTCTCGGCCCGAGATGATAAATTCTACAGTGTCGCATACATGTGCACAATTTGATCTTCTCCTGTTCTATTATCTTATGTAAGTGATAGATTTGAAACTATTCTTCCTTTCTCAGGATTTTGGAAAGGAAAAAGGAGATTTAGACGGTGTCTAGAATGTCAAAATTGCTCTCAGGTCTCATCTCTATCTACAGCAGATAAGCGCTGAAAGCTAGCGATTAGAAAGAAGCGTCAAAACTCCCCCTTCCCTCGGGGCTGTATTCTCGTTATTTTTGACTCGAGAGACATAGGATGGGATAGACTTACTTGGACATAAGCATGAACTTTTGAAATACGCTCTATTTGCCTTGAGCAAAATCATTCGAACCTATTATACCCCAAGAAATCAGGAACTCCTTGTCCTATTTTGCAATGATTTACCCTTCACTCCACCCTTTTTTCTTCTTATACAGGAGTACGGAGTAGATACTCAAGGAGTCAACCCACGGCTCAATCAGTAAGACACACTTACCGTTTAGCCTATTCAACGGCACAGTAGCTAATTGAAGCATCCAGATCTCCCGGACCAAGGCCTAGAGAATAGCACCGCAACAATCCAGTTGATCGCTACCACGGCTGGATCTCCTTTCGGCCAAAGCCTGTTGACGCCCACGGCTGAGGCCACGGTATCATGGCCATGCAGCTTTGGCGATGTGCGGCTTAACAAGGACAACTGTTTTGTTGACTCTGGCTGTTAGTAGCATCCCCATGCCCATTGACCTATGTAACGCGAGACCTACCCAACAGTCGTCTGCATTGGCGTACAGTGCGTAACAACCACCATATCAAGCCTGTCCGCCGTCACAAATCCGTCATTTACTGGTAGCAACGTGGCTTCGTCACTCCATCTTGGCCCTGGCCTTGTCATTCCTCCCACTCCAGTCACGCAGGCGCCTCCTCCAGCTACGACGACGGCGGACTGTTGTCCTGATGCATGCTTTGCGGAACTGGGCAGTCTCCCTGGTGGAGCTAAACAATGCTCGTGCTGTCCATTTCCGGTTGAATAGTACAGGAGAGCTCTTTTTGGGGAGTGGGGTTGGTCAAGTGGGTAGGGGAGCTTGGTATCAGGAGCGGCGTTGGTGATGTTTAGAGTGAAAGGGGCGAAAGAATGTGATATTCAAAATTCTCAATATAATTTATCAGGACTTCAGGTTAGTTGAATGTGAGGTTTCAAAACACAGATTGGTTTGTAGCAGTGATAATGCTGATCTGAGAGAGGTGAGGTGAGGCGGGGGTTTCTCGGCTGAGTCATCATGTCATGTGGGGATTGGATGTGATGTAACCTTCAAAAATCTCAGAGCTTCATCTGTCTCTTTTGCAGATTCACCCAATTGCCGCCTAAGCGCATTTACTCGGAATACACTGCTGCCAGTCTCTCCCAATGCCTCTCGTGCAACATCTACGAAGATATCTCCATCCAAATCGCAGACCTTAATGGCGGAATACCACTCCCCCTACGGCTTTGACTCGTACCAAGCTACCCCACCTCAAAACCATTTCGCAGCACCATTAGAAGACGCTTACGAGGATTCCGATGATTGGGAGTACGAGTATTCAACTACAGAGACCGAGGTTCGTTCTGTTGTCCATATCTGCCTATCGGTGGCTAATCGTAACTGTAGACATACTATGTAACCCTCGATCTCAGCGCTCCAGAAGTCCCCCCTCGCCAACATCCACCGCAAACGGAGAAATCAAAACCAGCATATTGGACGAACCCCACCGTAGGCAAGAATCAACGTCGTAATATGAATGGTCCTCAAGAAGTCAACGCCAAAGAAGACAGCGACGCCGATATTCCCCCAACGCAACCAAAGTCGCCCGATGCAGATGATGATGACGTCGATGTCGAAGCCCAGATAATTCGAGAGAGCGGCCAGTCAAAGGCCGACGTGCTGGTACCAAAGTCTGATATTCGCATCATTGATTTGCATACCAAAAATCCGCTTGTCTCCTACAATAACCTAATCTACTCGTGCAAATGGGCCGAGAATATCGGCACAGAGCTGTTATTCACCGCTCACGACGATGCAAATCCTCTACCGAGTCTGAAATCCCTACCAGGCGATGTCGACCTCTTAGCCGCGAGTTCTGCTCGTTTGGTTTCACAGCCCATGAAAATAGACAAGAAAGATGGGTTCACCGCGCCCGGGCAAAAAACGCGGCCAGAAGTCAACTTGAGGAAAATCAATCCCGCCCTTTCCAAGAGAATCGGAAAACAAGCGCCCCCAATTCGCAAAGGACAGGGCCAGTTCCTCGATTCGTTGATAAAGCTGAAGGTTGATAAGGGAGAGAGCGATCGTGTTACTGTCAAGGTGCAGAAGAGACAGATGCCACATGAGTGGAAGGAGGATCTGCGGAAGCAGAGGAATAGAGAGCGCGTGAAGTTGAGAAAGGAGGTGAGGCTGGGCAAGAGATGGGAGGCTGAGGCTGCGAAGGAGAGGTTGTGGGAGATGGAGCAGGAGGATGAGAAGATAGGAAAACTGGTGATCCCTGAGCCCGAGAAGCGGCAGAGGAATGCTGCAAATGGTCAGCAGTCGGCGGGGAGGAAGCGCCATCGAGAAGGTTTGGGTAATAGTGGGATGAAATTACCGGCGAGGGGAACGAAGGGGAAGGGTGTTATGGTGGTGGATAGCCAGGTGCAGAGTGAGGGTATGTCGCCTGAGGGATTTGGATATGGATATGATGCACCGACTCCCATACCTGTTTTTTATGGGGATGAGGAGGTGTATGACGACCAGTATCAAGGACAGTACGATGCCCAATACGATGGATTGCATGAAGAGGATGCGGATGGCGAGGAAGACGATACTCAAATGTATGACGGACTCTATGATTGAATCATCACTATAATATAGAGCTTAAATTTACAGTCCCTTGAGGAGTTGTCAATGTACATATAATGTTTCTTTTTGAGGTGGCTTGTCTTGTCTTGCCCTATGTTTCATTTAGTTCCCAACTTGCTGGAACGAATACCTCATTGGCTTAAAACATATCAACCTCAAGTGAGTGACCAACAGTCTGAAAATACTGCTTTTAATTTTGCAGTTAAACGCATATTCTGTAACATAGAAAGATTGTATACTTCATTCATTCGGCGGCTAAGAGCTAGCTAAATCCATGTCCAAAATAGGCACCCGACCCGCCGTTTGCGCTGCAGTGGCATGGCCGCGGCACAGCAATCTGGTTCCCGCCTCGATTTGTGCAGTCATTCGCATGATTTAATCTAGACTTCACAGTATTGAAAGTTTCACTACTCTATTAGAGAAGGCGGGTCCAACGAATATGGCATGTCCAGCGCAAAATCCATGCCCTAAGGCAAACAGGAATTCAGGGGCTAGGAGTAGGGTCTTCGCTTCCTGTATTAGATTGGTGGTTCTTGGAATTTAACAAAGAAGATGTTGCTAGTCCTTTAACATATCTTATAGATCAACGGACACATAGAATCTGAGAATCGCACGTGATGAGGTGTCAACATTATGAGGGCAGAATAGGGGTTAAGCGAGGCGCACCATGTGATTAACCCCCCTGAGAAGCTGGATGAATTACCCGGCTAAATACAACGCCGATTATAGGCATCGACCATAGCCTGTTTTACCTGCATGTCAGCACCACTGCACATGACTATTCATTCCCCTTTGGCAGATTGAATCTTCAAAGTTTTGGTATGACTTGATCTTGCCTTTCAACCAAAATCTGGATCAATAAGCTGCTGTCTGCACTTGCTAAACAGAAGAAAATTCAAAACCACCCAGGTCAATACATACAGCGATGCTTCACCCAAGTCCGTGTGGCAACCGCTATGAGCTTACTAGTCCGACCGCCATGCCAAAGGCAGACGGCTTCTTGTGGAACCAGAAGATGATGATTCAAATCACCTGTCGGGGCTACGCAACTTCTCAATTCATGCAACCAGAACCAGCCAAGTACGCGCATGCACCTAATCTCGAAAGCAAGACGTTCATGCAACCCGAACAAAGCTACTACGCGCACCATCCAGGACGGTTTGTGTATATCAAGGATGAGGGAACGGGCCAGCTGTTCTCTGCGCCATATGAACCAGTACGCGCGCCAGTGGACAGATTCGTGTTTTCGGTTGGCAAGAGCGATATCAAGTGGACGGTGGAGTATCTGGGCATCAAGGTTGAAATGATCTTGGGCCTGCCTATTCACGATTTAGCAGAGCTATGGACCCTCAAAGTCACAAACCTATCTAATCGTCCACGCAAAATCAGTGTCTATCCTTACTTTCCAATCGGCAACATGTCGTGGATGAACCAGTCCGCCGAATACGACGAGAAGCTAGGCGGGGTGGTAGCTAGCAGCGTGACGCCGTACCAGAAAGCGGAAGACTACTTCAAGAACAAGTACCTGAAAGATAAAACGTACTTCCTCTGCGAGACACCCCCGGATTCTTGGGAAGCCAGACAGCAGGCATTCGAGGGTGAAGGTGGCCTACATGCTCCCTCGGCACTGATGGAGTCGGAATTAGGAGGCAGCGATGCACGTTACGAAACTCCTGCAGCTGCGGTGCAGTACCGTGTAGAGTTGAAAGCGGATGAGGAGCGCGAATACCGTTTTCTGTTTGGTCCTGCCTTTGATGAAGGTGAAATCAGGACTATGCGGGAGACTTATCTGAGCAAGAACGCCTTTGCACAAGCTGCGCTCGACTATTCAGATTATATTGAAAAAGGAAGTGGTTGTCTGAAAGTCGACACGCCAGACAAGGCTCTAGATAATTTCGTCAATGAGTGGTTACCGCGTCAAGTGTACTATCATGGTGACGTTAACCGTCTAACAACCGAGTAAGGAACTTCAGATTTCCTACAATGTTTCTCCCTGGCTTTTTGTCCCAGTTCTTACTCCGCTCGCGTTTCTTGATGTCAAGTTGTATCAGACAAAGCGTGCTAACTTCGAGATACAGTCCCCAAACACGCAATTATCTTCAAGACAACATGGGCATGAGTTTTATCAAGCCCGAAGTGGCGCGAAAAGCATTTCTCATTGCCCTTGGTCAGCAAGAAGCCAGTGGAGCTATGCCAGACGGAATCCTGCTCACCGAAGAAGCAGAGTTGAAGTACATCAATCAGGTGCCACATACAGATCATTGCGTGTGGCTTCCGGTGACTCTAGATGTATATCTGGCCGAGACAGCAGACTACGGCCTCTTGCAAGAAAGGTTGCCGGAAGTCCATGGGAAATCCTATACCGTATTCGAAGGGTTCAGTAGAGCAATGGACTGGCTGCTCTCCGCGCGCGACGAGCGAGGTTTAAGCTATATTGCTCAAGGAGATTGGTGTGACCCGATGAACATGGTAGGCTACAAAGGCAAAGGCGTCTCGGCCTGGCTGACGGTAGCTACAGCCTATGCGCTGAACCTCTGGGCTGGTATTTGCGAACACCATGGAAAGTCTGAACTGGCAGAACAATATCGTGCGGGTGCAAAGGAAGTCAACGAGGCTGCAAACCAGTACTTTTGGGACGGCGAGTGGTTCTCGCGTGGAATCACAGACGACGACGTGGTGTTTGGGACTCAGAAAGATGGCGAAGGGCGTATCTGGCTGAATCCACAGGCCTGGTCTATTCTGGGCGGCGCGGCTAGCGTTGAACAGCGCAAGAAGATGCTAGCCCAGGTCGAAGAGCAGCTATACACACCGTACGGTGTTCAGATGTTCGCCCCGCCATTCAGTAAAATGCGAGAAGATGTAGGTCGTGTAACGCAGAAGCATCCTGGGTCTGCGGAGAATGCCTCAGTATATAACCATGCTGCAATTTTCTACATCTACAGCTTGTATAGCATCGGCGAGAGCGAGCGAGCGTACGAGCTGCTGCGCCTGATGGTGCCCGGTCCATCTGAGGAGGATTACCTGCAGCGCGGTCAGCTTCCCATCTATATTCCGAACTATTACCGTGGGGCCTGGCACCAATATCCTCGTACAGCTGGTCGATCTAGTCAGCTTTTCAACACCGGTACTTCACCGTGGGTCTATCGCTGTTTCATCGAGGGCTTGTGCGGGCTGCGTGGAGATGCGCATGGTCTGGTCATCCGGCCGCAGTTGCCATCGACTTGGAGTGGTATCAAGGTGAAGCGTTCGTTCCGTGGAGCAGACATTAGGGTCGATATCAGCCGTGGAGATGTGAAAGACATAGTGGTCAGGCATGCTGGAAAGGTGTTGCCTGGAGCCCGGCTCATCGACATTCAGACAGGTAAGACTTATCATATATCTGTTTCTGTGCCAAGATAGGGTAGCATTGACAGTATGGAAGTATTAGCTACAGGAAGCTATTTACAGAAAATATCAATCAATAAACCGCGCGAGAGTTGCTATATCTTCTAATTCATTGTATTGAAAAATCCTAGCAGTCTACTGAAAATCTCTCAATTCCCTTGAAGTATTTACAGCGTGATGTTCTGGCGAAAGTTGCGCTTAATGAGTAAATCGGTTGACATGGGCTCACCCTTTTTCAAGTTTAGTTCTCCTTTTCTGCAGTTTCTGCCGGCGTGTTACATTTCAAACTCACTTGCTGTATGAACCTGTTGTCAAGTCCCTTAACTAAGATCAGTAAAATCTGATCTGCATACTACTAATAGTAACCTCTGTAACACAGACGGCATACAAAAATGTAAACTTTTAACTACTGGCTTATCAAATTGCAATAAAGTAACAAGTTTGTAAGCACAATTCTTTTCTTCTGAGATGTTACAGCAATCCCGGGAAGGTTGGGGCGATGCAATTCTTTTGCTATATTTCAGAAACAAAGCTATCCCCATCCCCTATCTTTCTCGGCTACTGTAACCCCAGCTACCCCGCGCCTCGGCATAAACAAACTTCACCTCACCTCACCTCACTTCACGATCTCCAAACCAACCCCCCCTGAACAATGCCATCCCAATCATGCCCCCCACAACCACGAACATCCTAATCCTCGGCGCCGGCGCCATCGGCGCATTCTACGCCTCGCGCTTAGCCCTCGCGCCCAACACTCTTGTCTCCGTAATCTGCCGCTCGAACTACACAGCCGTCACCCAGCGCGGCTTCACCATCACATCGCCGACCTACGGCGCCTACACCTTCGTCCCCGCGCACGTCTTCGCCAACCCCGCCGAAGCAGCCGCTGCGAATATCGCGTGGGATTATATACTCGTGAGCACCAAGGCGCTGCCGGACGTGAGTGATGATTCGGAGATCCTGACGGGCTTGTTGGAGGGGGGCAGGACGGCCGTGGTGCTGGTGCAGAATGGATTAGGGGTTGAAGATCCGTACGCGAGACGGTTTCCGGATACTGTTATACTGAGCGCGGTTACGATTGCCAGCGCCGCGCAGAGCGAGCCGGGCGTGATTGCGCATAATCGCTGGACGCGGATTAGCATCGGTCCATACCTGCCCAACACGAGCGCAACGACCACATCGAGAACAAGAACGGCCATTGACCGCAACAAGGATTTCATAGACATGCTCCGCGCAGGCGGGATAGCCGACGCAGAAGAATACACGCACTCGAAACTGCAAATGGTACGCTGGCACAAGATCGCCATCAACGCATCCATGAACCCCTCGGCAGTCCTCTCCGGCGGGACCCCCAACGCATCCATGACCCTCGACCCCGAACTGCACACGCACTTGCGCGGCGTGATGCAAGAAGTGCTATCCACGGCCCCGAAAGTGCTCGGCACTTCCCTGCCAGCCGACTTCGCCACCGCGGACGCTATTCTAAACAGTACGAAGAAGAACACGAGTGGGAGTAAGCCGAGTATGTTGATTGATTGGGAGGCGGGGAGGAGGATGGAGTTGGAGGTTATATTAGGGAATCCGATTCGCATGGCGAGGGAGAGGGGCCTGGAGATGCCGAGGCTGCAGAGTTTGTATGCGCTGCTGAGGATGGCGCAGGAGAATCGGGAGAGGGCTAAGAAGGAAAAGGAAAAGAGTAGGTTATAGGACTACGTCTGTCATGAATCATGATTTATGGGTTGCTGGTTTTAGGATCAAGGCTAATATAATAGAAGAGTTCAAATATGCAGAACCACTTCCACACATGAAAGTCTTCTGCTAGGCAGGGCTCTTAATTCTCCTCGTCCAGATTCCTTACTATGATAATCTATTCATAATTTGTTTTTGATTGGATGCTTTTATGTAAATGTACTATTTCTTGAAACATGCCCATCTTTCTTCACCATGTGGTAGAGTCGTTGCCAGTGCAACATCATTATCAGCCTTATATGTGTTAATTGGTGCACCACCAGAGACCAAGTGGTATGGATGTACAATGTTAATTTAGCGTTCGAACCCATCCGGTGAAGCGATCAGGTTGACTGAACTCAAAAAGACGGCAGACACTTTGTGATTTTGGAATAACAAATCTTCAAATAATATGCACAATAGACTGATTTCAAAGCCAACGTTTTTTTATTAGCTATTTGATGCTTATTCATTCTCCATCGTGCCATCATATCGCCGTATTGTACAGGCTCATCGTAAAAAAAAGAAAAGTCAGGTATGTGAAGAAAGCTATCCGATTGCACGGTGCTCTTCGGGTATTTGATTCGCCGTAAAAATATCAGACACCAGAGAGCTTTTCCTGGTGGGACACAACGCTGTGACGTCTCGTACGGTCATCAGAAATGGCAGTTCACCTTGATGAGCTGCAAAAACCGATGGGGGGGACTTAAGAGGCGTCATTGAACATCGCGATGTGTTGTAGCTGTGCCCCTGAGATAAAGTTAGTAAGAAGTTGATATATACTAGTTGGTTGAGCCTCACCAGTAGGATTAAAGACTCAAGCGTGGGTCTTATTGCCGCCAACCGTCTTGGAACCATCTCTGTCGGAGTCGACGCGCTGTTTTGTGTTAGCGAGAGGCTCTAATAGTGGGTGGTATTGAGAAGGGTAGGCCTACAGGGTCAACCTTGTTCAGCAAGTCACTGTTGTGCGGGCCTGCAGTGTTCTGAGCAGTTCCTGAGCCAGCAGTTGCGTGGCTGCCTGATGCGCCAAAGACACCTGCGCTAGCTCCGGTAGAAGCTCCGTGGCGGTTGCCTCTGCCATCAAGGTCGGAATCAACTCGAGGATCAGCCTTGTTGGCAACGTTCGACTGTGACGTGTTAGAAATTGCTCTTTAGAGGAAGGAGATATACAAAGCAAGACGAGGGAGGATACATACGTTGTGTGGACCAGCATTGGTCGAGTGCGAGATGCCACCAGTTGTACCTGTGTGGGTGCCTGAAGTGTTGCCGGTGTGGGTGCCTCCAAGACCAGTGGTGCCATGTGTGGTGTGGGTACCAGCAGTGTTGTGTGATCCTGTGAGACCTGAAGTACCGTGGGTACCGGTGGTGCCAGTGGTGTGGTGGGTCTTGGAGAGGTCGCTATCGACTCTTGGGTCTAACTTGTTGGCAGTGTCTGTAGAGTGTGGGCCCACGGTGCTGGTTCCATGGTTTGAGCTACCAATGCCAGTGCCAGTGTGAGCTCCGGTGGTGCTGTAAGAGAAGGATTATCAATAAGATCCAAGGACATAAGGGAGGAGTGCAGTTGATGGCTAACTTACTGGGTAGTGTGGGTGCCAGTGTGTCCAACGCCAGCACCAGTGCTGGTGCCAGTGTATCCAGTGCCGGTATGTCTAGAAGAATCTAAGTCTGAATCGACACGCTTCAGGGGAATTAGCAAGGCTACTTGTGGTAATTGGAAGGAGGAGGACAAACAGGATCAGCGGCATTAGCTGCGCGGGAGCTGTGAGGACCAGCGACTCCCTCAGGTACACCACTGCCGGTGTGAGCACCTGTGGTGTGGGTGCCTGTGGTGTGAGTGCCTGTGGTGCCGGTAGTTCCAGTGGTGGTATGGTCCTTGTTGAGGTGGAGAGCATCCTTGACTTTGTTGATTGCGCCAGACATGGTGAAGGTTGGTATTTAGGTATGGTATTGATGAAGTTTTGCAGTTGATGATTGATTCGGTTTGTTTTGGTTCTCGGTTTGTTGAGTTGAGGGAAGATGTTTATGTAGAAAAGAAAAAGGGAAGGAGACCTTTATATATATACCTACCTACCAGGCAAGAACCTACCCCACCTGCCCACCTTCCCACCAAGTTATTCAAAGAGGAAGGGCTAGAAGGGCTAAGAAGGGGCCGCCAAGCAAGGAGCGCCACCCAAAACCTGATTCCCCAGCATCGGAAAAGGTGAGATGAGGGAATTGCCATGGCGTAATTCGGATGTACACAAACGAAACATCAGAACCAAATCTGCATCTTCCCGATTGTGACACAAACGAGGGGCACGATCGTCATTTTCGGTAGACTCCCCGCAGATCCCCCGTCCCGCTTGGTGGCTGCCAGGTTTTGATGGCTGCCAGCCAAGGTTACATAATTACCTTTCCGGCCACATTACTCCGTATTGGTTCTTCCGTGCGGAGGCAGGATGGCAGCTCTGCCATAAAGCGAGACCTTCAAACGTCATATCCTGTGGCTGGAACGTCATGCATGACATAAGATCTTCAGATCTACAGCAGATGATTGGCAAGCCTACCGCCACATGCGGCTGATCCGAGACAAGTGTGGCAGTGTGGCGGTGCGTATGGCACGTGATGTCGGTACTAGCCTGAAAAAGGCCGGCAAGCTTCAAGGAATCCCTCGGTTTCAGTATGATTTTATTCATGGTGTAAGATTGTGTCAAAAGCCACGAAATGATGTCAGATGATGTCAGAGGCTTGCTAGCCTTCTTTCCCGGCATACCAATCTAATCTGATCGAGTATCTATTTTCAGATATTATTCTTCACTGTAGATATCATATGAGTAGTTATCACGTGCTGTTCTTCAAGAACCTCCATTTTTATTTCCATTTCTCTCCCAGACAACTCTGTGGCTGCCATATTTTTATTGTGACTTTCTTTCATTGTGGCGGAACCGTTTCCTCTGGTTCCTCTGGAATTAGGTGTCTTATTCTATCATGTGACTTACTTCTAAACTCCCCCTAAACCCCTCGCTTGACATCTAGCGTAGCGGCAGAACCCTCTGAGCCTCTCCTCTACACCTACCTTCCAGCCCCGGTCACAGTGCAACAACTACATAAACACCAAGGCTTGCCGTTCCATCAGCTTTGACTAGCCCAAGCACACACATAATAAAGACGACGATGAAGCACGTCAATTTTGCTGTCGCTGACTTTGTTTACTGTATCGAACTATATTTGAAAGTGATTCGAAAAGGTTGCCAGGTGCAAGTCTCCTTCTCACCTGGGCCTTTGAGCACTTTAAATTATTAATTTGTAATAATAAAAGCTCAATATCTAAGACTTATGTCACGGCACGTGAGTGATGTCGTGACACTTACTAAGCGCTTCCTGTATATTTAGAGCTTTCACTCGTATGCCCTTTCTCTCTCCAGACAGATTGATCAATACACTTCATAAGCTTCAGATCTTTACTCTTTAACTCACCCGCTTCGTTCAGACATCACTACGTGCGATAACTTATATTAATACCTGCTAGGATAAGTAAAGAAAAAGGCTATATAGGGCTATAGACTAATTCATATTAAAAGTTAGGAATAGTTACAAAAATGCTTGAACTTGAAGTGACCTGACTTCGCTACTTGTTTTGGTGGGGCCGTAAGTCACTTTTCGCGTTCGTGCAGTGGTGCGTTCCGTTTACTTATGCATTTTATACACTACTAAGCTAGTTAGCGTAAGTCGACTAACGGCAACCCGGTTCTGGCCGTCCCGTCCCACCGCAGAGATCCCGTGCGCCATTTGTAGCGGCCAGCCTGTGGAAATGGGCCTGCTTCGCGCCGTGGCTGGTCTTGACGAATGGAATGGAAAGGAAAGGAAAGGAAAGGCGATAACTCTACGGAACTTAAGAGGAGTTCCTTCCCGCGCTCGAAGTGTTTCTTTTCCTTCTCTTCATATATCTTGTTCAGAAGTCAAATTCCCCAAGGCTGCTATTTTGCTACTTTCGCTGACCTTCTTCCTCTTTATTCTTCTCTTTCTTCTCTCTCTTCTCTTCCTTCATCTCTACTTCGAACCCAATGGTTAGCAAGGCCACCCACGAAACCCTCGCGGCATTCGTCGCCGAACGCGACTGGGCGCAGTTCCACACTCCGGAAAACCTCGCCAAGAGCGTTGCGATCGAAGCTGGCGAACTTCTCGAGTGCTTTCAGTGGGGCGCTGAAGCAAACCCGAAGCGCGTACGAGAAGAACTTGCAGACGTACTGACCTACTGTCTCCTTCTCGCTGATCGCATCGGAGCCGATCCTGAGCAGATCGTGCTGGAGAAGCTCGAAACCACGCGCAAGAAGTATCCCGTTGATAAAGCTCGAGGAAGCAGCAAAAAGTATGATGAACTTGGCACGGCTTGAATTCTCCCAAGCAGCCGTTACAACCTGGAAGTCCCATGACGAGAAACATGGCAATTGGCCTGTCGTGTATGTATTGGACGACGGCAATGGCGCCGCACACGCCAATTCGAACACGCTGAGGGACATCTACGTTGGGGAGACGCTCAATGCCGCCAGCCGAATGAATCAGCATCTCAAAACGCCCGCGAAACAGCACCTCAAGAACATTCGTGTCATCATTGATGAGAGATTTAATAAGTCGGTTTGCCTTGACTTGGAGTCTTACCTTATCAAAATGTTGGCCGGCGACGGTGCTAATCGGGTGCTCAACCGAAATAACGGCATCACGGAAACGCAGTACTATCAACGCGAGATGTACCGCGAGGGTTTTCGCAACATCTTCGAACGACTCAAGGCGGAGGGCGTCTTCACGCGAAGTATCCCCGAAATCGAAAACAGCGACCTTTTCAAGTTGTCGCCATTCAAAGCGCTGACGGAAGATCAAGCCAACTCGGTAGAGGAAATCGTCAATGGGCTTCTTATTGATGTCGAGAGAGGCAGCAAAAGCACAATCGTCGTCCAAGGCGATCCGGGCACAGGCAAGACGGTCATGGCCATATATCTGATCAAACTACTCATCGACATCAAGTCATTTACTTCGCTAGAAGATCTGGATAGCGACTTGCGGTTCTCTAATTTCTTTACCGAAAGGAATCAACGGCTACTTCACGATCTCCGCATCGGCCTAGTGGTGCCCCAGCAATCGTTGCGAAAGTCCATCAAGATTGTCTTCGGGAAAACGCCTGGGCTTCAGCCCTCAATGGTCATGGACCCTTTCAAAGTTGGAGAAGCAGAGGGAATTTTCGACCTCCTGTTGGTTGATGAAACCCATCGGCTTAATCAACGTGCCAACCAAGCAGGGGCAGTCCTTAACACCAAGTTCGCAACCATCACGAGCGAGCTCTTTGGCAGCGACGATAAAAGCAGGACCCAACTTGATTGGATACGAGCGAAGAGTCGACATCAAATATTCCTCTTAGACGCAGCGCAGAGTGTTCGACCAGCTGATCTGCCCACAGAGCTGTTGTCGGGTCTGGTCGCCGACACGCGCGCATCGGGACGGCATTTTCAACTTCGGACTCAGATGCGTGTCAAAGCGGGATCCGATTTCGTGTCTTCCGTTCGTTGGATTCTAGATCCTCACCCTCTCTCGTATCCAAGAGTGAGACAGGATTTTGGAGAATATGATTTTCGCTCGTTCGACAGCGTTACACATATGCGAGACCAAATTTTTCAACGTAACGCTGAAGTAGGCCTTTCACGGATGGTCGCTGGCTTTGCATGGCCGTGGAAGAGTAAAAAGGATAGGAACGAGTTCGACATAGAAATTGGCCAGACGCAGCTCCGCTGGAACAGCGTCATTGCTGACTGGATTTCTTCTAGCAAAGCGCCAGAGGAAGTAGGATCAATCCATACGGTCCAAGGCTACGATCTGAACTACGTTGGTGTTATTATTGGTCTTGATCTGCGATTCGACCCTGAGCGGAGGCGCCTTTTCATTGATCGCAACTCGTACTTTGACAAGAAGGGCAAGGAGAACAACCCGGTTCTCGGCAGGAAGTATTCGGATGATGACTTGCTGCGATTCATTACACAGATCTATGCGGTGCTCATGACGCGTGGTATCCGTGGAACGTATGTCTATGCATGCGATCCCGGGTTGAGGGAATATCTCAAAGTTTTCATCCCTACGCGGTCCTGATATTGTAGCATACAAGTGATCAACAGCGCAAGTAGGACTAAGGCTGTCTCAAGCCGTTCTTTGACCTGGATAGCTAGTGCTAGATGAAGTTAAGTGAGCGCGGACGAGAGAAGAACAAGAATAGGCCAGAGCGTGGGTCTTTATGAGTATTCTGTAGCCAAGATGATGTATAGAGGAGTTCAATCGGTGATTTTAGCTATATAAACTGGATGAGCAGGTTAGTGTGGGATAATCAGTTATAGTGGAGGTCAGAACCATTTCTTCTCACATCAAAAATTTGGCGCTTTCCTGGAGAATGTATGTTTCCCTTATCAACCAACACGAGTTCACTGCCTAGTTCCCGTGACAGTCTCTCCAGTTGTAAATTGATCTCTGATAATGGCACATTGGCGATGCATTAAGTCCTCAGTCGCCGGTGAGATACGCAAGGCAAGCATGGAATAGTAGTAATATGTGTAGCGAATTGCATCGAACAAATTAGGACTCAGGTGCCAGCCGAAGTGATAATGCACAATATCATTCCCGGGGTTATTCTAATCCATCGAATAGCGATCCATTCCGATGGTGGAAGGATCGCAGAGTCGCGTTGGGACGGCTCGGGCGGGTAGCTGGTATTCAAGTTCTAGCTGACAGTATATACACCAAAACCAGTTCCCATAACATAAAAGGCATACCCCAGTCTCACAGCTACCCCTGCAAAACGTCATTGCCAAGACCCCTCCCCGCCATTCCATTCACGCCAGACCCCAGACAAACATACAACTACATACCACTTCTCTTCCCTACTCATACACAGACAATAACCTTCAAAAACACCGCCAAAATGATGGAAACTGCAACAGCAGCCGCAGCCGCCGTCAAAGGCCTCGTCCAAGCCACCCATCCCCTAAATGCGCAATGGCGCCGCATCGACGCCCCGCCGCTCCCCCGCTCCTCCCACAGTCTTTCCATAGTTGCCGGCCGTGCCTACATCTTCGGCGGCGAAGGTTCATCCTCAGGTGAACCAATCGATAACGATATGCACATCATAACCCTCCCATCCGGCTCCGTCTCTTCCTCCGACTACAAAGCCGTGTCTGCGAAACCCGAGCTTTCAGAAGACGAAGTACCGGGAAAGCGAGTCGGACATACGGCGGCTGTGATTGGAGAGCGGATTTTCGTGTTTGGGGGGAGGGGAGGTAGGGATATGAAGCCGCTGGAGGAATATGGGAGAGTCTGGATCTATGATACTAGATTGGATGTCTGGACATACCTCGATCCCGTTCCTGGGACGCCGTACCCGGAAGCGCGCTCGTATCACAGTAGTGTTGCGATTGAGAAGCCACAGCCAGCGAATATGAATAGTGTAAAAGTTGACCAGGCGACGGAAAGCCCGAGTGTGGGTGTGATTGCGGAGGGTGCCAAGACGGATGAGCAGAGGGGGGGATATGGGACGGTTTTTGTGCATGCGGGGTGTCCTGCTAGTACGAGGACCGACGAGCTCTGGGGATCTGATGTTAGTAGTCGGACGATCGGTGATCTTTGGGGCTTTGATGTTCGGAGTCGGACGTGGAAGGAATTCCTTACTGCGCCGGGGAAGCCGAGGGGTGGACGTCCATTGCTGTTTCGAAGCAGAGGATTTATCGATATGGCGGATTTAACGGGGCCGACGAAGAAGGTGGCGAGCTCGATTTCTTGGAATTGCAACTTGAGACGTTCAGTGACAGTAAGGGTGGTACTGGAGAGGTTGGGGTTACTGCGAAGGGAAGCTGGCAGACGTTGGATTTCAAAGCGGAGAATATGGTGTCCCCAGAAAATCGAAGTGTCGCGGGTATGGAAACGATTACTACCGGCATGGGAAGAGAATACTTGGTTCTTTTGCTTGGCGAAAGGGATCCAAGCACTGAAGGCCATGATGGAGCAGGGAAATACTGGGGAGATGTCTGGACATTTCAGTGCCCACCTCTAGGAATGACCGGCGCAAGCTTCAAGGACGCTACATGGCAAGCTCTAGGACGAGAAACAGGAGAAGGTCTTTGGAGTCCGGTGGCTGTTGCAGATGCTGAAGGAGTTGAGGGAGAAGATGTGCACAAGTTGGTTCCTGGGGAACGAGGGTGGTTCGCCAGTTCAAGTCTAGGAGACTTGGATGCGACCAGTGTGATTATATGGGGAGGTTTAAACGGAAAGAGTTCGACAGAAGCTACTGGCTGGATTCTGACTTTTGAATGAAGCATGAATCGGGTGGAATGGAAAAGTAAAGACAAAAGCCAAAATTCAATATCAGTTAATGTAAAAAACATATACATGTCCTTCAAAGCTCAACCTTAATACATCATCTGTATCTCCCTCCCAAAGTCATCACTCCCCAGCCAAATCTCCTCCCTCTTCCTCCTCCTCTCCTCCGCCCCCAACACAACCCGCCTCTCCCCCCCTAACGCCCAGCACCCCACCCAAGCCACCCCCACCGCAAGCACACAACAAACCACATCTGCCCCCCGCGCCGCTACCGCATTCCCGCACTCACGCTGCGGAAAACTATTCGCGTAGCTACTCACCTGACATGCCCAGGATTCGAAATCGAAACTCCCTTTGTCGTATAGTCCCCACACGCCCCGGTACGAGGCGTCGAAGGTAGAGGATTGAAAGCGGGTGATGAGGAGGTAGAGCGTCGTGAGGAGGGAGAGGAGGGCGTTGAGGAAGAGGGTGGAGATTAGGGGGTTGATGGGCGGGATTGGGTATGTCTGATTGTGTGTGTGGTTAGCCTTTTCTTCCGTTCCATGAAATTCTTACCGCGGATTAAAAATACTATATGTGCAGAGATGGATTTGAGAAAGGGGGTAGAGATACATAAATTATAACAATAGAATAGAATCATAGAAACTCATTCACAAGCGTTCCAACTACCCACCTTATCGCCATCCGGCCAAAACAGCACCGCGAATATCACGCACGTCGAGGAAACCACTATCGAAACACCACTTGACGCAAGCGCCCATTTCGCACTCGCCGTATTTAGATTCTGCGGCAGCACTTCCAAGACCGGATACGCCTGCCCGTCGGAATTAACAAGTCGAGATGAATCCGCGCTCGGCGTGGAAATGAACGCTAGGATCGACGAATACAACGTCGCTGTAAGTATCGAGGCTAGTAGAAGAAGGATAGAGCATATGAAGAGAGCCGCGCGTGGGCGCGGGGATGGAATTGTCATTGTTTGTTTGTTGATTGAGACAGAAGGTGAGGATTGTGGAGTAAAGGTTAGATAATGGTTCTGGTGGTCGGTCATATGTCTATGAAAGTCGATGATGGGTTCTAATAATAACCTTGAAGGATCACGACGCTAGGCTAGATTTACGAGATCTGGGACCCGCGCCCGCGCCCCTGGAAATTGTCCGCACGCATGTTGCAGGGTACCGAGGCAAGGGAGTTGATAGGCTCCTTTGTAATAAAATAAAATGAGTGAGATACTAAATGGCGAAAATCGAGGAATACTCATGAAAAGGTTTACTTTCAGGATAGAATGATATTATCAATTATCTATAAAAAATTCCTATCTAACATCTTAGCATGTTTTAGGAGGACACCTAATATATTGTTGAGTTTTAGAAGAATCTGGCTTTTATATATTTTGAGAGGGTATTTTTTAGTGTCTCACTTATTTTTTCGCTAAGGAAATAAGGTCGTTTTATCCAAGGCGCCTCATATTCCAACAGGGAATCCTAGCTGCGACTAGCGAACGGTTTGGAAGCCCTCTATTACGGTATATATCCTAGAAAGTTTCAATTTGAAACGGGTCCTAAGTAACATTGATCACGGAAATTATATAATCCTTAATCTTGTGCCTTATTCCGTCTATCGTAAAAGTAATTCGATCACTTTACAGGGTCCAAATGATACGCTTTATAAAGTGCATACCGTTTTTGCCTAACCAAGTGGTTAGGAATAGTACTTAAACTTACCAGATCATTTAATAATTACTATACATCCTCACTATAGAAAAAGCGGGGTTCGAATCATCTTTACGCCGTATGAAGTATGAAACGTCTAGCAACATAGCCTCATTTGATCCTGCGGGCGGTATAACCCTACTACGCTTAACATTTTATAACCTTTATCGTTGGTAAATCTTAAGCAGTCTACTTGGTAGGAAACAAGCTTCACCTGTGCACTTTCTAAAGCTCTCTATATCTCATCAAAAGACTTGCTATTAGTATTCCCACCTCTTCCCTTTTGTTTAAATATCCCTAACGATTTGTGATCATCGTCTTGCATCTGATTTCTGCAGGTTATTAATTGGATGATTCCAAACCTGTAACCAATGCAGTAGTATGCGATAATCACGTTATTTAAGCCTATCAATAAGAGTGGTAAACCTACTGACTGGAGGTATATCGGTAAGTCACAAGAAATAGAATTGGGTAATCATAGTTTCCAGATAGGGACGGGGAGGGGTTGAGATAGCAGCCCACTCTTGCTTCTCACAACCACCAAACCGTCGCGGAGTAACTGCAACGATCTCTCCATCCTTTAAATACCCCATGAAACCAAGAAAAAAACCAAAAGACAAAGAGATCGTTGCAGTACGTACTTACGCGCTTCCAATTAGCTTCCAATTGCTACCCCACTTCACCGATCAGAGCCCACTAACCATCCAGACAATGTCCGCAGAAGCAGCACTCACCTCCCAAACGGCCCAATCCCTCGTCCCCTCCCTCTTCCCCCCTCGCAGCATCCCCACCCAACCTCAAATCAACACTGCGATCGAAAAATGCCTCGAAATCCAGCGGCGCGCTGTATCGTTTGGGAAGAGGCCGTTCGCGGCGTTGTTGCTTGCGCCTGATCATGAGACGGTGCTGTTGATGCACCAGAGTGTTGATCAGGTTAATCATGCTGAGGTATGTGGATATAACCACCTTATCTAAGTGTTGTGGAAAAAGTGAAGTTGAGTGAGAGAGGCACGTAGAGATAGAGAGGTAGGCTGATGAAGCGGAACATGAAGAGCTCGTTGGCAAGACTAGCATACTGCCATTACCCCAAGGAGTATCTGTGGACATGCACGCTTGTCAGTACTTGGGAGCCTTGTGCTATGTGTTCTGGTACGTCTGCCTGCCTGGCTTTCTCTCCTTTCTCGCCTCTTTTATCTTGCTAACGCGTGAACGGGCCAAAAGCAACGATATACTGGGCGCATATTGGACGCGTGATCTACGCTGCATCTAACGAACAGCTTGCTGCCTTGACGGGACCGGGGAATAAGGAGAATTTCACAATGAAGTGGCATACGAGGGATATATTGTTGGAGCAGCAGAAGGATGTACAGGTCATTGGACCGGTGGAGGGGATGGATAAGGTGGTGGTTGAGGAGAGTGATGGGTATTGGAAGACTACTCGGCGGTAGGAAATTTTGACCAATTAGCGAACTTTGATATTCAATAAGAGAAACAGATAAAATGGTTTATAGCTATAAGAGCAAGAGGGTCGCGTCTTTATGGTTGATACTTGTTAGATAAAGAGGGTCTAGATTATGCTTAGTAATCATGGAGAGAGGAACTGGTAAAGGTCTAGTTGCATCTTATTAAGCTTAGCGCTCATCATGTCCTGCACCTCGTAATAATTTCGACTCATCTTGACTCAGCAATATATCCGAACCTTCTGCGACGTTGCGTCAAGGCAGGGATGAGCCGGGCGGTAAATATGTGTTGTGATATACATCAGAGCTCTCAAGTGAACAGCTGTATGTCAATTCCTCCAAGTCCTTTGCCGCTCCCGTTCTCAGATTGCTTCCCATTAAATTGATCCATTATGGTTGAAAACTCTACCTTTGACGTCCAAGTAATATCTTCGACCACCATATTCCCCGAATCAAAACAAAGAAGTCCTTCGACTATCCCCTTATCCATCATTGATTGTACTGTTTCATACTTTGCTCGTTGTGCTGCGATTTGGTTTTACGATCCCCCAAGCAGTCCAAAGGCCGGCCTATCATCGTCGCACCTTCAAGCCGCTCTTTCTAAAACGTTGAACTCCTATCCGCAATGGTGTGGGCGACTTTCCTATACTGCTCACAAAGCCAACGCTGGTCATAATGAGCGCTATCGAAGAGTTCATCTGACTTTCGATGCTCCAACAGATCTTGGGATTCCGTTCGTCACTGCAACATCCCCTAAGATTCTCTCGGATTTTCTCCCTGATACGGCATCTCGGAGGTCTGGCAAAAAGGCTTGGGATGGCTTCGAACTGCCCACCGATGGACTCTACCCCTCAGTCCCGTTATCTTTGAACAACGACCGCACCCCTCCAGATGCACCAAATGTTGTAGTCCAATTGACTACATTTGCATGCGGCAGTACTGCCCTCGCCATCGCCATTACGCATAGTTTAGCAGATGCGCAAACTCTTTCGCAATTCTCAAAAGACTTTTCAATGGTCTCACGTGCGATCCTCAATTCGGAACCTTTGCCAAACCTTTCACCGATCTTTGATCCCCAGCGGTTAGATGCCTTCGCAGCAGGAGATATCGACGCTGAAACTCCCGATCCAGCTCTCCTTGAAAAGGCTCGAAAACTTCCATGTCATAGATATGATAACTACATCCACGTCCCTAATCAACCATGGCCGGTTCATAATCCGCCAGGTTTTGACACAGTATCTCATTTCCCCTTGAGTCCCACGGATCCACTTCCCTGGGATGAATACGATGCTAAGGCACCTGTCTCCCACCGGGTTCTGCATTTCTCAGCCTCTGAAATCCAACACATTTTTACCCAAGCTACATCTTCCCAAGAGGCAGCTAAAATTTCCAAGCTAGACGCACTGCTCGCACATGTCTGGACACGCATCAACGCGGCCAGGAACCTCGAACCGGGCACAACAACATACCTAGATATGACCTTTGGTCTCCGCCCCCGCATCATTCCTTCACTGCCCAACAACTTTATCGGGAGCCCCATCATGAACGCAGCAATCCCTACCACCATTCCCACCTCATCAATGCCGCCATCTCTACCAGCGGTAGCAAGTACGATCCGCAATACTCTGAAAGAATTCACACCCGAAAAGATAGCAGCTCAACTCCACGATCTAGCTTTCGAGGTCTCTCCCCAGCGAATCTGGCGCTGTTTCCTAGGTAAAAGGCATATCATACTCACCACCTGGCTATACCTCGGTTTGGACGAGGTTGATTTTGTGGGTGAGAAGGGAGGGAAAGTGAGGTATGTATGGCCGATTATGCCCGCGATAGATGGATTGGTGGATGTGTTGGAGACAGTGGGTGAAAAGGGAGATAAAGGCGGGCATTGGAGTCGGAATGGTGTTGATGTTAGCGTGTATCTGGAGGAAGGCGCAATGAAGAGGCTGCTGAAGGATGAGCGGCTGTGGGGTGGTGTTTAACAGCTTTTAGCACTTTATTCCTGACAGTGTTCTCACACCAAAACCTTGCCACTTCACTCCATTCCATGAAGTTGATATCTCACTCGAGGTATACCATGTCATGAGTTCTTTAGATATTCGCCCCGTTCGATATCGCGTATACTATAGAGGCAGTGAGCGTAATGTTTTTTTAACCCTGGAATGGAATTGGTAATTTACAGTACTTAAAATCCAAAAGCGGGTTTCCAACCATAGAGGGCTAATTATACGCTAGGCTAGACTAACTTGGGAATGCCTTCACACCCTGAATATCTATGCTATTATTCCAAAAATGCTAAAATCGGTCGATTTAAGTGACTTTGTCTAGGGGTGCTACGCATTAAATATGGATGTGGCTGCAGACGGGCTGCATTGCTGACTAAGCAATTGTGCAGCAGTCATTTGACTTGATTAGCCGATCTACGGTTAACCATAGGTAAGTTTTATTAATGGTTAGAAACAGTAATCCACCCAGATGAAGGTTAGCCAGGTGATTGCCAAAAAACGGTCATATAAGTGTCATTTTAACGTTAAAAGTTCACGCCAAAGTCCGGGGTAGATCGCTACAAAGTGGGAGCAGGGCGGTATGAATTAGGCGATCCAATCAGAGAATTTACGGAAGGTAAAACTGCTTTTATAATTATTAGGTAAGAATATATTTCTCAAGCCAAGTTATCCACTCCACACAGCTCAACCCCGTTGTCAAATCCTTTTTATCTACCAGCTAATCCCATCCCGTCTCCTCCCATCTCCTTTCTCCTCCCCGGAAAGCGCGACCACCTCTGTGAGATCACCCTTTCCTCCAAGCTAAATGTCCTTCCCGGGGGCAACCTCGGGATCTCCCTTTGGCAGGCGGTTCGGGAACATGTCCACAATCTGCTCGCCGCCTTCAGGCTCCGAATGGATGGCCCGAAGCAAGAAGACAGCGTCAATTATCAGCTGCCCACAGAAGGAGATACCGAGGAACCAGAAACTAAGAGCGCCGTTGTACGCAGCGGGACCAAACTTAGTAAAGTGGATACCGGTCGAGGCAGTCCAGAAGAAAGGGATGATCATGTTGAATATAGCCAGTTCCTTGGGGAACAAGGGCTTGGACCGCTGGTCGATGACGATGGCGTAGGAAAAGCAGAAGTTCTGCACCATGAATGTTTGCCATGGCATCAGCGTACAGATCCAAAAGAAGTCGTTGAGCGTCTGCGTGATCTCGGGGTTGCGTTCGGGCCGGTACGATGTCGTGGCTAGGATGATGGCGGGGAGCACAAAAGTCCACAGGCCGGCCGCTGCGGCACTTAGCTGGAGCTGCTGCACGACATAGTGCAGATTCGGCACGCGCCGCATCTGGCTGGAGATGGCGGCACAGAAGGGCATGTAGAAAAGTCCCGAGAGGGCGATCATCGAGGCGCCAATGCGCACTCGGTGTGTGTGATGCTGGTAATGCTCGGCTGTCTTTTCGGCCGTCCACCACGGCTTTATAGGGGGTAGGAAGTCGGCAGCGGCGAATCCCAGAAAAAAGAGCAGGGACGAGAATATGCCACTGGCGGCGCAGTAGTACTGGAAAGCATGGGGAGTCATGAAGCGGGACTGCGCAATGGAGACCCACATGTTCTTCACGGCGGCAGGACGATGTAGCGACATGATGGGGTAATGATGGGGATGATGAGGCTAGTGATGATAGGCTAGGTTTGGATTTGATACCTAGGTACCTTCCAGTAGGCTTCGTGGGATTGGTATTGATGTTGGTGTCACCAGCACTAGGGTAACTTGGTGTTGGGGTAGTGGTTGGTTGTGAGGTTGATTATACTCCGTAATAATGGGGGCGTAAGACGGGAGACTACTATAGCCTGTGAGATAGGCGACACAGAAAATTTCCTTACTGACAGAGCAGCGAGGAACGCCAGCTTATACTGAGATACTGACTAGATGCACCCCTTCTTATCATAGAGATACGAGTCTTTTTGGCCTATCAATTCATCGGACAGATTGACGGCATGTTTCGTGCCTCTTGAATCCCTGCGGGTCTTCCCCATATCCTTCATTAAGTTATTGATGCCGGACTATTCTTTCCACTAGTTATGGACCAATTTCCATGCCACACACATGAAGCGCCTCCTCACTATGGAACGGCATTTTGGTTAGGTGAAAATTGGTCCATCATCGGTACTGTAAAAGAGATCTACCTACGAGTACCAGATAGTCCGTCCATCATCCATCCGATGATTGACGAAGAGGACAGGCTGATTTAAGAGGTCACGGCGCCCGCAATATGGATTACGAAGTAGGTAGATGTATGAACGTTAGTGAGCAGGCACCCTGATACCATTTACGGAGTAACGAATTTCACGCGTACTCAATTTCACCTGCATCCAAGATGGCCTCATTTCCATCCTTGCTACCATCCTCGTTTTCGTCTACACCCCTGTACATGTATTTGTTGTACGGCTCCCTGTCCCTACTAGCTATAGCGGTCTATAAGGCGCATTCGATTGGAAAACGCGATCCTCGCATGCCGCCAGGACCTCCCACGGTCCCGCTACTTGGAAATGCGCTCCAGATACCCAAGACAGGGCTCGGCAAAAAGTACGTACAAAGCAAAAAGCTTCAGGAAAAGACATCTGAAGTCTCACGACTCATAGCCATGCATCGTATAACTAACATTTGCCTAGATTTCGCAGCTGGGCTGACCAGTATGGGTCGGTCTTCTCGCTCACCATTGGACCCCGGAATATCGTCGTGGTGTGCGATCGCAAAGCCGCGAATGCCATGCTGGACAAGAAGGGCAGCAAATATTCCGACCGTCCCTTTACCTACGTGACCGACTACATTACCCATGGAGACCGGCTGACGATGGAGAACGCGACGCCGGCGTGGAGAGAGAGGCGTGCCATTGTCTCGCGAAATCTCAGCCCGAAAGTTCTGGATGAAAAGCATTTTGTAATCCAGGAAGCCGAGTGGGTACCCCGTCCTGATCTATCTATTCGCTACATGAGATACTGACCGAGATGAAGAGCTGTGCTTTTCATGAACAACGTGCTGCGGCGTCCGGAGCGCATGTTTGATTTAGCAAGACTTTACACGGCTTCGGTTGCTAGTACCCTGATATGGGGCCAACGAACAAAAGACCTTGATTCTTTCTGGTATAAGGAGTTCTATGAACTTATGGATTTGGTGCGTAGTAACAATTATTATCAGTTGCTGTTGGCACACCTCGGGAACATTGAGCTAATACTGTAGCAAATATAGTGGGTGACAATTGAGGAGGCAGGAGCGAATCCCCCAATGGACGAATTTCCTATTTTGAAATGGATCCCGGGGGCCGCTTGGAAGAAGCGAGCCGACAAATGCAGTGAGATGCAAAACACCATGTGGACCACAGCAAGAGCCATCATCGATAAGAGAAGAGCGCGTGGTGATAAGAGAGATTGCTTTATTGATACGAAACTGGATGAGTATGAGGCTAAGGGATTCCCCATGTCCCAGCACGCTTTCAATAACCTGTTTGGAGTCCTCTTGGAAGCCGGAGCCGACACAACTGCCAATCAGATCTTGACCATCATCTTAGCCCTTGCGAAAAACCCAGAGATACAAAAGCGGGCACGGAAGGAAATCGATGCCGTGTGCGGTACCGATAGAGCCCCACTATTCTCGGATTTTAAAGAGCTGCCATACGTTAATTGCATCGTAAAGGAAGGCATGAGATGGCGACCAACGTACGTTATGACTACATGATGGTGTGTATTCGAAGAACTAGTGCTAATGTTTCAAAAGTGCTTCTGCAGGCCTACCTCATCTGTGCACCCAAGGTCTGATTGATCCCTTCGCCGCAGCATGTGAAACGCAAGCTAATGAAAATTTTCAACAGATGATGAATACGAGGGTATGCTGATTCCTAAGGGTACAACTGTTTTCCTCGGCGCGTGGGCCATCCACCATGACGAAGAACTATATCCCAATCCCGAAGAGTTCAACCCGGATCGCTTCTTAAACCACCCTAAACTTGCTCACGAATATTCTGTCGGTGACTTTGAAAAACGAGATGAGTACCCCACCTTCAAAATCTTCCCTGACTCTAAGCTAACAAGTAGGCGATAATTACACCACTATGGTTATGGCACTGGACGTCGAATTTGTCCCGGAATGCACCTTGCAGAACGGAATATGTGGCGTATTGCCGCCAAGCTTTTGTGGGCATTCGATATCTCGGAGCCTATTGATCCTAAGACAGGGAAAGTGACTTCTTTGGATGTGAACGCCTACAATTCCGCAGTCTTGTTATGTCCACTGCCTTTCAACGTCGACGTGGTGCCAAGGAGCAAAGCGCATCTTGCCTGCATTGAGCGAGAATTAGAAAGTGCTGAGACTTATATGGCACAGTGGGAGTGAATATAGCCAAGAAGCTTTATTTGTATGGAGAGATAAATTATAAAATCATACTTCTGTTTCCGTCTACTTATTACTTAGCTTAACGTTCTTTTTTGGCATTAATTCATGACATGAAACAGACTGATCTCAGACTTTTCTCATGCCCAGGGAAGGTCGTGTCTATATAAAGCTACTACGCTAAGCCACGTGGCAGTTATCTTCGAAGTCGAACGAACAAGATTCTGGGTAATCTTCCTCGGTAGAGCACCCGAACTTAATCCAGTATGCCTCCGAGGCATAAGGCTCAATTCTTATAGAGGTAATACTCGCTTTTTGTAAAGTCTGACTATCCCACTATAAATCCACTACTTAACATAGATATGTAGAATCCTATACGTCTAACTAGCCCTTTACCCTAGCAGAGATCCTGGAATCCATGGGTTTCAAAGTGAGAGTTCGACAGTAAGCTTGAGCTCTTTAGAGCCCTGTTTTAATCAGATCTAAGCTCTTCAAGTGGCGCAGAGCATAGAAATATGGAAGAAAAACAGTGGGACAGCGAGACTTGAAATAATGCGAGTATATAGTATTGGTTGAATTACTTACAAAGGAATATATTTTCACTTCTTTAGTAATACAAAATCAAATAAGCATCACTTGAAGCAAGGAATACTAGACTTCTATACAAATATGCAGCACCCATAATGTGGTGAAAACCTTGGATTCATAGACAGTCAATTTTCAGAGCAGAATATTAACAACTTTCTGCATCTCCGCAAAACTATCAGTTTCAAGGTTTAATCACCAGATGCCCAGCCCAAGATTGTGCTTGACGCAGCACAAGTTCTGTAGTAAGCGGTTTAAGATCCTCAAGGAGCTTTGGAAGCGGGCCGGATGATTGAAAAGCTTTGAAGTCTTCTGTGCTTTTAGTTCTAGCAGCAACTCCCAAGTCAGCTTCACGGAATGCTGAAAGATAGTTCTCCAAATCAGTGTCACATACCGTAACCATAATGTCGCCATCGTAGGAACTCTCACTTCTTTGAGGATGAGGGCACTCTGTATCGGTCCAGTCGGGCCTTGAGTTTCTTTCAACCCGTCCGCAAACGCGACCAATTTCTGCAGCACTTCATCACGGTCTTCCGGCTTGGAATAGAATTGAAACGCAGCCTGATGACTCGTCTTCGAATCTTTCTCTGGGTCATCCGCACGCTTCACCCAGCCACCCGCTTCATCATAATGATGCAAATCATAATCCGGACTATCCAGTCCCTGCTGCGTGGCCAGAAGCTCATCCCTATCAATCAATTTGTTCTGTGCCTTGAAAACATCCGTCTCGAAATGGCCCATGAAGAATCCGACTGGGTGCGTGTATCCCTCTAACCCCATAATCGTGTCCTCGTCACCGTCGAGAGAGTAGCCCCAGTAATAGGAATCTCCCATTTTCTCGGAAGCGGATACATCGACGAGACTCGCGATGCGTTCCCTCCACTGTTGTTGTTAAAGTTAGTTTTGGCAATAAAGGAACTCTTCTGCGGCATTTGAAGTTCAAGTTGGCAAATCCAGAATTTAGACAAGTCTTAGCCTCATAAGCTAGTGTAATAGATGCAACTTACAATAGGAAGCGCCCCCTTCCTCGACGTAACACGTGCCACAACATAGAATTTTGGACAACTCATCTCTACGGTAGATGTTCGATTTTATCGGGCGGTAATAGGGTGGAAATACGATCAGCTTTTTCAATGGATTTCTCAGACGAGTCCCTTTTCCTCCATATATAACAAGTGGAATTTATGTCGGACCAACCAACCTGGATTTATCTCGCGTCGGTAGAATTTCATCAGTTGGAACAGCGTTTACTATGCTCGCTAACCAGTACACGTTGATTGTTCTGTCTCATCCGCTGTTCTCGGGAGAATTCTATAGACTACCTACAGGTTCCTGACATGAATGCTAATCATCCGATATCGAGGCTGTTTGCTGTTGGTACGGATCATTTGCGGACTGTTTACCACCCGGCGCTACCCCGCATTTGATATTGTCAAGCGAGAAAACCCCTGAACTAGAGCTTCGGCTACGTACCAGTCTCGGGCCGCATTAGCCAATTCCTTGTATACAGGTACACATGACTTGTGACTTTTGGACTACAGGATTTACCAAGCCAACTCGACTAAGCAGACGACTAGTCATAGCTTCTCATTTGGCAAATATACCCATTGATTTTTACCTGTAGATACTTCGAGAAGTTTAGGAATGAGTCTAGGATCAAGATCAGGAAATTAAACTTCTATTCTAAGGCTTTTCATTTTTCTAAGCCTTAGAATAGATTCTATTCAGCTTTGATCTTCTTACATCAGGTTCTTGGAAGTTTGAATCTAATGTATCTAACGTTCAAAATGCAATCAACAGTCTAGCTTGCTTGATCTTCTCATCTCTCTCCTTAATTTCCTACTATTTGGCTCTCAACAAGCACTATATCCGCCATCAACTGTCCAATGGGCTTTGGCAAAGTTAGATTCTCAAAAATCCAATAGTTCTCATATTAGCATGTGACATACCTCCAGTAACAAAGGAAGCATCATCACTAAGCAAGAAACACAACACTTTAGCAACCTCAGCGGGTTTGCCCATGCGACCGAGACACGTCGCTTCGCTAGTTACGTCTGCATCGAACCCTCCCGAGCTAGCACGTTCTCGGAGAAGGGGAGTATCAATCGGCCCTCTAAATCACAATTTCGTCAATAACTTCAAGCTCCAATCCTGACTTCGTTTGCACTCACGGGAGTAGGGCATTAATCCGGATGCCCTCTTTACCAAACTCTCCTGCGGCGGAAGCGCTTAACCCAATTACCCCGAACTTGCTCGTCGAGTAGGCCGCACTATATGGGAAACCTCGTAGGCCAGAAGTGCTAGAGACATTTACAATGGCCCCACCGGGGCGCGGAAGATGAGGTAGCTGCGCTCTCATACTATGCATGATTCCATTGAGGTTGATACTTATCGTTCTGTCCCACTCTTCTTTTTTCTATTGCTCCAAGGGTGAGTCACTAACCGCGCCTTCAATCTACTCAAAGGAAGAGCTCGACTTACAATTGTTTGACACGTTGTGTCCCCATCCCCTGCAGCAATGCCTGCTACATTGGCTGCGCCATCCAGACGCCCGAATACACTGACTGTGTCTGCGATCCATCTGTCCACTTGATCTGGATTGCTCACATCCACGCGAGTGCATTCTATTTGCACCTCGGAAGCCTCGCCTGAAATCATCAGCACGATTCAAAAGCATGCCATCTTTTTAACTAAAGCCATAGATTCATACATAACTTCTTCGTCTTTCCCAAACCTTCTAGATTCACATCGCTGATAGCAATACCGCGAGCACCTAATTCAGCCAGCCTCAAAACAACAGCTTGACCAATTCCAGACGCGGCGCCCGTTACAGAGTATATTCTGCCTTTCATATTTAACGAGAAAAGAAGGATCTGGAAGGGATGCGGAAGGATGTAGAGGTGGTATTATTGGATTGTTCTTAATTTTGAGAAGAACAAGGTATAAGCTGTATGAAACGAATTTCTTGATGAGGAGTAAACTTGCTAAGAATAGTAAGCAAAGGCTTTCCATTGTCAGCCCCTGGGATGGACCTTAACTTTACGTACGGCTCTCGGCATTGAAATAACCCGTAATGCAGATATCGGACTATTTTCGGATGGTCCCTTCTTTCAGCCTCGCGGAATTAAAGGGATCTACCCACTACTGTATTGGCTATCTCGTGACATTTGACTTTAAATGAAAATGGACACTGCAGGTTTGGGAGTATGGATCTTTGTGTGGTGATACAGAGCGTGTAAAACCATTGAAATCTGCGAGCACACTCATGGTTTGTCTCTGTGAGAACTTCGTTTAGTAATGGGGCATAATTCACAACGTGAAAACCTTGATAATTGATTTTTGTGGACATCGACTTAAGAGCTAATATCCTTTCTTGATATAACTTGCGCTGGATCTCACATATATGACATCTTGACAGAAGTAAACGTATTCAGGAGAGCTACATACATATTTTACTTAGATATTGACCTTGTAAACAACGAGCTGCTACAACTATGTTTCATAAGACAAGCTTCGTGCTTCCCCCTTATACTGCTTCTTCGGGCTTCGATTTGAAATCTTCATCAGATCGAGATTCATCGATTGCTACCACAACCTTGTCACCGAACTTCATATTTATATCTATCATTATGTGATTAGACCTCGCCTGGGATGTGAAATGGGATTTCTGATGGGTCTTCTTACCTTCAAGAGTTAATCCTTTAGTCTCAGGGAATGTTAGGACTATGAGAAGTGTACAAACAGCCGTCATGCAAATGAACACGAGATAGTACTTCCACCCGATAGTATCGAAGGCTAGGGCTGCAGGACTGTTATAGGCGATGCCGAAGAGGAAATACGATCCAAGACCAAATGTCACACCTTTGCTCCTCAAATGATTTGGCCATATCTCCGCATTGTAAATGTAAACCACACCGTCAACTGAAAAGCTGTAGAAGACAATGAAGATGAAGTAGAAGGCCACGCTAGCATTTATGCCAGCCTTATTGTCAGAGTTGAGGTAGGTCTTTTGTAGGGCACATTGGATGGACAAGGCTATCATTAGCAGGACTCCACCAATACCAAGCAGCTTCACGCGTCCCACGCGGTCCACAATCATAGCATTTGTAGAGGCACCTATGCATGCGACTGTCACCCAGACAATGGAAAGGCCAAGTTGCAGGGTAGCGTCGAAGTTCAGGGCAGCAAATAGGATCGGCATAAGGTTGAAGATGACCAACAAGCCGCTAGACTGTACCATTGCAAAGACCAAGATAGAGCAATAAGCTCGTTTCCGAAGATGTGCGTTGCTGAGGATGTACCAATAACTGTGAGGGAGATCTTTTTCAGCTTCAACTTGTGCCACAATCTGGACCATCTCTGCACGAGCCAGACTTGAAGATGGATCGGACTTGGTTCGATGAAGTCGTTCCATGATAGCTGAGGCTTCTTCAACTCTTCCCTGTTCCACGAACCATCTGGGGGATTCGGGAATGAAAATGATCGAGACAGCGCAAACAATAGAAAAAAAGGACAGCATGATGAACTGGAGACGCCATTGGATGTCCGATTTGACAAAGTTGAACCCCAAGGCGGCAATCGAACACACAATGTATCCGACGACCAACCATGCTGCATGCATTCCCACCAGAAGACCACGGGTATGGGCCGGCGCAATCTCACTCATGTAAACCGGTGTATTGGACATGATCAACCCTCCTGCAATGCCTGCGATGCCACGGGATGCAATAAACATGCCCGGATTTACACTTGAAGCACTGAGAATGCCCGATATCATCATTAAAATGGCGGCTACTTCTGCACAAACGCGACGACCGAACTTCGTGGAGATATAACTTTGTAGTATGGTACCCAAGAATCCCCCACCAAAGAATCTGTCTTTTCTTAGATAAGTAAGCATAAGTGTTGGACGGTATCCTACATTGCATTGATCCCATCAATGATTGAATTGGCATTTGATCCACTTAGGAATTTCTTAATGAATGTTTCTTGGGCAAAACATCCCGCCGCAGAATTGTTCCCATATCCAAAAAGGAAGCTTGATATTGCAGAGACAAGGATAATCTGGGGGGAAAGTCAGACCATGTCGGGTCTCGGGACTTTAAAACCATACCATAAAATTGAGAAGACTGGGGAATCTGGAGTAGCGGGGAATTGCTGGAGCATCGTCATGCACAGTATCCTCAACCATCTGGGCTTCAGCCCCTACTTCGGGAACTTTCATATTTTTAATTAATTAAACTGTCTGTTGATGATCGTGAGTAAGTGATGATTATAAGTAAGACAATAATAATTTGGTTTAAAAAACAGCTTCATTTGCTGGTCTTTATACCTCCAGCGAAGCGGGCACAACGACAATTGGGTGGCTAGGCTGAGACTCAAAATTGATACTACTCCGGAGTAAGAGCGAATAGTTACCGATCTATTTTAAGAGCTTATTTAACGTTTAGATGCTTTATTCTTACTTGTCTATAATTGAGTCTAGACTGCTATAAAATGCTTTTCCTCAACAAAAAGTAAATTTCTTATATTTTGCTTTGTTTATTGTTCATGCCAAGTCATCAAGTGAACCTACCTACTTTTCTCAATGACCTTGGTATGAATTATCCAGTAGGGTATTGCAGCAAAAGTTCACAGATTCTGAGCATCTCGGAAGAATTGTGTTTTTCGGACACTTTGGCCGCCAAGACATATTCGTCCTTTTTGCACCCCAACCGTCTCGGACAAATTACATATTATTTGTAGGTACCTTATTTGTTCCGTGGGAGAGAGAAATTTCCGCATAAGCTGGGAGCTGCTAATGTCATGCAATTCTTCCTCGTTCACTTCTTTTAAATGTCGAATTAATCGGCACACAGGTCGATATTATTCTTCACTTACACAACATTCAAGATGTCTATTCCTGTGACTGCCCTATGCGTTGGGGTGGCAATCTTGCTCTACAAAATGAGCCAGATGGGAAAGCGACGGCCTGGTATGCCTCCAGGGCCTCCCACTATACCCTTTTTGGGAAACGCACTACAAATACCGGCTGTAGGCTTCTACAAAAAGTAAGTATGAGAACTATTTGAAAGGAAAATGTTTTAACGTGCGAGTAGGATGAAAGAATGGTCTGGGGTATATGGAAAGATATACTCACTGACTATTGGCTCTACGAATATCATTGTTCTGTGCGATCGGAAAGCTGTCCGGGATTTAATTGATAAAAAGTCGGCAATCTATTCGGACAGGCCTGCCGACTACGTTGGTTCATTACTTACCGGAGGTGACCACACTCTTATCGATGACTATAATGGCATATGGCGAGAGAAGCGGAAGCAAATGGCTCTGCATTTTTCCCCGAAAAAGTGCGACGAGAAGCATTCTATCATCCAAGAGGCAGAGGCAAAATGCTTGTTGTTGGGCTTTCTTGAAGATCCAGAACACTTCTTAGACCATGTTAAACGTACCACTGCATCCATTGCCAGCATTATCACCTACGGGAGACGCGCTCCCACCATTGACCATCAGTATGCGACGCAAGTATTCGACATCATGCAAGAATGGACCTCTGCCATGGGACCCGGAGCAAACCCTCCAGTGGACGTTTTCACTTGGTTAAAGCTGTGGCCAACCTTCCTTGCACCATGGAAGCAACGAGCTTACAGAGTCAATGCGAAGATGGATGAGACGTGGAGCCGGACTCTGAATGATGTGCGGAAGAGACGTGCGAATGGGGATACGCGTGATTGTATGGCAGACTCAATACTAGACGAGGTCGAGAAGAATCCTGATTACATTCTGGGCGAACATTCGATTCAAAATCTGCTCGGCGAGATGATTGAAGGCGGCGCAGATACAACAACTGCACAGCTCTCGACGTTTCTCGTGGCAATGGTGACCTATCCCCGTGTGATGGAAAAAGCGCAAGCCATGATCGACGAAAAGATTGGCTCTGATCGTTCACCGACTTGGAAAGACTTTGACAGTCTTCCATACATTAATGCCATAGTGAAGGAAGGATTGAGATGGAGACCTGTTACTAGTGTCGGGTTTGCACACAAGATCCGAGAAGGTATGTTGCTTGTATTATATCTGCATGTAAAAGAGACTTACAATAAATAGATGACACTTACGAAGGCATGCTTATCCCCAAAGACTCAACAGTCTTTGTTGCTGTTTGGTAAGTTTGAATTCGATATGAAAACTGGCCACACTGCTAAAGAACATAGGGCGCTGAACCATGAAAGTGACCATTTTGCAAATGAGGATCAGTATTGGCCAGAGCGTTATGATGGATTTTCTGAGCTAGCCAATTCTTACTCTGGAAGCGGAGATTATGAAGGAAGAGGTAAGGCGTTTGCCAGATTCAGTTATATTCCAAGAAAATTGCTAAATGCTTTTAGATCACTACACCTACGGCGCCGGTCGTCGAATTTGCCCAGGTATCCATCTCGCAGAGCGTAACCAATGGCGTTCTATCGCCAAGATTCTCTGGGGTTTCAAAATTTCTAGAGCGATAGATCCAGTCACAGGACAAGAGATTCCCATTGACGTTAATGCATATAAAGAAGGCTTAGCACAAGCACCATTGCCATTCAAAGTCCGCATAGAGCCCCGGAGCGCGGCTCACGCCAATACCATTCGTCGCGAATGGAAAGAGGCAAAGAATATTTTGGACAAATATGACTGAACATATTTGCATCGCTTTAGAAAGAAATATGGAGTACAGCGGAACATTTCTCGATTATTGTATCTGGTTGCCGTAGAATGAACTTCATGGTTCTCTAAAATTAAATGACTTGTATACCAAAGAACGAAATCTCCTCGGAAACCTGAGTTTGACAAGTTGTTCGTATAACGTAGAAACTACCCCATGTATCCAGCTTTGGTAATGGTTAGGGGCAACTAGCTTCGCAAGAAATCGATTCTTTGGCAGATAAGACCTCGATAGTTCACCAAATTCCCCCTACATAGTGAGTATGAAGATTACATTCTTCCAAGGTGGGCTCAGTTTTGAGGAATATGTCTAATGTAGGTTGTGCTCATGAAAAAGGTAATGAAATTTGGAAGAGGAATCAAGAAATAGATATACCTATATGATTTTAAAGACAAAATGGTATATATTTTAATTTCATTACATAAATATATGAGGAATTATCTACCTCTTTGAACGTAGAATTATACTATAACTTTCCAATACCCAGACAGGTACAAAATTCGTGAACAGATAAAGAATTCGACCCGATGTGCTTGGTGTACAACCTCGACCTACTCCTCTTTAGCTATTTTGAAAGTTGAATATTGACTTTTCTCGGAACTTTACCATGTCCATAAAGTTTAGGCAAATAAATTGTATGCACGTGCACATGGGTTTCGGGGTGAAATTCTGAACCCATCTTTATTTCGCGTTCTGTGTAGAAAAACCCGTATTTACAAGGTTGCGCCGAGCTATTATCACGGCGGAACCCCCAAGGTCATGCCTCCGTCCACAGCCAATACCTGTCCCGTCATCCACTGAGACGGTGGAAGACAGAGGAATAAAACAACGCCGGCGATATCACCAGCGGTTCCAATTCTCGGCCAAGGCGTTGACCTTTCCATCAAAGCAAATATGTCCTTGTTTTCAATATTCTGTCGCGCCATACCGGTAGCCACTACGCCAGGAGATACACAGTTGATGTTAATGGAATCCTTTGCGTGATCCATCGCCCCAGCTCGCGTCATATGGTTGACTGATGCTTTAGTCGCTGAATACGCCACCTCTCCCGGGAAAGCGATACCAGCGGCACAAGACGAAATATTCACAATTCGTCCTCGACTGCCCCAGGCTGGATCTACCTCTTGCTTCAGAAATTGGCGGATTGCTAGGCGCGAGATCCTAGCTGTCCCGAGGGTGTTGACCGCTGCCATCTTTCCCCAAAGTACGTCGTCCTCGTCTACGAAGTCACGGAATGGTTCCCAATACCCAGCACAATTCACAACGATATCAACACGTCCAAATTTCTATAATTTTTATCAGCAATCTATCTTCTGGCTTGCTGAAAGGGGTTTTTTCTTATTACTGATATCGCGGTACTAAAGGCACTTTCACACTGACCAGCGTCTGAGATGTCGACCCTCTGGAAAATCGCCTCGCCACCATTCTTGATAACTAGGTCGGCTGTAGCTATTTCCCTGTCGGTTTCATATCCAGAAGGATTCGCCTCTGCTCTCAAGTCGCAGCTAACGATTTTGGCACCATTTTCTGCGAGGGCGAGACAAATGGCACGGCCCATCCCGGAGGACGCACCAGTTACCAGGGCCACCTTATTTTTCAGTGACATGATGACGAAAATGTTAGAGCTGAATGTGGTAAGGGGGAAAACACAGTTTGGATATGTCTTGCTTATACTCTTACTTTGGATTTATTTAAAAGAACTTACCCGGTCCGTTAGCGTTGGTAAGGAGAAATACTATAGCACGGACTGATTTCGGAGGATCTGTGCGGGGTCATAAAACTGGGGTCTATCCGGGGTTAACACTGTAAAATGACTGCTACATGACCATAAATTTTGCTAATCAACCTTGGTAGACCTTGGTCTGGGTAGAACACGGACCGGGATAAAATCTGGATTAAAAGCAGTTGTAAGACAGGTTTTAAACCGTTTAATAGTCATTTTAAGCTAGCCTAGCGCTAGGTTTACCCTCCTCAGCATTATTCCCGCCCTCTAAGTCTTTATGATCTTATTTCAAGAATGTTAAAATCGGTCTTTTAATGTGACTGTGATTAAGTCACATTATTAGGGGGTAAAGCCTACCTTGCAAAGGTTTTGGCCCAAAGCTGACAAATCATATACGGAGTATATCTTACATCTTTTCATTATTAATACCAAACATGGCGCTATAATAAATCTTTCTAGTCCGAATATATAGCGACAGCATCTTGTCCGAAAATGCAGCGTAATATAACCGCTTTTGCTAGGATGCATGATTCTTGAAATACGGAAGATAATACTTTGAATTTATTAATTCGCTCTGAGCTGTTCTTTTAAGCTTTAGGGTCTTCCTAAATAAGGATAGTCCCGGAGGAATAAGTTGTCCTAGTCTCCCCAGAGAATCAAGCCTTCGCTTGATAATCCTAGTAATATTATAGTAAGAAGCTATCCCCAGACTTCCAAGTGTATGAACATCTGTGACTGTACCGCCTGTTTTCACCAGGCTCCTATTTTTTAAGTTGTGTAAGATGATTAGAAATGTGGATCTATTATCGCTTATAGTATGAGAAACTGAAATTATTGGAATCCGCCCCCAATAAAAAACCCATTCAGATACCCTTGCAAATCCACAGGCGAATCTGTCAAGTTGATGTCAGAAAGAGGGTAGCTAGGGAACTGTTCATCGATACTACCAGGAAACTCAAGCTCACTCCCCAAGTGAGCGGTGGCAGTGTTCAGGTTGCCGAATTGATTGAACTCCACAGGCTGTGGGCTACTTTGTGTGTTCTGTAGGTTTGTATCTTGGAAATCGTGTCGCCATCTGTCACTGACCTGGTTGCTGCCGTCTTCACGAAGATCTTCCGTTTGCGAATTCAACTGGACTGGATATTCCATAAGATTTTGTACGGATTTGCCGTTACTCTTTTGTTGGCCAGCACCGCCCTGTTGTTGATGTTCGTGAAAACGCTCAAGCGCGGACTGTAGACAATCCAGATTCTTTTGGAGGTTGTCAGAGACATCCCAGTACTTTACAAACTGGGTGATATTCAAGCAAAGAACCTGGTACTTTGACTCGGTCAAGCTTTTGTTCGATCCCGGTTGAGCAAAGAACTTGTACACTAGTTGCACTGATGCTGCAACCCAGATTGTGCTTGCGAGAAAGGGGTTGACGTATTTGAAGTGATCGTTCGAACTCCGACTCACGACCGCGAGTACTTCATCTGATGCATCAATGTAGTGGCCTAACCCTTCTTCGTCTGGTTTCACGGTGGATGGAGGGACCGGATCGCTCGATGGACCGCGTGCGTTTTTCTCGTAGGTTCCCTTGGCTAGAATATGCTCTCGGCGCCCGCCTCCAAAAACACCATGTTGATAGATCATGAAGTTCGCTAATTGGATCATAATGTGAATACTGTATATGGAACTGTTTCGCATGAGCAATGATTGGTTGGTGCCTGGTCTGGGAAATCGCAAGTTTTCTTGCTGGTATTGCAGAGACTCGGGTAATGCGATCGAGAAGCAATGCAGAGCATTTTCCAATATACCAAGACCTTGAGTGATTTCTGCGCAGTCCCTTCTGCCAAATGCGGTAGCGGTCTTGGATTTCAGTTTCGAATGTTCACCCAAAGACGAGAACGGGAACACCGGTCTAGGACTTGAGAGCTGCTGTGCGTCCCTCATCAAGGAATTTACTATGATAAACCATGCTTTCGCCGATTTACTGCCACATTCCTGGATATGTCTCCAGCGATTCATGGGGTTCGGATCCAGAAAGCAACTACCATGGGGCTCGCCAACAAACCATAGGCTGTCGTCGGTAGGTAGTCGAGTCTCGTTTTGAGACCAGTCAATTGCCGTAGGACATCGGCGCACAGTACTAGCGAACGTGTCCATCTCCCAGATGGCCCACCATGTCCTCCGCTTCTCTTCATCCGCGCACCAAGTTTCCGGGTTGCTATCTACGAAGGGCATGTCTGTAGTTATGTGATTGGCGTCGATCAAATGTAGATTGAGCTCGTAGGCTGCGCGGACGCACGTACCGAGAGACCTCCAACCGCGGCCTCTGGCACCCCTAATTAATTGTCGGAAGGTCGATAGTGTCAGTGCTTGTAGTAAACATAAGCTTGGTGTGTCATCTTCACATTCCCTCAGAGCCTCATCTAGAAACACTGAGGCCAATCTACCAAAGTGTTCGGCCATCGACTTGGGCTTAGTTTCACCTAGTGTGGCTTGAAGCATCGTAGAATCACCTCCATGTTCGATAAAGCGTGCAGAGAAAGAGAACATAGATGTCAAAAGAGCGTTCACCTGCGTCAAAGAGGTGATTGCTGAGACTTTTGCTCGAAAACACGAAGGGCGGAAAAGCGTAAACGCGGTCATATTGGCAAAATATGCATCGATGCTAAAAGAGGAGAATCAGTAAGCACGTGGGAGATTATAGGTAGACGAATAAAACGTAAATGGCGACTTACAGGGAATCCATCGTCCCCGAAGAGATATCCAATGCCGCGCAGGCACGATGAAGCATATTGGACGATTCGAGGTTGATTTTGGAAAATGGTTCCGACGCTGAGAAAGATCCATGGTTCCCATCCCTTTTCTGGGTATGTGTTGACTCGTGGGAGGGATGGATGATGAATGAAAGGTCGTGCATGCCGATGGTGCCAGCTTTTGGGGAGTCGAGACTTTCGGGAGACAGGTAACGCTCATTACCAACAGATTTTGGGCTCGAGAGGTCGCGAGGATTCCATGCCGTAGCATTCTGGTCCAAGTCGGTGGGTAAAAAGGCGGCATTGGTAGTTCTAGAGGAAGTAGCTATACTTATACGGGCGCAATCTGACTGTTGTGCTTCTTCGCCGGAGCCCTCATCTCTGGACGTGCTTGTATTGCGAGCTTCGCCTTTATTGGTGCGAGCACGCTTCTGGCCTCGCTGTGTCGAGCCTGTTGAAATCAAGGCGATCAGTATAGAAAAGGGGACGGGCTTTGAGAAGGAAGGAAGGAGCATGTGAGAGTGAACATACCGACTTTTGGGCCAGGCTTTGATGGTGCTTGTCGATAGAAGCAGCTCTGTTGCGACTTGAGGCATAACGCACAATTAGGTCGGGCCCGATCGCTGCAAGATCGATTGCACGTCAGAATGGCCCAAATGGTGAGGGCAATTACCACCTACCACTTGATTTTGCGTCTAGATCATGAGGCTTGTTAGTCGGATGGGGAACAAGCAAGAGAAGTTTTATGGGTGTCAGGAATTGTAATGTACATAGCATACCTTCGGCACGTTTCGCATGAGAGAGTGAGTCCCTTTTCCTCTGAGTTCGATATTGGGTTCGAGGTAGTGGCGGTTGGTGACATGGGGACGTTCGTTGTGATTATAAATTGTGAGGGTGATATTGGCGTGTGGAGTGAGTAAACAGAAGTGTTTCGTGAAGCTGGATGGAGCCGCACCAGATTTGAGCGGGGATAGCTGTGCATATGCGACAGAGAGAAGGGCACCCTTCCCCCCATTCTCCACTAAAGGACCAGGATCAGGCCTCACGAGAACGTACTGAGGCGGGGCCCCAACCACTGTACTGCCTAGCAGTGCGGGGAAGGAATGGCAGGGATGAGGGGAAAGGGGAGATATGGAAGCAAAAAAGGAAAAGGAAGCCAATCATGTTCGGCTTGAATCCAATGCTATACCTAAAGCGTAAAAGTATATGGGGAAGGTTGTAGCTGAGGAAAATCGGACACATCAGCGCAGTTGTGTTTACAGCGGTCGGCATAATTAGCACTTAAACCAATCGGGTATTTCGATGAAGCTTGCCCTATACAGTGTACGAAGTACTCTAGAATTGTAGATGCACGTGTCGACGACGTTGATAGTGGATTTGCAACGCTAGCATTCTAAAGCAGGTATATATATATAATACTCGAAGCAAAAATGGGTTTGAGTATAAATACCTTAATCGTCTGGTGGTACTAAATACGCATAGCACGCCCCACCACAATATTCGTGACTACTCAGGTCTGGTTCTGTTGGTATCACAGGTGTTGATATCATGATCACTTCTCTACTACGTAGTATAGCTTGATTCTGGTTGATGTTGCTTATTGATTATGTCCAGAAGTGGAAGTGGGAGACGCGAAGAGGTGATGGCCTCTTCGCTGACTAAGCTACACTAAGTCATATGACTAGAAAGGTCGGGATACAGTCCCATCATCCCAACAGCTATAGAAAAAGAATATAAGGGTAGACCCGCTTTTGATTACTGTGCAAATTTCTTTTTTACATATCGCTAATATTTTAATATATCGGTGAACCAGACCTGAGTGGTCACGAATGGTCTGGTGGGGCGTGCTATGCCTATTTAGTACCACCAGACGATTCTTGGGAATATCGCGATGTGGGTGAAAGTGTGGCTATAATATTTGTGGCAGGAGCCAGGTATATACTAGTGGAGGCTTAAGGCCTTACACTTACTCGTGATCGAGGTAAGGGGACGTTGATATCAAGATAGCAGCATATCCGCCGAGCAAAAGCAATGTTGAACGCTTGGGATATGGTCCGCCATCATTATGTAAGCTAGGTCCAACATACCTCCGTAGATATACCGAGACCGAGTCAGTAGTTATATAGCTTAGCTATAAAAACTTGCTGAACAAACTTAAGGCACGAGGGATTTTTGTCTTAAAGATATAGGCTACACACTATCTTGGAACAAACTGTTGTTGACTTAGAAAGACTAACAGGAAGAGAGACAGTCAAAAGTCTGATCAACCAACTACAACTTTGATCAGCTGAGCTACGAGATTATTCTCATCGTCGAAGTTTCCGCGTCTTCATCTGTCAAAATGGCATCTGGGAATCGTAGCCCGCAGGTTTGACCCTGATATACAGGCTGCGCTTGTGATACTTTTATAGAGTTGAGAGGCTGTTGAAAGTGAAAAATAGAAGCCGCTTTAAGAGAGTAAGAAAGACAACGACTTGAAATTATTGCAACGCATCTGTGGGCCCGCTCGACCTTTACTTAATGCAAAGCTCATGATTGGGGGTCTTGAAACTTTAGGTGGGAACAACTTTGGATCGACCGCTTCCGTTCAGCCTAGCATCAATTTTCGGTATTTACAGGTGTTCGTCTCGTCCTAGCCTGCGTCTCTCTCCTGGACTTCCAGTGCCAGAAGGCCACGTCTTCGAGGACCGGCCTGATATGCAGCGGCGGAAAGTCGGTCGCGTTGTTGGAGCTCTGCAAGGGACAGTGAGGGTTTGGAGGGGATGCAAGATGAAGTTGTACAAGTCTTGAGATGCTCGTTGGAACGGATTTACCTGAAGGCACAGTTGCAAAAACGCGGTTGGTGGGTTGGTTGCACCAGCAGTTGACTGGCGCGTTGATGAGAGAATAAAACATTATGATGGCCGTAGGTAGAGTGAAGCATGATACCTGATACATTAATATGTGCATATAGGTAAGCATACAATCAATTCACGATACTTTGTTGCTTCACGCATAATGGGTGACCCATATATCACTCACCACAATCGAAGCTTGGCCTGTTCCTGAAAAGATTTACTGTACCAACAGGTACTGCAGTTGACGGCAAAACCCGCCCGACACCGCGGTCGGTCGCTTGGTCGGTCAAAGGCGGTCAGTCAGAACTAAGGGTCAGGACCCCCACCCCACTCGCTTGTTTCTTAGCGCACCGGCGTTTTTCTCTCTCTGGTTCGATTATTTGCAAACAACTTTCTCGTCCCCTCCTCCCCTCTCCTCAACACATACAATCGATCCTCAAAACCCAACGATAGTCTCTTCGCAGCCTTTCTTCTTCGATTCTACCTCTGTACCCTCGTACAGACACTTCTTTGCCCTCAATTTTCCCAAAAGGTACGTGTCCTGCGCCTCTCCCGTGGGCTGCAAAAACCCCACTTCATCACGGACCTCGACTTCAAATCTCTTCAGATTTTGCCTTCGAGGTCATTCAGCTTCGACATAGACTCTAACATACCTTTCTTCGACCACAGAAACCACTCCTTAACCCACATCTCATCATGGACTCATACGGTGGTGGTGGACAGGCCCGCGGCTGCTACAACTGTGCGTTATCTCACCCACATTCTCTCAGCTTCATTCCACAATCAAACCTCACATTCACACTCTCGCACATTCTGCATTGCTATATACGGGTGTCCTTCAATTGTTGCAGGCATTTATACCATGAAATTGGACACTGTGGCGTCCGATCTACACTCCTGTCCTCTGCTACGAAGAGCGGTCTGCCTTTTCGCAGGCGAAGAGCCAAGGAAGGTGTTCAATGGATGGCAGCCCTGAAACATAAGCCCAATAAATAACTGCGACACTACAATCTCTTACAATTTGCTTCACTATACATCACAAGGACAAGGACTTGAGCTGACAACTATAATTAGGTGGCGATGCTTCTCACCAGGTACAGGCGACCACATTTTTAAGCATACCTTGCTACCAGATAATACTGACTTAAATACAGGCTCGCGATTGCCCAACCCGAGGCCCTGCTAAGTGGTATGCATTCCCCCTATAACTTTGCCAGACACTGTGCTAATTAAAATAGCTATAACTGTGGTGGTGAGTGACGCCAAATCGAATGGGTGTGAGACTTGAGAGACTGATTGAAGTGCGCGACTACAGGTGAAGGACACATGAGTATGTTCAGCTCCCATAACCGCTTAGAATGTTGTTGACAAGTCTTAGGCCGTGAATGCCCAGAGGGTCCTAAGGACAAGACATGCTACAAGGTACGGGTGTTCAAGATTCATAATGTTTATTTGGCTAACATCCTTGATAGTGCGGTCAGCCAGGTCACATCTCCCGTGATTGCACCAACCCTCCCGTTGAGGGCGCTGGACGTGGTGGCGGTGGCTTCTCTTCCGGTGGCGGTGGATCCCAAGAGTGCTACAAGGTATGGCTTCATCTTGGACTTTCCGTCGGATTCTAACTGACTCGACCCAGTGCTCCAAGATCGGACACATCGCTCGTAACTGCCCCGAGGCTGGTGGATATGGCGGCGGTGCCGGTGGCGGATACGGTGGCCAGCAAGGAGGTTTCGGTGGCGGCTTCGGTGGTGGTGGTGGTCGTCCAGGACAGACCTGCTACTCCTGCGGAGGTTACGGCCACATGTCGAGGGATTGTACCCAAGGCCAGAAGTGCTACAACTGTGGCGAGGTTGGTCACTTGAGCCGTAAGTATTGTGCTTTGACTCTTCGAATTACGAATTACGACTAACAACTCAATAGGTGACTGCCCCTCCGAGACTTCGAGCGAGCGCACTTGCTACAAGTGCAAGCAGCCAGGTCACGTTCAGGCCCAGTGCCCCAACTAAGTGTTCATCTGGCATGGTATACAACGAACGCCGTCCAATACTAGCGAACCTTGTGATTTCTTCATTTCCGAGAAGACGCTTTACGAACGATGGACCAAGATACAGAACCCCGGGCATTTGGAAAGGGTGGTGGCTTGCAGACATACAGTTGATTTGAGGATTTGCGACGATACGACACGACACTACGGCCTTCTTTGTATAATTTCACCGACCTTTACAGCACGATTTCCTTTGACTCCTCCAAAACGCCTCGAGAATTTTATGCTCTTGGGAGTTTGGGCCTGCGTTGATATTTTTCCTCCTTCTGCTGACTCATCATGGGTCTGCTACTACATGCGTTGCCTCTGGGCATTATGCCTACCGAAAAGTTTTGATCTGTGCTCGATGCACTGCATGATTTAGTCATACGAAAACGAACGAACGGACGAACCTGGACAATCGGAAGGGAGAAGTTGCGAGGATGAATGACTGAGAGATGCTTATGGTTCACTCACACGGATCGATGAGCAGACCGATAGACATAGTTCAATGGACTGGTATGGAATCAAGACTTGGAAGCATTTTCTCTTGAATTACAGTGACACTTGTGCCTGTGATCTATTTATTAACCAACTCCCCTATAGCTTTCTTCAATCTGCTTTCTTCAAACCGAACGCCTGCTTGTCCTGCTACCCTCCACTAAATCATTTCCTGTCTTACCTTAAACCCCCTCCTACCTCCTACGCACCATCTCACTTCTCCAACCTCAATCCTGACAAAAACCCCTTCCCATACTTCTCAATCCCCATATATACACTCTCCCCCCCAAGCAAAAAAGCAAACATACTACAGGGCACCCAATACGGGACCCGTGCAACCACAGCCCCCATCGCAATCGCATACAAGACTTCGATCACATACTTGCTGTTCCTGTCCCTTTCCCACCACTGCCATCGTGGCCTCGTGTTGTGGTTAGCATTGACGTGAACAGGCACATGTAGGGTGTTGATGTTAACAAGCCATTGTATGAGTAAAGTTGTGCAGGAGAGGGAGAGTAGGAATTCCCAATCTTGGTTTTCGGATAGGAAGATGTAGAGGAGGTACTCGGTGATGGAGTGGAGGTAGAAGGATGGCCAGGTTTCTGGGGGTGTGGAGGGGAAGTGGGATACGGATGGGGGGGTTTTTGGAATGCGTAGGGGAAGCGGAGGGGGGTGATTGAAGGTGCTGGTTGTGGTGCTTGAGGTGGATGATAGGGATGTTGATTGGTGTTTGGGGGATTTGGGCGATGAGGTGTCTGCTGGCTTGCTCTTGAGGGGAGATGGAGGTGGTGGGGGGGAGGATGGGTTTGCTTATTGGGCTTGTGTTTTCGCTTTTGGCGGGGCTTGGTGGGGCTGGGTTTGTGGTGTTGGAAGACATTTTCTTCGTTCAAATTTTCCTACTATTTCTGGTAAGTCCATAGAAATGACCAAGTAAGCTTGCCTGGCATAAAAAAAATAACTAAAAATATATTAATGATCAAGCTGGGGTTCGATCTATTGTAATTGTTAGTATATGAGTTCATTGATAGGTGATTAGATGCGAAACATACCCCAGGACCTTCTCGGTATTGTGTCACAGTAATACTGTTAACGAGATGTGATAACCAACTACACCACCCGACCATTTGGGGGTTTTGATGACAAATGGGGTTATTTTCGCTCTCGTATTTTGTATAGATAATAATGGTGGGGAGGAGAAAAGCGATGGGGTAGCCGATTAAAGAGGGTCTTTGTCTCTTGGGTATAAAGGATGATAATAAATGCTTTTAGTGCGGGTTGAATTGACGCTTCCGGATACAGTATCATAGCTGTGAAAGAGGAACAGGGTTATAAACACGATGAGAAAATACAATAGACGGAAATTTAGTTTGTGATACCTTTATCTTTAGTCAAAATGCTCGTTGACGTGATGGGCAACAGCCACCTCATCTCCTTCAAATTCCCCACACACCGGACAAGTACTTGTTGCAGCTATTGTTGAAGCAAGGTCTTCAGTATCTTCGTCCGGTACTGCCTCATTTGATTTCTCCTCGTCGAGTTTCTTCGACTTCCCTTTCTTCTTGTTGCTCTTCACCACAACATAGTCCGCGAGAGACAAATTCGCGACGTCCGGTTCATCAGGAGCTTCAACTCGAAAGTCCCTATATCTCGGCCCCGCGACTCCAGGGCTCGCAACACGAACACTCTCATGACCTCCGTTCCCAAGCTCTCCATTCCTCCCCAACCCAGTCATCCCTTCCGCCCCCGCCTCCGCCGTCTCTCGACTAACCATCCTCTGCACCCTGCCCACCCTTCCATCCCGCAAGCGCACTTTAATACCTCTAGGATGATCTCCCCGCGTCAGGAGCTCAGCAACGATTCCTTGCACTTCGGTGCCGGTCGGCTGGTCGACTTTCAGGACTATTGAGACGGGGGCGCCGGGAATGACTTGTTGGGTTGTGGGCACGGGTTTGTAGTCTGAGCCTAGACTGCTGGAATTCCGATCATTGAATCCACCCCGAGAACGACCACCGCGACCCCTACTTCTGTTTGTTGGGCGGTTTGTATGCCGTGAAGAGTTCATCTTGGAGATTTGAAGATTTGAAGATTTGTACCTAGATCAGAAGTCGTGTTTCCTCAGGTCGCTTGGTAAATGCCAAGAAATACGCCCCCTTTGTTCCTGGAGGGGCAAATTTTTGTGAATGTAAAATATGATGCTTTTGAAGTGCTTAATTATGTTGTGTCTACGATAATCACATTAAAGGAAATATCTTGACCTAGAATCGTAAATTAATTCCCGTAATATCAGGTGCTGCTCACGTGTAGATAACGCATGTAGTGCACGCTAACTTTTCATACCCGTACAAGTACCGTACCCACCCCGCATCAGCGCGTCTCCTCCGAAGTCAATATTTATTCGCAAAACCGAATTCGTCGACCAGCTGTAAGTGTCGCGCGTCTATAAATAACTGAATCCTCTAACTAACTTCTGTTTTAGTGTTATTTTTAGTATCATTGATTAAGAAAGATGGAGCTCGTCTTATGCGTAAGGTCACCAAAAAGCCCCGAATTTCGAAGCCCAAATCATCCTCGAAAGCCACAACCATTGACTTCAACTCGTTTCGCGAATTGCGTGGAGAATGTGCGCCCAAGCTTTCTGCTGGTAAGTTTAGATTCGTGAATAACACGCCCCAGGATATTGGACAAAGCCTCAGCTCGATGTGTGGACGAGGGTAAGTCCGCATCTCACTAACCATATAGATGTCGCAACCCTGGACGATGCTGCCAATGGACCGCCATTGTCACCTCCAAAATCTCGGGAAGTTGATGAGGTGATTGGTTTTTCTTCAATGCTGCCAAACAAGATACTCTTCAGCCCCTCCCCAACATCTGTGGCTCTACTTGTGCTGCCTTCCCAGACGAATCGCATACAATATTATCACCCCAATACACAAATCCTTGGATAACTCATCCACCGGCACCTTGTTCATTAACTCCCCGTCCACCAGCTTCTCCTGGTTCGCTGCCTGCCCTCGGATTGTTGTTATACAGAGCTCGGTCAAGAGCGAGCAATCGGCTTCCGCTCATGCTTAGTGGTCTCCTACATTCGCAAGGTGTACACGCAGAGGTTCTAGCGCAGGTTTCTTACCACAGAGATATATTACACGCCTGTCATCTAATCAAGCTGGGTTGATTAACAGAGCGTTGCAACGAAGACGTCGAGGTGATGATAACGACGACTGCTTCTCGCTTACACTGCAGGAATACACGTCGACGACCCCTGGAAGCCGTACTTCAGATGGTCAGTAGATCAGTAACTGCATAGCTCCTCCTAGTAGGCGCTACCTTCCATATAATTGACCATTACAGTGGCCCTGTAGAATATGTTTATGTGTAGGCTTATTCGCTTTGGGCAAGATGACGATGAAATTCTCACAACCAGCGAGACCGAGCAGAAATGGCTTTTGCTGCCAAAGTCTCAAGCAGTCTAAAATGTAAATTGCAAGTCACGGGCCATTACATTCATTGATAACACAGATTGCGTCTATTCTCTGCATTGACCCATCTAGTCTAGTTCCTAATTCCAGCCCTGTTATTTGTCATGTTGCAATGCCTTGTTTGCTTTTTGGTAGCAATAGTTCCTTCCCTCGCCATTCAGAATCTTCCATTCAATTTCATGAATTGCATTATGCCTCGTTGAGTGTGTAATCATGAGTTACACACGCCACCTGGCCTTGAGACAAACGGAAAACCCAGGCAAATTCAATCAGTATGCGTAGCACGTTATTGACAACTACAATCAACCGCCAAGCTAGTCAGAACCGGCCCTTATGCACATGAAACATAGCTCTCTCTCTGTTCAGGACTCTCAATTGACGACCCAGCTACCCGCAACACCCTCTCGGGCTAAGAGAACACTTGCCCATTCGATGGCCGATAATCGACGTCTTTCTGGCCGCCTACGTCCCATCTGGTGGGACAGCCGCAAAAGAAGCCAGAGAGGCCTACTATTCATTGCCGCTGCTCTCTCCATTGTCCTTTGCGGGAGCTATGCCTCTATTCACTTACATATGGCGCAACACCACAAAGTTCCCATTATCGCCCCCATATTACCCCACGAACAAGAAGAAGTGAGCGACAACCCCGAATACTGTACCACCTGGCCTGTCGAGAGCAATTCCAGCTATATACCCGCAGTATCGCATCTAGCGCAAAAACACAAACTCGATAGTTGGGCACCAAAAGGAGGATGGAAGAAGCCTCCTGGCATCAAGGTTATTGGGGTATTGTTTGGTAAGTCTCCCCTCAGTGTCTACCATGAGCACAGTACAGAGGTTGGTCTCTAATGTTATTCCAGCTGGTCGACGGCGCACAATTGACATTCTGGACTGCTATCTTCAGCAAAACCTTGTGTCAAACGGCGGGTACCTCGACGAGGTATATTTCATGGTCAATACCAAGTCCGCTGAGGATATCAGGTGGCTGAAAACAGTGACTGGCCAAACAGAGGAATATAGCTTCTACTCCATGGAGAATTGTAAGGAGTACGGATGTCTTTGGGGGAATCTTACGGCCAAAGATACTATTTACATCAAGATTGATGACGATATAGTGTATATCCACCCAGATGCCATCCCACGCATCGTCCACACGCGCATCGAGCACCCAGATCCCTTTGCCATTTCAGCAAACATCGTAAACACCATGTTAATGAGCTATCTGCATTATCGCCAGGGAGCCCTGCACGCCTTCTTCCCCGAACCGCATGCGAAACCCACCTGGCCCGCGTCCGAGACCTGGCGCCCTTCGCAGATCCCACAATATCCAGACCCAGCGACCATTCCGGATGACTATGATATCCTAGCCATGGAACCCGCTTTCAGGGGCCAGCGCTGGCTACCAGTAGGCAATGATACCTCGCTGGATATGCTGAAGACGCCAATCGGTCGGTTTGATCCGAAAGAAGAAGTCACTGGTTTCGGCACCGCGCTGGACAGTTGGGCACTCGGTGTCCAGCAACAGTACTCCCTATTGCAAAACCTCGAACTCAACACAATCAAACAGTACATCTTCGGCAGTGCTCTCTCCAACCCCTCCACGGGCGTAAGCAACACCCTCTGGGACACGAAATACACACGCTACAACCTGAATTTTGTGGCTGTGTGGGGGAAAGACGTGCGGGATAACTGGCCCATTGGAGGGGATGATGAGGGGGAGATCACAGAAGGGATACCGAGGAAGACGGGGCGCCCGTTTGTGATTGAGACGCGAGCTTTGGTGGCGCATTTTCACTTTTCGCCGCAGAAGGAGAGGGTTGTTAAGACGGATCTGATGGATCGGTGGAGGGCGTTTGCTAATGAGCGGGTTTGCAGGGTGGGGAATCTGAAGAGGCCGTTTGATGATAGGTGTGAGGGATATTGAGGAGGAATATGTATGCTAAGGCTTCGAGCTGCAATGATTTGATGTCATGGTGGTAGCCTGGTAGAAATGATTTCGCTATTGATCTTACACCAAAAGTACTAAATTACAAGAGAAAGGCTGTTATATCCAGCGCTTTTGATAGTTGAGTAACTGCTACCTTTAAGGGCGAACCCAAACCAAACTACGCTGTCCAAGTCCAAATACCTTCTCGATCCATTACTATACTTTGTTCGCAGTTGTCGAGTTGATGGCTTGTATTCAAAGGTTAGGTCAAAGACAAAATTTGTTAAAGCAGAATGAAACGTCAGTCGGCCAATGACAGGAATATAAGGGGATCATTGGAACACATCTGGTGGCACAAAGGTTCTTGCGTATGTGAGCGGACAAATGGCACCTGGAGAAGTCCTATCACCAGGAGCACGAGTACGACTACCAAGCTACTAGTTGTGAAATGTCGTTATAAGTACACTATTCCTTATCAACAACAGTTTTGGTATTTCCCTAGCATAGACCTACTTTAATCCTGTAAATCCGCCCTCTTTAGCAATAATTTTATTATGCTTCAAGTTAATCATTGCTTAGTTGTGAAGCTTTATTGTTAATAGTAGGGCAACTGCTTGTCGGAAACTCTCAACATATCATTGTTACTAGCTTCGCGAATGTCGCTCTGCCATCGGATTGTTTCGGAAGAGGCTTTGGGGATAATATATTAGTAGAAACACTGTTTGACAAGAAAGCCATTCAACGCGTTGTCCTTAAAAAGCTTGTGCGCGCAACTCCTCGACGCGGCGATCGTGGCTCATTACATGGAGTTACTCGAGTCTTGATTATATTTGAGTCAAGATAGAAGGCTAGCAATGAAAAGGTTTTCATAAGCATGAACGACTGAAGGTTTTCAAAACTACTTTTAACAAACGTACCGGAACCCAATGACGGTCGGTTCCTCCTCAGCCGCGGCATGGGAAGACTGGGACATGGAAAGGGACCTAGTATCGATCACTAGAAGTTAATCTTAAGAGGTTTGGTAAATTAGCATAATAGCTAATTCAAAAGGCCCGTTCTCACTTGTCACGAAGCTCAAGCAACATTATGAGGTTTTCTGGTCACTGTATTTTATAAACAAGCCACTCATTTAGGTATTCGTTGGATTTTAAATCTATAGTACTACTCTATCAACCCTATTTCTTTTGCGATCGCGTAGATGTAGCATACAGAAATAATACCAAACGACTTATCTAAAACTACAAGCATTTGAAAGAGCAATATAACGACATTATATCGGTTGCAGAGACTGAACAGCTCCAAGCATAAATTATTGATTGTCAGCAATTTTAAAGGGTTCAAGTACCCAAATCGCTGATACTGCTTCTTCCAATGGTCAAGTGCCCTCGTCAGAAGCTGTTCCTTCGCCCTCTTCAAATCCTTGCAAGATCATGTTCTTCTCTTAATCCTCATCCTGACTTCTAGGTGCCACAAATTTCGAATCTGGATGCCACCAATATACCGGATATCGACGACGCCCTAGATTATTGATGATAAGCGCCCAACCAAGCATGATTAGTGACGAGGCAAGAACCGTCGGCAGGTAGTTCCAAGACATAGAGACAATATTAGCTTCTACAGCAGCGTTCAATCCAGTCGCGCCAGACCTATTCGAAGGTTATAAGCACAATATGATCAATACGTGTGGGTAGGACTACTTACGGTGGGTGCACGGCGCCAATCATAAGTTGCGCAAGAAGCGACGTCGCCATCGATAATGCACCATTGATGAAAGTGGTCCCGTGGAATTCCTTATTATTCAAATAGCCCATATAACTTGGATTTCTGGCAAAGAGCCTCGTAATACATGTTCCGACGAGTGCAGAAACAAAGTGGCCAAGGACAAAATTGCGTGGCTGCGAGAGCGGAGATTCGATAACTCCAAACAGAAGTACGGCTGAAGCACCAAAGGATGTGATGATGATTGGGGAGCTGTGCACCTCACGGAAGGCCGTGTTTGTCGACATGATAGCTTCGATCAACAATATACTACTAAATGAACCAATCCACGCAAAGATCCAAGTCTCGGTACGAAGAGGAATCTTCTTCAGCCATGTAAATGGGGGAAATGGTAAAGGATCATATGGCATCTCTGTGTTCGAGGCCCGATAGCCCACAAATCTGAGACGTGTAGCGGAAGCCGTGCTCGATAGTCTTCCCTGAGTTTGTAATCATTAAAAATATTCCGACCCTTCATAACGCTAGGTGGAGCTGCATCATCTTTCCGCGTCATGATTGTGATAAAAAAACATGAGGAGTCCAAAATCCAACGCTTCAGGTATTAGAATGATCGATCTTTCTAATTGCCTATTAGGGATCTAGGAATCCATCTCAGATGCAGAGATTTTATGGCGTCTAGCGCTACACGTGACAAGCGAAGCTCAATTGCCGACAGTCCCCTTTTAGAGTAGCTTTCACGTCCCAATCCAGCCAAAACTGAAGCTATTCTCAGTATTCTAATAACTCTCAAGAGTACCAATGCAAGCGCCCAAGCGACCAATATAAGGCCCATATTGGCAAACACAATCTGAGAGTATAATCTGGCCTTAGATTATTAGAAATCGGGCCAGAATTTAGTGTACTATAGGACCCACCAATTTCACTAGAGAGCTCTAGCGCGCATTCTTCAGCGCATTCCTCTACCAATTCTCCTATACATTCTCCTATATACCTCTTTGTATGATTTTTCTTTTGAAATTTCATTATCTATATAATATAAAATAAATATTAGAAATACATCCTATACCATAGGAGACACTCTTAACGAGCAAGGTGACACCTCCAATGACTAGCGAAAGTGGACTAGATACATATGGAATAGATAATTTAACAGCAACGAAAAGATAAGGAATTGGAACGAGCGCGTTTGAAGAAGACTGTGAATCATCATTCGACGGGAAATATCCTTGGGCTTAATGGGATCCAACGCCTCCCCTTTGTCAAGTTCTAGCATATTGTCTCGGGCATTAATCTCTTTTCATCTCAGGAGACTCTCAGACAAAGTCAACACTCCAAAGATCTTTAGGTCGTGCCTCCAACACTGAAACCAGCTCAGAGCGTCATAGTCCTCCAACCATATTGCAACCTCTGAAACAGTGTTGCCGTATTTGTAGATTACTCTACGTTTTGTGGGTATCCACCTCCAAAGCTCCCCGTCCCAGGTGCTATTTAAGTAGTGCTCCGGTGCGTGTAGGCGTTGCTCTTCTCTGCTATATTCATACAAAACAACGCCGCTCTCACTAAGCGCCTGAGGCCATTTCGTTGCATGGTCAACAGAATGGGCAGTACAACCCCGCATAAAGGTGTCCAAAGGAGTTAAATCTCCTTCTAAGGTTCTGGCATGAGAGTTTGCTCCGGACCTAAGGAGATAGATGCTCTGCCAGGATACAGCCTGGTCATCGTGACACAACTGCGTCCACCAACCGAAGTTGAATGGCGCATCGTCGAGAAGTGTCCGTCCAGCCTTCGGAGTCGTAGGCCTCTGGATCTGAACCCTCGTACTCTGACGCGAATAACCACGCAAACCCTTCCTCCGGTCCTCGATAGAATGCTACTGCATTACTAGTCACAGGTAATATTGGTTGGCATCGCCCTCTCTCCACCAGAGCGGGGATAGTATTCACGACGCATGCTGGAAAAGCAACTGTTGTGCATACCTTTCGTGGAAGATGGTTCAGCGGCGTTAAAAGTCAGTCGTCGTACGCAGATCCATCTACTCCGATATCTAAAAGAAAACTGCAGATATCCGCGTTGGCATATCTGGCAGCAGCCTAGCTTGTTAGGTATAGAGCAACGTGCAGATGCAGTTGATCATCAGCCAATACTTACATGTAATAGGTTCTTGCCATGCTGGTTGACCACGAAAGGCGAAACCCAAGAGTTCTTGAACCACTGCTTCACAGTATCGATGTTACCATCCGCGCATATTGTAAATATTTGAGATTGGCACGGGGTAATTGGATAGGAGGTAAGAGACCATGGGGTGCTCGAAGTCTGGATCTGGAAAGAAGCTATTGGCAGAATGACCTTCAGGCGCCTTTTGATATTTGAATATAGAGCATCCTCGAAGTAGACAGAACGATTATAGTTTGAGAACTCAACTGACGTATAAGTGACTCCAAATGCATATTTAAGTTGAAACATTTTCCATATAGGATGTAAAGATATGCCAAGGGTTGATGATAATTTTTTGAGGAAAGTATAAATATCGAGCTTAATGAATGCGCGGCGATGCTCACGTCGGGATAATTCGATTCTTCCGTTTCGATGAATGCTCTTTGAAGGGGCTTCGGAGCTGTTTTTGCTTTCCGAAAGAGGTTTTGAATCAACATTCAGCAGCTTATATGCTTCTGGTATACCAGCCAAGTCGTGATGAGAGACTAATGGAACTGAGAGATGCGAAATTCGGCTACTCAGATAATTTAGTTTCTGAGATTGGACGTGACTGCGATAGGGTTAAAAGCTTCCCTTCACGAGAACATAAATTACTTACTGAAAGAATAGTTGAAGAGATACGAGAAGCATCATAACATTCCCTCTCAGTTGAGATTCGATGTTTTGAATAGTCTTATCTTTCAGGGCCGTTTTGAAAGATGACAAACCGCGCTTGGATTTACGACCAGCTCCATTTAGAACACCACTGTTGATTTGCTTCTCCAAGTTTCTTGTTCGTATCTTACAAATATCTAGACTCCTAGTGACACTTTCTTCGCAATTGATATTTGGCTCCTGGTTTGCTATGTCAACGATGCTGTTTGATATAGTCTGCATCAATAACAAATGATCCTTGATGCGCTCAATATTTGAGTTCGCGGTTTCCAAAGTGTCCCAAAACGAATGGAGCTTTTGTGCAACCTCTACGAGCTGGATAGCCAGAGATGCTATACCTATTCCGCCCGCAACAATGCCCAAAATAGCATCAGCCATTTTGAAATGAAGTTGATATTAGATTCTGGTGGCCAAGAATAAAGACAGACATCTGAATATCCGTACCGCATGAGTGATAGGAGGTAGAAGATGCTCCTAATTATAAAACAATCGCTTTGAGGCTGCCTGACCAAAGGCTAGAAATTCTGAATTTATGTGTTCGCTGCTGATTTTCTGAGAGCTAATGCATCATGCAGTCTTCGCAGCGAGCCTTCTATACAGCCGGGCGTTATAACACAGCCCTCAAGAAACACAGCCCCCCAGCCTTAACATCGGAAATGAAATGTACCTTGAAGAAGAAATCCAGTAGATTGTCTAGGTCGCACATACCATAACCGACGGGCAGATACTTAATATTCCTACGGGGCTTCCACTATTCAGTATGTCGCTTGCCGCTTGCCGTTTCGCAATCATGATCTAATTCGTAATATTCAGTATTTGATCCTTCAACAGAGAGATCCATCTTCCTCCCCCAACAGGATGGCCGATTATTGGACGTGCTGCCTGTGTACCCGCGAGGTCAATTTAATCTGGTGTGACGACGTCTGCCTAGACTGTGGCCACATTCAGTGCAGCTATTGCACTGTCGTAGGATCAGCCCCGCCACCTCGCCCAAGAAATGCAGACCATTTACCGTGGCTCGTTCCATCATCTTCACATGACGATTGCAGTTGTGGCTGTAACCCTTGCTGCGGCTCTTGCGAGCCTCCGCCGCCACCTCCACCAAGGCCATCTCAGAAGCTCGATGAGTTGTAGTGGGAAGAAAATAAGGCAAGTTAAAGTCCTTTAGTGACAGCATCGTTGGCTTACAAATATAAAGATACTCAGCTCTTCGTTTGGGAATTCCAAAGTATGAAGGTCCTACGGCTTGGTTGGAACAGGGTCATAGAGAGGCTAGAATCTGGACCTACCGGAAGCAAAAGACTTGCTGTACGTGAAAGAGCATCTGCAAGAAAGATGCTGGGATTCCCCAGTATTGCTTTTATATGCCTTATATTTACAAACACCAGCTCTATATAGAGGCTCCATGTACCCGTTAGCAGTCATCATTTCCAACTAATCTAATACCAAAGTGTGATTCAAATTACTTAGCTCAGACAGCCTTCCCTCTAGATTCTAGTACATTTCTTATGAGATCAGTACCATGATGATTGACGATGATCATGAGAGGAACCTCGACATTCTGTTCATCTTCATATACGAGTATGAGATCTGATAAAATCTGGACAGAATGTCGAGGGGTTGAAACTGACTAGTATCTTGGGTTAAGGCAAATCTTCTCTTTAGATCCTAAGTTCTATTAGTGTTTGTTTTGACGGTACCACAAATTTGGTAGTTACAATACCTACCAACACTCTCAGTTTGCAACCATAGAGATCGTGGCAGATCATTGTGAATTTATGAGATGCTTCGGTCGCGAGATGGCGTTGTTGAGATTTTCGTTTTTGAAAGGAATGGTACTATGCACTGGCCGTGAGAACACCTAGCGCGACTGCGGCAGTATTTTGCGAAAGAATGATTGGAATTATGTCGCAAATAGAACTATACACATGTCCTAAACTACATCGATAATTCTTACACGTATTTTGAATTTTGACATTCATTCTTGGACGTCAAATCCCCCAGTGAGAATGGTATTCTTTTCCTGCTCCTCATGACTTGCCTTGAAGATGCGATATTTTGTATCATGCCAATCCAGCGCCGATACAAAAGTGTTTTCACTCGTCTGAAACGTGGCCTTGTTTTGCGGGCGAAGGAAGTAAGCAGACGAGTAACGATGCTCCATCTCATATCCCGGTGCTGGAACAACTCTATGAATAGCACTGAGCAACTGATTTCCGGAGAGGAAGCGTAGAGCGTCACCAACATTGACGATGTAACATCCGGGTTGTGTTGCGACGTACTTCCACTTGCTCGAGGCTTGATCATATACTTGTAAGCCTCCTTGCGGGGAGTAGAGAAGAGTCAAAGTCCCCAAGTCAGTGTGCTTGTTGTGGCCTACGCCACTGTTACTCTTCCCGGCGGCCTGCTTAAGATAGCGAAAGTATATCATTGTAGATTGGGAGGCTTCGGTGCCGCAATGGTGGTCTTCAAAGCGTGGCGTGGGACTCAGAAGGTCCGAAAGACAAGACAGAATAGTTGTTGTGATGTAATGGGAGAATTCGAGATCGCGGCGGAATAGTTCAATATCCGCTTTCAGACCTTCTGGGAGAAATCTTGAACCGCTAATGAAATCATCTCGAGGCATCTATCATTATTTCAACTTGGATACAAATTGGCTTGTACAATATAACTTACTTTCATACTCTCGTATCCATCCTTCATGTTCTTTACTACACCAGGCGAAGTTCCCGGAGGCTTATATCTGTCGTCTTATGAGCTCTTCGGAAGCCAGATTCACAAATCACCACCACTCACCCTTTAGTCACAGAGTCCTGGTGAACCTTCATTTTCTCTTCAAGCGGACGATCGAACCATTTTTGCGCCACAGAGATGGCCTCTAAGCGGTCATCGAAGCCTCGAGGAGAATTCAAATCCGCAGGGTCAAGGTAGAAGAAACCTTGTTGTTGGCAAGCTTTGAGAAGCTTGGTAAGCTCAAATTGATCTCTTTGTAATAGCTTTCGAAAGTCCAGAGTCTCCAAGCGGGCGGGAGCAAGAATACCCATGATATAATGAAGGATAGAAGTCGATTTGATCAGCGATACAGAAAATGGACTTTGGGATTGATAACCCTAAAATATTAAGCGTTGTTTATTTATAACTCTAGCAATCGGACAGAGTCTAGTCTAAGGCGACTTACTAATAAAGTATCTGCGTCAATGCCTGCGATATTATTCGGTGCCGTGGACTTGTGCGGGAAATGATAAAGGAATGTTGTAGAAGCAATCCTTTGGAAATCCTTCAGCAAGCTAAAGAAAAGCATAATGTAAATATTAAAATAATAAAACAGTCAACTATATTTAACATTTTGACTAAAGTTAAATAAATAAAAGGCTTCTTGATAATACAGCTCTACTTAGACTAATAAAATTCGATCCATGTGACTTTTATAACAGCGACTATTGCAATGAACTATATAATATAGTAATTATTCCTCTGGGTACTATTGAATAACTTAGTAACAATACATTATTATTTTATACCTATAGTTTAGTTAAGTAAGTGTGAGTACTACTTAGTTTTATTGTCTAAGTCTAATACTTACTATTCTTTAGCAAATACCGATGCGATTATATATATGTAGCCAGCTATTTACCCTATTCAAAAACCCATAGAATAGTAGAAGACATAGTAAGTTTATATTCTATTAGATTTGAGCTTGTTAAGTAGCGCGGAGCATAGACATAATTATAGTAAAAGGTGTTCTACATTAATCTTAGAATAGAAGCGAGTAAGAATATGAAAAGGATGATGACACTTTTGAGCTAATATGCCTAGAGTAGAAAGGAGCGAAGTATTCGAGACTAAGGCAGCTAAAGAACTAACCGACGCTCTAGACTTTCACTATCGTGCACCCCTGAATATCAATCCTTTACGCGTATAGATCTACACGCGTATACCGATACCGAATAGAAATATACGTTCGGGGGGGTATAGTACTAGATTAACGCTTCAATTTCGGCTCTAATGCCTTCTAATCCTTCTAATCCTTCTAATCCTTCCAATGCGCTCAATCCAATCCCTTATAAAATAGCTTTATGTCAACTTCTTCGTAACAGCCGCGACAGCAAGATCCACCAACAAGAAATACCTATCGACAACATGACTTCGAGCGGAGAACCTCGTCGATTCTACCTCTTAACAATGCCACGCTCGGCATCAAACCTCCTTACTCGCATGCTTGGCATCGGGGTCGCCAATGAGGACCAGCAACCAAACGTCATTTACCGTTTCGGAGGAGGCTATTTCTTTATGCCAGCCAACACGAAAGCCGCTCAGCGGGGTCTTTCCAATAAGCATATCGACGATTGGAATCCGGAAGACAAAGCAGTCATGAAGGAAATCTACCAAGAGTGCTTCGACAATTTTGAGAAGTACATAAAGCAGTCTGAAGCTGAGGGAAAGATCATTCTCGTAAAGGAGCACGTTTCTATGCTTGCGGAAAATACTGCTGTTTCTAAATTTGTATTCCCGGAGCGAGAATTAAAAGAAACTGCTTGGATATTAGGTGATGCGGGAATTAAGACTCGTTCGCCCTATAATTTTACGGTCATTCCGGACAACTTTCTCGAATCTTTCTTGCCGATAATTCTCATTCGCCACCCAGCATTAGCTTTCCCATCTTACCACCGAGTCTCTTCAGCTCTGAAAAGTGAGGGGGCGGAAACAGATTCAAGGGCGATAATGACACTGAAATGGAGTCGGGCATTGTATGAGTTCTACTCGGAATATTTTAAAAAGGCCGACCTACCAGCGGAAAACGTTACATGGCCCATTCTTATCGACGCAGACGACATCATCAATGATCCGCAAGTTGTTGTCAGGTTATGTGAAATCACAGGATTGGACAAGACCAAGCTTAAATTCGAATGGAAGGCAGCTACCGAGCAGCAAATAACAGAGAAAATGAAGAATGTTAAGATCATGGGATCGACTATTCTTGCTTCTACTGGGGTGATGAAGGATAAGGCGGCTGACAATCTCGATATTGATGTCGAGGCTGAGAAGTGGAGAGTTGAGTTTGGGGACGATGAAGGGGTGGAGCTTGAGCAGCTGGTAAGACAGGCTATGCCGGATTACGAGTTTCTCAAGGGCAAGCGTATGATACTTGAAAATTGATCTATTTATTTTGATATATACTCACCCTTCTTCCTAACTCCGAGTTTTTCTATATGTCTCTCATTATGCTGTCAAGAATCTCCGCAACAGCTTTCACCTACTCCGATTAGCTTAGAAATCAATTTCAGTTAGACGAATTGAACCTACCTCGACGGCATTCATAATCGAGAAATGGTTCCCTGGCACGGAATACGTTTTCAATGAGCAGCTGCAGAGAAGTTTATCCCAGCCATTAGGACCGAATTCGGTTCGTTTTTCCATCAGCCACTAAGAAAAAGCACGTTAGTTGAGTGCAGCAAAAAAAGTGGTGGATAAGGAAAAGTGGCAAAGAGTTTGCGTACTTCTCTTGCCATACCAACGCCTTGATTTTTCGGCATTGCGGAAGAACTGTGTGCGCCAACTCCATCTTCTGCCCATATTATCACAACGCGTTTCAGACACGATGCAGCAGGGAGAGGGGTAGGCGAGTAAGATGACAACACGCGCACGCTTTCCACGAAGTGCTGGCGCGTAGCTTCTGAGACGGTTTTATTTTGTCCGGAGAACAGACCGGCGTCTTCGAGGAGAGAAAGGGTGGCGGATGGGAGAGGAGGGAGGAAGCCGGGACAAGGGGAGTCGATTAGAGTCTTGTGGAGCATAGGATTAGTCAAGGGATGAAGAAAGAAAAAGAGAGAAGTGCGTACTAATGAATCTACTACGTGGCCAAGAGATAAAAGCTGTGAACAGACTTCGTAGGCGTAGATACCGCCCATTGACCAGCCTGCAATGTGATAGGGACCGCGCGGCTGGAGGCGGAGGATTTCGGACAGGTAGATGGAAGAGATTTGGGGAAGGGAGAGGGTGAATGGGATGCAGGAGACGGATGGAGTGGATAAGAACGGGGAAAAGAGGGCGTAGACTGTGGTCCTGGAGACGAAGGTTGGGAGATTTATGCTTTGATTTGATTTAGTATTATGAATCTTGTTGCCAGAGAAATTTAAAACTTGTAGGGGAAAATCGCACATACTAAGAGAGGGCGGAGCCAGAGCCGTCGGGTAGCAGGAAAAGAGCCGGTTTGTTAGGGTTTGGCGAGCCTTGGAGGAGAAATGATGTGCTTCTCAGTTCCGATTCTGCCAGAGGCGAGATTTTCGAATTTGAGAGGAGCTGAGATGTGGATGAAGCGGAAATCGATGTTGTCGTTGGGATTTCGAGCGCTTGCAGAACCTTGCTCATGCATGTGTTATCATTAAAGAACGAGGAAGAGAGCGGCAGCCCAGTCTTCTCACGCAAATGTCCAATGATAGCGATGCTCATCAGAGAATCCAGCCCCAGGTCGTTCAGGCTGGTATATGAGTCCATTTTACTGATTTCTATACCTAACTCGCCAGCAATAACCTGAAGAATTATGTCGCCGTCAAATGGAGCTGGTGTTGTAGGTAGAGTGATTGAGACATCAGTGGCTGGATAGGATGAAGGCGTGCTTGGACTAGTATCAAACCCTCCAATAAATTGCCCTTCGAAAAAGGATCTGAGGGCAGATATTGTGGGGTACATGTTGAATAAGGAATTTGGTAGCTCAAGTCCGGTAGCCTCGCGAAGTTTGGACAGTATGGACATTGTGAGAAGAGAGTCGATGCCCAGATCTTCGAGCGCGGAGTCGCCAGCGATTTCGTTGATTTGCGCTCCTGTCTCCGTCCCAATGATCCCAAGAATGTTGTCAAATGATACCTGGATTGGTGTATTTGTCCCAGAGTTTTTAGCAACCAAAGCAGGAGATGACGTTGCCATACTTTGCTGCTTGGCAATGGGTTGGTGATAATCGAGTGGCAACGAGCTTGACTGCTTGATTCCAAGCACGGATCTCAATAGTGAAAGTTTTATGTTCCGGAATTTCAGCCCCTGACATAATCCAATAACTTGGGGGCCATCAAAGAAATAAACGTCGCCAGAAAGCAACCCATCGGTACGTGTTGGCTTCATATGCACATAGGCTTGATACAGCTTTTCTTGCTCCAATTTTTTAACGATTCGCATACTTTTCCAACCTGTGGAGATATAGACGGTGTCTGGTGAAGTTGAGGGGCTTGAATTTAAGACAAATCCACCCATTTGGGCCAGGCAATCAATCCAGTAGGGATTAAAGGTGACACCGTTATCGGCCCATGCAGTCTTGAAGGTGATATTTGCTGCTGCTTCATGGCGTTCTTGGTGTAGGAAAACCTTGTCGAGAGAGTGGTATTTCTCGTCATAGTTGACAACAGCTGTGAACAGTTTGTACACCATCTTTCTCAGGATGAGGGATGAGTCCCCAATTTCAGCTAGGTGCTTGAGTTGTTGAACGCGATCCTCCACGAGAGATGAAACCTGTAACCACTCATCCATCCACACTTCTCCGTCTCCGGACTTCACAGTGCAGGTGGCATGCTGATTAGACTTACCACCGCTGTCTAAAGATGCAAATGCCAGGCTAACAGAACTTGAACCGACCTTTTTCGAGGCGAAAATTGTCACCAGCTGTGACGCTCCATCTAGTGGAGCAACGAGTGGTCGATATATCTCCATCTCTGATAGATCGAAGCCTGGCACTTCCCCTTTATATGTGCGCTCTCTGGAATGAAAGTATGAAGCCGCGCTGTATGCCATCTCTGCATATACCGAGCTTGGGACGAGCGCTACGCCGCAAACCAAGTGGCCTCTCGCCATTGCATTGAGTGTTGGCTCTGAGAGATCACTGACAAAAGTTGCTGTCAATAGAGATCCAGATGTCTCGTCGAACTTCTCCGAAGCTATACGATGAAGACAGCCAGAACTGAAACCTTGTAGGGGACCGACGACTTCCTGCTGTAGTGTATTTTTGGTAATAGACCAATTACCTTCATATTGCAACCAATAATTCTGCAGATCGAAAGCATAGGTTGGCAAATCGAGGAGTAAAAGACTCTTTTCATAAGGCTTGTGGAATTCTCTCCATTGAATATTCGCACCGGCATCGTGTAGCTTTGCGATCGTATTTGTTATGGTTTTCCAACTGTCCTCGGTCTTTTTGAAACTGGCAAATGCTCTTACGTCTCTGGTTCCAACAATCGATCCAATCATAGAAGCACAAGCCCCACCAGGACCGCATTCTACCCAGAAGGTTTCTGTTGCAGGGCAAGATGCGGTCCATGCAGCAATTGCACCGAAAAAATCCACAGGTTGGCGAGTCTGGTTGGCAGAGTATCTTGGGCCGAAGACGCCTTGTTCACAGACTAAGTCGCCAGTAAGAGTAGATGCAATGGGGATCTCGGGCTTCTTGAAGTCAATGTGTTCTGCGAGATGCGCCAAGTCCGCCAGAATTGGATCTAGCTGCTTCGAGTGAAAAGCATATTGAATAGGGAGGTTCATAGACTTGACATTCTGCTCCTCAAGCAGCTCGTGGAGGAGATTGATATCATCAATATTTCCGCTGACGACGACGCTGTGTGGACCATTTACACAGGCTATTTCGCATTCACTATGGATGAGTTTCATGGCTCTCATGACTTCTTTCGATGAAGCTCGTACTGTAAGCATGGAATGAGTGTTGGGGACGCATTTTTCTTGCATTAGCAATGCTCGTTGACCCACGAGAAATATCATGTCGGAGATGGAAATTACGGAGGCAAAACATAGGGCGGCATATTCCCCAAGACTGTGACCAACCACAACGTCTGGTTGCAAGCCCCATGATTGCCATAACTTAGCAAGAGCAATGTCTAAGCATGCGGAACCCAATTGAAGCTGTATGGGTAACAGCGAAGAGGGTTCGGCAGTGAAAATATCCATAATTGATGGGAACGACTGAGACAAGCAAAGCTTGTTCATTTCCAATAGGAGATCCCGAAAATATTTCGAAATATCAAGAAGATCTTTGCCCATTCCAAGGTATTGAGACCCTTGGCCGGTAAAGACAAAGCCAACACGAGGCGTGGTTTTGATGGCATCAGGATCGCATTTATTTGATAGCATGTCTTTTAACTCTTCGACGCTGCTCACTGCGTAGGAAATCCGCCGAGAATGATGCGCCTAGTGTGCCGAATTAGCACAAAAACTATCAACATATGGTACACTGGAACTCAAATGCTCCTACGAAGTTTAGAGATCCCGAATGATTGGGAAGCCATCTAGTGTAGACTTCCGCAACTTGCGGGTCTATCTAAGATGGAAAGGGCTGAAGAATATTACATACCCGTCGCGCAGTGGTGGTATAGCCCAAGTCGGATACTCGAACGTCCCCATTTACATTCAGCCATTGGGAGAGCTGCTTTAGGTTTTGCTGGAAAGAGGTGTCGGTATGGCCGGATATGGTGACAACATGGCAATTTCGAGTATCACTACCCTCTCGGCGGGTATGGAGTCCATCTTGGAGTATAAGACTAGTATTACCTCCCTACAAAGTGTAGCGTCAGCGATGAATATGTCTGGCAATGGAGAGGGTTTATGATTACCGCGGCACTAAAGTTGTTCAGAAGAATGGCTCGCTTCTGTTTGATATTATCCTTCTTTGCAGAGCCGAGAGGTGTTGCTTGAAATGGGATATGAATCTTATCTTTACCAATTGAAGATAGTTTAGGATTAATGCCGGTCGTCACTCCAACGTGAGGTGGAATGAGGTTATTTCGAAACATCATCGCTGCTTTAATAAGTGAAGTTACCCCTGCCGCCTGCATTTTTTTTTAGCTTTGCCAGGAGCGGAAGGGAAACTTTCTGCTTACGGCTTCACTATGACCAATATTGCCCTTCACAGAACTAATATATAGTGGTTTTTCCCTCACTGGATCGTTTCCAAAAACCCCAGATACCGAGGTATATTCAGCTGCATCACCAGCCTGGGTTCCCGTACCTACAGAGGATTAGTTATTACTACTGAGGATATATCAAGGACGCAGAGAATGCTTGAAAACCCTTGCACGATTCTCAGAGTAAGAGTCCGAATTTCACTTCCACGACTCTAAACAGGGGTCTGGTGGATTTCTTGCTTATCTTACCATGGCACTCGATATAATCCACACAATGAGGCTCGACAGCGGCATCTGTCAAGATCTTTCGGAAAAGTTTCCCCTGAGTTTCCGCATGTGGGTGGGTAATTGAGCTTGCTTGAGCCGAGTGATTTGTAGATACGCTCCGGATTATAGCTTGAATATTGTCTCTTTCGTTCAAGGCGTCCTCTAGCCGTTTGAGTATAATTGTGCCTACTCCATCTGCTCGACAATATCCATCTGCATCTTTGTCGAATGTTTTACAGGCCCCAGAGGGCGAAAGGAACCCTCCCCGGCCCAACCCCTGCTGGAAATATTAGTATAAACTATCAAAAGAAAAGTAAGAGCATGGGGAAGCGAGCTCTTAGGAACACACTCCGAAGAGTCCGGCTCTCAAAAGGAAATATGAAAACAAGGATGGAATTTGACGTACTGCGAACATGTCGGAACCTGTTAAAATGTTGGCACCCCCCGCCACAGCCATATCACATTCTCGCGACAGTAATGATTGACATGCTAGCTGAATTGCAACTGAGCTGGAAGAGCATGCGGTATCCACGCTATAAGATGGACCATCCCACTTGAAATGATAATTCAAACGGCCCGGTCCGAATGCTCGAATGCCAGCCGTCGCATAGTATATATCGATGTTTTGTGAAGCATTATGCTCTCTCCAATCGTCAGTGGTTTGGCCGAAGAATGTTCCAATTCTTGAAGAGTCGGTGGATGGACTTCCATTCGCGGTATACCCTGCCATTTCAAGTGCCTCGTATGCTGTCAATAGCATGAGCCGTTGCCCAGGATCCGTTTGGGCGGCTTCTCTAGGCGACATCGAGAAAAGTCTAGTGTCAAACATCCCTGGACGCTCTATGAAGCAACCGTATGGAGTCACGATTGTGTTTTTGGTTGCTCCACTGGCGTCAAAATGGCTGTCAAGGTCAAACCTATCTGCTGGTATCTGTTCCCCAACCAGTCAGCCTCAATATCAGGAGAAGTAATTAGCGACGCATACCTTCTGGTGCTTGTCTAGACCGTCAACAAGAAGTTGCCAGAATGAGTCTAGAGTCTCAGCTCCTGGGAAGCGTCCGGACATCCCAACAACAGCGATATCCCCCGGGCTACCTCGCTCGAAAGAATGATCCTCTGTTATCTGTAGTTCGACGTTATTTTGGACTTCGATGCTCGAGCTCTCAAGACTCTTAATGAGTTTTTTAGCTACATTATTAGGTCCGATAGAGGTTATGATCACCTGGGAACCGAGTAACTTTGGCAAATTATTCACTGTCGAGGCCCAATCGATTCTCTCGTGGGCAATATCGTTTATTGCAGAGCGTAATAATTGTTCCAGATCACGGCTCTCGTATGGCGCGGCCAGACTAGGTGATAATATGGTGGCTTGTTTGGTTGAGAATTTCCGGAAAACAGCCCCATTTCCAATCATCTTCTCGACGTCAATAGCACCCATGTGTCTCGTATGAAAAGCAGCTGCTATGGGAAGCTCAACATAAACGGCATCCCGGAGGACATGCGAAGACTCCCAAAGCTGCTTCAGGATTGTCGGCATTCCACTAATAGTCACTGTTGTGGAATCTGCTATGGCACTTATATATGGCTTTCGTGCAAAGTACAAGCCCTAATTTGATATTAGTTACTTAGTAATGGATGAAAAAGATCAGCTTGCCTTCTTCCTTTGAAAGTCTTCGATGATGGCCTCAATATCTGATACCTGAACCCCTGACACCGCTGTGGCCCAACTTTCCCGACATCTTTCAAATTGCATTGATCTTTGATCAATTTCCAGTCCAAGTCGGAGTCCAAGGCGGATAATTTCTGGTACAAGGTCCAATATTTGACCAACAGATGACACTGTTGCTGCAACAGCGCCCACAATCAATCCAGTGCAAGACCCGACCACTATCAAATCATTGGATGGGATGATATCCGGTTGACTTGGGTGCTTTTCCGTATACCTAGAATACTCAGTCAATCTCTCCCGCTTTCAAGAGACAACGTTATCTTACATGAAGAGAAAAGCTAGTTGGACAAAACATGATAGCACTGTTGATACACCAGCATCAATCTGCTTATGCTTGGTATATTCCTCTGCAAGAGTGAGCATGGAACGAGCATGGTAAAATCGAAGTCTTGTTGTCAGTGGAAACTTTGATATTTCAGACACAAGAGCATCTTCACTTCTTTGAATCAATATCGGAAGCAAGACAGACTGTTTTGCAACGGAATAAATATCTTTCACAGCCCCAAGGATATGAACAGTTTGATCCCCAAATAAAAGAAGCTGTTTGATCGCTGCCATTTCAAAGATAGTTGGACTTTTGCCAACTAGGTGTTTTCCTGTTCCTTGGTCGTTTGCTTCTTATCCCCCTCTTTCTTTCTCGTTTTTTTATCCGAAGATGGAAGTTTGAAGGTCCGCCATTTTCACATGACGGAATGATTTTACTCCGTCTTTAGCTTTCGATATACCATGAACAATAAGTCTCACTACGCTAGGACGTTTATACTATAGGTAAGAATCCCACGTTTCGGGTCTCGGGTTTCGGCTTTCCCGTCATCCTAGTGTTCTAAAATGGTTGTAGAACTTCTTAGCATGTTATAATATTATCGAACTGTATATTCTGTAAGCCACGAAGGAGTCATGATAACCCGTCTCGCCTAATACTCTGTCGTCCGAATCCTTCCTACTCCGTATAGAGGAAGCTCTATGCAGAAGAAAAAGGTGGCGGGATAGAGACCGAACGTACTGAAAAATACACTTAATATTACGCACATACTATAAAATACCCCAAGCTTATTCCGACACGTTTTTCTTCTACGTAAAGGGGGGGGCGTTAAGGGGAGGCACAGACATATTGGACGAACCCGGTAAACTTCCACGAGCACGAGGTATAAGTATGGCGGGGGTTTAGTCTTGATCCTTCGAGAAGTCTAAGCGGGCTCGGGCGGGGTCTTCATCCACAATCCTCTAACTCAACTAGCGGTCTAGCATTAGAATTAATCCTCTTATACTCTTCAGTTAAACGCTTCTAATTATTCCTTTCTCCTACGGGGACGCCGTTTGATCAAAATTGAAAAAAGTATAGAGGAATTTAAATTTAGTCTTAATCCTTCTGGAAGTCCAAGCGGGTGCTTTGCCGCAATGCCTTATCTAAATGGTAAAGTATTATTAGAAGTTTATCATGTTCCGCTTTTTACTCGGTAGATTAAGCGGGTAGTATACCCTAACCTAGCGGCAGGAAAGTTAGCCAATACCTAGGTACATATAACCACATCTTATTGTGGATAAGATTTACCCTCTGCAAACCTCTTTTTTGCTCGACTTATTTTCTCAAGACTTATTAGTTGCAAAGCTTCCAATCCCAAAGATGACATCGTCAGACTCAATGAACGGTGTGGTCGCCATGATGAACGATATTGAGAGCTGCTTTTTCCCCATGAAAATTGCGTCCTGTAAGTATAGATTATTTCAAGTGTTCTATTGCTCTAACTTGACCTCATAGCAGCTCCAAAACCATCTTCGACTCAAACAGGTAGGCAGCTGATTCCGGCATTACTTCCAGGATAATTAGGCAAGTACTTACTATGTGGGAACACTTCACAGTCCAGCTCTCTTTATCCGTTTCAGAAAAGATTGAACAAATCTGCTCTCAAAACTCCTTTGAGTTGTGCCATCTCTTGCAGGTGACTTGGGCTATTGTATTGCAAAACTATTTGGGCACAAATACAGTATCATTTGGGCATTTAGAGCCTCTGGGTATTTCAAGCCAAAGCAATGGTGAGCCAGTTCCAATACGACCTGCCCACCTCCCCTTATTTTCTATAATCAGAGGCACAAATTAAAAAGTAGCATCCGATATCTGTAGACTTGGAAATTTTACTTCAGAGGGTTTTTTTTTGGACCGAGTGCCTGCTAATTCCGGAAAGGTGCAAGCAATGGCGAGCCAGACACTGGAAAATTGACCATGGCTATTTGCAGTCTTGAAATTGATTCTGCCAAGACTTTCGTTGACTATTGTCAAGCTTTAGCCAACTCAGACGGTAAAGTGTCAAAAGTAGAGATGGCTTCTTCTGTTCAGCAAAAAGATATGCCTTTCAACTCCATTACTACGCTTCGTCAGACCGTTAAGAATGAAGTCCTGCAACCGTTTGATCAGTTTGTTCGCTTATTGGAGAACTTCAAAGAGGTAATATATCTAGCGCAATCTACTTTAAGGTCAACCATTGACAGCATGCATCAGAATGGGATAACTGTCGAATTCGATAATGGAAACGAAGATATATCATTTCAAGTTACTTCCTACAAGCTACCTTCCATTCAGATTAATCGTCTTGCTTCTTCTATTGAAACGACCTTGGTCGCAGTGTCTGAATTCTCTGGAAAAGCCGTGGGCGAGGTTTCAATAGTCTCTCCACAAGATCTAGACGAGTAAGTGAAAATCGTGTCCCCCTAGTAACTAGCCAGTCGTTCCCGATATATTGATATCTCGAGCTCAGCCGTTCGCAGAGGGGTTCAACTTCAATCCAGGATCAAATACTGACTCTGGGTACTAATAGGCTCTGGAAATGGAATGCATATCTTCCTCCTGCCCCTGCGACGACAATCTACGAAATATTTCAAGCGCAAGTTATGTCTACTCCTGACGGAGAGGCTGTGAGCTCTTGGGTAAGCAACCTTTTGATTCGCCTGTGCTATTCTGAAAACAGCGTCAAGAATCCTTAATTCCGTAGAATGTTTGTTCTCGCGCGTCTCTTTCAAGCTCTCATTGGGCAGGCCTTTTTTGAACCAGGCTGACTATAAATATGTGCAGGATGGTAGCTTTTCATACTCTCAACTGGAGGCTTACGCTTCGAAACTCGCAGTCAAGTTGCTTGAGAAACTTCCTTCGGGACCCACAATTGTCCCGGTTTGTTTTGAGAAGTCAAAATGGACAATTGTTGCAATGTTAGCAGTTTTGAAAGCGGGATATGCATTCGCAACCTTGGATCCTTCTCAGCCAACAAATCGGTTAGAAGCTATGATGCTGGAGGTTGATGCACGTGTCATTATAGCTTCAACAACACAGATAGGAAGATTCAACATCCCCGATCTACATATGGTTACCAATATCGAGGACATCTGTCACAGTACAGAAGACGTATCAGAACTCGAGTTTCACGTCCTCGCCCCGGATGACCTTGCCTACGTCCTGTTCACATCTGGAAGTACCGGGAAACCAAAGGCAGTCTTGCATCCGCACACGGCCGCATGCTCGAAAATGCTCAGTGAGAATGAGCCTGGAGATTCGAGCTATGGCTATGGTCCAGGAGGCCGCATCTTACAATTTGCCTCGCAGGCATTCGGAGCTAGCGTGTATGAAGTTCTCAAAACTCTCGGCCAAGGTGGATGCATTTGCATACCATCGGAAGAGCAAAGATTACAGCATCTCGTTAAGTTCATTAACGACCAGAAAATTACTCGTACCTTCCTTGTACCAACAGTTCTAAAATTGCTGAGCCCGGAGGATGTTCCCACTTTGGAGATTCTCACCATCGGAGGCGAACCTGTTTCTCCTGATCTTGTCAAGATTTGGTGCGGCAAGCTCAGACTGATCGAAGCTTTTGGTATGACGGAAGGTGTTACTGTACAAACTGAAATCGACTCGAATGGACAACGAACTAGGCAAGGTCAACACTTGGGTGCCGCAGCATGGATTGTAGATCCATCTAACTACCATAAGCTTACTCCGATCGGTGGTATTGGGGAACTGCTCTTCGAAGGACCATGCTTATCGACCGGATATCTTGGTGATCAGGAGAAGACCGACAACGCATTTGTTAAAAATCCCGATTGGATGAGAGCGGGGCGACCTCAAAGGTTATTCCGGACAGGTGATCTTGGACAATATGATTATCAGGGGGTGATCAAGATTCTTGGACGCAAAGACACAAGGGTGAAGCTGCGTGGCCAAAGAATTGAGCTGGGAGAGGTGGAGTCTCAGATTCAGAAGCACTTGACACCAGATTGTTGGGTGGCTGTTGAAGTCATAACAAGTAAAGAGTCTGGAGACGCAATGCTCGTGGGGTTTGTCGGCCATTCTAAATCGCCGGACTCCCTCAAGATGCACAAAGAAAGACCCTGATATGCAGGACTCACTAGCGTGGCGCTAAGAGGAGGACCTCCCCTCTCCAGCGATTAATCGTTTTTGTGCAAAGCCCTATTAGTCGACCCTTCAGATTAAAAAACTAAATCATTAAACCATAGGCCAGGAAACTTATTTATAAAGCTATTCTAAAAGGTCTAACCCTTACCTCCCCCGCAACTTGGAGCATTGAAGTCGACGCTAAAGATATGAGTAAGAGGCGGGGCAATTCTAAGAGAAAGAAAGCAGAACAGACAATTCTTAAGCGCTGAGGCTTTTGTATGGCAGAGCGAACGGGATGCCCCAACTCTCCTCAGTCTATGGTCATATGAGGCAGTCAGTAATGCTATTTTAAATATAAAGAGTCGAGATAAATAGATTTTAAGAGCGCTGAACCGGTCCTGATCCTCTTTTGACCCAAAACCCAGTTCTATCTCTAATTCTCAGGTACTTTAGTCTCAAATCGGCACACTAGAGGCTAAGACGTTCCTACGTGGGTACATTACCAATCAATTAGCCTCTCAAGTCGGTATTTTTCACTGGATTAGGTTGAGCGCGAGGAAGGTAAGCGAGCTCGCGATTCCGCGATTCGGCTATAGAGTAAAATGACTCTGAAAGTCTTTTTCCTCTGTTCTGTTGCCTTGTTTAACTTCACAGCTCGGTACTCAAAATCGTGTTATCTTCTCTTCTTTATCAAAATGCCTGGTCCAGTCAGTCTACTTCGAATCTTTGCTGATGGCGAAAATGGGGGCAACCCACTACCCGTCGTGGTTGATGCTATCGGTATGACAGACGCAGACATGCGGTCCGTAGCCTCACATTACGGACATGAAAGCTGTTTTGTGTTCCCTGGGCCTTCTGGTTACGATTACGAATTCCTTTTCTGGGTACCAGAGCATGAGATGGAGATGTGTGGCCATGCCACAGTTGGGGCAGTCTGGTTGCTTGAGAGAACCGGAGCTCTTCAGAAGGATCATCTTCGAATACTGACTCGGAGCGGACCCGTTGAAGCGATGGTGATAAGAGATAAGGACGTTGTGTGGGTCGAAGTATCTCAGGAGCAAGGTGTGGTGTCTACGCTTCAAGATGTCGATGGTCTTTATGAGGATATCGTTTCCATTTTAGGCATTACGAAAGATGACCTGTCTCCGGGCTACGCAATACAAAACTGTCAAACAAGCCGTATCAAAACCGCCATTCCGATAAAAAGCGACGTGATCCTGCATGGCCTGAAGCCTCGTTTTCAAAATGTGAAGGGATTATGTGAGCGTATTGGTAGTACGGGCTTATATCCATACGCCATTACCGATGCCAGTCGCTACATATTTGACGCCAGGCAATTTCCGAAGAGCTCGGGTTACAACGAGGATGCAGCCACGGGGATCGCAGCTTCAGCGTTGTCTTTTGCGCTTTTGGAAAATGGTGTGGTTGGGGAGAATGCATCGATCACTATAAGACAGGGATATGCTATGGGCGCCCCATCTCAGATAGGTGTGCGGTTCAGGATGATCACTGATGATATGAAGGTCAATGGTTGCTGGATCAGGGGCACAAGCACCTTGTCAGAAACTTAAACGTATTAGCAGAAACTAATTAAGTCTTGTGTGGATTAAGACGGGAACGGATTGATTGACTGATTCTGTGGAAGTCCCCTATGAAGCATCTAAGTGCCCGAGGCCCCAAACCTGAAATATGAAACCAGTATATATCTATCCACTTACTTCCCTATCCTTCGATTATGTAGATATCCCTTCGTTTCCTAGTCTGGTAACCAATTGTGCGTGCCCTTTGAGCTCCCGTAAACTAAAGCTTATTGGCTAGCTAGACAGATTGGCATTTCTCATAATGAGTCAGAAGACAGTGTCTGACGCCTCCGCAGACCCTTTTTATATCTCAAGCCCCTCTTTCGAACCTTGGCGTTGCCATCTACAAATATGCTCCCTGGCCCAAAGTCAGGTTCACCACCCAGCGTACCGAAAATATCTCCCACATAGTTATCAGCCTCGATGCCCGCCTCGAACCGGTTTGCCCATCCATGTAGAATGCCTTCAATGACCTTAATACCAGCGAGATAAATGTTCTCAATAGATGGTTCAAATCCCTGGGATTCGTCCAGAAGATTGTCTAGTATAGTTTGATTGGCATAAGGGCGATCAAAGTCCGAAGCTGTACGCATAATGATAATGCGGGAAAATTCGACAAGGCCTGTAGTAGCAGCACGAAGGAGGGATTCGAGGGTAGCGTTATCTTCTTGTTGTGTGGTGCAATAGATGCCGCTGCCATTTGTGAACAAAGAAGTCGTATTGTCAAAAGCGTCTCCAAGCAAGCCTCCCGTAGAGTAGACATCTGAGGTGGCCGTATCACACGCAATAACAGTAGGTGGTTGGGCCCCTGGTGCGAATGATTTAGTTGAGGCATAAAGAGCTCGATAGCTCTTCGCGTCAGCTGTATCATTAAGTGTGGCTGTTTGAGCAAAAGATATTGCTATTTGTCGAAGTTGTTCATTAACTTCAAAGACTTCGGTGCCGTATAATTCGGAGGGGTAATCAGTCGGTGATGAGCTTCCTTGAGGGAAATACCCAGTGTTCCAGCCTGGGGCTTTTCCCGTGCATCAATCTCATACTGCAATGCGACTTGTACAGCATAGCGAGCAAATGTCACGGCCTATAATACTATCAGTATGATACTAAGCGTAAGATGTGATTCTTGCTACCTACACCAATTGTAGATACTTTTGGATTAACACCTGCGACACCAGCAATAAGGAAATAAGTTTTTCTTAAATCGAAAAGGGAAGAATAAGCTATAGAATTAATAGTGCTCGCAGCGTTGATTTCTATTATTGTCAGCTTGGATCGCGCCAAAGCTTCTATTTCCGCAGAAACATTTGAGCATCTTACCAGCCTCGCCTGTCGTAACTTGGCAAACATCCTCATTCGACGTACAGTGTACCTGGGGGAAAAGGGGCGAGATTCCCGGTACAGTGATGTTGTTGGCTAAGATATTGAACTCCGGAATCCCATACCATGCTTCGGCTTCATCGGTAAACTGATCACAATGTTAATTCGAGCTTCCCTGGAAAGCAAGGTTGTACTACCCACCATGCTAATGACAAAGACTTTTGGGCTGATCGGCCGAAAACTATTTGCCTGTTCTTCACGAGTTTGCACGGAACCATGTATATCCGAAAAGGCTAGAGCCACTGAACAAAAGCATAGCGAAGTGATTACGATTGATAGATACATGATAGGTTGCTGACTTTGTGAACAATATGGCGAAGGGTGCGTATAGGATGAATGCCTGTGGGTGAGTACTTAAGTTTGCTGTAAGCTGAGCACGACATTTCTCGCCGGAGTCAAGTCGCGGGGTTCAAGACCCCTGTCCGGGCGTATAGTGGATGCATCATGCAGTAGATACGGGGTAGAGTGGGATCTGTGACACGATAAGGTTAGCCTTTCCGAAAATTTCAGCTGAACCAGTGTAGCTAAAAGCTCTAGAAATCGACATCCGATGAAAGGTCTATGCTTCTCTATACTAGATGGGCTTTAGCGAAAGTAGGTAATCTATACACTCGATCAGCTATGGA